CTTGATTTTCGGCGGGCCGTCCTCTTGCTTGGGTGGGAGTTCGGGTGGGGTGTCTGAGGATTGGGGGCCGAGGCTGCTCGAGCCTTCGGACTCGTAGAGGGTGAAGCGGAGCTCTTGATCCCAGTGCGCGCGTTGCCCAGCGCGGTTGATAGCTCGAGTGCGCTGCTTCTCGCCGTTGAAGCTCACGACGCAGTAGGGGGTTTGCTTGCCAATAGCTTTCTTGTTCGTGAGGTGCATCTGTGTTCATGATCTATCAGCTACTCCAGGGAGGAAGTACAACCACGTACGGCCTCGAGGACCACGACAACAAGTGTTCCGACGACATTGTTTTTGGGGGATGAGGACATGGAAAACGCGGACGAGACGGCGCGCATGAGGTCGCGACGCGCCATCAACACAGGGGCGGTCACGTGGGTGCGTAGGGTGCGCCCTCCTGGTTGCTATTTGACCCAACTCTGTTAAGGCGAGATAGAATCAGGCGGTAATGCGCTTATGTAATCTAGTTCTTCGGAGCGTGGGTTCGAATCCCACTCTCGTCACATTTTTGCCTCTTCAAGCTTAGTTCAAGCCCTCCTGAGTTTGGAAGAACAGCTGGAAATTGGAATTCTGGCGGCCAAGGTTTTGTAGGACATGTAAATCCTATGAGAAGTATGTACAGGTGTCGAAAGTCCCTTTATATCTACGCCAGCGTACGAAGTGCTGGTCTGCGCACCAAGAAATAATGGAAATGCGATAGTCTACTAGTGATGCGAGGGCAATGAATCATGAGGATGGTGGGTATGCAGTGCGACAATACGTCTACATACGTGAATCCACATTTCTGATACGCGCATGTAGACGGACGACGAACCTCATGGGTAGATGCTGGATAGCCGACCTAACACGGCAAGGCAGACTCGCGCCGGACGATAGTCATGAGGCCAGGAATGCTCTTCGCCTTCTCGAGAGCGACGGGCCTGCCAGGATCGTGCGCATTCGAACGAACGGCGTCGGCGTGGTAAGTAACCTGTGGATAGCGGAGTGAGATGACTGTAAGACATGCGTTCCTTGCAAGACGTACGTGGACTTTGTACGTTCCTTGTGATTTCGTCTTGGGCTCGTGGACGTCAACTGGCAGTCAGGGTAAGCAAAGGGTCCGTCGCTCGCTCAACGGAATACTAACCAGACCACCTAAAAACCATCATCAGTACTTGGTTCCCCACACATAGCCCCGCGCCACTCACTTTTCGTCTACCAGGGCGTTCGCCCCCAGCTCCCTGACATCGTCTAGCAGTTTGCACCGCGCCGCACGCAGCAGGACGGGCGTATTTACACCCCCACTGCACACATACGTCTGCCGCGTGTCCAGCGGCTCGCGCCTCGGGGTCACCATCGCCTCCACCAACCCCGGATGGGACAAAGGCTGCTCCCCGCTCTTACAGAGCGTCCCGCAGGGCGTGCTCGTCCCCGCCGTAATTGCGGCCTTCGCGCGCACCCGCTTCATGCGCACGAAGATGTTCGCGACGTTCGCGATGCCGAGGCGCGTCGCTTCTGGCGGTGACGCGCTGCCGTTCTCCTTTGGCGTTCCGTTCTCTTTCGGCGTTTTGTTCTCCTTGGGCCTCTCCTGGGAAAGGCGGCGGTAGGCAGAAGATAGCACTGACATGGTGAGGTATCACGGTAGTCAATAGCGGGTTTGTGGGTGGTGAGATGCAAAGGGGTTCGCTGCGGTGGCGCGCAGGCAACCGCGCATAGCGACGTCATTCCACTGCGGTCGTCCGGCCCAGGCTTCCGGGTCGCTGCCAAGTCTGTGACCCTGGAAAGATATGTCACGGTTGAGCACTTCGGGAGCCTTCATTGAGGGATGGGCATGGGAACGCCTTCGAGTGCTTTGAATTACAGGTCAACATGAAGGTAAGAGGCAAAAAAAGTAAAAGTGTGACGAGAGTGGGATTCGAACCCACGCCCCGAAAGACCAGATCATTCAGTGACCGAATCAGATGCGTCAGTAATTACTGACTGGTCCTTAGTCTGGCGCCTTAGACCGCTCGGCCATCTCGCCTTGTAGCCTTGCACTGGCATGGCCAATCTCTGGTCAGTGCTCCCATCATGTCCCTAGGAACCCTCTCCTACGTTACACAAGCTGCATCTTACTATACTCTAGCTCGCACTGCTGAAATGATTAGCCAGCATCGCCCCTAAGATTTTCCTGCCACCCGCCAGCTTTCCCCCTTGGGCACATGACCTGTTCGGTGAAGTCCATGACTTTCCCACGCCTTTCTCTCCTTTCGTCACGACTCGCCGCCTGCACGTTCACCAGAGATAGCTTGGCGCGCAGCGTGCATCTCCTTCTCGCTCCATCTAATAACGACGCAGTAACGACCAGAAGCTCGCTTAGCGACGCAGGGCAGCCATGAAATTTGCACGGTTAGTAGGCTCGGCCACTTCTTGATGATGATACGCAGCAGGGGACTCACGTTTTCTCTTGGCATGTTGACTTAGATATCTCGAGGAAACGCAGGTATGTATACGGTCGAAAGCCACTGTGATAGCTTACTCAGTTAACATGCGCAGACGCCTGAATGGAAAAAAGCATACATGTAAGGAGTTTGGTTATCATATCTTGAAGTGGAGCCTAACCAAGCCTTCGTCTGAAGTAACTACCGCGCGCTGAAGAAGCGCATAGCTGCTGTTCGACGAGCAGAGGAAGGGCAGATCTCGCCCGAGCAGCTCATTCTCAGTTCGCAAGCGGACCTGGCGGGCGCACGGTCCGACTCGCCCTCTGCGCTGGCGAACGATGAAAGCAGGCTTTCAATGGGCCTTTCACCTGAGCTCCTTCAGGATGCCGCAGAATCATCTCCCGAGGGCACACGGATCGACGAGGGGCGCAAGTCCTTCCACTCAGGCGACGGGGAGCCCTCGCTCCCGTCGTCGCGTAGCTATCGGGTCATCCACTCGGCCTCTTCGCGCCCGCGAGACTTTTCGAGGCGGATGTCGATGACGAGCCGCAAGTCTCGTCCGAGTACGCAGCGCCGCAACACGATTATCCACGGTACGTCGCCGGGTGGCAGGGGAAGGAAATCGTGGCAACTACCTTATCACTTACATAGGGCATCACCATCGCACGCCGCAGCCTTTCACGGCGCCAGCGACCTATAGCGAGCTGCTGCCGCTGCTCTCGCCTATCGAGTTGAACTTCTTCAAGTTGCTGGACGCTGAGCTGGAGAAGGTGGAGTCGTTCTATCTTGATCGTGAGAAGGAGATGCAGGAGCGCACGGTTCTGCTGCGGGAACAACTGAACGAGTTGAATGATCATCGCAAACTCTTCTACGTATGCATAGTCTCTCCTCGCCTGAGCGTTTCGCCTTATAATCACCCACAGGCTGTTCACTCACGCGACGGACGCGCATGGGGCGTCCCCTTCCCCATCAAGCCCGACATCAAACTCCGCCTCCGCGCCCCAAAGCCAAAAGCCAAGCTCCCAGCCGTCGACAGTGCGCCGATAGAGAAGACGCTCACCAAGACGACGACGAAGAGCGGTGGCGGCTTCTTCGACTCGGTCCGCGGCGGCCTCGAATCGAATCGTGGCGGCGTCTTCGACTCTAGCCGCGAGCACTACCCCAACGGCGAGACGCCGGATTCGGAAGAAGACATTGAGGACCGTCTACCGCCTAGCCCGCCTGCGACGCCGGTCGAGCGGTCGTCGACGCCACCGCCGAGGAGGCGAGTCATGCTCGACCCCGACGAATACCAGCACGCGAAGAAGCGGCTGAAGAAGGCGGTATTGGAGCACTATAGGGCTCTACAGATGCTGCACAACTACCGTGTAAGAGCGTCATTGTTCACTCTGTTCATCTGCTGATGCTTGGGTAGATCTTGAATGTCACAGGGTTCAGAAAGGCACTCAAGAAATTCGAGAAGGTCACTCGGGTGCGCCATCCTTGTCGCTGTGCCGCCATTGACCTGTCTCATTTTGACTCGCCTTACAGATACCTTGCATTGACCTCTACATGCGCGAGAAGGTCGAGACGAGCGCCTTCGCCTCCGACGTGCGGGTACGCCAGATGATGACCGAGATGGAGGACCTGTACGCGACGCGCTTCGGTAATTGCCACAAAATCTCTGGGATTTCCCGTTCGGACTGACCGAAATTTCTAATAGTTCACGGCGATAAGAAGCGTGCCATGGCGCGCTTGCGCGTTGGCACATCGCAAAACAGCCATCACTTCAGCACGTTTCGCTCCGGAATGGCAATCGGGCTGGCGCTACCGGCGCTTGTCGCAGGGATCTATGACAGTACGTTCGCTAGCCAAACGTGAGCTGCGAGTCGCTTATCTTGCCCTAGGCTTTCAACCGGAAGTTCGGCACAGCGTGCAGGGCTGGGAAGCGCTGTTGTATATTTACGCAATCATGCTCGTTCCTGTGCTCCTCTCCATGCTCATCGGTCTCAACATGCTTGTGTGGGCCCGTACGCGCATCAACTATGTCTTCATCTTCGGTACATCGCCTCTTTGCCCTCCTCTGCATACATATGCTAACGAAACCTTCGCAGAGCTGGACATGCGCACACGGCTGGACCATCGAGCGTATTTTGAGGTATGATTCGCCAATTAATAGACCTTTCGCGCCTCGTCTGACATCGTCACCCAGACACCCACCTTCCTGCTCGCGACACTATGTTGGGCGTTCTGGCTGACCTTCGCGCGCATCGGCAATCCGCATATCTGGCCTTTGGTGTGGCTGGCGCTGACGGCTGCCACGATATTCGACCCTCTTCCGGTCAATGCGAAGTCTTCGCGGTATTGGCTGCTTCGGAACCTCATGAGGCAGTTCATGTCGGGGACGAGGCGCGTCGAGGTAAGCACCTTTTCATGGTCTCGTTGCCTCAAATTCTGACCACATATAATACTCGGTTAGTTCGCTGATTTCTGGATGGGGTAAGTGGTGCTCCCAATAGCTTCCTTCGCAAAGCTAACCTCCCGCCTAGCGATCAATTCTGTAGCCTCGTCTTCACCTTGTCCAACCTCTACTTCATCCCCTGCACCTACACCGTCGGCTTTGATGACTGGCGACAGTGCACGACGTCGACCAAGAACTGGCCGGTCATGTTCGTCGTTGGAACATTGCCGCTCACCATCCGTGTCGTACAATCGATCAAGCGTTATTATGACTCGCGGCTCGTTACCCATCTTGTCAACGTGCGTCTTGTCCGTGCTCTTGCTGCGTGCGCAACTGCTCACGTTCTTACAGGGTGGCAAGTATGGGACGGGCATCGTCATGTACCTCTTCTACTTCCTCTGGAGGCATAGGAGTGTGTAATTGGTGACCGACTGCGAGTGTTGTAACTGATTCTTATACCCAGCCTCCTATGACGGACCTTTCTACGCTCTTTACATTGTTACCGCTATCCTGTACTCAACTTATGCTTGCACATGGGTAAGATTTCTCTTTGGGTTCTTACTGAACGTGGCTGACATCATGTAGGACTTCCTAATGGACTGGTCGATGCTCAAAACTCGCGCCAAATACTTCCTCCTTCGCGACGAGGTGCTCTATACTAATCATATACCAGTAAGTTTATCATTCCTTGTGCAGCTCCGCGCTTACTGACATTATCCACCCCAGCTCTACTATCTTGCTATCGTGCGTGCAGTGTCTTCCAGAGGCTCCCCAGCGGCTTACTGATTGGTACAGGCGTACAATGCTCTCATTCGCTTTGCATGGGTCATATATATCCCCGAAAAAGGCCCCAGCTTCTTGCTTCGCGCCTTCATCGTCGGCATGCTCGAGATGACAAGGCGATGGGTGTGGAACTTCTGTGAGGGTATCCGGCCTCGTCGCGTCCCGTCGCTTACTTACTTCTACAGATCGTTTGGAGAACGAGCACTTGGGTAACATGGTGCGTGAGCCTCGAGCGAATTCGGCAATATGGGCCAACGTCTCTACAGGATCAATACCGCGTCACGAGAGAAGTACCACTGCCCTACTCTCTCGACGAGCTCGACATCGACATGGACGAGGATGCGGAAGCAGAGGCGAAGAAGGACGCCGAGGACATGGATGCGAACTCCAGCTCGTAGGCGAACTTCTTGTCTGCCCTCCTTTCTTCATTGGCTGGCCACCCTGACTCTCTTTCTCGCCTCTCCTTTCTCTTTCCCTTCTGCTACACATAGATACATAGATGACGGCCCGGCGGCCATACATACATTGGATGGAATAACTAAGCTACACATCGTCTTGCGCTGTTCGTAATACACTTCTCCCGCTATTGTGCGGCTTGCACCTTGCTTTTACCAGCCCGATCCAGGATACCCGCTCTGTCCGCCATGGTGATGGTGCGGCGCGCCAGGGTACGAAGAGCCTCCGCCGTACGGGTTTGCGCCAGGGAAACCTGGACCCCCCGGCGGTCCTCCGGGGAATCCTGGGCCTCCAGGCGGAGGACCTCCAAAACCGCCTGGTGGCGGTGGACCACCAGGGAAGCCGGGTCCTCCAGGAGGTCCTCCCGGGAAACCCATAGACGGTGGTGACCCGCCATAACCACCGGGACCTCCAGGATAACTCGACCCTGGTCCTCCGGGAAATCCGGGACCACCGGGATAGCTCGAGCCTCCTGGACCGCCTGGATACCCTGAGCTTGGTGCGCCAGAGTAACCCGGGAAGCCAGGGCCGTCGGATGGTGGTGCGGGCGAGCCGTACGCGGGTGTGTACCCAGCATGCGCTGGCGCGCTCGGGAACGACGAGCCACCGCTACCTGGCGGAGGTCCACTCGGTGGTGTGTAGCTGCTCCCACCTCCTCCCGGGTAGCTGCTTGTGTTTGGTGGTGGCGCACTCGGAGGCGCGTAGCTCGGCGACGAAGACGACCCGCCACCGTAGTACGCGCTCGCCTCGCCCGGAGCATCCCTGCCGGGCCCGCTGGGCTTAAAAGCGCCCTGGACCTGATTGATGAAGCCAGAGGCCTGCGAGACGCCCGGGATGCCCTGTGCGTAGCCAAGAAGCGCGTTCTGTGCGGCATGGCCCTCGTTGTAGGCGTACGAGCCGACGGCCTCGGGCTGCCCGCCCTCGCCCTGCAAGCGGATGTTCTTGTGGTCGCGAACGGCCTGCTTGGTTAGGCGCTGTAGGACGGTCTGCTGACGATCCTGGCGCATCTGAGAGAACCAGTTGTGCATGGTCTGCATCATCTCAACCTGGATCTGTGATTGCCGGTTGTGCCAGTCGGGGTGGAAGCTAAGAGCATGGTGAGTGACCCTGACATGACAAGTGATAACGACATACAGGCATTGCAGAATATCCTCAACGACGTGGCCTGGGTTGACAGAGTCGTCGTTCCATGCGTTGGTGATGCGTGTTACAGCGTACGTCTACCGAAGAGCCTGCATTAGCCACGCCCCATGTCAACTGCATCGCCTGGCATACCACGATCGTCTTCGCAATAAGACCCGCGGGCTCATTGAGGATCAAGTTGAAGTGATCCTTGCTCAAGAAGGAGTGCGTCGGGTCAGACTGCAACGCATCTTTAGCTCTCGATTCCACGAAAGTATCATGGATGACCCACAGCATTCGAGCGGTTGAAGACCTCGTACTGGTCTTGATTGTCGATGACTTCGCCGGAAGCTGCAGACAGAGCGCTCGTCGAGGTCTTGAGCAAGGGCTTGAGGAACGGCTCGAGCGTGGTGAAGACGAAAACCGAGATGCCGTCCATGATCTTCTCGATGAGGGGACCAAGGCCAGGAATTTTCTCTGTGAAGCGATGGTCAGTAAATGTGGACATCGTCGATGAAAGGGCATACCAATCGTTTTGCTGATCTTCTTCGCAACCGCGTCACGGAAGCTGAGCACTTTCCACAGGACTGCGTGTAGCTCCTGCGGACTCATGTCTTCCGGGCGCTTGCCATTCGCGGTACCCTGTGAATCGCTCAGCGATCTATCCTTCGATGCTCGAGGAAGACAGATGTACATCACGAAGACCGGAGACGCTGTCCATGTCTCTCGACAGATCACCGCCAGATCCGTCGGGAAGCAAGCTGAACAACTCGCGGAGCGTAGATGTATCGCCGCCACCTCCGGGGCCAGAGCGGTCGCGCGATCTTTGCTTCGCGTTCTCCATCTCGTGGTTGAGGTCAGTCACTGAGGCTTGGGACTGCATATATGCGCGTCAGCAAACTTTTGCATCGGTCTTGCACGGACAACGCACAAGATGGTCCGTCGCCTCCCCCAGCAACGAATGAATAAAATCACTCGACCCAAACGTCCCCGTCACCAACGGCGCCACATGCCTCCCATTCGGCGCCTGCACCCTTACCCCGTCCCCCACATGCGTGAACACCTGGCCGTGCCCCATTGACACCAGCGCGAGCTCGCAGAAGTTCGAGTGCGCGGGGAAGTCCTCGAGCGTGTGCAGCGCCTGGCCGAGGAGGCGGTACGACTCGTAGAGCTCGGGCTTGCTGCCGCCGCGCCCGCGCCGGCCGAGGTCGATGCAGCGGAGGAAGGTGCGGCGGACGAGGGCCTTGGAGGTGTCCCAGTGCCCGTTCTCGTTCGCGATGTAGTTCTTCATGCCCGTGTGGGGGTCGATTTCGAGTTCGCGGGGCTGGAAGGGAGGGTAAGTGCGAGATGGGATTAGAGAGGGTATATGCGTACGTCTACGGGAGGGCGGAGGCTGGGGTGGTACTTGCGAGGGTCTTCATTGCCACCATAGCCTTTGGGATTGTCGATGTGTTCGGTCTGAGTTCGCGGCGGTGAGTACGGTGAAGAGGGACCCAAGATGGCAGGCGTACGGGAAGGTATGTCCCAAGACGCTCAGCGGTCACTTCAAATTCATTTGTAGCATAGCCATGAGCCTGTAGAGCGTCAAATGTCTCACTCGACCAAACGAAGATGCATGCACTCACCAGGAAGCCCAAGACCATGCACAAGTTGATGATAGTCTGAAGGGGGACCTTCTGCAACGACGCGATGTCGACTGCCTGGGCGCGATCTTAGTTCATGAACTCAGATGGATTGCGATCGGACGCACTTGACTGTAGTCTCGCAGCCAGTTGCTACAGGCGCTCAGGTCAGAGACAAGATGGCCAGAAAGCGAAGCCCACTCACCCAAAGTACACGCGCTTGATATCCAGCCCACGGAATTTCCCTCCGCCGAATAGCTTGTTCAGCGCGAACCCTCCTCCAACTTTCGACAGGTTCGCCAGCACATCTTCAATATCACCATGCCTGAAGGCCTTGCCCTCGAGGTACGCAAATCTGCGAAGGGGGACACAAATTTCAGCCTTCCCTCCGCACAAAACAAGTTCAGATCGCCACGCACGAGGGGATGTTCCCCGCCCCGAAGGCGAAGACGCCGTGGTGCGATATGCATATCGAGAGGACGGTGAAGAGCGTGAGGTAGAGGATAATGTTGTTTGAGGCGCCCATCGTCGCGGTTGGTGGTGGGCGCACGGAGAGAGAGCGATTTATGTCTGGGCTCGGCGCTCACAGGCGCTCGAGGGCGCGCACTGATCTGACGTCACGAGCGCGGATTGTCCCCGGCGATGCGTCTGATCTCGAGGATCGGCGCCTCGAGAGTACCCATACCTGTGCACTGCGAGCAGAGACGTACAGGCGCCCGCAGTGTGCGCAGAGGAGGAGGCATTGGGCTGCTACAGGAGCCGTGAGCCGCGCTGCATCGCGCAGCGCACAAGGAGCTCCCATCGCAGTACAGCGCCGCGTACAGGCTTAGCCACAGTTCGAAGGAGTGGGCCGTACGTATCGGAACCCTTCCGTGAGACCGACATACGCCGCAACCTTTACCTGTTGTAGCCTACTAGACGCCTTCGACGCAACCCTGAGACTGAAATGTGAACGAGGAAACGAGCCAGAGCCGTTGCCAACGATGAGGAGATATTAAAGAGGACAGAAGGAATGCGCAGCAATGAAGCCAAGCCACCCCGTCGATCGCAAACAAGCCTAGAAGGACATCTTGTCCACTGACTTCCCTAACCCAATCACCTTCTCGATTACCCACATATACACCTTTGTAAGACACCCATAGGACCATTGATCAAAGTATGGCCCCGTCGAGCAAGTCCGCAATCCTCTCCGCGAAGATCTTATTCGCGCCCTCTGTCCAAAAATTAGCCTCTTTCCCTTCCAATCCCTCTCCAACCCACTCACCTCCCGGATGATAATCATTGCCCCAGAAATACCCATCCCCGTACCCCGACGCGTTCCCGTTGAATCCAAAGCCCTCCAGATCATCAAGCACCTCCGTGAACACGGCGTACGCGTCCCACACCCAGGTTGTCACCCCATCGTGCGAGGCGGCGAAGTCGGTGACTTTGTCGGCGAGCTTGGTGTTGTGGACGGCGATGACGGAGGCTTCCTGGTCGCGGGATGCTTCGGGTTGTGCGAGCATCTGCGAGCGGGTGAGGTGAGTATTGATGGGCGTGGTAACAGAGTGCGCAAGGAAGAAGGAAGGATCCGTACCAAAGGCGAGCGCTCGATGGCTGGGACATTGAGGAAGAGGAAGTTGCGCCCCCCCGCGTCGCTGGGACAAGGTCAGAAGAGGGATGACGCGACAGACATCCTCGGCACGCACTACTACACAGATTGTCAGTGTCCCCTTCACCAAATGAAAGAGTGAACACTTACGAGTTTCTCGACCATCTCGAAATCCCTGGCCAGCAAGGTGTCGGAGAACCTGCTCTGCATCAGCATCCCCTCACTGCCAGCAAAACACTTTCCACTCACTCTCCCCTATCCCCATCCAACCAAAAGCTGTTCCCGATATCATTCACCCCAATCCACACCGAGAACAACGAGCCCTCGCTCGTCCACGGCGTCTCTGCCGGCTTCGCCCCCGCCCCCTCCTCAAACTCGCCCACCTGGTCCACAAAGCTCAGCACAGTGTCCTCGTACGGCGTCACCAGCTCCGCGTCCGTCGTCGCGCCCCCGTACGCGTAGTTGTACGTGAAGACGAGGGAGGTGTTGTACTTTGTCGTGAGGTACGTGACCCAGTTCTCGCCGCCCGTCGCGGTCCAGCCGGGGTACTCGGGGTTGCCGATGGGGTTGGAGGTGGAGGGGAGTTCGCCGGTGGGGTCGAACCAGGTTTGGGAGTAGGAGTCGCCGCTGGTACGGGGGACGGTAAGTCAAAGGAAAGGCAGAGGAGGTTGAGAGGAAGACGTACAAGCTGAACCAGTAGGTCTGGCCCATGGCAGAGCCCGCGTAAAGCGCAGACGCAAGTACAGAAGCGCGAAGCATGTCGAGCAGGAGTGGGGGAAGGAGTGTTCAGCGTACCTCTCCGCAAGGATTGCTTATATACTCGTTGGAAGGGATACTTGTGGAAGGCGCGTAAGCCTCGGAACGTGCACTGCGGTCTTCGGATCGTAGTCTGTCGACTTCGGAACCTTGCCTGTCGTTTATTGCAACCACGCGCAGGTGAGGGCTCTTGATTTCGGTGCATCATCGGGTCGGGAAAATAGAGGAAGGCTCTGAGGGTGCTGCAGGAAGGTCTGGACGGACGAGCGAGCGGGCCGCCGTCGTAGGGTCAGGTGTGCGTGCTCAAAGTGGGGGGAAGCTACATAGATGGGGTGAAAGAGTTAGATCATGCAGAGGCCATGGCCATAGGGTGGCAAGAGAGAGGATCACGTAGTTTGCAACTTCACTCTCACCATCCCTGCGTGGCTGACAAGAGGAGCGTGCGTCGTCGAGCGAGCAAGCAAGTGCATGAGCGAAGCATGTTCTCGGCGTTGTATGGGTTTGATGCTATCCGCAAGCAAGGTAGGAGGAGAAGAACGTGATGGTGAGCAAACTGCTGCTATTGTTCTCAGCGACCCTGGGCCAAGCAATACTTCCCCGCATGTCGGCGAGCGTGTCCATCCCGCTGAGGGCTGTGTACCGGCGGCATCCCCGCCAGGCCCAAAGGCGAACGCGCGGGACAAGGCACGTCGCTGATGAAAGCCCGAGAGCAATGAATGGCGTGGGAAAGTGTTCGCCCCTATCAAGGATGTCACTCAACCGCGGATCAGCGCGTAAGGACTCCGAGCGTTCCTCGCAAGCGACTGAGGCCCTCCCTCGTCTCTGCCCTCGCTGCTCTCTTCCTGCTCCCATCATCCCCCACAGTCGCCGTCGCGCGTCCCCTCGTTGTATGCCATCCCGCCGACCGCGCTGATCACTCGCTAACGGCCGGAACGCGCATATAGACTTCGAATTACCCTCTAGCGCCTTGTCTGACAGTGACAGCCGCCCTTCTGAGTCGGCGCACCATTTCTGGATCTCCGCCCCCTAGTTCGCCTCCTCCTCCCCTTTTGACCCCAACTCGACGCGCACGCGCCGTCGCCCTCCGCTGCCCGCAGTAATTACCACGTATCATCGCCATGCCCGACGAAAAGCCCCAAGCGCTCGAGATGCAGGAGAAATCCGGCGCACCCACTGTCACTGTCTCCGATAACGACGGTCAACGACCCAGCCAGGAAAGCGAGTCGTCCTCGTCCGCGTCCTCGCATACCCCGCTGCACGACGCCGCGCAGGATGACCGCGAGCTCCCGCAACCAGCGACGACGCCCAAACCACCTGCCAAGCTGTCTGCGACGATGATTGTCCCCATCTGGATCGTACTCTCGTCCGGGGTCATCATCTACAACAACTACGTCTACAACACGCTCAACTTCCGGTACCCAGTCTTCCTCGTCACTTGGCATCTCTTCTTCGCTGTGCGTGGTACTTCCCCGAATCTGCTGCGCGTACTGACAATTTGCGTAGGCGATCAGCACACGCGTACTGGCGCGCACGACGAACCTCATGTCCTCCCTCAAAGACGTCCATATTTCCCAACAGACGTTCTTCCGCTCCATTCTCCCCATTGGTGTCCTCTTCAGGTACGTTACGGTGCTCAGTGCCCGCATACGAACACCATTCCTGATGCGACTTGAATAGTGGGAGTCTCATCCTCAGCAACACGGCATACCTGTACCTGAGCGTATCGTACATTCAGATGCTCAAGGTGGGTCTCATTCACTGTGGTAACGATGCTTTCGCTTATCGCGACACTGCTAGGCATTCAACCCGGTTGCCATCCTCCTCATCTCATGGGCATTTCGCATATCCGACCCCAACAAGCGCCTCGCCTTGATTGTGCTCATGATCTCCGCTGGCGTTGCGCTGGCCAGTGGTGGCGAGAGGAGATTCAACCTATTTGGTTTCATCGTGCAAGCCTTGGCCGTTGTCGTAAGCACCTTCATCTCCGCCGTGCGTGCTAGAACGACAGACAGCTGACTGTTTGCGTAGTTCGAGTCGTCGCGCCTCGTCATGATCCAAATTTTGCTACAAGGCCTAAAGATGGATCCCCTTGTTTCATTGCACTACTACGCACCTGTGTGCGCGGCGCTCAATCTCCTTGCATTACCCTTTACCGAAGGTAAGCCAATTAAGCGTCTTTGGTACGCATAGCTCATCTTCGAATAGGAATGGCACCGTTCCTTGCCCTTCAGGAGGTCGGGCTGCCGATCCTCCTGAGCAACGCTGCCATTGCGTTCGCCTTGAACGTCGCCGCCGTATTCCTGGTCGGCGTTGGTAGTGGCCTTATCCTGACGCTTGCGGGCGTGTTCAAGGTACTTCTTTCCGCCTCCTCCTCCGCGTTCTAGTGATTGACGCGCCTATCTATAGGATATCCTCCTCGTCAGCGGATCCGTCCTCATCTTCGGGTCCATCATAACGCCGATGCAAGTTTTCGGTCAGTGTTATGCTGGCGATAATTAGGGAGCCATCTGATCATCTCGTATAGGCTATTCCATCGCCCTTGGCGGCCTGGTCCTGTTCAAGACGAGCGGCGGGAAGTAGAGGCCGCATGCCCTCCCGCAGCAGCGAGCCATAGATCTCTTCTCCACCATACACATCAGCAACACACTCGTTCTATATCCCTTCCTTGTTTTCCCTCCTAGCGCAGCGCGCCGCTGGGGGTCTCTTGCGCTGGTGTTCTGTCTCATCACCCGTCCCTTATGCCCGATCACGCATCCCTATATCCCATTACCCATACTCCATTTCCCATCTTCCATTACCGATTTTCTTGTGTACTTTACCGCTGGGTATGGTACAATATGTTATGGGCGCCAGGGAAGCGCAGGTACATGGCTTTCGCATAGATACGTGCCCGACGCGTGGTTGACCCTATCCTCTGCGAGGTCGACCATTTCGGGAGGCTGGCCATCCTTCCGGAGATTGGTCCTCCTTCGCGATGTTGATCCTTCGCTGGGTCGATGCCATTGCGCGGGCCGGGTGCGAGAGGGACGGCCGGGTAGCCTACGTACTAGATCCCCTCCTCCACTTCTGGGTTCTACTTTCTTGTTGAGAGCTACTATATATACCTATAGTTGTAAAGTGTAACGTAGTAGTCGTAGATGACTTATAGACCTAAGCATGCGCACGGTAAAGGTGGAATGTGAGTGTTGAAAGATGAGATTGGCGGCGAATTTGTTTGGAGATGTTTGCTCGTACACATTCGCTGCTTGTCTCTCACCGTCATCTGCATCTGCTCCCAAGCACATCTCCTCTGCCCCTTCCGCCAATGCACAGGTGTGCCTACTGCCTTGACGCGTCGGACCGCCACTGTCACGCGCTGGTAAGCGCCCATAGATGCGGTGATCCAATTGAGCGTGCGAGCTTCTGGCCAAGGCGGTGATACTTCCCCCTCGGGCAGGAGGCGCGTGGGTACTTATCGCTGGGAGGAGGGCGCCTTGCTCTACCCCACTATGTCTGCGAAGGTCCCCCGCCAGCGCAAAGCGTCGACGCTCGTGAAGGGGCCGAAGGGACCCCAGCGGAAGGCGCTCGCCACCGTGGACACCACCCTCGCGTCGTACAGCCGCACCGAGCCCTTCGAGGCCTTCAACACCCTCCTCAAGCTGATCGGCGCGCTCCCCTCCCGCGTCGGCGGCGCCCAGTACAAGCTCACGCCCGACGAGCACGCGCTCACCGTCCACCTCCTCGCGATCGTCGAGCCCTTCCTGAGCACTACGCCCGAGCCGCGGCGCACGATCACGCGCCAGCCCACGGAGCTCCTCGACACGATCGTGGGCTACCTCGACGCGCCGGCGGACCTGCGCGCGCTGGCCTTGACGTGCAGGCGCTTCCACGCGATCGTGGTGCCAAGGCACGCGCAGTATCGCGTCGTGCGCGCGCCCGCGAGCGCGTTGCGCGTGTGGCACCATCTGGCGACGCAGAGGGGGCTGGCGGCGAATGTGCGCGTTGTGGAGGTGCTGGACGAGCGCGTGGGGGCGGGCGCGCTGGTGGTGCCTGCGGCGGCGAAGCTCATGGCGGATACGGACTTGGAGAGCACGGACGATGAGCTGGCGCGGCACGACAAGCAGGGGCGCTTCTTGCTTCGGGCGCTTGCGAAGATGGTCAACTTGGTGGAGTTCATTTGGTCGAGCAATCATTCGCCGACTGGTGTCGATGATGTTTGGCCGACCCTGTTAAAGCATTGCCTGAATCTACGCGAGGTACGCGTCCAAGATAATCTGGTCTTTGTCCCCGCGGATGAAGAGAGTGAGGAAGCGCCTGCAGAAGAAGCGCGTCAACGCATGCTTGTGAGTGATACCCTTGCATTTTGTGGGCGGCAGCTTACAGCCTTGATGAAGTTGATGAACGTGAAGAAGGTGGCCATTGAGTCCACGAAGTATACGTTTGGCGCCCATCGTACTCCTGCGCTTTCTCGTGCTCGCGGCTTACTCGACCACTGTCCCAACCTGGAATCACTTGCTGTATCGTATACCCGACCCCGAGCGTCGACAACAAACGGCCCGAACGCCCTGCCGGACGCCGATGACTTTCTTCTATATAGTCGCTGGCCGCAGCTAGCTGAACTCAGCCTCGCTCGTCTGCATTCCTCCAGCTTCGATGCCTTCTCATCGTTCCTCACTTATCACAACAAGCTGTCAACGCTCCGTTTGGATGGCCTCAGCGGTGCTGCTGTCACCACTCTCGACCTGCCTGCGGGTGCTCTACCTTGTCTTCGGGAACTGCAAGCGCCGAATGAGGTCGCCATTGCCGTGCTTGCATCCGGTACCCTGGATGGCCGACCGCACACTCTGGAGACGCTCAAGGGTATCCGCGTCGACGCTAGCAGCAAGGGCGCAGCTGCCCTCTGCCAGGCATTGCGCGAATACGGTTTGGGCGTTAGGCATATCGAACTCGCTGGCTATGGTGACGTAGACGACATCCGCCGGCTCGCCAAATGTGCACCCGGTGTAGTCTGGCTCGACGTCGGACGGCGACTTGCGCGGGGACGCGTCGCTCCGGCTCCCGCCACTCCTCACAAGGGCGAGGCCGCACCTCCCGTCGCCAACACGACAGAGTGGGCATCTGCCCTCGCCGCCATGCCAGACCTCGTCCGCCTCCACGGCGTCCGCTTCTTCTACGAAGTGTCGCAGGGCGCCGCAGCGGCCAACTCAGCCGCGGCCATCGCCTCGGGCGCGCGCAACTTCAACCCTGCGACGATGAACGCGAGCATCTCGATGACGGACCGCAGTCGGCTGCGCAAGAACGACGAGGTGGCGGGGATGCTAGCGTGGAAGTGCCCGAAGCTGAGGCGGTTGGATCATTGGGAGGAGGGCGGTGGTCGGGCGATCATCCTGGCCCGCGATGGGGAGCGGGTGCGCTGGGAAGTGCGCAGGGTACCCAAGTGAGAAATTGTGAATATTGGTATGTAAGTATCACAAGATACAATGGCTTTTGCGCAATTTGCGACGCTCAGCCTCCTTGGTTCGCACCGTCGCAAGCGACTCCACGCATCACCTGGTCATCCCTGCACAGCATGAAGCTCAACATGTACGGTCTCGCTCATCTTTGTCCGTTCCCGAGGGTTTACGCTCGCGTCGCGGACCTCGGGGATTCGCAGCGGCGGTGAGACAGTCCTTAAACAACCCTGCCACGACTATACGTCTTCCACTCCTTACCTGATCCGATCAGCATCTGAAGCGCTTATAAGGAATCGAGCTAGGACATCAGACGCGCACCTCGCTTGCCACGACGGCGACGTTATGGCCGCCATGGAGGAGCGTACCTACGACGACATCGACCCCCTTAAGGCAGAAAAGCGAAAGCCTCACGACGATGATCAGCGTCTGGAGACCGAAACGTACGACATATGGACGGTGACGACCGCCAAAGGCAAGCGGAGCGTGACGAAGGACCTCAAGCACAAGTTCGACTTCCTCTTTTCCTTCGCTGTTGTCCGCCGAATTTTTGTAGAGGTCTTTTTCATTGATCCTGTGGCTGTTACTATGTATGTCTCCGGGGACATCCTTGGTGCTGTGGAAGAGTCGTTACGCTTGTACTTCTCAGCGCGACTTTTGGACGAAGTTACGTTCTTCAATCAGGTCGGGGAAATATACTGACGCTTTACAGATGGCGAAGCTCCTCGCCAACGAGAAGGCCGACATGGGCACGATGACATCGATGGTCTCGCTCCGTTTAGGCTGTAACGTCTTCCTACGCTTGGTGAAGTGGTCGCAGTGCGTACATTTCCTATTCTCGTGCATTGCATATTGACACCATCAGGCAGAGGTACTCGGCACGTTTATGGAGCGGCAGGATTCGCCATTTCGAGGCGAAGTTCTTCGAAGGTTTGTACATAGTAACATCCCCGACATGGCTTGAAACTCACTTGTTATCCCTACAGCTAGGCTGCGCAGGGATCTTCCAGCGTCGCTAAGTACGTTGCAACTTAATTTCCTTCAGTTTATGTGTACTGATGATGCACTTGGTAGATCCCTCCCGCAACGGCGAAATCGATGAAGATGAGATATGGGATGCGGTCCAGGGTCTTCTTCGCTGCTGTCTCAGCGTGGTCACTGGGGCCAGCCTGTTACTAGTCATGTTTGACTCGTCGAAATCTGTTGCAGGCGTCGGATATCTCTTCCCGGTGCTCTGCATGGCGAAACCGCTTTTGACCTTCTTCGGACCCTCACTCGGGTCTTGGTCCTGGCGTAGGTCACCACAGACTCTTGAGGGTCCTTCAAGCTGACTGACATATCTGTAGCTCACATCATTCACTCCGATTATGAGGCTTATCAGCGATACCGGGGCCTCAGAGGAATCGCGGAGACGGAAGACTATCGCGAGGACATCATTAGCGCCGGAATCGGTGAATACTTGATCCAAGGTACCTTCATTGGTGTTGGTTGTGACCCCGCTAATGCCACCCTGGTAGAGTTCAAGACGGCATGCGGCCTCCTCAATGGGGTTGAGCACCTATATCCGTGGAATATATATGAGCGACGGGGGCCACCTTTCTTCGACATTTTGCTAGAGATCAGCGGCGATTTGCCAATGGTGAGTCCGGACTGTCAATGTATATACAATCACCAAGCTTTCTCACCTCTGGCAGATCTACTGCATTCTGTGCGCGGTCTACAGCCCTACGAAATCCTCGATTACATCAATTGCCATCCTGCAACAGAGCGTTCAGAGCTTCCGCGATGCGGTCTCTGAGCTCTTGGGAATGCTGGAGGCGTTCGGTTCCTACGTGCGCACCGTCGAGAAGTACTACAAGGAACTGGAGATACCAGACAGAGACAACGTCTTGGCGGATGGACAATTGTCTTATCCACTGCCGACGTCAAGCAGCCGTGGCATGCACTTCAAGCTCAGGTAATCATGCATTCAAGGATCGTCCCTTCATAGCGCTGAGTTTGCTTCGCAGGGACGTCTGCTTTGACTACCCAGGTGGATCGGACCAGATGGCTCTCCGCGGAGTGAACATCACAATACTACCCGGCCAGCTGGTCGTTATCGTTGGGGTGAATGGAAGGTGAGTGGCCTCGCCTCGATTGTACGAGGTACGACTGAGTATGTATCAGCGGAAAGAGTACCCTCATCAAGCTCCTCACCCGCTTGTACGACCCTACGTCCGGGACCGTCTCCGTGGACGGCGAGCGCTTGTCCGCGTATCGCCAATGCACCATCCGGCAGGCGACCGCCGTCCTCTCACAAGCCCATCGCATATTCCCCATGTCCATGGGCGAGAATATCGGGATCGGTTGCGTCGAGCGCGTGCGCGACGTCGACGCGGTGCGTGAAGCTGCGGAAGACGGTGGGGCGAGCGGGTGCATCTTCAAGTTGCGACACGGGTTTGATACCATCCTCGAACCACAACATCGCGCATACGGCGAGCATATATCCGATGAGGAGGACGACCCGCTGCGCCAGCGACTTGGTGCACTCGATAAATCAATCCAACTCTCGGGCGGCGAGAAGCAGCGCATTGCTGCGTATGTGCTCTCTCGAAGTGCAATTCAATCTATGACTGATGCTTCGATAGAGCGAGGACGTTCATGCGGTTCAAGTCAGGCAAGATCCGTGCTGTGTTCGTGGACGAACCGAGCTCTGCGCTAGACCCCGAAGGCGAACTGAGACTGTTCGACAACCTGCGCAAAGAGCGCCAGGGGAAGACGATGATATTCGTCACACATCGATTCGGGCACTTGACGAGGGATGCCGACCTGATCATGTAAGTGCATTCAATCGTCCAGTGTGGCCGTTCGATAGCTAATGACGCCTTGTAGTTGTATGAAGGACGGTCAGGTCGTGGAACAAGGACAACATGACGCGCTCATGACTCAGAATGGGGAGTATAGGAAGCTCTACGATATACAGGCTACAGCATACACTGGAGCGAGCGGCGCAGATGATGACTTCGAGTCAGCAGAGGACTACTAAAGCGCATGCTTTGCGGGATGAGACTACGAGTAACCCATCGGCACTCACTTAAACTTACACTAGGATGATGTCGATAATATCCGAGCATACTTTCGGGGCTCCTCGGTTGTGTTGCGCAGTCTCGCGTTTTACTTCCGTCCGGAGGTAAGTGCTACCCGAAAAGGAAGGTTTTATGTGGCTCCTTCTCCCACGCGATGGCATCATACCATCGCCTACTTATCTCTGACTCATGCTCAAGATGCCTTCGCCGAGACCCTCAAAACGCGCAACGTTCCATGCGATATCTCCCCCGAGTGAGAGCGCATTGAGTCATGGGGGCATCACCTGTACTCAATGTGATGTCACCTAGCGTAGGCGGGTGGAAGAGCAGCATCTACTGCTGGTTTCAAAGCGCTTATAAGGGCTTGCTTTTGACCGTCACTGCATTTCAGAGCATCGATCACACTGCCCCAGCCGAGCTCTACAGTCCATTCCATCGCCATGCCTAGGCTCACTGATCACAAAGTCATCATCTTCGACGTTTACACGACTTTGGCGGTAAGCAGTGATAACCAATGCGGAATGCTTTGTATAACGAGCGCTAATCCTAATACAGGACTGGACCACCACGGTCTACGAGAATCTCAAGCCTCTACTCTCGCGCTACGCCTCCTCCGCCCGATGGACCCAAGAAGAAGCCATGAACGCCTTCGGCTCCATCGAGCGCGACGTCCAAAGCCGCTACCCCGACAAGCTGCACCACGAGATCTTCGAAATCGTCTACGCCGAGCTCGAGGACTCCCTCAAAGACCTCGACGGGAACCAGTACCGCGACGCCGGCGCCCAGACCAATCCGCCCGAGCCGCGCGCGACGTCCACGCCCGAGGAGCGGCGCGCGTTTGGGAGGTGCACGAAGGATATTGTGCAGTTCCCCGACACGCCGGAGGCGCTGAGACGGTTGGCGAAGCACTTCAAGCTGGTGGTGCTGTCGAATATTGACAATGAGTGCTTTGCGCATACGCACCATCGGATGGCGGCGCCGGAGGAGTATCCGAATGCGCTGAAGACCTACTCGTACCCAGAGCCGAACCCGAAGAAGTACTGGTACCCGCAGACGGTGGAGGGCACGAAGTCGCCGTTTACGCTTCTCCTTACGGCGGAGGTAAGTCTGTGGCAAGTCATACTCTGTAGCCTTTGTTTGACGATGTCACCAGCAAACGGGCGCCTACAAGCCCAGCCACAAGGGCTTCAACATCGCCTTCAACGAAATCGAGAACGACCCGGACCTACTAGGCGGGACTGGTCTGAAGGCGAAGGAAAACACGATGATCGTCGCGGCCGGCCTCCCATCCGATATCGCCCCCGCTCATGAGTTTGGCATGAACAGCGTCTTCATGGACAGGGACAACATCGGCGACGAGAAGGCGGCGGCGAAGATCGGCGGGAAGAAGTGGACGTGGAAGTTCAATACGCTCGCAGAGCTGGCGGACGCGGTGGAGAAGGAGTTGGCAGCGAAGTAGTCATTAAGATAAAACAAAATGTATAAACGCAATTTACGAGGGAAAAGCAAGGGCAGCCAATCTCCACGTGCGGTGTGCCACAATTCAAGCTTTTGGTCCCGCGTCGGAGGTTGCCGAGAGCCCCTTTCTATTGTCCCGAAAAGGCAAGTATTGTTCTTCTCACCTCCCATGAGTGCTTGCGATGACTCGAATCAATTGTGAACGCCGTAGGCAGAGCCTCCCCGGGTCCTCCCGAACGACTGTCAGTGAAGGTGGTATTCCTGTGTCAAAACCTTCCGTACCACCTCGTCCTTCGCCGTATCCAGCGAGCTCGCTTGGTCATGTGTGCAAGTCCTATATGCACCATCCTTCCCCTCCATGATGCTACACGGGAGGGCTCGGAAGGGAGCGGGAGAAACAGGTTAGAAAATGCAATATTGGGCGCCTATAAAACGAGGGACGGTATAGCTGCAATCATCAGAGACCCCCCTCTGAGCCAGAGCTCAAGCATCGCAGAATCACTCGTAGCACCATGGCCAGACTCACCGACCACAAGGTTATCATCTTCGATGTCTACTCGACCATCGTGGTGCGTAGCTGTCGCCTAAAATTCCAGCACACTCTGACGCCATAAAATAGGACTGGTACTCAGCGATTTACGATAACCTCAAGCCCCTGCTCGCACGATATGAGGCGTCTTCCAAGTGGACGCGTCAGGAGGCACTGGACGAGTACGCCGCCATTGAGATTGACACCAAGAAGCGGTACCCGGACAAGCTGTACCATCGCATCTCAGAGATCAGCTACGAAGAGCTCGAGAAAAAGATTCGGAGGCTCGAGGGTAATCAGGCGAACCTGCCCGCGCCGTCGACGGAGGAAGAGCGTCGCGCATTCGGGCGTCATCCAATCCAGGCGGTCCCGTTCCCCGACAGCGTGGATGCGCTGACGCGGCTGGGGAAGCACTTCAAGCTGGCCGTACTGTCGAACATCGACCACGAGAGCTTCGCGCACACGCACCATCGCATTTCCGCGGCGGACGAGTACCCAAACGCGTTGCAGACGTACTCGTACCCTGAGCCCAACCCCAAGAAGTACTGGTACCCGCACACGGTGCCAGGGTCCAAGTCGCCGTTCACGCTGGTCCTGACTGGGCAGGTAAGTGCACACGTACAGATTGTGGCAAGTGCTTGACAAAAATGGCAGGACGTGGGCGCGTACAAGCCTGATCACAAGGGCTTCAACATCGCATTCGACGAGATCGAAAACGATCCTGAATTGTTGGGTGGGAGCGGGCTGAAGGCGAAGGAGCACACGCTGATTGTCGCGAATGGGCTACCGGGCAATATTGCGCCCGCGCCTGAGTTGGGCGTGAAGAGCGTCTTCATTGACCGGAACCATCTCGGAGACGACAAGGCTGCGAGCAAGATTGGTGGGAAAAAGTGGACCTGGAAGTTTGACACGCTGGGAGAGCTGGCGGACGCGGTAGAGGAGGAGGTAGCTAGCAAATGAAGAGCACCTGTTTTGTGGCGGCCGATCCACGTCATTCTCGTCAGGGCGATGGCGCGTCGCGCGTGGCTGACTAAGCCGTTCTTTTCACTCTTCGACTTGGACTTTTGTCAGTCTCCGACCTCCCCGTCACCGTCATCCCCCGCGCCCCCGCTCGCATCGTTCACGGATCCGCCATGTCCGACACCACCGCGACGACAAACATCAGCCACCGCAACGTCGTGCCCTCCGACGTCGGCTGGCAGTTCGTCCCCCAGTACTACACCTTCGTCAACAAGGAGCCCGAGCGCCTCCACTGCTTCTACACGAAAAGATCAACCTTCATCCACGGCACGGAGGGCGAGGACGGCAAGCCGTGTCACGGTCAGCAGGCGAGTACACCACAAAACATGCGGCACGCGTTTGCTAACCCGATCGCGCAGGAAATCCACCAAAAAATCACGTCCATCGGCTTCAAGGACTGCAAGGTTTTCATCCACTCGGTCGATGCGCAGAGCTCGGCGGACGGCGGCATCATCATCCAGGTCATCGGCGAAATGTCAAATCAGGGCGAGCCATGGCGCAAATTCGTCCAGACGTTCTTCCTCGCCGAGCAGCCTAACGGCTACTTCGTTCTCAACGATATCTTCCGCTTCCTGAAGGAAGATACCGTCGAGGGTGACGAGGCCGCTACCGATGCGCAGGAGGAGTATGCCTCCGAATCCGCCGTGCCTGCTGCTCCCGAGGAGCCTGCCAGGCAGCCCACGCCCCCGCCGGCGCGCGAACCCACCCCGCCTCCTCCCCCTCCGGCCCGTGAACCGACCCCGCCGCCTCCTCCTCCGCGTGAGCCGACGCCCCCTCCTCAGCCCGAGCCCTCACCCGCTCCTGCGCCTGCTGCCGCCCCGGAGCCTGAGCCGACGGTGAAAATCCCGACGCCTCAGCCTCCCGCGGCTGCTCCTCCTGCTGCTGCGCCACAAACCAACGGTACGGCGCCCCAGGCTGCCAAACCCGCGGAGAAGCCGGCTGCACCTGCACAAGCACCCGCCGCGCCTGAGCCCGTCAAGCCCGCGCAGCCTCGCACCTGGGCGAACCTCGCCGCCACCAACTCCAAGAAATGGGGCGCGGCTGTCGCCCAGGAGCGCGTCGGCACGTCTGAGGCACCGCCCTCGCCTGCACCGTCGACTCCGCGCACGCCGCCTGTCCAGCGTCCGCCGCCCCAGCAGCAGCAGCAACAGGCTCAGGCGATCAACTCCACCGCGGTCTTCATCAAGGGTGTTACGGAACCCATCTCGCACACCGCGCTCGCCAACCTCTTGAACACCCGGTACGGCAAGACGAAGGAGATTGACATCGTGCGCAACAAGGCTTGCGCCTTCGTCGAGTTCGAGACCGTCGACTCCGCGCGTAAGGCCATCCGCGACTCGGCTACCGGTGGTGGCACTGGCAATGGCACCGGTGTCTACATCGACGTTCCGGGCAGCGAGACCGGCCAGGTGAGCGATTTGTGCCTTAGTATCTTCGCTCTACTGACCTTCTTCCAGCTCCGCATCGTCATCGAGACGAAGAAGGAGCGCGGCGACCGCCCGCCCCCGCAGCCGCATTCGGGCACGCAGCCTGGCGGCCCGGGTCGCGGTCGCGGAGGCTTCCGCGGCGGTGACCGTGGTGGATCCATGCGCGGTCGCGGTGGCCCTCCCCGTGGCGGTCCCCCGAAGTAAGACTGATACTGGATCAGCGTTCTCGTCGGTCCGTGGGCGTGCGTCGACTGGGATGGGTGATGGTCGGCTGCGATCCGCGGGGTTGATACGATGACGAGCCCAAAAAAAATCATCAAAATGTACGAAAAAATCGAAACTGACATTCCTCACTGTCCCTCCGAGTTGCGTTAATCCTCACATCGCTTCTGTCCTCACATCGCGTCTGTCCTTACTTCGCACCTCGCGCGTGTGCTTGTTCTTTTGTTTTCTGTGCTTTCTGGGCGCGTACACACCTTGTGCTTTGCGTTGTCGTCGCTGTTGTTGCTATCATCATATTTCTTGCGGAGGTGTGAGGGTGAGATATGGGGGATGTGGGGATGAGATACGGCTTTGACAATCTACCTTAAGTACCTTCGTTGTAATGGATGCGTCGAGGGGGGCGAGTTGTGAGTGTCGACCTTACGCTGGGTGACGGGCTCTAAAAATCAGTGTGCAGGAATGTGAGTTGAGAACCTTGTCCTTGTGGCGAGTTCTGTGAGAGTCGCTCGGGATGCAGAAGTACCTGCCAAGTTCTGCTGTCTCAGTGTCGTGCTGCCCGAACCTACTCGAATACAACACGTACCCACCCTCCCGTCAATGTTTCCCGCCTATCGGTGCAGGATCGAAGCTCATGCAAGTTACGTTTGGAAGCTAGGGTGCGGGGAGCCGTGGACGTTCTTTTGTTGGTCCTCTACGGACAGGTCACATGAACAGAGGTCTACCTTGCGGTGTGGCAGGTGCGCCACAAATGTTACCTTGTCCATTCGTCCACTGACGGTCACTTGAGCAGCGCACCCGGGCGCCGGCCACCTCACGTGTATTACTCGCGCTAGGTCTCACCTCGCCGTCGGACGCGCGACGGAGCGCCCTTGCTTGGCCAGCGCGCCGCGGACGTGTAGGTTTGATGCCTGCGCGCGGTCATGGGGTGTCGGGTATTGCAGGGTATTGCGCGTCGCCCGTCCGGCGACTCTATTGGCGCGCCCGGCGGCTCTATAGGCGTGGGCGCATCGAGATGGCAAGGAAGCAATCCGTGCGGGGGTGGCGCACCCGGAGGCAGATTTGCGCAGGCGTGCGCGCGAGATCCACGAATCGCGGGGCGCATATACAAGAAGCGCGGGGGCCAGATCCAGGGAGTGCGGGGTGCAGATCGAGGGAGTGCGGAGGCCCGCTCTGTATTATCCTCTGTTGTGCGAGGTTGGGATCTGAGGGTCTGTCTGAGGGGGGCAGGGCTGCGCTTTGACGGTTGGTGGAGGCTAATGCACAGGGGGTAAGCCGCGCGGGGAATGCGCGCTTCCTTGCGGGATGCGATCATTCGATTTGCGAGAATGCTGGGCAGGGGAGGCGGTGAGTTATATAAGGGCTACCGATTGGATGGGCAAGTCGTGTCAGCCAGGAGACCGTCGAACAACTTGCCGACCCCCAGTGGCCGACCCTCATAGGACGGCCTCCGACTACTTTCCAAAGACACCCGACGCACTTCTCGCCTTCATTTTACGCCTTCAAATATGTCTATGGTTCACGATCTCGAGAAGAATCAGTCGTCGACTGAGCATATCGAGGTGGCTCGTCAGCCGCCTGCGATGTACGTGATCTTGACCACCCAGCGTACTTCCTGACTGACAGAATTCCTCCAGGATACCCGCAGCTGCATTGCCCTTGCCGAACCCTTCCATTCTGTGCGTCTACTATTTTCTCTGCACGTTCTTATCGCTCATACATCTTCAGCGGTCTTTGGGCTTTCGCGCTCACCACCTTTGTTTTGTCCTTCTACAACGCCCAAGTGCGCGGAGTCTCGACGCCTAATGTCGTAGTCTCCCTCGCCTTGTTCACCGGCGGCCTCGCACAATTTACCGGAGGCGTCTGGGAATTCGTCGTGCGCAACACGTTTGGTGGCACTGGTGCGTTCTTTCGCAGTATAGCGAGCGACGCGGCGGGCTAACCGGTCTCCGCAGCTTTCGTCATGTACGGCTGCTTCTGGCTGAGCTACGCCATGATTCTGCTCCCCGGGACCGGTATCGCTGCAGCGTACGAAGATCCGGTTATGCTCGCAAATGCGATCGGCTTCTTCCTAACCGGTTGGGCATTGCTGACCTTCATGTTCTTGTGCGTGTTACGTTTTTACTCGGTCCTCGCGACTAACCAACGGCATGACAGTATCGTCGCACTCCGCAAGAATGTTGCCTTGACCGTCGTCTTCGGTTTGCTGTTCACCACCTTCTCCGTGCTCGCGGCCGGTGAATTCAGCCAAGACTTGACGTGCGTCGCTTTTCCCACAAAAGAACATGGAAACACAACTGACAATTTGGCGTTCAGGACTACCAAAGCGGGAGGCTACGTTGGCATTCTGACGGCGCTCGCCGCGTTCTACACCGGCTTCGCGGGCATGCTTGCGGGCGAGACCAACCCGCTCTTTACGCTTCCTGTTGGGCCGCTTTAAGCCGGTCCTCGATTTGAGACAGGCACCCTGTGGATGCGATGATCGTTTACGACCTACTGTACTGTACTATACGAGTGAAAAAGATCGCAAGGTTGACGGTGTATCCTGGTGTGCTGAGATCCGAAAGAGGCAACTTGCGCCAGTTGTGGGTCCACGACATGTCACGCACGCGACATGACGCGACGCGCCTGGCTCTTCCCCTCATGATGTCTCTTCGTCGCGCCTGCGCGCTGTTTGGCACACAACGACTTGCCGTCCGGCGCTCTCGACGTCTATGCATTCCAGGGACAGCTGCTTCCCCATCGAGACCGTCAACGCGGTCTATGTCATCTGCTCGCCTGCTAGAGTCCGAATTCGACCCACCGAAGCGCCGCATACCACCTTCGGTTGCAGTACTGCTTGTCGTTCTCGGTATTTCTGGCGCATATGGAGGGTATGCTCACACCTTTGTCTTACTATACTCCCTGCCTGACTTGCGTGCAGCTGGCGCGTCTATCAGGTTTTGACCCTCTGGCCACCTGAAGTTCGGGGTGACCTTCGCTCTGCTTTACGTGCCAAGCACGATGGCGACCTCGAACTGAGCGAGCAGCACTTCCTACGGTACGTTCGCCCATGATATGTCTACTTGCGCTGAGCCGCGGCAGTCATTAGCGCATGGCAAACGGCTCGTACCCTCCCGCTCGAAGCCTTCGCCGACGACCCCTACCTGAAGCTGACAGGCATCCCAATTGCGCTCTCCGACGTTCTCGAACAGGAGGGCAAGGTCGATGCTGCGTACGAGGTTCTTTCCGAGGCATACACTAGCCTCCAAGAACCCGCTACGCGCGGCGCATTGAGCGGCCCGGAACGCATCCGAGCGGTAGCATTGGCACACAAGCTCGGCGAGCTGGCGGAGACGTTGAAGAGGCCACTTGCGGAGCAGGAGAAGTGGCTGACAGATGCAGTGACTGTCTTGCTGAAGACGGTTTTGCCGGGAAGGAAGGATGAGGATGCGCGCGAGGAACCTCCGTCACTTGCCCAGCTTGAGCTGCCGTGGTGGGTCAGAAAGGACGATGTCGGTGCCCCGCTTGAGGCGCTTGGTGCTTTCTATGCACGGACAGGCAAGGTTGAGTCAGTACATCATCTTTTTATATTGCGCTTGACGAGTATCTGACTCAACGACCAGCTTCGCCATGCCCCTTTACCTGCAGGCCATCTCGGTGTTGATTCCACCTCCACCCAAGAAGGCACCCCCAGCAGACCGATGTCAAGGTACAATAGCCTGCTCTAGCGCTTTTCTTTCTGTTTGCTAACACTACATCTTCAGGCGCTCAGTTGATGACGAACCTTGCCGACCTCATCATCCAGACTGACCCCGAGAAGAATCCTGACAAGCTACATCAAGCGCAAGCCTGGGCGCAGAAGGCGTTGGCTATCGTCGAGGATGCCCGCAAGAGCTCGAAGGAGGAGGAACCATTGTGCGAGATTGCTCTCGCCGTCGTGTTCTTCAACCTCGCTGTGCTGACGCAGGTACGTTACGACCTCTCCGGTCAGTTTCGTCGGAACTGACGGGCGTACAGATCGATGGAAACGTGAAGGACGCGCGCCGGCTGTACACTTATAGCCTGAAGCAGTCGAAGTACGTTGGCATGGACGAGGGGGTGGCAGAAGCCGAGCACGCGCTTCAGAAATTAGATGCGAAGGGCGAATAGATGTCCTGAACATCGCACATACAATACGCAAAGCATATAGGTCATAGCAAATCGGACAACGTGCACTACAGCTCCTCCTGTGCGCTAGACGGCCGCGAGAGCCCAGAGTCTTCCACCTCCTCAATCTTGGCTTCAGCGACCGGCGCGGGGGCAGCTTCCGGCGCGTCGCCCGCAGGGAGGCCGGCCTTCTCCTTGCTCTTCCCCTCCTTGCCCTTCTTCTTGCCGCTCTTCTCACCCTTCTCCTTCTTGCTCTTCTTCTTCTTCGGCAGGTCCCACTCCCAGAGGGGAATGAAAGACTCGACCTGTGACACGCGTTAGGACCCTAACACATGTATGAAGCCTAGATGCGACTTACAAAGCCCACGTCTGCGAATAGCTTGGGGAAGATCCAGATGCCGGGGCTCGCGACAATGATGGTGATGATGTAGAAGATGAGGCGGACGATAGCGATGGCGAAAAAGAGACCCAGCAGGCCGAGCGCGCCCATGCTGAGGTAGTAGACGCCGAGGCGCAGTGAAGGGGGCCACAATGGGAACAGCACACCGCCGAACATGCAGACGACGAGCCCGATGCCCATCAGGTAGTTCATCCACTGCGGGCCGTCGTAGAACCACGCGTAGTATTCGTCCGCCGCGACCATCTGCTCGGGGATGATCTGCAGGGCCTTTGGGGAGGAGGACGACGATCCGGAGGGCGCGCCGCGCTGCACGCGGAGGAAAAAGGCGAACTGGTTGACGCGCTTGAGCACGTCGAGCGCCTCCGCCTCATTTGTCACTTTTGGCACGTTCTTCTGCTTCGCGTACGCGGGTGAGTTGAGGGCCTTGATCGCAGACTTGGCTGCACATCCGTTAGTATCGACGATATGCGCGAAGAACGGGCCACGCACCCTTGAAGTAGTCGAAGCGCTTGCCATTGAGCGTGCCTACGCGCACCTTCACGCCGGCGCTCCCGCTGCGGAGGAACTGCGCGACCTGCTTGATGTCGGCGGGGGCCTTTTGTTGCTGCTGCTCCATCGTTGGTGGAGGAGGAGAAGGTGGAGGAAAAAGGGAAGAGGGAACGGGTGGACGCGCGCTGGCGGCGGTCGGGGACAAAGGACTGCGTGGCGTTACAGGCGCCACGTGGAGGTCATTATCCTCGCACGCGCGGCCGAAAACGTGGTCGGTGGTTCGACTCTGCCTCTTGTCCCAGACTACGATGTGCAAATCTTCAAGGCAGCTCTGACTCTCTAGCTTCAAAGATTTCTAATCGATATATCCTTCTCCCTTTCTTCTCTCTTCATCTCAAGCCTAATCACCCTAGGATCAGCACAATGGCGCCCTCAGCTCTGTCTGCTCAGTTCCTGCCTTCACTCGGGGCGTCAATAGGTAATCAATGATACTAGAGGTTCTCTCTCGTCTGTCTGTGCTTCTAATGTTATTCTGAATGGTATCTTCTAGGCCTCAAACTGCCCAAACTCATCGCTGCCCGCAGCTTCTGAGCTGCGTGCCCCGACCCGTCGCCCTCCACGAAGATCGTCTCGATTGCCGAAAAGGCTCAGACAAGTCACGAACACTCCTCCATATGTTCTCTTGCTATGAGGCTTGAAAGACCTGCATGAAGAAGACTGTTTTCCCAGACATTTCTTCATCCGAGTAACTCTGCGCAGAGAACTGATCATCACTATCTCTTGCATCTCCGCCTGTCCGCATTCAGGACGCACGCTTGCGTCACCACGCTGCCTCTCACAGCTTTCTCAATTATGTCGCCCACGCGCCTGACCGCATACTTTTTTTCAGGGCGCATAAACCTCTCTATGGCGCGTTGCTACAGCGACTTCCCCTCACACCGTGGTCTCCATGTCTCTCCCATCTCCGTCATGGGGCTCATCCGGCCACTCGGCAGTCGTTCAGATCCCCCACCTTGGCCCCGCTCAATTGAAGACAATAGCCCCGTCGCTACATGGACTCTACGGCAACGCTACACGTGCTACCAATGGGATCGGCATTGATGTCGAGGTTTTTGACTCGATATATTCCCGCTGTTCTCCCGCTGGTTCCTCTCTACCCATCTCTCGTCGGGGACATGAGGCGATATTCCCTAATAAAGGTAGCGACTTCTGCTGCGAGTCGTCTAGAGGGAACGTCGCAAACTTACATGTTAGATTGGGGACGTACGAATATCCCCGGCATAGCAACGACCATCTCCTTCGTCGAGGTCAACTGCTGATCAGCCTTATCGTCGTCGTGCGCTTTCAATCAGCTCATGAACTCATCGTCGGCGATCACGACACCGAGGGTACTCCGGGTCTTCATGGACGTGCGAAACATCAACCAAGGACATGGATCGCGCTTTATCGTGAGCGGCGCTGAGCCGGTCAGTGCGCGAGCTGCTGGCCATCCGTCATAGCGCACAGTCAGATCGGTATCGTCTGATAGAGATGAGGACACTGTCGCCACGGAGAGTGTCGCCTAAGCTGATGGAATTCGTCCGTCGGGGTAGCGGCATTGCAATCGTACAATCACTCATTGTTGAAGACGCTTGCGAACAATTGTGGCAAGGATCTGCCTGCACAGCTCGTTCTCTTCCCGTTTGCTGGCGAGGAGGCGGGCACGGACTTTGTTTTGAGCGCGCCGGCCGCCGCGTCGAGGGGCTCACAAGCGGAAGGACCTGTATGGAACAGGCGACCTGATCAGGCAGGTGCGAGCGGACTCAAAGCTCCGCTGCCAAGGTTACCGTCGCCCATCGCCATGGCGATGAAGGCCCGCCATGCGCTTCGCGTGAGAGACCGCCCAATTGCGGCCCTGCGGGTGTGGACGGCAGCGAACGTGGACAAGAGATGTGATCCATCGCGCCGACCCAAGGGAGGGGATAGGTTCTGGGAGGAAACCAGGACTGGCACCGGAATTCATTCTGCCTGGACGAAGATGTAGATTGTGATGGAGGGCCTGTCTCTGTGGGAACCGCCAAAGGGCGTGCCGGAGACTATAAGAAGGCGGGCAGCGCGCGGATAAAAAGGCCGCGCTATTGTTCCTCCTCGTGTTTGCGGCACGGCGTGCTCTGAGTTCTCGACCCGCGCTCATCTTTTCGTCTCCCTCCATCATCCTGAACCTAGACAATCCGCAGTCCAGATCGTCATCTTCCCATGTCAGACCAGAGGCAACAGGCAAGGGCCAAACACGGCCACGCTGCATCGACGGCCGCCCCGGCCCCGCGGAAAGTTCGATTTAATGTTGGTTCGTAACTTTCGACCTACCCTCATCTCGTCTGTCCGATGACCAACAACCCGCGCTTCGCTGTAGGTACCAACTACCAGGTACTCGATGTCGTCGGTGAGGGAGCCTATGGCATTGTCTGCAGCGCCGTGCACCGCGCGAGCGGTCGCAAGGTCGCCATCAAGAAGATCGCGCCCTTCGACCACTCAATGTTCTGCTTGCGCACTCTGCGCGAGCTCAAACTCCTCAAGTTCTTGTCAGAGGCGGGCGTCTGCGAGAACGTGCGTGCTCGTTGCGATGCTTGAGATGGTCGCGCTCACCGGACACGCAGATCATCTCCATCCTCGATATAATCAAGCCGCCCTCAATTGAGCAGTTCAAGGAGGTCTACCGTGCGTGCGCTGCATTCGTGGCCCTTCGCCACTCGCTGACACCCTCCCAGTCATCCAAGAACTCATGGAAACCGACATGCACCGTGTCATCCGCACGCAGGACCTCTCCGACGACCATGCGCAGTACTTCGTGTACCAGACCCTCCGCGCGCTCAAGGCGTTGCATTCCGCCGACGTCATCCACCGCGACCTTAAGCCCTCCAACCTGCTCTTGAATGCCAACTGCGACCTCAAGGTCTGCGACTTTGGCCTCGCACGGTCTGTCAAGACCGCCGAGCCCTCTGGCACGGAGACGGGTTTCATGACGGAATACGTCGCAACACGATGGTACCGCGCGCCAGAAATCATGCTTACCTTCAAGCAGTACACGAAGGTACGCGTATCGCGATGTCCTAATATAAACGCGTGTTAACGTACATCGCGTCAGGCTATTGACATTTGGTCTGTTGGCTGCATCCTTGCCGAGATGCTGTCCGGCAAGCCTCTGTTCCCCGGTCGCGACTACCACCACCAGCTCACGCTCATCCTTGACGTTCTCGGCACACCGACGCTCGACGAGTTCTACGCCATCTCCACCCGCAGATCTCGCGATTACATTCGCGCGCTGCCCTTCAAGAAGAAGCGCTCCTTCGCTACCCTCTTCCCCAACGCCACCCCTCTCGCCGTCGACTTCCTCTCACGAACCCTCACGTTTGATCCGAAGAAGCGCATCACCGTTGAGGAGGCCCTCGAGCACCCATATTTGGAGGCGTACCACGACCCAGAAGACGAGCCCGTCGCACCACCACTAGACCCGGAGTTCTTCGAGTTCGATCGTGAGTGTCAACCCTTGCTTCCTGTAGCATCTGCTGACCCATGCTCCAGTCCACAAGGACGACATAAGTCGTGAGCAGCTCAAGGAGCTCCTGTACGACGAGATCATGTCCTTCAACCCCGCCCCCATCACATAATCAGCGTGCTATCGCGGGATCGTATCGTCAGTCGCCCTCCTGTCTTCTGTGCGATCTCCACTCACCATATGTACTCATTAGATTCTTATACACTTGGGCTTTGCGTTGTCGCCGTCTCCCCCTTTCCCTCTTGGACTTCTCTGCGCGTGCCTCAACCGCCGTGCACCCTCCCCGTCGTTGCGCGACTTTCATGCGCATCGCACGCGCGATTTGATACGCTTCCCCACCCGCACGCTCACATACTCCATATACACACATATCTTCATCTCCTTATTCTTCTCTTCTCGTCGGCCATGTTGCCTGAGCAGGAGGGCGTCGACAGTGTACCCACCTTTCCACCCACGTCGCGTTTGCTTTGCATCTATCGCTATCATCTTCAGACCAAGGATCGCTCAGACAGTTCATTTATGTACCACCAGGCAATGTAGAAAACCCCTCAACCACCTCTGAACTGCGAGAGTCCCAGCGATATCGATGATGGTTGAGGTTTCGGCAAATGCCGAGAAGGTCAGTGGATCGTGGGACTTTCATGGCCTTGTTCTTTGAGATGCAGCAGACGCTCTGCCCGCTGACCTGCACAGTGTGGGGCATCGTCGACGGTCTCGCCGATCTTTCAAGGATGCGAGTTATCCCTGAGATGGCTCTGTTTCACCAACCTGATCCGAGCTCTACAGGTTCCTGGTCAAGTCAAACCCACAGTGTTCACCTTCACGAAGGCAATCGAGCAGTCACAGCAATTTTGGGCACATCGGTTATCCACTGAGCTCTTCGCTCAAGACCTCTGCCTTTCTGCAGCCTTCGGTTCACGTTCTCGTGATTCGCCCCGCCCGGCGCGTCATGATGAAGTTGGTATGAAGTCAAGTCGCGGCCTCGCACTATAAAAGCACTCCGACCACATCCCACGTTCTCTGCACCCGCGAAAGCTTATCACCTAAGCACTGAAGAAGATGCCTACTGCTACTGCAAGCAACGCCTCTCTTCCTGACCTCATCTGCGCGAACGCGCAGGACCTACCCGACCCTCTGACGGACCCCGAGCGGTTCGGCGCGAAGTTCGACACCCTGTGCAGCGGCGCGCGTGTCGTGCTGCTCGGCGAGGCTAGTCATGGAACGTCTGAATTCTATCGCTCTCGCGCAGCAATCACGCAGCGACTTATACAGAATCATGGGTTCAACATCATTGCGGTTGAGGCGGATTGGTAGGCCTTCTCCGAGTTTCTCACGACTTGTGGCCTGACCTGTCGCGCATAGGCCCGACGCCTCGACGATCAATCGTTACGTGAAGCACAAGCGGCCCTCGCAGCCTCCTCCATCGGCGGAGAAGGTCCCCTTCACTCGTTTCCCGACCTGGATGTGGCAAAACGCCGACGTCGCGCGCTTCATCGCATGGCTGCGATCCTACAATGGTAACATCAAGGAGGAAGACCGTGTAGGCTTCTACGGCCTTGACCTCTACAACCTCAACGCGTCCATGCGAAGCGTGCTCGAGTATCTGCAGCGCGTCGACCCCGAGGCGGCCCGCATTGCGCGCTCCCGCTACGGCTGCCTGGCACCTTGGGCAGACGAGCCAGCAGAGTATGGCGCTGCCTCAATGCGCGCAGGATACGCCAAGTGCGAGAAGGGAGTCGTGCAAGTGCAGCGCGATCTACTCGAGCAGCGCCTTGCGGGTGCGGTGGACGAAGACGACGTACTTAATGCGGAAGCGTGCGCACGCTTGGTTACGAACGCCGAGAAGTACTATCGCACCATGTTCTACGGCGGCGAGGAATCGTGGAATCTGCGCGACTCGCATTTCTTCGAGACTCTCCAGTCGGTACTCCGGGCAAAGGGCCCGAACGCGAAGGCGGTCGTTTGGGCGCATAATTCGCATGTCGGCGACGCACGGTATACGGAGATGGGCGCGGAGCGGGGTGAGCTCAACATCGGGCAGCTGTGCCGTGAACACTACGGCGACGCTGTCCGTATCATTGGCTTCGGGACGCACACCGGCACCGTCGTCGCCGCGGACGAGTGGGACGACCCCATGCAGGTGATGCGTGTCAGGCCATCGCGCGAGGACAGCTACGAGCGCGTCTTCCACGAGACGGAGATCCCTCGCTTCTTCGTTGACCTCCGAGGACGGATGGCTGTCACAGACGAGAACGGCGAGGAGGGCGATTGCGCTGCGGCGATGCGACGCCAGCTCATGGCGAAGAGGAGGGAGCGATTCATTGGGGTCATCTATCGACCCAAGACAGAGCTCTGGAGTCACTACTCGTTCGCGGTGCTTCCAAGGCAGTTCGACGCGTATGTCTGGTTCGACACGACGAACGCCGTTCAGCCGATGGATGTGCCGCAAAAGTCAAGCGGTCCAGGAGTGGAGGAGACGTATCCCTTTGGGTATTGAGAAGAAATTGGAGTGTATTATGCCTACTCAAGTAAGCATCGCTACTTGCTGTCAGATACGGTCATTTCCTGAAGTCGTTGGACATCGGTCGGTTCGACAACCTTTGCGCTTCGAGATCAACCCTTCCGCGCTCAGAATTGCCACAGCCTCCCACAATCCCAAGGCGAGAAGACTAAGGATCAGTCAGTAATTACTGACGTATCTGATTCAGTCACTGAATCATCTGGTCTTTCGGGGCGTGGGTTCGAATCCCACTCTCGTCACACTTTTTGGCCAACCGTCCCGCCCGCCGCCACCATCACCTCCGACGGGGGCCGGACTAGCGGCGCTTGCGGGCATCGCTCACCGCGTCCAAGATGGCCATATGCTCGGCGGGATCATCATCGAACGATGCTAGCCTCGTGTTCCCCTGAATTTGCCCCCGAATATGAGCGAATATGGGACACGTGCAAAGCCCAAGCCGGCGTTGACTCAAACGTTGACGAGCATACCGCATGTCCAGGCCCTCGAGGCTGTTGTTCTTCTCCTTTCCGCCGACGTCAACGGCCTCCTCCGCGCTCTGGATTGGATGTCTCAGAAGCCCGCACCGAGGCGCGCCTACAAATACTGAATAATCTAGACGATTTGCCGCCGAACGAAACGGATTGTGTGGCACGCGCTAGGCGCTTGGAAGATCTGGAGGCACGGCTATGCATTCCGTCTCAGACGTGCCGTACACCATATGGGGCCTTCTGACCTATGAGCCGGAGGCCGCGGCCGGTATTTGACAGCCAATTCGGCCAGGGCGCTATAGGCGCCCGCCAGCCCTTTAAAGGCGCGAGCATCGTTCGGTATTTCGCTTGAGTCCTCCTGGTCTCTTTCCCCGCCCCCCTTCCTACCCCCACATAATTTGTCTGCCCCACACACGATTAATCTACTACCCCGTCCTAATCCGCATTATTCACAATGATCTCCTGGGCCATCCTCTCCTCTGCTCTCGCCTTCCTCGCGGTCGCGTCTCCGGTCCCGGAGTCGGACCTGCAGCCTCGCGCTCGCGCGCACGTTTACAGCAGTTGCTCAGTCCCGGACACGGTTGCTCTGACTTTTGTGAGCACCATTCTATTTCCTCTTGCAAGCCCAGGCTCATGATCGACGACAGGATGACGGCCCCTACGATTACATGTTCGTTCGGGAATTCTTCCCCGCCTTGCACCTGTCCTAACCCAATGTTAGTTACGACATCTCCGGCAAGCTCCTCGAGAAGGGCGCCAAGGGCACCTTCTTCTTCAACGGGAACAACTGTGCGTGCCATACTTCTCACTTCCAGCGCTTGCCTGACCATCATCCAGACGAGTGCATCTACTCCGACGAGAACAGTGCGTATCTCCACCGACCGAATTACACTGTGTACTCATCGCTTCCTCAGTTGCTCGCATCCGCTACGTTTACGAGTCGGGTCATCAAGTCGCTTCGCACACCTGGAGCCACCCGCATCTGAACCAGCTTTCATGGGATCAAGTCCACGATGAGATGTGGCGCGTCGAACGTGAGCACACCTTCTGTCGCAGAAGCACGGTAGGTTCTGAATCAATTCAGAGGCCCTGCAGCGGATTGTCGGCGTCACGCCCGCCTTCATGCGTCCTCGTAAGTCGCTTTTATTGATAGTAATCGTTACATCAAAGCTAACGCTCGCTCGCAGCCTACGGTGAATACAACGACAACGTCCGCGAAGTTGCTCGCGCCCGCGGCCAGAGTCTCGCGACCTGGGACTTCGAGTACGTCAACCCGTTCAGCGCGCGTATTCTCTCGCGCTAATCCTCTACCAGTTCCGGCGACTCTGTCGGCGTCTCCGCTAGCGACAGCATCCAGCGCTACCGCGACATCGCCAACCAGCGTCCGAGCAACATCCTGGCCTTGAACCACGAAGTCTACGCATCCACTGTCTGGGAGGTTCTCTCCGAGGCCATCGACATCCTCCAGGCTAAGGGCTACCGCCTCGTCACCCTCGCCGAGTGCCTCGGCAAGGAGCCCTACCAGAATGTCGGCCAGCGCGGCCAGAAGGATGTAAGCATTCACTTGTCTGTCGCTGCACCGTAGCTAACGACCACCGCAGGGTTCCTGGCAGTGCTGAGCGGCCCTTTGGCCAACTGTGGATCCAAGTGCAACCAGGCACATGACCAGTCAGCTGATCATGACGGACTATCGTATTTCGAATTTCTTTACCGCTCCCGGACCGCATCTCCTCACCCCATCATGATACGCTCCGTGGTTCGGCTTTCGCTTTGTACCTCCTCCTTACCGAGGCAGCGACACCCTTACCCTGCTTGGCTTCGGTTCTGCTCGGACGATTAACTCATTGACATTGACATTCTACGCGTACTCAATGTACTTCACGGACACTAATTCGACGCTGAACTTTATTCCATCCCATCCCAATCCTTGGCGCTTTGAATAAGGATCGCAGTGAAACCCCTTCTCCCGCCCCCCACATGAGGTCTTTTCATCTCGTCTCTATCATCATCTTGTCATATCGACGCCCATGGCCATCAGCACGCGCGACAGATCCAGTCCTCCGAACGCGTGGCGCGCCGAACGTCATACAGAGCATATATCAAGCGCTTGCCGGGGGGGACGCTTTTCCCCAAGCTTGCTCTCGACCCTCATCCGCGCGCTCGTGAAGGGACCTCAGCAGCTTTCCGGTTCTCCTTCTCCCTCGACACTACTCGATCGTTTACCTGTGTGTCGTTCCCTCCTTCCCTTACCCTCCCGCTCTTTTGAACTTGGGTATTATCCGCGAAGCATTATCGGTAAAGATGATTGCCTCGACTTTGGTTGTGCTTGCTGCTGCTGCGCTCGGTGTCGCGTCGCCGACGCGGAGGGCTCAGGCGTCCGTGTTTACGCAGTGCAAGAAGGCGAACACGGCGGCGCTTACCTTCGTACGTCCCGTTCGTCGCGTCTGACGCATTCGTGACTGACCAGACGCGTCTAGGATGACGGTCCGTACGAGTATCTGTACGTTGCACGCGTCTTCAGTACCCTCGGGCTCGATGCTCATTGACCTGCAGCTACGACATCTCCGGCAAACTCCTCGAGAAGGGCGCGAAGGGCACGTTCTTCTTCAGTGAGTACACCGACCGCACGCACATCGAACCACTCCTGACAATACTCCCCGCAGACGGAAACAACTGGGGCTGCATCTACGACGAGGCCAACGGTGAGTGACTTGCCTGAATCCATCAGCACTCGTCGTCTGACAGATCTTTCCAGCTGCGCGTGTCAAGTACGTGATGGTCGCATATACGCTTCATCGAGCGCTCGCTCAACGCCCGCAGGTACGCGCACGATGCCGGCCACCAGATCGCAAGCCATACCTGGAGCCACCCGCACCTGAACGACCTTTCGTGGGATCAGCGTATGTCGGCGGTGCTCAGATTCTTTGGACTTCTTGCTCACCATCTCACCTAGTCCACGACGAGATGTACCGCGTCGAGGGTACGCATAACTGCGACGAGTAACCTGCCGCTGTCGCTGATGTTCTGTCACAGATGCATTCCAGAAGATCGCTGGCGTCAAGCCTGCCTTCGTGCGCCCGCGTGCGTCGTCCGGATAATCTCGTTATCTTTACCCGCTGACGCCGCTCTACAGCCTACGGCGAGTACAACGACCAGGTCCGCGAGGTCGCCGGCATGCGCGGTCAGAGCATTGTCACTTGGGACTTCGAGTGCGTACGGATACTCTCTTTCTTGGTTTTTTTGCTCAGCAATCTGTCGTAGTGGCGGTGACGGTGTTGGCGTCTCTGCGGACGACAACAAGGCCCACTATGACCAGATTGCCTCTGAGCATCCCGACACCATCCTCGCGCTCCAGCATGAGGTTTACTGTGCGTGACATTACCTCTGGCATGTTTCCCGATTACTGACATTGGACGTCTAGCGAGCACTGCGTACGACGTCGTCCCCCACGCCATTGACGTCCTCCAGGCCGCCGGCTACGAGCTGGTCACCGTCGCAGAGTGCCTCGGCATGGACGCGTACCAGAGCGAGGGCCAGCCGAGCGAGAGGGACGACTCGTGGCACTGCTAAGCGCTCATAATCCACCCCCTCTGCTCACGCATACCGCTCATCGTCCACGCATACTCATCTCACGAACTTCCTGGATATTGTCACGGTCCCGACGACCTCTGTTATGGTCCCGACGACCCCTAATACCCCTCGGACCTTCACGCGAACGAACTAATTACATCTTGCGGCTACAAGCGACTCGAACAGTAATTTTACACGTACGTGTATCATCGGCCAAGCGAGACTCTTGCCTCGTAGTGTAGTGCTTCGGTCAGCTTGTACGGGTACAGTGCTTGGATTCAGGGTTTAGCTTACAGGCGTCCGTAATGCAGCTAATAGTATACCAACCTCTTGCCTAGCAGGGGTCATGGCTTGTTACGACATTCGGTCGGAACTTGAGTCGGAGTCAAGGGCTTGAGCCTGGACGACTAAACGTCACAAGTTTTGGGTAGAGGTTCTATCTGGATTATGAACAGCTTTGTGCCGCAAGCGAGGGCAAAAAGTGTGACGAGAGTGGGATTCGAACCCACGCCCCGAAAGACCAGATGATTCGGTGAGGAATCAGATGCGTCAGTAGTCACTGACTGATCCTTAGTCTTCTCGCCGTTAGAAGGCCTGGCCAGGAGGCCAATCCGTTCGCAATGTTGCTATTATCCTGCACATCGCAGGTATATGCAGCCCATAAACAAGCTGGCACTCCTCGGAGGATACTCTGGTCATGCTGCCATGTCCTGAAGGTGGGATTTGTCGAATCAGCAGACCAACACTTGCCAACACAAAATCACAATCTTCTTCGACTGCTACCCCACCGGCTGCCATCGGGCCTCCGTAATTTGGCACCAAAGTCCCTGATAACCAGGCAGCCAGGGGCGCGCGCCACTACAGGCAAGGTCGCGGCCGGAGAGCATAGCTCCCCAGAGCGCTTGCTTCCAGCAGGCGAACGGACACATCTCGTCATCGTGCGAGCACCATCACGACAAAGGACACTCGAGAACTGGCAGGCGCACCCCATTCTCCATGTTTGACTCATCCGACGTGTGCGGCCGAATTCCATAGTGCGGCACGGAGGCGACAGAGGGTCTTCAGCGGCGTGGAGAGCGTGCCCGTGTCGTCAATCACCCGATGCATTGAGGCGCGTCTCCCGCTCGCATCTTCGGGGGATGATGACGCTCGGGGGCGTGCGCACGTATATAAGGACGAGGGTGCCCGGCGAACTACTTAGTACTCGTTTACGCCGCCGACACACGACTTCTGGGATTCTTCACCACGCGCTCTTATAAGACACCACACACGATGTTTTCCCGTTCGCGCGCGTCCTCTTCACTACCCTCCATCAGCCTTGGCCATATGAGCCACGACAAGGCGCGCTACCCGTCGGACGCGATGGGAGAGGCCTACAATGGGCCCCAACCTCCGCCGTGTACGCCAGCAGGTACGTACCGAAGTTATGCTTCTTCGCAGAAAGAGCTAGAACTGACTGGACTTGCAGCATACCCCGACCCGATTCAGGCGGTGCCCTTGGGCTCGAGCATCAGCGAGTCGGACCTTCACAACCTGAATGAGAAGCTGGTCAGCCACGTACGTGCTAGCTTCGCGCTCTCTCCGCGTCATGGGTTCTCACGGGCGCCTACAGGTCTCGACGCGCGCAGACAACAGCGGCAGCCCCAATCAGTCCCGCCAAAGCCATTCACCGCGGAGGTGATCACGCTGTCGAACGAACTCTACACGCCGAAAATTGACGTCGCGCTTGCGGCTTCACGATCGTTGGACGACTGTAATATGTACAATAGAGAACACTGGGTCTGCAGCTGAGAATGATTAACTATGGTTCGCTTTACGTCTTTGGACTCGCCTGTTAGTTTCTTCCCCAAATGTCCCGCGAAGGTGCTGGTCACCGGGTCAAGCGTTGTCGTCAATGATAGCCGCACCGTGTGGTAGACTTCATCTCGTCCAGCCGGTCGTTCCGGCAGGCTGGCCTATGGGCCCTTCAAAGTAGGCACTGTACGTCCGCAGAACCGTGAACTGATACGTAGGCGGGGCCGTGCGTTGACTTTGACGTAGCCGCTGCAGATGATCCCCAGACTAGTGGGCCAGCATCGGTGGCGTAGAGGTCCTCGACAAGCGGCCCTGGCACCGGTCGTCACGCTTTGCGATTTTGTATCCCCGCGTGGACTGTCTAGCCCATGATCAGCTGACTCAGTCGAAGTCCTTCGGCAGGCCAGGGCTACATGCGAGGGAAGGAACGAAGGTTTGAAGACAAGCGAGGGCTCCTTTGCGATCGTCCTGACATAGCTACGTTTCGTTCGGGTCGGACAGACCACAGCTAGGGTTTCGAGACGTCTGCATAAAAAGGGCAAGGGACAGAGGATAATAAAACCGGCCCTTCCATTGCTTCGTAAGTCCGAGAGGCATCAGCTGAGAGGAAGCCTGAAAGCAGTGTTAGCAGAGACAATGCACGTAGATGGTGGTGGTAAGAGCCAAGGAGAATAAACAATCGTGGGAATTAGTCACAGGCTCACGTGATTGTTCGACTCCGAGCGGCAGGGGACCGGCGATCCCTCTCACCTGTACCATCATGTCTTCCATCCGTCCAACTCCCGCCATCACTGTGTGCGCAGTAAAGTCGAAGCGATGGACGGTAGTCGACATGTACTAGCGTGGTACTTCGCTCTTTCCATGTGCAAATTTTACCGTCTATCCGACCTCTTTTGCTGGGCTAACTCACTGGTAATGAACTGCTGGACTACGTGCAGCTACTATGGCTGTTCCACGCCTCAAGGCTATCAAAACCGAGGCTACTCGGACTCCCTCGAGCGTGATGAGCCCTTCCACAACTGAACGCTCTCATTGAACGCACTCATCTCCGTCGTATCGACGCGTCTGATGCTATCTATTGTCCATCCGCCAAGGTTGATGCTTCGCATGGGTTCCCTCGGTCACTGGTGGATGATATCGCTACTTATAGACTCACGACTGTAGCGTCGACCTCCTTCTGACCGTCCCTCACGCACCTCGCCATGGCTTCTGGAGCCCCTCCGATGGGGGACTTACCACCAGGACCTCCCCTCAATCCCCTGTTACTGTGAGTTCAGTTCTTCTTGCTTGTCTGGATGAAGTGGGTACTGATCGAAGGTCTTATAGTACCGGCCCAGATGTGCGTGCTCCTGCTCACGACAAAGACATTGCGCTCAAATGCGACACGGAAGTTAATCGGATATCTGTTCAGCTACGCACTGCTCGGGGCACTGGGGGTGCAAACGTGTAAGCTTCGACCTGTGCACTCGTCCGCTGAACCCACGCTGATCATAATACAGATATCTACTACCTACGATACCCAACCGACAGCCGCGTCCTAAAGGCTTATGGCAAGTCCTCTTGTCATTCGAACCTTGGGCTCGCGAAGCTCATGCGTCACTTTGCAGTCCTCGCGGTCTTCGTCGTCGAGCTTCTCACGACGGGCTTGATGACCTACTCGGCGTGGAAAACCTTTGTGTCCGGATGGGGAAACCCTATGGCGTTACTCGAAATACCCTGGTCATCTGCCGCGCTCAACCCTATCGCGGGCTGCCGTTCGTCGGTCTTTCGGCTGTGTTGACATACACTCATGATCTGTCAGTCTTTTCTTCGGTACATCTATTTTATGCGTGGCGGATTCATCGTCTGGGTAGAACATATGTCCTGCCATGGGCGGTCGTATTTGTGAGCGGGCATGTTCTTCTTTGGCACGATATACCCGCTAATGAAGTGGCCTAGTTCTCCCTCGCGCAACTTGGAATATGCTTATATGTCAGCACTGAGGTGCGCTCGGGCTCAGATAATCTACGGCTCGCAATTCACGGTTATTCAGTTCGCCCGGGCCTCCTCCTTGATAGACGTCGACGGCGCGCTGGACCATGTATACATTGTAAGTGCTACATCTCTCTCTCTCTCCCCTTATGTAAGTCAACAGAACGTTCACAGGCATGGCTAAGTACGAGCGCCTTCTGCGACCTCCTGGTCTGTGGCTCGCTCCTACACGTCGTACGTCTCTCCGTCTCTCTTACATGACCCTTTCTCACGTATACTTCGCCCGCTGACACCCACTCTTTCCACAGCTCTTCGGCGCCCAGCGCCAGCTCGCCATGGGTCCGACGCGGCCAATGATCTCGCGCGTCATAACGCTCACGATGGAGACCACGGTGCTCACGACAGTGGCGGCAGCTGTCAGTGCGATTTTGAGCGCTACGTTGCCGCAGACACGGTTTCACTTTATGATGTGCGTCGACTTTTGTTGCGTTTACCTGTTGCGTTGGCTGGTTGTGCGGCGAGTCTCGAGAGTGTATTCTGTATACTGACAAATGTCCGCAGGTTCTTGATGTTGATGAAGATGTAGGTATTCAGACGCCTACTCGGGGCCTTGTCTGTTCTGCTGGCCGATGCATATGTCGGCTACGACTGCTACTTGGGACCTGTCGCACGCCGTTCGCCGTTGCACCTCCACTGACGACACACGCCAGATATTCAAACACCCTTCTCACAACCTTGAATGCCCGAAACCCGCGCAATCGCAAACTTGAGGGTGGCACCGAAGTCGTATTCTGGAGCGACATGCCCTCCTCGCGGACCAGGGTCGGGCCGACGGGCACGAGCGCGACGACATCATTGCCTGCTATGCAGTTTGCAGTGCCGCTGCAAGAGCGACGTAGCGAAGGACGTGACCACCAGGATACGGCGGTCAGTATTCCGTATTGCGCGCTCGTATGGTGTTGTGAGCTCACGACTTGCAGGTCGACGACCTCAGCGTTTGGAAACGCGGCGAAGAATCAGCGTCTGGCCACTGGGAGCCCTGATCATGGCTGTATCGGAATGGACTGCACATCCGGGCCGTAAAAGCGTTTGTATTGTATTGCATTCTGGTGTTTATTGGTCATGAGTGTAGGATATCCATCCAGGTAGTCGTGAGCAGAAAAGAGTCTATGATACAATGGGCGTGATGCGATGCCAGAACATAATGAGACCGGAACGCCGTCGAGCCTGCTACAGCCCCGAATCATCCATCATGCTGTCCGTCCTCTTCCTCCTGGACGACATCTCCGGCGCAGGCTCGAACACCAGGGGCGGGATGCTCTCAGCCAGCCGCGGGCGTTTCTGAACCTCCGGCAACTCAGGGCTGTCGTCGAGCTTCCGCTTGTCCGCGCCACCGAACAGGCTCATTGGCCCAGGCGTGAGCGCAGGGAACGGCGAGCTCTTCGTTGGGCTGGAGAACGGGCTGCTCTTCATCGGGCTGCTGAAGATGCCCTTGATGGGGCTCGGCAGCGGCGTCCGCGACGGGCTGCCGAAGGGGCTCTTCGGAGCGTTCGAGGCGGAGAGCAAGCCTCCCTCCGCGTCGCTACCCGCGAACTTCCGCTCCGGGCTCCCAAACGGCGTCCTCGTCTTCCCCAACGACAACCTCGGGCTCGTGAATCGCGGCGACGCCCGCCTCCTCAGCTCCTCTGCGGCCTCCTCAAACACGCTCCTCATCCCCGCATGCGTCACCTTACCCTCGCCAAATACCACTGCCCTCAACTTCCTCGCACACGGCTTCAGGTCGCGAAAATACGGCGTGAAGTCATCGAGGACGCGCTCAAAGGCGACCTCGCTCCCCATCTGCTCCATCTTCGCTTGCGCGAGCTCGGTGTAGGGCTTGTAGCCGTCCCACGTGTCGAGGATAGTGGAGGCGGTGGGTATGGTGGGGGAGGATGCGGGGCCGGTGCAGGTGATGCAGATGGCGAGGAAGGAGTAGAGGAAGGACTCGAGGTCGTCGGCGGGGCCGTGGGGGGCCGTGTCGCTGTCGTCGGCGAGGACGCGGATGGACATGCCGGGTGGGGTGCCCTGCAAGTGTGGGTTAGTATTCTGTCGGTCAAAGGATAAAGGGACAAGACTGACCGTTCGCATGCCTTTCTGCACGCCCTCGCCATCGGGGCCAATGCGACAGGCCTTCTCGAGGTCGATGAGTAGTCCACGCCGGCGTTCCTTCTTGTGTGGTAGGTGGTCTTGGGACGCACGCGGACGCAGCATGATGTTGGTGATCCAGACATCTTGGTGCAGTATGCCTCTGTCGACGAGCTTCTCATGCGCTGTAGTAACTTCATCAGCCTATACTATCTCACGTTTTTGTAAGTGGCTTACCAGTGATACTGTCACTGAACGCCCCCAGCAGCTCCTCCTTATTCTCGAAATCCTCAAGCTTGGTCGCGAAGGGGTGCAGTACATAACGATTATGCACCCGCGGCGCCTCAAACTTCTCGTCCTCGGGTGGCGTGACGTTCTCGCGCGCGAACCCCGTCGAATCCGGCTTGCCACCGACCTGCACGATCTCCAGCGCTTCTAGTCGTGGAATGCCCTCCACCGCGCCGTCGAGCTCCCGGATGATCTCAACCTCGGTATTCCCAGCGCCCTCGACGACCCAGGTGTCCTTCATGACATACTCAACGCCCTCGCGCTGTACCCGCCTGCACACGGTGCCCGCGCCTCTAATACGTGACGACGCGAACACCGTCTCGAGCACCTGGTACTCCTTCCCCTCGACCGACGCATACATCTGGTCGTCAATCTTGGTACTCAGCGTGTTATCCACGCCCAGGTGCGTCGTGTCGCAGAACAACAGCCCCACGAAGATGCGCACGAAAACCGCGGGGTCGACGCAGGGGAACACGCGCGTCGAAGTGACCGCGCCGGCGTGGTCGACCACAACCAACCGCATCGCGTTCGCGGAGAAGGTGAGCCCGATGACATGCCGCCGCCCGGGCTGGGTCTCGAAGAAGAGATGCCCGGCCTCGAGGGCAGTGAGCAGTGGGGGTATATCCTCGGTCTGTTCGCGCAGCTCGGGGAGGAAATCGTACTCTTCGTCGGCCTCCCTGAGCTCTTCTTCATCGAGGTCGTCTTCCGGGTTCCAGGTGTCTTCTTCCTCTTCGTCAGAGTATTTCTCGCCGTCGTCAGCATCGGCGGTCGCCTCGGCAAGTTCGTCGTCCGAGAGGTAGGCCCTCGTGTCCGACGGTCGTGGGTTCTGCTCCATGTCGAGGGCGGTCGTGGTGGTATAAGCATAGGACAGAACGCCAGGCCAAAGTTTATCTGAGGTGAATTCCTGCACCGGATTCTTGCCTTCCCGCAGTACAAGGTCAGGTAACAAGAACTTGTTGTCCTCCTCGTCGATCTCGTCTTCCTCGTTCGCGGGGACGAACTGAATGGATGTCCATGTCCGGACGGGGAGAGAATCGGTGTCTACGCCGAGCAGCTTGAGCGCTTCGAGTATCCGATCGGTGAAGGCATTCAGCCGCTCAGCCATGTTCTTAGTGATATCGTCCATGTAATGATCGCCATAGATGAGTACTGGAATACGGGTCAGTCAAGTCCCCTATGTGATGCGCCACACAACTCACTGCCAAGTTGATGCCATGGGGGGAGAATGCGATCGAGCACCGAGACGACGTTCTCGCGTGCCTTCGTGCCCAGTCCGCGCTCTTCATCAGGAGGGTCCTCATTCTCTCGCTTCAAGATCTCCTCCAGGGTTTCGTAGATCCGCTCTGCTGGCGCAGGGAGCACATCGTCACCGAACACATGTTCGATGAGGTCCTCGAGGTCGTAATGGGTGCATTCGCCTAGATCACAGTCGAAGCGAAGGTACATGATCAGAGCAAGAGTTTTGGAGCGGGGGACCTCTGCGCCACGCAAGCTAGCACTTGCTTTGTGACGAGAGGATGATGGTGGTCAGCGGTCAAGTCGGTCGCGCAGCGTTGATCGGTTTGTCAACGCGACATGCATGGCCCCTGTGCCCGGCTATCACCGGAGAACAATGAACGCGTCCTTTATTGCTTTGTCCGGGGTGCAGGCCTCGTGTGTCATTGTCAAGGATATATGACCATATAACATACTTTGCATGACTCCCGGAAGCAACTAAAATATGTTCATATGCTCATATATCTCTGCAGAAGGTTGAAAACTAGATTGATGACTCATCGACGCGTCGCGCGTCTGGGAATTGGCGCCCGTTACCACGTGACCGCGTTGCGCTGGACCTCCACAGTGGCGTCAGACGTCAGGCCATGACTTCATGCCCGCATCGCGTCACGACGCGTGGACTTAGCCGCCGTCGGGTATAAAGCTCGGGACGTCGACGACGACGTTCAACTTATCCGCCCATCTACCGCCCACTCCCCAACTTATACAACCATCATCATGTCGTCCAAAGGAGTCACTGGCACGCAGTCCCCGTCCCTCGAGGCTACCGGCGAGCATGTGCCCATGGGTGCATCAAGCGTGAACTCAGTCGGCAAGGACATCCCTGTCGTGAATGACGAGAAGGACCAGCGTGGAGGTGTGTATGTTGAACCTTGGGTTGCGTTCAGATCGCTGACGAGGCTTCGCAGCATACTTCGAGGAGTCCAAGACTGTAAGCATCCCCATACTTGATCGCAAGCATATGTGCATCGCATACGTCCATCTACAACGTCACCTTCAATGCTGGGGTGTGTGCTGACCTTACATGCAGGGCGCCTCCGAGGCTTCCTCCAAGCCCAAACGTCAAATGAAGAGCGAGAGCCTGGCCCAGAAGTTCGAGGATGACCCCAGCGCGAGAAGCCGCCTCGACTGATTGCGCTCTCGTCTGCCAGGTATCGTCAGCATAAACCCAATGTATTTCTAGTCGCATTATCGTATGGACATGCTTATTGCCCACAAACTCTGAATCTTAGCGCATCGAAGGTCAAATGGACGACAATAGTCACGATCGCTCCCTAGACCATTTGAGGTGCAAAGGGATCCCTCAACTCTTGCGCGATAGTCGCCAATCGGGCTGGCTTTCACGTAAGTAGAGCGTGCCGCTAAGTCAAGGCTGTGGACGAAAACACACGCAAACACTGACATCCGTTGTCCAACTTCAACCGTGACTACTGCTTGTCACGTTCTTTCACGACTTGACCCAACCGTCACTGACACCCTCTCCCTCTCTGCGGTCACTCTCCGCGCCGCCTTCTTTCAGCGCCTAGTATGCCACGAACCCAACTTCCGTCTTTCACGCCCGACATCCGCCGCCTTCTAGCCACAGGTATTGCACGGATGTTGCAAGGGTTACCAGAACGACGCATAATTCCTCTTTCACTCCTGCATCGTTCCTCTTGCGCAACTTCATCTCCCGCTCGAAGGGAACCCCTAGGGTGGCAGGTTCCTCAATGAACTTCTCAGCTGACGACGCCTCGGAGGCAAGGACGCGCACTTAGCGCGCCACGCCGTAAGGCCTTTCAGCGCCACTGGTAGCCTCGTGGTGCATGGTATAAGTACCGGAGTGACTCTCCCCCTAGCTCTCCAGAGCCACCGCCTGCTCCATAGTGCACTCCCCTGCACATCTCCTCCATCCATTTCGCTCCTTGCCCAGGTGCGTTCTCCATCAGCTCTCACTCATGTCCTCGTTGCTTATCTATACTTTCCCCACAGCCCGCCACCATGTCTTCCGTCGACGACATAGCCACCCAGTTCGCCGCCCTCGCCGTCAGCTCAGGCTGGCAACAGGGCTCGAGCCGGTACAGGCGGGAGCGCCGCACCTTCATCGCCGACGCCGTTGTCACCGGCTTCCGCACGAACTTTGGAAGTAACGAGGCGGATCTCAGCGCCTGGCGTCGATTGTGCACCACGGTCGGCGTGGGGGGCGCGGAGGCGTTTGGGAGCATTGGGGAGTGTAAGAGGGTGAGTGGGAGCGTGTTCCCTTTTTCGAGGTCGTCGTTCGCTGCCATTGTTACGCTCTATCATGCCGGTGAGAATGTAAGATTAACGCGTCTGACAGGCCCTCAAAGGCACCTTCGTCAACATCGTCGACCTCGTCGACGCGGCCAATGCGGGCAAGACTGTATCCAAAACATTCAAGTCTGCCCAGAAACTGAGGGCGTACTCACGGAAGCCCAAAGAGGAGAAGATATTCCCGAAGAAGCGCGCAAAGAGCAACCCGCTGCTGAAGTTCTTCCTCATTGTCATGTTCTGAGGGACGTGTTCGTCATGCTCTTAAGGGTCGTATCTGATATGCTCTTGAGAGTCGCACTCGTTATGTTCTGAGGGTCGTCTTCAGGTCCTGGAGCTCATCATGACCACGCTCGGCGACTTCGTCGTCCTGCTGGCCCCTTCCATATCATGGTATATATTGTACTGAACCCGTTCTTGATTGAATGTTAATCCGCCACCACTGGCACCTGTACATCTATCCACAACGCCATCCTAAGAACCGGACCTCGTCAGTGTCGATAACCAGCAATGCCGGCCATTGTAAGATCATCTTGGCTATTTGCGCGTGCAGACGCCAGCAAAGATTCCCAGCGCCTCCATACCTCCCAGCGCTTGACTCAGGCGCATTCCCGGCCACCCACACTCCGCGCTTCTAGTCTTCGTGTCCCCTGACCTTGCCGCGGAGGGCATAACGGCACCCGGCAGGCCGAAGCTGAGCAGGCAAGCTTCTCAGACGTGCGCCAGCCGCTCGTACGCGCGTTAGCCATGCCGCTTGCAGCATGCAGCCCATATACTTATACCACGGTGGACGGCGCTTGTCCTCTTCAACGACTTGTCGCGTCGGACGCCCTTTGCGTCGCATCGCGGGGGTTTCCTCATCGGCCTAACCCAGTCGCAAGCAAATTCGTGAGCCTGATTTTCTATGCACTCGATGCTACATGACGCTCACCTTGACTCTTCTCCAATGTAGCCGGCGCCTAATGTCGAACGTCGCCCGCGCCATCGCCGCCCGCTCGTCATCGAGATCGATCACCGCCCGCTTTGCCGAATTTGCGCGTGCGAAGGGCTTGACGAACAAGACAAAGGACGCGGATGAGCGCAAGCGCTACCGGGAAGAGCGCAAAGAGTTCTTCGGCAAGGCGGTGAACGAAGGTTTCGAGAGAAACTTCGGAAAGAACGAGGTGTCTCTGGAGGCATGGCTGGGGTTGTGCAAGACGGTGGGGCTGAAGGACGTGAAGGGCCTTACGGACGTCGAGGCGTGCAAGAAGGTGAGTGGCCATGCGGAAGAGGCTGAATATCATGAGCGCTCATCGTGTCGCTAGGCCCTGAAGGACAGATACGTGAATATTGTGGACCTTGTGGACGCTGCTGAGGCACGCAAAACGTGCACGACCTTCACGTCGGCAGCGAAACTACGTACTTACACAAGGGGAGAGAAAATATACCCCCTGAGAGCAGCGGAGCGCAATCCCCTATTGGAGACGTTTCTCATCAGGCTGACGCCTGAACCGCCCAAAAGCCAACCGGCGAAAAAGACAGCATCGAGCCGTCGGAAGCCTTGAGGGCACACTTGTAGCATATCCCTGTAAATCGTGTAAACATCCTGTACTTCACGCTCGTAAGCATTGTATACGATCTCTCGAGGCCTCACCTTGGAGCATTCGCGCGCGCATGCCAAGGGCATGAGCAGCGCAGAAGCTAGGAGGCCGAAAAAGCGATATTCAGCCCGAAGCGTCAGGCGGCGGTCCGTCCCGATGCTTCATTCAAGAAGTGACGCCGACATCACAGTACAGGAAGGCAGCATTCAAACGACAGAGTGACGCGTCATGAGCAAGATCCGGATCCCATTGACTTCGTATACCGTGGCAGGACCTCGGCGATCCGAGTCGTATTGTGCCCAATGCAGGCAGCAGAGCAGTTGAATCCATCCATAAATTACCTAGGATAAAGATGCGGACAGCGATAGATAGGACGATATAGACGTGAATGCCAGGGGTGGACGGAGCTCCGATCTGCCGCGCGCGGACAACCTCATCGCTACGCGACCGTCTTGCCACTGATGATCTGGAAGGAACGGGATCAGCACCCTTCCGCTCGCTGAGGGTGAGCGACGTACCTCCTTGCCCGTCTTCTGGATCTTCGCATAGACATCCTCGTAGGGGAGGGTGCCCTTGACGATGACCTCCTGCGTGTCGAGGCTGACAGAGTAGTCGTTGACACCTGGCACACCCATCAGCTAGCACTCATTGCCTGAGGGACGCGCCGACGCACCGTTACCCTTCGCCTTCTCGAGGACACGGGTGATCGCGCCTGAGCAGCCGCTGCAGGTCATCTGTAGGGACAACCATGAGCAACATCGCGCTCGGAAGTAACTCGATCGGCAACGCACCTTGACATTGAACTCGTAGGTGTGCTCGGCCTGCCACACCTCCATGAGTACGTGTGCGACGATCTGCACACCTTTCACGCACCATAGCGCTCACAACTCAGACAACGGAAGAGGGGGAAGAGGACAAGTGATGGTAAGGGACAAGAAGCAACTGCTATATCCTGCTCACCAAGCCGCATATCAGGCTCCGGCCCGAGCCCGTAACTACACAACGGCCGACCCTCGCGGCAGAATCGCAACTGGCATGGGTCCCCCCTTGACTGGTCAGAGGGCCATATCGCGAAAGAGTGGCGTCAGCGCGCCTCCATGAATTCACGCATCTTCGTCAGCGACTTACTCAGTTTCTCCCCAGCCTCGAGAAACGCCGCCGTCAGCTATCCCCATCGGGGAGGCCTTGTCGGCGGGCTCACTCGCAGGCACCCCTTGTGAGCAGTGGAGAGAAGCACACACGAAGGGGATGAGATGAAGATGATATTGTACGTCCCTGCCTAGCCTCCCTACACAATGGACACGACACGACACAAAAATGAACAGGGGACCAATAACAATGGGGGATACGATGTGGATTGGCTGATGAATGTACACGGTATGGTATGACATACGACGAGAGGGAGTAAGGAGAGATATAGTCCAGGACAAGGAACGCGGCGAACCTACTACGAGTTCCCCAAGACCGCGGGTACAACGGAGAGCACCGGGGATGGCATTGGTAACAAGCACCGTGGACGTAGAACGAGCAGGCGGGGTCACAACAGGCAAAGGGTCATCACGTCGGTCGTGGCGGGTCGTGCGCATCGTCGAAGGGGCAGGGGAATAATGATATGCGGTCCTGGTCTGTCTCCAGCTGGCTACACGGACGGGCAGCGGTGCAGCGGGCAGTAAGTAGAAGATGAGCCCGCGCAGACACACCCCCAACACAACGGATGACGACCGCGAAGCCCATGTCCCCCACCCGCGCGTCCTCCTCATGTACGACCCGAACGACACCCTTGCCAAACGCCGCCTGCCCAAAGGTGCCAAGCCAAGGAACGGAGGTCGGGGAATACGATTATAGAGAGGAGCAAATATTGACAAGGGACTAGACACCAAGACGAAGACGAAGGACCAGATGCAGGAAGTGGAGCGCGCGCCCTTTAGCCCATCTTGCTGTCCTTCTTCTTCTGCTTGCGCGGCGGCGTTACTGGGCGCCCCATATTCATGCCACCGTATGGGTACTTCGCCTTCTTCTCCGCCGGTTTGAGAATCTGGAGATCGGGTTAGCGCGCGACATTGGCGATGTACCGCAGCAACGTACCTGGAAGGAGCACAGCAAGGTCTCGTCCACACTCATCATCGCACCCGCGTTGTCGAACTCGCCACAATAATTGGGTGCGGAGAAGAGGGTCACGAGATGCCGCTTGGCGAAGAACTCGTAGCCATCCTCGACGACCTACAAGCGCGATCAGTCAGGTGTTCAATGACCCTGGAGAGTGCGCATACCTGATGCGCTCGGCAGATCAGGTCCATGTCGTGCTTTTGCAAGAATCTGGACACGACGTCCGGGCCAAACGTAAAGGACACGCCGCGGTCGTTTTCCGACCAGCCCGTAATGTCCTTGTCGGGATCGGACCATAGCAGATCGCAGAGCAGACCTGAAGGGAGCAGAGGTGAGCACCGGAAGAATACGGCGGCGACGTCATGCCGCTTACCAGTGTCCGGCACGTCCGTCGGCCTCATCACTCTTCGTATCTGCTCCATCGACTGCAAGTCTGGGCTGAGCCCGCCGTGCATCGTGAAGATCTTTTCGTCGATGATGGCAGCGATCGGCAAGCAGTTGAAGCAGTCCGTAAACGTCTTCCACAACTTGATGTTGTACCGGCGCTTGCCTGTAAGGGAAGTTAGTGGCAACCAGCGACAACGGTCAAACACGCACATTCGTCGTAGAACCCGTATATTCTGTTGATACTGGCACACTCGTGGTTTCCGCGCAGGATGAAGAAGTTCTCCGGGTACTTGATCTTGTATGCCAGCAGCAAACAGATCGTCTCCAGCGATTGCTTTCCTCGATCGACGTAGTCACCGAGGAAGAGGTAGTTGGCTTCTGGCGGAAACCCGCCATACTCAAATAGACGTAGCAGGTCGTAGTATTGTCCGTGAATGTCACCTGCAACACCCTATCAGTTCAGCGCGACTATGCGGCGAATGATGACCACGCACCGCAGATTTTTATGGGTGCCTCCAGCTCGAGCAAAATGGGTTGGTTGATGAAAATCTCGCGCGCCTTCGTGCACAGGTACTTGATCTCGTACTCCTGAAGCTGCACGGGCTTCCCGGGACGGTTACCGCGCACTGGGAGAAAAGCAGGCGTCAGCGCCAACTGTCGTACCATACGCTGCTAGAGGCACGGCCAGTCTCCCGGAACGACGAGGACATGGATATCAATCCATCCATTGACGTCCAGCGCGCGAGGCCGGGCGGACGCTTCGCAACAGGAGCTGTTGCCGCGTAATGCAGCGGACAAGGCGCCGCACCACAGGGCCGCAAATCCAACGTTGGCCAGTTTCCCGCCGTCCTTCCCGTCGCGCACCCTCCCAGGTACTTTCTACTTCTTCCCTCTTCGCCGTCCGGCCTGCCACTGTGCTCGTATGCACGCCGACTCACCTTCCAATAGCCGGTCAATGACCGAGTCAAGATCGATCTCCGTCTGCGCGTCTGCCATGGTATTCGTCTACAGCGGTCTCCTGCAGTCGTTCGCGCTCGTGTGTGCCGTTCGGAAGCTCGCGGGCTCGCTGGTGCGTCCGGGAGAAGAAATTTGCAACAGGCCGAGGGGTGGTTCTGGGCTGGGGCCTGGCGCTGGATTTTCAGGAGCTCGGCCGGCGGGCAGCACTGAGGTGGGCGGCGGGGTGAGCGGGAAAGGGCGGTTGGTCGTCGTGCGCGGCGACGGTGAAGGACGGGCTGAGTATCGATGAACGAGGCGGTGAGATAACAGTCCAAGCGAACTCTGCGCGACCTTCCGTTTTCGGACTCCCATCACGGTTCCTGCCACGTGGCCTTGTGGGTCCATCGCTGCGCAGCCCTTCCCCACCCTTCTTCCAATTCTGGCAGACGACATTGGAGTCCTGACTTCATACAGGAAAGTTCCTTGCGATTCTCAGGGACGTCTGACCAGGCATTCAACCATACTGTACAGTATATTAGAGGTAATAACACAGCGCGAAAGGTATGCAGCCCAATTACTGGCAACAGATGATACAACGCGGCAGGTGCAGTCGGCACCATCCCAGTCCACAGGACAGCGCGCTGGACGGAGCACCTTCCACCCAGAGACGAGCCAGTATACACAGCAGAAAGTGATGATAACGGAGTGTGGTTGCGAGGTGAGAAGAGAGCGTAGAGTATCATACAAATCCATCCAAATCTCTAAGCAAGCGGGGGGCTTCGTGGCGGGTTGTTGTTCGTGTTTGCATTCTGATCCCCACCACCTGCCTCCGTATTGCGGCGTGCGCCGCGCCGACGGCGCCGTCTGCAGCTAAAGTTAGCGACTGGTAGCCCTGACAAAAGCGAGTCGCTCACCTTGGGAACAATGGCCCCCTCGGCATAGGCCGCTCATCCAGGTCGAGCGCAATATTTGCAGCCGCCTGCAGCCCCTACGAAACCCGATTAGCCCTCCTTTCAGCCCTCTCAAGCCCGTCCACTCACCTCAATCCACTCCACCACCTCCGAGATATCCTTCGCCTGCAGCAAAAACTGCTCGCCCTCCATGCGCACGCGAATCACATTCTTTCGCTTAAAGTAGTCGTTCCCGAGCCCGCTTTCTGCATGCTGCAGCGTGTACACCTTGATCAGGTCCGATGGCTTGGGGTCCGGGATCGCTTTCGGGTCCTGGCTCCCCGAGCGGAGGCCGGAGAGAAAGCTCGAGCGCCGGGACGAGCGCGTGCTGACGTTGCTTGCCGTGGTCACCGAGGACGAAAGATGCGAAGAGGGTGTCAAATGGGAAGATGGGGACGTGCGCGTCTCGGAGTCAGAGGAGCTGTTGCCGGAGGATCCGACATTGAGCGAGGGACGGGGAGGAGCGCCATTGGGGACGGCCATGTTGGAGACATCGCTTACAGAGCGACCATGCGAACGCGACCTAAGCCTGTTCACCAGGTTTAACCGTGACCGCGTCGCAGCAGGCAGAGTACCCTGCTGAAGGGGAGCCGAGGCAGGCGCAGGCGACACAGGCGTCGTCGTAATGGGTACCGTCAAGCGCGCCGTCTGCGGCCCGGGCCCATTGTCCTCCAACTTGCCCTGCCCCGGCACTGGCGACGCCGCCGTCGGCCCACTCGCCGCATTTCCCGCACCCGTCGTCGACACCGTCCCATTCGCCGTCGCGCCCGGCTGCCCCACCGCGATGTCGCCCACGCCGACCTTGCGCTCCCACCAATCCTCGAGCGTGCCTACGCCCGAGATCTCCTTGGGGCAGTCGTACACTCGGAACATCGTGCCCTCGAGGATGCACATCACGCGCCGCCACTTGCGGTCGCGCGCCTGGACGCCAGGCTTCGAGAACTCCATCTTTCGGGGCATGATGGCTTTGAGGTAGATGTCGTTAGAATAGGCTGGAAGCGGCTCGCGACCTTCGTCTTCTCGGGGTAGTGGACGATGTTGGGGATGAGGGAAGGGGTACGAGGGGTACGGTGGTGGCTCGGAGGACGCGCCGCTGAAAGTTGGCATGGACCGTCGTCGTTTGAGACCAGCAGCGGCAGCTACCTCATACGAGGGTATTGGTGGCGCGGGCGACTTCTTCTCCTCGCCCTGCTGTTTCGACAACACCGGAGAAGTATGTCGCTCCTCTTCCAAGCGCATCTTCTGCCGGCTCTCCCGCTTTCCTGTGCGAGTTTTCCCAGCGGCTGTGGTCGGACGAGGGCCGACCTTGGCTTTCGGCTGGGGAACCACCACCTCGTCGGGCGACGGAGAACGCGGCAGGATGTCAATCATACTACGCGAAGCGTGCTTGTAGATCGTAGGCCGTCCTGTGCCGCCGGGCGTAGGAAGCGGGGGCATGAGCTTCATATTCGGGATGCTAAAAGGCACCTGAGTATCTCGTTGCCTCGGGGTGCGCAGTGGGGATCCAGGAGTCCTCTCGCCCTCAGGTGAAGTGGGGTACGAGAAGTAGTCATTTGCCTGGCTCGCATGCGTTCCGCGCGACGTCGGTGTCTGCATCGACTCGCCGCGCGCACTGCCCGCCCCTGGTGTCACGACCGAGCCAATCTCCGGCAGGACAGGCGGCTGCGTGGACACCTGCGACGTGCGTGCCGACTGCAATGCGGAGTGGAAAGAGTCCGTGGAGCTGCTCGCCTGTTCTCTTTCTGTCTCGTCGTCCTCCTCGTCGCCATCTTCGTCACTTCCGCTCGAGCTGTCATCGCCGTCATTGTCGTTCTCGTGGCTTCCACCCTGCAATGACAGCTGGGGCATGACGCCGCGCAGCGCCTCGGACCGGGCCCGCCGACCGACGGCATCCTCAGGGGGAGACGGCGTTGGTGGGGGTAGCGCGGGCAGCCTGAGAAGGAGAGGTGGCGTACGATAGGAAGTGACAACCGAGGGGGAGAGGCGGGCTGCGCCTGAAGGCGTACGCGCGAATGAGGACGGTATGTTTGCGGTTGCGGCGCGCGGATGCGAACTTCTGAGAGGCACGGAAGCCGCCTGCATATCGGATGCACGCACGTCGGACGGAGGCTGGGCCGATATCTGTGCTGGGAGGGAGTCCAATCTGGGCGGCGTCGCTCGTCGTGATATGGAAGGTGGTAGTGGTGCTGGCGGCAAAGTGTCAGAAGTGGTAGGTAGTCCTGATACCGGTCCATCCGCTGACTTTGAAGTGGGTATTGTGGCAGAGGGCGGATGTCCTTCATGAGATCGTCGTGGTTGTCGTGACTGCGTGTCGATGCTGGTTCGCCCAGAGATAACCTCTTTCATGTGTTTGAGTCGGGGCGTAGGGGACGCTTTTGAGACCGTAATTTGGGGCGCGTCATTCGCAACAGGAGTAGCGTCAGGGCTCGCCGGCGTCTGTGTATCTGGCGATTGTCTCTGCTGATCTGAATTTAGGTCGATGCTGACCCCGCGCCCGCCGACGACTACCCCCGCATGGAGACCCGGTACAAGACCGGTAGATACGGCATGGCGAGTAAGGAGCGACTCTGGGGGGATCGTGCATGGGGATCCGGACCTCGAAGATTCGTTGCCGTCCGCGCTGGAGCCGGCCGCATGAAGATTAAGCATCGGCTGGGACATGTAGGGTTTCGTAGCGTCCTGGGAGGTCATGTACGGGGAGTTGCCGTGCGCGTCCCGTTTCTTGAAAGTGAGAACCCGCGTCGCGATCTTTTGCACGAACTTGCTGGCGCGAAACTGGCGAAGGGAAAGGTGAGCCGAAGGTATGACAGCGGGATGATGACAACGCACCTGAAGATGGGACGGACGCTGGTATGCAAGAACAGACTGCGCACGATGCTGCTCCATGGCGTATGCAAAAACAGCGCGGGCCCTTTGTCGCTGGGTGCGATGACCGCACGACGATCTTCCGCCTTGAGCTGGAGTCTGGAGAACGGTGGGAGATGCGCGCGCGAGCGATCTGACGGCGCGCTCGATGTTCTCGCAGAGTCCAGTGGTATGACGAGACGCAGACGCAGGGAAGAGCTGTGAGAAGATCACGGCAAGAGGCAAGAGACGTTCAGGTGCTCAGGCGATACCCCACATCCACGACCGGCGCGCCTCGGCACCAGAAATAGGTAATTCCTTCCTTTCTCCCTATTCAATCACCCATCACGATCTCCGCTTCGGGTTCGGACGTTCGCGGCAGCCAAAATGGTCTTAGACGTCCGCCGACGCCCTCCGCCCCGACCCGAGCACGTCGAGCGCGTCCTGCCCGTCTTCATCGTGGCTCGTCTGCGCCAAAACACGCGCGAACTACCTGCGGGCACAAATTTCCATTCTCCGTAGCCCCGAAAAACACCGAAAGAGTCAAGACCTTCTATTCCTGTCATCAATGACGTTCACGCATCCCGTGTTCGCAGGAGTCTATGTCGCGCCACACGATTACCTACCTCCCGCGTACGCCTCCCCACGCACCAGAAAATCGTGGGTGCGATCCTCGAGCATCTCATGGATGGATCAGCCAACCTCGGGGGCGAACACCCTTATGTGCGGGGTCTGGGGCCAATGTCAAATACATCGCTTCCCCCACATCCTGCCACCATTCAACAGCTTTCTGAGAAGTACAACGGGGCTGCAACCAGCCAGTCAGCGCCCGCTACGCAGCAGGAGGGCTGTGTCGTGCGGCTCTCACTCCGCTGAGGGAAACATCGATGGTGAGTCAGTACTCCACGCCAAGCTCATCCCTTTGTTCTTCGTTCAAGTTAGTGGGCTGCCTCGGTTGGAGGCGAAGGAATTAGTCTGAGAACTGGCTTGATAGCGGCAGGCTTCATGGCGATCAAATGCGCGAGGACGACGCAAAGACAGGATGAATGTAGACCATGGTAACAGCGGCGCTACGTCCCGCTACTCGTCGTATTCAGGATGTTGATCATAATTCGTTCGTGAACAGGTCGCAGACACCCTCTCTATATTTCAGCTCAGTCCGTACCACAGTATATCTCTCGAATCGATACGAAAGCACACCATAATCCGGCGCTAAGTACGGTACCCGCTCAACCGCGAGAAGCACAAGTTCAACATCACCCATCACTCACACGTGACAAGTTGAACTTCTATCTCGCCTCCTCGAACAAGGATCGGCCCCGATCGGCGCCTTCGCTAGTCGCCTATCCTCGCCTATCGTATCCCAGATCGGAACTTACCCCGCCCCGAACGATCCCTCCTCCGCCCCGAAGCGCACAAAGATGAGGCATAACGACGCCCGCATCCGACTCAGAAGTCTGCACTCGCGCGCGTGACTAGCAGCGTTTACATCTGGAATGGCGGTGGGCGCAGGTGACTGGCAATCGTGGAGACAGGAAAAATTAACAAAGGGAAAGAGAAAATCTTCTAGACCACATCTTCTAGCGCACATCGATATCCTACGGGCATTCCAGACTATCTACGCGGCTGCCGCAACCGGGGTCGAAGTGGCAGGCGGCGGGCCCGCCACGGACTCGGGGACGACCTTGCTGCCGGCCGCTAGCGTCTCTTCCTTTGTTGCTAGCTTTTCCTCTGCCGCGGCTTCGCGCTGCGCCCATACTTGTGCGATCTGTTTGTTCAGTCATCAGCGAAAGGTGAGGGTGTTATAGGGCGAGTACTACTAACGTTGTACTTGTAGATGAAACCGCGCTCCTGCGCTTGCTGCCAGTTCCGCTCGGTGGTCTTCTCGACATAGGCGTCGTCGTCGATGTCAGGGTTCTGCGACTTCACCTGCTCAGTGTTGTTCGCCATTCCGTCGAGGACGCCGTACTACGGACACAATTGGTCAGCACACGAATGCGTATCTTCAACAGAAACTGCGTACCAAGTCTCTGTACCGCGGCGCCCGGACGGAGTCGAACAACTGTAGCGCGTATCCGAGATCGTGGCCGTGAGTTCGTGCGAAGTCGACGGCGTGCTTCAAGGCGTAGGCATCCTCGAAGGCAAAGGCGGCGCCAGAGCCTATACGAGTCAGGCAAGTCGCCAGAGAACTTCCAGGAATGAATGGAGCTCACCGAAGGCCCCAGAAAGTGCTGTGGTATCCCAGTGAGTCGAGATTCAACGCTGCTACGACTGAAATAGCTCACGATGCGATGCATCACCAACCAAAACGATCCGGTCATTGTGGATAATGGACTCGAGCCTAGGGCCGCCGAACATCGCAAACTCCAGCCAGTCGTCGGGCGCGTCAATGACCTCACGAAGCAGCCGGCAGAAATGCTAGACGCGAAAAATCAGCTTCCTCGGCCTCCCCCAACAAATCGCTCGCTCGCACCTGATAGTGATGTACCACCTGCTCCTTCGGCATTGTCTGCCCCCAGCTCACCTTATTCCCATGCTCCTCTGGCTCCTCCGCCCTCGTCGCGATCTCAAACAGCCCGTTATCCAGCACATTCGTGTAGATATAATTCCTCCGCGTGTGCCAGAAGCACGACGCAGGGGGTATATCAGGCAGCAGGTGCGCGACCTTCTCCTGCGGGATAAGCACGCGGTACGCGACCTTGCCGGTGTATTTGAGTTTGTGGGTGGGGAAGGCGTGCTGCCGGACGACGGAGCGGATGCCGTCGGCGCCCACAAGGAGGTCAAAGGGACCGGCGGTAGTTCCATCGGTGAACGTGAGGGTGACGCCGGAGGGGGTCTCGGTGATGGAGGCGAGTTTCTTGGAGAGCTGGATGAGGTCTGGGGGGATTTGGCTGAGTAGGGCGTTCTGCAGCTTATACCTCTCGACGCGGACGGCGGGAGGCTTGTCTGGATCGCCTGTAGAACGCTCAGGGTTGGCAAGCAAGGCAAATTGGGATTTGGACGTACCATTGTGGTAAGCGCGCGATAACAGTGCGCCAGTCCGCCCATTGCTGACGCGCCAGTTAGTTATTGTTCCGCTTTGGAAATGGAAATAGTATGCGATCCTCACCGATGCTCCATCAGTATCTTGCCGTTTGCTCCGCGCTTCACGTATTGCTCGAGCTTGTCCGCGGCGCCAAGATCCTGCAGCAGTCTCCAGGTGTTTTCATTCAAGCTGATTCCCTACGAGCAATCTCATCAATACGACCATTCCCCTCGCCGTCAATGATACTCACTGCCCCTACTTCGCGCAGCTCGCGCGCCTGATCAAACACACTGAGCTCGACGTCCTTCAGCCTCAACAGATGGATCGCCGTAGCAAGGCCGCCCGGTCCAGCGCCGATAATCGCGACTCGGAGAGGCTTGACAGGCAGAGGAGCAGCCATGGGATGTTGATAGGACAGGTGAGAAGGGCTTGCCACTACGTGGACGTACTGCCAGCTGCGTTATCTACCTGACCGCGCTCGGGGCCAGGCGCCGCATTGCGTGCTGATCAAGCTGGGGTTCGACGACTGAATGCGCTACATGGCGCCATAGACGGGGTCGCTGAAGCAATAGGTCAATCGAGTTAGACCGGCGCTAGCTTGTAGCAGGCGGATCTCTTACTGCTCGAGCTCACTAGCGCTACCCTCTGAACCTTGTGGACGTCGTGTACGAGGATGCCTCGGGAGGTGTCATGAGGTTCTTGCTGCGACGGAGTGATATCGAAAGCCCGAGGCGTGTCAGTCGGGCGTGAGGTCCGGTGAGAAAAGGCATCGAGATCATGCAAAAATATGTTACAACAGATAGGGCGTCATTCACATGTGCAATGAATGCTTTGCTTGCGAGGTATCAGTAGATCCTCATCAACAAACAGGAAAAAGACAGAGAGATGTGTCTAGTCGAATTCCCCGCAGCCGACTTGAACGACTGACCTCTTCATAAGATATCCGGAGGACATACTAGTGAAGCGCTCTACCACTGAGCTAGCAGGGATATATCCTAATAATTTTTGCTGCAACTTCGGAATTTGCCTAGCATTCCGCAGGGTGGGGTCGCGAGGGGAAGTACGTAGGCCACTGCTTCATGGATGCCAGCTATGAGATGCACAGCAAAGAGCTCGAATTTCGCCGGCTTGAGCTTGTAAGGGCCTGTTCGGTAACGAAAAACCAAATCTCGATTCCCTAGAACTTGTGGTTAGTGGGCCAACGCTGCGCGTGGCATATGGTGAGTTAGGAAGGTGGACTGTTACATGTGACAGATGATACAGTAGTGGTACTTGTCTATATACCAGTGTGTATGAGGGGAGGGAATGGATTATTACCAAGAAAACATGAAGACAGCTACAAATACTTTGAATCTCGCTCTTACAGCTGGTCAGGGGGGCACGTAAGGAGGAGGGAGGTAAGATGTGACTCACCGCAGCGACGTGCGCGGGTTCGCCTCAGAAGACACGTCCACCGCAGCCACAGAGCGATGCGGAGGAAGGGGAGGGGCGAGGAATATAAATACACTCCACACACTTGTAGGGCACTTGGAGATGGGGACCCAGTACATACACCCGGGGAGGTGGTGGCCCGGGTCAGAGACAAGAAGACGAGAGGCGGGACGTGTTACACTGACAATGAGATGGGTACATATATTATTATTCGCGCCACCCCGACACGCCGCGCGAAGCGCGGCGTCGGGGTGACGCTCAAGCCAGAGCAGGCCACGCGCGAGGTGGTCGCGCTGCCCGACACGGGCGGGGAGCATGATCGGCGTCTGACGTCAGCATGGGAGAATTGGAAGGGACAGGCTGTGTGCAAAGAGATATGAAAGGGTTGTCAAGAATGAAAAGGGAGGTTGTAGAGGGACATAAGGTGACGGAAGCCATCGTAGGGACGGCGTGAGGGGAACAAGGGGCGTGGCGGAAAGAAGGGTCGGCGAATTGTCGGAACGGGCGCGGAGAGGACACGTGGGCGGCCACGTGCCTGCAGGAAAGTAAGTCGTTCTCCAACTTTGGCGGAAGTCGGGGTGTAAAGGATGAGATTAGTCATTATCATTCCTAACTCACCAATTCAAGATTCCGTTTGGATGCCGTCACGTGCACCTGCCTTTCGAGGGCGAACTTCCCACGCCATCAGCAATATCCGCTGCCGCCGAAGTCCACGACAGCGTAGTGATGAATCTGAAGCGCAGAAATTTAGGTATCTCAGAGTAGCCAAAACACAGTCTACTGCCTGTATACATGGTTTGAAGCTCATAAACACGAACACGGGGCATCGACGCACGAAACAACGCGAGATTGTAGTGAATGTGCGACTTGATCTGACCCTAACCCTAATTTACCGGCAGTCGCCGGACGGAATCCTCATTGCCGTATAAGGGAATTGGAATCGTGATTCCGTCGAAATCACGATTGAGATTCCGTTACCGAACAGGCCCTAAGATACGGGTGTTGCAGATACGCCTATCGTCAGGTGACTTAGCGTGACAGTCCCACGGTTCGACTTTTATTCCCACGTTCGACCTCTTTTGCCGCCATGGACAAATCGTCCGCCGCGTATCTTCCCCATCAAAAAGAGGAAACAGGCATTGTATAGAATCATGAAAGGTGTATGTATACCCAGTTTCGTAACAATATACCGTCTATAGTGCTTTGAATTGATCGACGATCCCGGCGGTGCGCCTTCTCAGGCAATCGACTTTTAGGTGGGCTGTCGCTGAGCGTGACGAGAAACCTTCTCAACAAGGGATTGTCCTTTGCCGCCCATAGAAGATACGATTTCTCTTCCTCGTCGATATATTCCTTCAGGGCTTTGTACGACCTGAATGGTGTGCACGTCTTGCCCGCCCGGGATGCGTCAACGAGGTCAACGATGTTGACGTACATGCCCTTCATTAGCTATACGCGGTCAGTATCGATCAGCCTTAGGTCTTACACTCACTTTCTTGCAGGCGGCAACGTCCGACAGCTTCCCTGAGCCGATGTATGCTTTCCCGATACCCATCGTCATGCAGAGCTTCTTCCATGCTTTCAACTGCCTTTCATCGTCTCCAAATTTCTCTCTGAATCCAGCGTTGACCTCCTTTGCTAATGAATGCCTCGCGCTTCTTGCGGTACTCCTCGGCAAGGGCTTCTGTATTCTTGCTGTAGTCTTTCTTCTTGGCGATGACGGCGAAGCGGGCGGTGATGCTGCGGGGCACGTTCGGCATCGGGCGCCAGCTACGCGAAAGGAGAGGTGAGCCTACGATGGTCAATGATCAGAACGACGTACTTACCACCGTTGTTGTTCGTGGTATATCGACGAAGGGTGCCAGAAGCGACACGAGAGCCGCTCCGATGCGACGAGTCGATGTAAAGGTTGGGTGTCGTCAAGACCGCGGTATATATGGTCTGCATGCTGCAGGCGGCATGGCCAACGCGCGTTCGTGCGGCAGGCGTACGTCTGAGAAGCCTACTTGCCCGGTCTTCTGCCTGCCGGCTGTCGTACATCCCTCAGCGAGAAGGCAAGGGGCCGTGGGGGCCAGAAGCAAGGAATGTAGGTGCCAAAGAAGGGCTCGTGAGTTTGTCGCCAAGGTATGGAGACGTGGATGAAGGGAATCATCATACTGGGCCATGTCCTGAATCACCTGCAACAAAGCTGTTGGGCGGTCGGGTCATGGTCGAATGTACAGGGTTCGAATGTTGCATTATAATTCAATCAAGAGCAGGTTTAAGGTGGTAAGTGCCATGATCAGTACACAACGATCAAGAAACGCTGCAGCAGCGGATTCGACTTTGCCTTTTCTTTCGGGAATATCTTCTTTGTCCGCTTGATGTACGCCGCGAGCGCCTGCGACGAACCGAACGTCCGCCGAATCTTCGCCCCGGCTTGCGCGGCATCGACGAGGTCGACGATATTCACGTACACATCTGCCAGCGCCTACAGGACGGAACCCGTGATCAGCCTCACTTATTCCCCGGGAAGGAGCCCAAGCACGACATACCCTCTTACAAGCCTTGATGCTCCGCAAGGCCTCTGCCCCGCCGCCCACGCCGATGGTCTCGCATAGGCTTTGCCAGGCCTGCAGGTCCGCGGTGTTACGCCCGAACTTCGCCAGGAAGCCCGAGTTGACGGCGAAAGCGATGTACGCGCGCCGCTCCTCCTTGTATTTGTCTGACTTTTTCTTCCAACCCTCGGACACGGCGAGGGCTGCGAATTGCGCCGTGATGGAGGCGACGGTGTCGGTCATCCTGCGACGCGGAGAGTAGAAATGCAGCGGCAAGGGGGCATGTAGCGTTGGAGATGGCGATGAGCAAGGGAATATTAGCTTGATGTAAAGCTCGCAGAACGGCAAAGCGTACCTATGCCAGCGGGAGAAGAGGACGAAGGGACGGCGGTAAAGGCAACCTCTGCCAGCGAAGCGGATTCTTATACTAGCCCACTGGCAGCCATTCAGTGGCGTTGCAAGGCGTCAGGCGCTATACTGAAATAGCTCCGTCACCTGAAAGGCCCGCAGAGAAGGCTTATTGAGAGCCCATAGGAGACCGCTGCGCCGCAGGGGAGTGGTCTTTGAGCGGAGGCGGAGATGCGGGAGCGGACGTCGGAGCTGTAAGAGCAGGTATAAGTAGCCTTGCAACATCCGTGAAAGAGGCTAGTGAGTACGTACGCGCCCGGATATCAGTTGGTCCGCGCAGATAGAGTTTTTCCAGAACATGGAAACGCATTATGAGATACGGATCTGCAAGGTGTAGACGATGAACACACGAAATCGTGAATGAGCAGTGTGACAAAGACTTGTCAGTCACAGTTGAGATTGAGATTGAACCACAGACGAACGACGATAATGTTTGCGAGCGTTGATGAGATCAGAGTTGGTGTGCTAAGCATGATCCAACCGAGATCAGTAAGATACAGCAGGACCGACGGACAGAGCATGTCCAGGTGACTCAGGACCAGAATACCGGCCTTGGTACACCAGAGAGTGAGCCTAGAATATGACGACGAAGAGAACTCTAGCAGCGGCTCCTGACCCGCTTTTGATTCTTCGGGAATACCTCCCACCGGTACACCCTCAGCTTCCGACTTACGCTCGAGTTGAAGGTCTCGGAGGCCGTCCTGCTGGCATCAGGCGCGTCGACGAGGTCGACGATGTTGGCGAGGGTGTCTTCAAGAGCCTATGGGATGCGTTAGCCAGCCTCAAAAACACGCACGGACAAACGACGACCAATGACGAGGATACACATCTACTCACCTTTTTGACTCCTTGTTTCTCCCAAACGCTCCCGTGCCCCTCAGGCCAATGGTTGTGCAGTGCCGGCACCAGAAGGTGAGATCCGCCTCGTCGTATGGAAGCCGGCGTTAACAGGCTGACTCGGCGATGAAGGTGCAACGCTCTCGCCTGTACCTGCTCGAGCCCCGATGCCGATCCGAGTTGAGGGAAAGGGTGGCGACTCGGATGACTGCGTCGTCAACCGAAGACATGGTGATGGCTACGGATTGCGAAGAAGGACCGGACGGTAGAGAAAGACGAGGAGATGGGGGGATGAGCAGCGATCATATATGATTGTATGAGATGGACAGCTCACCTAGCAAGCGTGGAGAAGCAGGGGCGGGATGTGCGGGGGACGTGAGTTATGGAGCAAGCGGTGGCTCTTCAGGATAGAGATCAACTTCTGCAGCACTCATGCCACGGAGCACGGGGATGTCGGACGCGCTGAATGGCCTACGGCATGGCGTATTGCTCGTGCGGCCTCGTCCCCGCCAGAGCATCGTTAGCTGAAAGAACCACAGCATACCGCTGCGGGCCAGCGGTAACCTACTATACAAGAGGGAGATGGAAATGCACAAATCAAGGCCGAATGAAAGAAGAGGTACCAGCTGCTGCGACAGTCTCGCGACTTGCATGGAAGGATGGTGGCTAACAATTGTCGGATGCCGGTCCTCGAAGACAGAAGCTGTAGCTCTAGCATGTCAGGCACTTGAAGCGGGAGGAGCGGAGGAATAGCAGAAGCAAGGGGCGATGCCTGGATGAGGTATGCCAAAGTTCGCTTGTGTATAGCTTTGTGAGGGTCCATCGCGGTAGTGCGATGCTTGCGCGGAGCCAACAGACCGGGGTCCATCGCGCTGTAGTAAGAGTCCAGGTAGTCTTGTGATGGCTTGAACTGGCTAGCGAATACTTTCAATTGAGCAACAAATATGGGGCATGAGGGACGCAACGAGGATTCAATGACTCATATAGCAATCCTCGATGGGCCCATGAGATACTATTGGACATGGGAGAAAAGACATTCTATCGACGTACATGGGAATTATGTGTAAACCTTGATCAGAAATTTACGCAAGAACGGGTTTGCGATGGCGGCGCCGAGAGGATAGGTCATTCCGGCCTGCTTCGTAAACGCCCTAAGGCTTTCCTCGTCCTGAAACTTGTGCGCTACCGTCTCCCCGGCCTCGGCTGCGTCCACAAGCTCGACAATGTTGATGTAGATTCCCTTCAGCGCCTGAGAACCGCGACTGAGCTGAGCCTTGTCAAGGTGCATAGGCGACAACCACACTCACTGCTTTGCACTCCTTGATGTCAAACATGTCCTGAGCGCCTTCGACGCCAATTGTTACGCAGAGACTGTGCCAGGCGACAGGGTCGCCCATGTTCTTACCGAAGTGGGCAAGGAAACCGGCGTTGACGGCGTCTCCGATGAACTGGCGACGCTCCGCCCTGTATTCCTTGGTATCGGGAGTCAGGCCGTGCTGCCTGGCGTATCTTGTCCAGCGAGATAGGATACCCTGCGCCATGAGAGCCGTAAGAGACTGTGATGCGCGTGTCTGGACGACAGGTTAGCGCACTGCAAGATTAAAGAAAAAATATTGTTCTAATCACCTCTGCAGGTTGGAGAGCGACGCTCTCAGAGTGTAAAGGCCCATCTTTCGTGAGCTTCGCATTGATATAGCTCGGAAGACGGGCATGGTGTGTACATGGCGCGTCATCCCGGCAGGGGTTGCTGTCCTAGGATTTAGAAGCCCTGCGTGTATGTCATGTGCGGCCCTTGATCTTGTGCAGGTCCCTTACCTGGCGCAAAGCAATAGAAACGGTTCCACGCAATGGAGTGAGCGTCATCGAGGTTGGCCTTCGTGCGTTCGAGAGCCAGTCTGAGCTCGACAGGCTGGAAGAACAGTTCTGAGGACCAGATGAGGCAAGCCCCAATGCGAGCTTCATTCATAGTCGTGATGCAAAGTCAAGTCAACAATTGCTGTGCGCGTAGGAAACGCAAGTGCATGCAGGGCACATACGGTACGGAACGAAAGCCATGGTCATCGTTCAAGTTGAACAACCAATCAACACGCCCGGAAAACACCGAACGCCCTCCCTTCGTCACAATTCACGCTCGTCGGGTCACGTCACACGCCCGCTTCCTGCATTCACCATGGCCTCCTCGACGACGGCCTCGGAGGCTGAGATGAAGGCTGCCAAGCTCCCTCTCGGGTGGAGGGATCAGTGCTCGGCGTGCGTGGCTGTTTCCCTAGTGCTGAACAGCGTGACTGACGGAATTTGTTTGCTTGTGCGCTTTCCTCGTCCATCCTCGGAATTGCTTGGTCTTCCCTCCCTTGCTCTACTCCGACCCTACTCGCGCCATTCGGATCTACGATGTTATTTGTAACGATACGCGAACACGTACAATGTGCTCCGAACAGCCTGCTCATCCCGCTCAACGTATGCCGGAAGAAATCGTTCTACCTCCCCTGGGAGTGCGAGCACGAAAGACATTCATACGAGAAGTGCGTATCATACTCACAGGCCCGAGGCCCATGGACTGATGAACGTATTCCCTACACTAGGTGCCAATACGACGAGTAAGTTCCCGCGCGTCGACCATGCTGGCCGACCAGTGTTGACCTCCTACCCTTCAGCTACATGCGCCGGATGAAGGCACTTGCGAAGAAGCGGCTAGAGCAGACAGAAGAGGAGGAATAGATTGTACTGGCCGTCCTACCCTGCAATGCTCCATTCGTTCGATCATCTTCCTCCTGTTCAGCACACCCAACACAATTCGCTCGAAGACGCAAAACATAGCAAATCAGTCGTTCACCGAGTTCTCTCATCTATTGGAGTTGTGATTACACTGGCGGAACGTCCGTTGCTGCACGAAGCCCCACGCGCTTCCTGACTTCCACTCGACGACGACAGTCTAGAGTGCCTCTTGCCTCATGACCGTGCCAATTGCCCTACTCAGTCGTCAGCTAGGGCGCCCGTCCAGACACGCCGGTCGACGTACAAACGTAGGCGTTCTTCAACGACAGGAATTCGTGGTGAAGATACGCCATCCAGTCCTCCTCCGCCACCCGCGAGGCGGTTATTCGTGCGTCCACATGGCGCTCTTGTATCTTCGCAGTGATGGTACCCAGCAATCCAAAAGCGCGCTCCTGTGGTCCGCAGATCTCGAAACGCATGCTCTCTAGCGTCTGCGAAGCCGACACGCAGGGAAGTTGGTCGACCAAGATATCAGACACCGACGCAAGCGGATGCGCCTGCAATATCCGGCGGAACTCGCGCATATGCGGGTAGGTGACAATCTCCTTGACCTCGTCGTCGCGCATGAAGGATAGCGCACTTGTGAAGCTCTCGATGTGGGGGCAATGGTTCAGATTCCTGAGGATGAACGGCCCGTGAACTGGTCCCATTGCGAGGCGCTTGACTGAGGAGGGGATGACATTCTCGAGGCGAAACCACTCGTTCTGGTCTAGGTTGATGAGGTAGAGGCTCTCGACGTTCGTGCAGGAGTAGAGTATGCGGTGGATGATGGTGAGCGGCCACGCATTGGAGCCGTAAAAGAGGGAAGAGTCGCTTGTGTTCGCCTGCGGCCCTAACCAGAGATTGCGCACGAGGCGGAGTCGGTGCATGTGGGGTTCTTGAAGGGTATCGTGGGCGACGAAGAATGAGACGATCTGGGCGTGGCTGGAGAGGGAAATCGTATTGTATAGAAGGGGGAGGACCCAATCGTGCGCGGTGTGGCAGACGAGGAGCAGACATAGGTTCGTGTGGAGATCCTCGCTGGCCAGCGTGAATACTGTAGGCCAGGCTGTTCAGCCTTTGCGAAATGTGCCATGGTTATCGTGACGCACTCTGCCCCCGCTCGGTCAGCGGATGCTTCTCGTCTAGGTGAATGCACGACGCACCTTATACAGCAGTTCTGGGGGTAGCACATTGGGTAGAGCGGGCTCCATCGCCTCAGAAGCACTGCCGGGACAGACGGGGGAGGAGGAGAGGATGACGGTTCGGACGAAGAGGCGGCTCAATGCGTCACTGCCGAATTCGGTCAGGCCCATTGTACTTCTTGTCCTCAAACTCCACCAAGAGATGCTCCAAATATGCCGTGCGGAGGACGGCCAGACATTTCAGGTGCTTAGCTATGCTCCTCTGTATAGCGCTATGTAGTAAACCTTTACAGGTGCAGGCGGGTGTAAGAGATATTGAACGGCGAGTGCACGGCTTACCGAGTAGCTCGAGGGCGAAGTTGACGGTCCTGCAGGCTAGGGAGTCTGGAACTCTTCTTGCAGCAAGAGACGGGCGTGGAACAGGATGCGGTGCTTGCATATCTCACGGATGGAACACGCCTGATGAACGCGAATATACGTGAATTAGCGGGCGCTAACGACCAGGTACGTTCTCCGTGCTTTTCTACCCTGCCTCGTACTCACGCATCAAAGACGATATTCGTGTTCAACAAGTACTATCTGGTATACGAGCTGAAGGAGGTCCTACGCGGATTGCATGTCGAGCCGCCGCTGCAACCACCGATCGAAGGTGTGTGTGGCTCAATCATGTTACTCGCGGAGATAGTGCTCACCTGCCGAAGACACCATCATCGCTGCGACACCCCCCTTCCGTACCAGCCAGCTCGCAGAAAGCTACTTGCAAACCGGCCACGCGCACGTCGAGCAAGTTCGCGCCATCGTTGCCTCAATACATACCCAGCACGACGCCACCCGAATCGCGTCCTCCAACCTCGACCGCAACTTGTTGCAGATCACGAATGCGTTCGAGGGCGTGGCAGCGGTCGCTCGCCGCGAGCTCTCACGTCAGGCGGCGCTCTTGGACGGACTGCAAGCGGACCTCGACCTCATTGCGCGCGTGCGGATACACCTCGAGTTCGTGTCGACTGGGATGCGCAAGGCGATCACGGAGGGGGAGAAGCCGAGGACGTTGGGTGACTATGTGTCGAACGTGAAGATGCGCCAGGTTGCGGACACGTGCGCGCGTACGCACAACGAGCTGCAGGAGAAGTTCGCAGGTGTGGAGAGTGACATCGCAGAACTGCGGGCAGGCGCGGACGCAGTTCGAGCGTTGGCTAATGAGACCGAGTAGGCGTTGTTCATCGTGAATTCGTCTACGTGCTGACAGACATCAGGGTCTCCACCGAGGCGGAAGCTTGTTTCCAGCGCGCAAAGGAACTGTACGAGAAGATCACCGATTGTGCTGGGTCGCTCGAGCGTCCTGGGACGGACTCCGATGGCATACTGCAAGGTAGATCAATGCCTCATGCCACCCCATACTGTATCTGAACTCTGCAGAGCACAAGCAACTTGACTTCGCCATGCGGCACGAAGTGGAGACAATTGCTGACCTCAAGGTAGGTTTCCGCTTTCTGCCACAGTTCTTCATCAAACTAATGTACTACCAGAACAAATCTACCGCTCACTGCATCGACGCTCTTCGACGGATAGGCGCCGTGAACAATGACCTCGTCAAAACCCCACAGAAGCTTAGGTATATATGGGCCTTCAACAGGCAGCGTGCTGTTTCTAACTCCCATCCGCAGCGAGCTGCAAACCAGTTTACGCGCCAAGAACAGCTTTTCGCACATTCAGCGATTGCATAGCATGCTTTATGCCTATGGTGCCACGGTCATTGAAATCGTTCGCAGGAAAGAGTTTGGTTAGTGATTCTCGTTCTCCCTAAGGAAGTTTTGTTCTGATCTATCTTGTAGCTCGTTTCTTCTATCAGCGCGCGCAGAGCATATTAGAGGTCATGGCCAAGCTCTCGTGCGTCTTTGCTATATGTATAAATGGCGATTGTGCTCATCCGGTATGACAGCTCGAGCGAGCGCAAGCGTCGACAAGCGTACCGCAGCGAGGTCCATGGACAATTGCCCTTTTCACTCAAGGGAATGGACGACCCGGTACCTAGTATCGACTTCTCACCTTCAGGAAGCACGGAATCGGTATACTCACTCGAGCGAGAAGACGTTGAAGGTATGTAAATCACCTAGTGTGCGCTCTTGTAGTGACTGAGTCTACGACAATAGGTCTATTCGCCGTCTTGGAGGACCTTGAGCACTATTCGCGCAACAGCAACGATGGCAAGGCTCTCGAAGCCGTTCAGCAGTGCCGAGCTGACCTTGATAAGCTCGTGGCGAAGATGGATGGACTGGAGTCTGGGTTCGACCGGATTGCGGAGCGGTCTCGTGGGTGCATTTGACTACAGTATCAGGACGCAAGCTGATGACCATTATCTAGTGCTTTCGGCATCCAGATTATCGTTGTCCAGAAAGCAATGTAAGTCAAGGTATCCTAGTCTTCCGTCGACCTCACCAACATCTCTTAGCTGCCACCGTCGACGAGCACGCGTATCAAGAGCTTGCAGAACAGCTTCGCTTGCAACAAGAGGCACAAGCACAAAGGGACGAAGAGCATCGCCAGGAACGCGAGCGCCTACAAGCCGAGCTACAACAGACCAAACGTGATCTTCGCGATGCAGAGGAGTCATACGCCAGCGAGCGCGAACGCGCTGACGAGCTCGAGCGGCAGCTCTTCCAAGCTCGCGCGGAGGCCGACAGCGAAATTGCTGCAAGGCAGATGCTGGAGCAGCGGAATGCCGAGCTGAGGGCGGATGCGGAGAAGCATGCTGAAGAGCTGTCTCGCGCGTTAGGCGAAGCAACAGCCCAAAGCAGAGCCGCTGAAGCTCTCAAGCAGGAGCTTGCGCATGCGAACGCTGCGTACGCCGAGATGCGTGCCCTCGAGGCACGGACCTCGGAGCGGCTGGCGCAGGTCACGGATGAGCAGTCGACGATGCTGGCGAACCTCGAGGCGTCGCGCGAGCGCGGGGAGGACCTGGAGGCGCAGATTCGCGAGGCGCGTATGGAGAATGGCGACATCCATCGTGCGCTTGAGGACGCCCAGCGGGAGAAAGACCGCTTGCTGCGCTCGCAGGCTAGTGAGCATGACCGGTTCATCAAGGACCAGCGCGCAGAGGCGGACGGCGATCGTGCGGTGTGGGAGCGCGAGCTGCACGAGCTACAGAATAGCTATCGCCAGTTGGACCGCCATGTGAAGGACCTGCAGTCTGCGCTGGATGTCTCGAGATCGGACGCGACGGAACTGCGCGCAACGCTGCAGCGTACGGAGAAGGCTCTGAGGTTGACAGAGCACGAGCTGCGGCAGACCAAGATCAGCGAGGCGACTCTGCGTGATACTTTGCAGTCCGGCAAGTCGTCGCAGCATGGCGTCGAGCAGGAGCTAGAGGAAAAGGCGCGGCTAGTGGCCCAGTTGCTGGATGTCGCACTTGCCTTCCGCTCGGCGCACTTGAAGGCCCTTGCTGCGGCGCAGAAGATGACGGCGCACCCGCATTCGTCCAAGGGCGCTGATGGGCTTGCCGAGTCCGCATTCTCGCCGCCCCTGCGCCACAGCATAATTGGCCAGCCAGAGGAGCCCTCACCCATCGATCCATCTGATCCCGCTGCCGCTCTGGAGGTTCTTCGGGCGTTCGACCACGACCATTTCCTGGAGGCCATTCAGAAGATGGGGTCGACCATCCGAAAATGGCAAAAGCAGTGTAAGGAGTACCGAGAAAGGGCGAAAGGCAAGATCTCGTTCAGGAACTTCGCGAAGAACGATCTCGCGCTGTTCCTTCCGACGAGGAACTCCGTGTCGAAGCCGTGGGCTGCTTTCAATGGTGCGTGCGTCTTCTGTGGCGGTTGGCATGTCGAGGAGAACCATGTAGTGGAGAAACATCGGACTGAGGCGTCGTTGGCAGTTTCGTTCCCGCACTACTTCCTGCATGCCACGGGACAGCTCGCGCAACAGCTGCAGTCTCGGGAATGGATTGTCGCCCGAATCACGTCCATAACAGAGAGGGTCGTGGACCATGCCGTATGTCCTTTGGATTGATGCTTGCTCATGGACTGTACCTGATGAAATTATACAGGATCCGACAAGCAACCCCTACGGCTTGGGGGACGGTGTGAAGTACTACATGCTCGAGGTCGAGGACTGGACACAGCAGACCAAGCGTCGCGTCTCAGCCAAAAATCCCTTGGCAAAGAGCAAGCCGCAGGAAATCCAGAGCGTGTCGGACGGGGCGGTCCTTCCTTCAGGCCCCCCAGAGCCAGAAGTCGAAGATACGTTTTGTGTGACGCAATCTCCGAACTCGCAATTATTCCCAACGCGCCAGCGGACGAACTCGAACCCGACAAGCCGTCCGTCTTCATTATCCCGACTACTCGCCCAGGCCTCGGAGACGCCTGTGGTAGCATCTCCGGAGGCGCAGACGCCTATCATTGGCTCGCCACCACAGCCAATTGAGGACAATGCCATGATGGCGAGAAGCGTGTCTCCGGCAAGAAGCCCCTCACCCGCGAGAACGGCGTCTATAGCAAGAAGTCCTTCTCCAGCCAAACCTCCATCTCCGACCAAGGCGAACTCATCACCGATAAAGTCGCCACCACCATCGTCGCCCTCTGCGCATATTGGCTCGCTGCCGAAGCATATGTCCTCGCAGGCTTCCCCCATGCGACCGGGCTCTCGCGCATCGCGGTTGTCAAGTGCCTCTAAGTTCTCTAATCCCCGCCTTCCTACTTTCGGCTCGCCATCGTCGGGCGCTAGCGTCTCCAAGGCGGCGCCGACGACTGCCCTTACGGAAAGTGCGCCCGTCGCCTCATCTCCTTCCCCCAGCCAATCCACTCCTTCACCAGACGAGGGTGACTTCGAGGGCATATCGAATGTCGTTGCACAGCAGCGGCGGCGGACGATGTCGTACCATGCGCCCCGAAACTCGCCTCTCTCCATCAGCACTTCGTCCGAAGCCACGAGCACCAGTACGGCGACCGCAGCGCGAGCGTCGCGGCCAACTGTTTCCGCCAGGGGGACGCTCCTCAACCTCGCTGATAGTTGGGGCATGTCCTGGGGCCGCAAGAAGAAGGTCGAGGAGCCGCCGAGGGCGCCACCACCAATTCAGGAGGTTGCGTCGTCCTCGAGCTCGAGTTCCGTTGACCAGCCCAAGGCAGCGGACCTTCTGAAAAAGCTCTAGGCTATCTCTTGTGCTCGGTGAGATCTATCCATAGTTATTCGCTCATTATCTGCTCTGTATTCTGCATGGATCTTTTTCTTGGATTTCTCTGTCATACTATATCATTGCAGTCAATGACATCTAATGCCACATCGTCGTATTGCCCACCGCAGACCTTGCCCACTCAAGAGAGGGAAACTCCTTCAAGCTCCATGGTCCTTTGTTCTCGTGTCTCGCCCACCGCCTGCTCCGGTCCGGCCGTCTCCGCCAGCGCCTCCTGTGAATAGTTCCGCTCGTATGCGGGGAAATCTCGGCGGCCTGTTTTACAAAAAATCGTGCACTTGTCCTGTCTTCGCCTTGGCGGACGCGGGGGCGCCTGAGGCAGGCCTGGGTTCAGGCAGAAATATTCGACAATCGCATCGGCGATCGCAGTGATGGCGTGCCATGGGCAGGTCCAGGTTTTCCCCAGGGGGCGCGGGGATGGTGTGCGGGGCAGGATCAACCGTTACTGCCTCCGCGATTCGCGCCCGTAGCCTCTCTGAGCTCCTCCAAAATACCGCTCCTTAGCGTGTGCCTAGGCAAAGAGATGCAGAGCTGCGTGGCATCGGCCTTGGCTTCGGGCTGGCATGACGGGGTAGCAGAACGCGTCGACGAGTGACCCCTTACAAGGTGCGAAGCGCGTTCTCTTCATCCTCTTCAGGGTCTTACACGTATACTTGAAAGGTATCATTTTGTTTAATTCAGTCTCGATCACCTTCCACCTGCATAGAGTTGCGGTGGCTCAATTGCCGGTAACCAGTTAGCACGACTCCGTAGACGCCCGCGTGACCCTGCCGTCAGGTCGACCGGACCAGGAGCGTCCAAACGCCATTTCAAAGGGTTGCATCCATCCAGACGCGGTGTACCTTAGGAGATTCGGTGATGCTAGCCAAGGTCACCTGCCCCGCGGGACGCGTTTACGGCCTCCGGACATCTCGTTTATAAAGTCTCCGGGGCTGATAGCTGGGAACCATCCAACACTTCCCCCACATACGCAAACACAATGGGTGCTGGAGCGGCTGTCGCAGGTGTCTCCAGCTCGGGCTTTGCCCACCTCATCGACCCCAACAAAAAATGGTGGAACAATCGTCGGTGAGTGCTACGTCCGCCTGCTGGTTATCTGATACTGACTCCGTCGCAGACTCTTCAACTTGACGATTTTGACCGTCTTATTGCTCATCACTTCGTCTACCAATGGCTATGACGGTAGTGTTATGAACGCCTTCCAGTCAGTGGACCAATGGAAGGAGTACTTTGGTCACCCGCAAGGATCTCGGCTCGGTTTGTTGAACGCCATCCAGGTGTGTAGAGCGGTCTTCTAGCTCTCCGAGTCAGGCTAACGTCCCCTTCAGAATATCGGCAACTTGTGCGCATACCCCTTCGCGCCCTACCTATCCGATGGCTTGGGTCGCCGGCCAGCCATCCTCATTGGCGCCATTATCATGTGCGGCGGGGCGGCCCTCCAAACCGCCTCCACTTCCATCGGCATGTTTATTGGCTCTCGGTATGGACGTTTCTCGACGCGCTAGCAGCCCTAGCTTATCTGCTTTTGCAGCTTCATGATTGGCTTCGGCCTCACATTCGCCGCCAACGCTGCACCCCTCCTCATCACCGAGATCTCCTACCCCGCCTACCGTGCGCCGTTGACCTCCGCCTACAACGCGCTCTGGTATATTGGCTCCATCGTGTACGTCCTGCTCGCTACTGCGTTCATGCACGCCGCTTATCCTCCGCCAGTGCTGCATGGGCCACCTACGGTACCTTCAAGATCGCCAACAACTGGTCGTGGCGTATCCCCAGTGTAATCCAGGCTGCCCCGTCTGTCCTCCAAATCATGTTCATCTGGTTCGTGCCGGAGTCGCCTCGATTCCTCATGAGCAAGGGCAAGAACGAGGAGGCGTTGAAGGTCTTGGCGCACTACCACGCTGACGGCAATGTGTATGTCTTCTTCCCCTTCCGTCCTGCGGGGGAGTTCACTGACGACATGGCTTTAGTGACGACCCCTTGGTCCGTTATGAGTACGAGGAGATCAAAGCCGCCCTCGAGTTCGACCAGACCGTCGCTGCCAACGTTGGCTGGAAGGCCTTGGCCACCACCCCTGGCAACAGGAAGCGCATGCGGATTATCATCGCCCTCGCCTTCTTCTCGCAGTGGTCCGGCAACGGTCTCGTCTCCTACTATCTCAATGCCGTCTTCAGTGCGTCCTGCCGTTCACCTGTGACGCTACCCATCCTGACAATTGACCAAAGACTCTATCGGCATCACCGACGCCACGACGCAGCTGCTCATCAACGGCATCCTGCAGATCTGGAATCAGTTCTGGGCACTAGGCGCTGGCTTGCTCGTCAACCGCATCGGTCGGAGAACACTTTTCCTCTGGTCGACCGTCGGCATGTTCATCTTCTTCACCATCCAAACCATCTGCTCCGCACGGTTTGCTATCGACGGGACGGACGCCGCCGCCCACGCAGTCGTGGCGTTCATCTTCCTGTTCTATGCGGCTTATGAGTGAGTTTGCGCTTCTTCACGACGGACGGCGTACTGACCCCACTTTCAGTATCGCATACAGCCCGCTCATCGTCTCGTACACCGTCGAGATCTTGCCCTTCCACCTGCGTGCCAAGGGTCTCACGGTCTTCAACTTCATGGTCTCCTGCTCCCTCATCTTCAACCAATACGTCAACCCCATCGCACTCAGTACGTCTTTCCCCTCCCCTTTTCCCTGTCAATATCGATCGCTAACGCCATCACGCAGAGGCCATCGCCTGGAAATACTACATCGTCTACGTCTGCTGGATCGCCTTCGAGATCGTCTTCATCTACCTCTACTGCATCGAGACGAAGGGCAAGTCGCTCGAGGAGACCGCCGCGCTGTTCGACGGCGAAGAGGCCGAGACGCATATTGCCGGCGTCGCGCACAAGCATACGGAGGAGGTCATTGGCAAGCAGCCGCTGCCCGATCTGGAGAAGGCCACCTCGCACCAGTCGATGCATATGATCGAGTCGGTGCCGAAGGTGTAGGCTCTAACTTATTGATCTTCCTCTATACGAACACCCCTCCATACGATATATCGCCTCGAGTGCGCTTAACGCACACGAGTACGAGCACGCATCTCCATCCCCCCGTCCCATCCCCTTGCCGCTGCTCGCGGACAGCACGGCGAGTTTTCCTGACTTTCGGTTCTACATTACGGGTTTTGTACGAATTACGGTACCGCACGGTGTCTTGCGGTCGATGCAGCTGACAGTGACAACGCACTACGATCGCACTGTTGTAATATATACGATATCCTACGCTTCAATCTCACGAAAATGATTCGCCTCCCCACGATTGCGTGACGTATCTTTGACAGAATTACGATAAAGGGCGTAGCTAGGAAAGCTGGTCGCTTTGTTCAGGCTGCGGTGACTCTGGCGCCTCTACTGCAACATCCTCGACTTTGGCCATGTCGTCCTCCCAGTCGTCCGTCTCCTCGGCTTTGGGCACTGCATCGTGTGAGTTGGCAGACGCGCTGAGACCCATCGTTTGCGCAATGTGCTCTTGCAATAGAAGGCCTGAGGGAGGCGTTGATTAGAGGTCAGATGGAAATGTTTGATCCGTGCAAAGGGGATTCAGACTCACCGAGCGCCATCAACGCAGAACCATCCATGACCTTATACATATCCCGCGTAAGCTTGCTCGACTCTGCGTATGCCTTGCCTCTTTTTCTCCGCTTCGTTGGCGGCGGTGGCGCAGATGCATTTGTGCCCTCCTCGTCAACTTCATGTTCGTCCACGGCTGGATGTTCTTCTTCGCCTTGCTCTTCCAACGCAGGCTCGCCTTCATCTTCCTCTGGCGTACGGGTTGCTTGACGTGTCGCATTCTGCCTGCGTTCCTTCCGCTCGCGCCGGTAGTCTTTTGAGGCGTTGAGCAGCATGCCGCGCTCTGTGTAGTATCTGCTGGCGAAGTGGTGAATGCATTTGAGGAGATCCTGAGTAACGACTTAGTAAGTCATACATAGGAATTCAGAATAGCGTATAATTACTCCGGAAGGAAGGTCAAGATCGCTGGTGTTGGGACCCAAATTTGGGTCCTCAAGTTGGTTTAACCGTCTCCGTTTCCTCAAAGGGCCAGCAATAGGTTCTTCACCATCATCCGCTGGTCGAGTTGCCTCCCCATCCAGCTCAATTTCCTCCCCCTCCCCTTCCTCAGCCCTGGCCCGCCTCACCCTCGGCACCACAGGAAGACTCCGCGAGATAACATTCCCCCGCGCATCCCTCACCGCCCGACTCTGCTGCGCAAACGCCCTCCGCGACGTCAGATGACCGTCAAGGTCGAGCCGGGAGCCATCCTCGTGGAGATTGAGGGCGGTGAGGTCGTAGACGGTGTGGCGGCGATTTCGTTGCATGAGTGTGGGAAGAGGGAATGATTGAGGGGCGTGGGATGATCGATGCGGAGGCGAATCTTCGCGGCGTTTGCCGGCTTTCCCCGTAGGTGTACGTTGTCCGCAAGGAAGGAAGTTGCTTCTGCATATACGGGCCAGAGAAGTAAGGTACTCTTAATTAGTAAGGGCGCTCATAAAGGGCGAGGTACTGTGTACCTTGCAAAGGCATTGGACAACGAATTAACCCTATTCGGCACAAAGCTTTCCTAATTCAGTGTAAATACCACGTGAATGCGGCGGACCGCGTCCGCGTCGCCCAGGCTACAGGGTCTATTCTGCGCCAGCTGCGAGTTAGAGACGCCATTCAGTGTAGACGAGCCGCTGAAAGTCACATATGTCTGAGAACACACCATTGAAGGGACATGAACCTTCTGATTGCCTCTTCCACATCGAGGCTGTAGCACTTGAGTAGCACCGGGTCCGCATGGTTACACCGCGTTCGCCTGCGGCCCGCTCATGTACCGGGGAGTTGCAGGCAGTGCGTGAGGAGCTGGGCCTTTCTCTTGCTCTCATCTTCTATCCTGGGCGCGCACAACTCGTTCCTCTGACCGCCTTGACTCGCCCAGAAAAACCTACCATCCGCGTCAACACGACTCTAGCGACCTACCTGATCCTGGTGTTCCACACTTCTCATGCACTTGACGCCAAACAGACTGATTGAGGACGACGCGGCGAGAAAGGTCCTGCTCATGGGGGACTATGGGGCGGGCAAGACAGCGTTCGGACAGCGCGTATGTGACGCGTTTCTCGCGGTAATTTTTGTGCTGAGCTGAGAGGCGTGCTTATACAAAGCTGGTTCACGGGATCTTTGACGGTATGTTAGTGTCTGTATGGGTATAGGATGGCAATCACTTACCAGCCACGGTGTATACTAGAGGTGATCACAACGAAGACGTTGTGAGAGTCCTAGTTGATGAGAAAACCAGGGAAATAGAAGCGGAAACCTACTTCCTGTACGATACTTAACGACAGCCAAGACAAAGTTTGGCCCCATTAATGTGGTGATCCACGACACCTATGATGGGGGTGCGTGCAAACCTTCTTCTGCATATAGCTCACCGAGCTGAATACGCCACAGGCCCCTGCGATGCGGAAGCTGCAATAAGGTTGGCCAACACACCACAATCTTCCTTCCTTCCTTCCATCATACCCTCTTTCCTCTCTTCCACATCTTCGCCAGCTGACCCCGCGACGTCCACAGAGCTTGCGACGCATACATCTTGATGTACTCGGTCCGGATGCGACATAGCTTCGAGGACCTGATAGCCCACTGCAAGGTTCTCAAGCGAGTGAAGGTAGCGCACCCATACGTCTTGGTGGCGACCCAGTGCGACGCGACGGAGCGGGTGGTTGCGAGAGAAGAGGCGCTATTCATGGCGAATGCGTTCGATTGTACGCTCTTCGAGACGTCGGCACGGACAGGGATGCAGGTAGAAGAGGCGGTATCGCATGTAGTGGAGCTGTTGATAGAGGCGGAGATGAGGGTCAGGAGACGAAGATGTAGCCTGAGCCGGCTGGCGGGGAGGATTGTAGTGCACAGATAGATATTGCAAAAGTCCCTGGGCGACAGACTGTTCTAGACATACAGCAGAAATAAGCCTGAGGCGACAGGGTATTCTCAGATAAGTATAGATTGACCAATAAGTTGGAACGCACCAATATTACGCGTGCGCGGTATGAACTCCCAGTCCGCTCACGAACGATCTCAACCCTCGGGAGAAAGACCCTTCCACATTCGACACGCGCGTCTTCACGCCTGACCGGACGCCTTGCAAGACCGGTGTTATCCAGTGACCCAGAACAGCCCTATCATGAGGTGAGCACGTAATTGCTAGACGAATATGAAGGGGGACGCACAACACCAGACCCTGCAGCATCGGACTGACGACCTGGTCGAACGTCGTGCGCAGTATCACGCGCCCCCACTGCACTCGTGTCTCTTTGACTAGCTGGCGCTGCTTCTCCCGAACTTCGACCTTCTCGTACGCGCCGCCAAGGTGTTCTTCCTCGGAAAGAGACGTTTCTCGCTCGGCGACAGGCTTGTATTCGGTGTGAATGTAGGGCGCTATCGAGGAGAGGTATTTCTGCTCGAAGCGCATTTCGGGGACAGGCAGCTGGGGCGTGCCATGCTTGGAGTGGTGGGGCATGGTGTCGTCGGCAACGTGAGTGGCGGTTAGAGGCAAGAGGGAGGTGGAGGCACGTTCGGGCCGGTAGGCCGCAGGCAACCGCTTGAACGCGACGACGGACTTGTCCTCCTCCACGTCGTCCACATCCAACTCCACCGTTTTAACACATATCGGATATACGCCTTTAGCGATGCAATCCAAGCCTTCGGTTCTCGCTCGCGCCATCGGGCATGTCGGTCTCGAGAGCCCTCATCGCCGATGTCCTTCTCCAACCCTTCTCGCCCCGGGACGATCCCCTGGCACCCCAGGGAGCCCCCCAAGCGGGGCCCCAAGGGCCGGAACTCTCATCCCTTGTCCTCGAACATCTTCGATCCACGTTTGTACCCTTGAACCTATCCCATGTTCGCGAAATTTTACCATGCTTTGTCGATAAGTATGTAAGATCACCCGTGTGTAATATCCGATGGAGGGGATATAAAACTGCGTCGCGGGTACTCGCACATCGGGTCCCTTCCTCTCCTCTCCTTCCCTCCCCCTTCCCCTGTACCCCCCTCCCCTCTGCGACCACTACTTTACGCAGACAGGATGGCTGGCTACGGATCCAAGCTGTACAATGCGCTGTACATGCCATCGTATGTACGATGCGTGTGCTTCGCGTCGCTTGCAGGTACGTCCTGCAGTCCCATCTCCAGAGATGTCGCGCTCATACTCTCATCAGCATACGTCTATGGGTACGATACTACTCACTGATTCCCCAAGCCCTCATACTGACTCCGTTCGTGAAGATTCGACACAGGATCCATAGGTATGTGCTCGATATACACGCTCTTCGATCTTATCTGACGACTTCGCGAAGGTCCCATCACCGTCATGACTGACTTTGAGGCGACATTCGGGAAGCTTTCTGCGACTGTGCAGGGTCTCTTCGTCTCATCCATCCTCATCCCCGCGGCGATCATCTCCTTCGGCTCAGGCTCCATCGCGGACCGCATCTCCCGCACGCATGCAGTCTCGCTAGGCTGCGCCGTCTACGGCACCGGCTCTCTCATCTCCCTCCTCGCTGGCCTCAGCATGTCGCAAGCCTCGTCCCTCGCCATGGTTTTCATCGGCCGCTGCATCTCGGGCGCGGGCGAGGGCATCTTCCTCTCCGCGGTCACCGTCTACGGCATCGAGGTCGCGCCGCAGGACCAGCGCGGGCGCGTCGGCTGCATCATGCAGCTCTTCATCTGCATTGGGATCATGACCGGGTACTTCGTGTGCTACGGGTCGCTCAACATCGCGGGCTCGCTCTCGTGGCGCCTGCCGTGGATCCTGCAGTGCATGACGTGCATCGTCACGGCCATCGGCGTGCGCTTCCTGCCGCACTCGCCGCGGTGGCTGCTGCACGTTGGGCGCCGCGCGGAGGCGGAGGTCGCGATTCAGCGCCTCGACCTGAGCAAGGAGGAGTTCGTGTCGATGGCTATGAGCGAGGAGGATGAGGCTGCGCATGCTGCTGCCGCTCAGGAGAAGGCGCAGCGGGGAGGGTGGAGGCATCACGTCGAGCAGTTCAAGGAGGCCTTTGCGCCTGGTCTTCGCGGACGGACGAGCCTTGCGCTGTTCATGCTTGCTGTCCAGCAGCTCGGTGGCATCGACGGCGTTCTGTACTACTCGCCTGTCCTGTTCCAGCAGGCTGGTCTGTCGTCGCAGAGCGCGTCCTTCTTGGCAAGCGGTGTGACAGGTATCGTGAATGTCGTCTTCACTCTCGTTGGGCAGTCCATCTCGGACAAGTGGTATGTCGATCCCCTTTCTGCATCGTTACAGTGCTCCTCGCTCACTGCACTTTCAGGGGACGTCGCACCGCGCTCATCTGGGGTGGTATTGTTATGGCCACCGCGATGACCACCATCGGCAGCCTGTACTCCGTCCCCAGCCTCTCGCAAGCCGGCCACTACACCGTCATCGCGTTCATCTTCATCTACTTTATCGCCTTCATCATGACCTGGGCCATCCTCATGCGCATCTGGGTCTCCGAGGCGCAGCCCGTCCAGACGCGCGCCTCCGTCTCCTCCCTCGCGCTCACGACGAACTGGGGCTGCAACTGGGTCGTCGCGTTCACGACGCCCATGTTCCTCGACGCCTACCCGAACGGGCCGTACTTCCTCTGGGCGGCGTGCACGTGGGTCTCCGTCGGCGTCTTCCTGCTGTGGCTGCCGGAGACGAGGGGGCAGAACGTGGATCTGGCGGGGCAGGATAGTGGGTTGAAGCTGCAGGTGCAGATCCCGGGGATGCCGCGGAGGGATACGGGTTTGTCGACGGCGCCGACGTTAGTGGAGAAGGAGGATGAGACAAAGGAGAAGACCGACAAGGCTCGCACCGCCGAAAAGGTGGAGGAAGTTGTCTAACTCAACTCCCTGGCCACGACTATTGTGGGTCCTCGATTCGACTGCAGGACCTCGACACCACGACTATCGCCGTCGACGACGCCAATACGGCGTTCTCGACCCCACACGACGTACTTGACTACACGACTACGACTATCATCATCACCATCAACACGAACACATACTAGACTTCGTTTCTTACAGGGTTGGAATGTGGAGATCCGTTCCAGGGTATATTTTGACGACATTAGACTTGCCCATAGACCATAGACATCACTGTAAACTAGAGTAGGTAGACAACAACACAACGCATCGTCCACTGAGTGGACTCAAATCGCCCTGTTAGACTCACTATCGGAGCTTTTGCTGCCACTGTAAGAATATGCGTAAGGGGAAGAGAACAAAGGAGAACAATGGCGTTAGCGTGGGAACCGTTTCACGTGGCTCATAGCGAACCGTTTCCCACGCGACCGCTCTGCCTCTCCCCGTCAGCAGACTTCTGTGGCAGCAAGCCCACGGAATTCGAAGCTCACAGTCTTTTCATATATTCGATTGTGGCGATGGATAAACTATGCCTGGACCTCCAGCGCTTAACTGGCCTATGCTCGCGCTTCACTCGACCGGCGCCTGTCTGCCTGGGAATTTTATAACAACACCTGTGGTCACTTTGTGGCCCTAGGGGCATATGTTTATGTCGGGCCAGTTGGCCTCCACAGCATTGCGCACTGCCGCCGCGACACGCATATCTCCAAATTAGGCGCCCCCGGGGCTTTGACCCCCAAATTGAATGGAATGCTATGTGGCCACCAGGTCATAGACGCGACAAAAGCCGGCGCTTGCCTCGTTTGTTGAGCTCGATCGGCGCCTATCAGTGTTTGTGCTCCGTGGGTATGTCGCTGATGAAAGCATAAAAAATGCGCTCACAATGAGTGCTTGTTTGCCTTTTCCTTTTCTCCCTCCATTACCAGCGCTATGCCTCCCTCCCGCATCTCTCGTCGTTCGTCTGCGATGGCACAGCAGACCATTAGGCTCAGCCCGCCGGTGCACCCGTATGAAGGTATGTCGCATGCATCCTCTTGTGTTCGGTCTGAGAATAACAATTATGCAGGGGCACGGCCCATGGCCAAGGCTGACCCCGTTGAGAAGTCACCCCGTCCTACGAGGGCCACTCGCGTTGAGGACGATGGCGCTCCCAAACGTCCGGCCAACGCCTTTATGCTCTTCCGCTCGGACTACTTGAAGCAGCACCCAGAGAGCAGGAGCGAACAAAAAGGGCTCAGCAGGAAGGCGGGAGCTGCGTGGCGGGCGCTTCCTGCAAGGGCAAAAGCCATATACGAAGCACAATCTCGGGAAAATTCAGCCCGCTACAAGGTCCAGAAGCAGGAGTACAAGAAACGCTTGCGCGCGATCGAGGCGCCGGAGAGCGATGAGAGCGAGCCGGATTCCTCTTCGAGGCAATCATTATCCCAGCCCGAAGATTGCGAACCGTCTTCATCGACGTCCGTGTCATCATGGCTCTCCGACGTTCACGACCAGACTGTGCCACTGGCACAGGATGCCTCGCTTGGATGCGCTCATGCTTTGAATATACCCGCAGCAACCTCCTTTGATGGGCAGTCTGGCGGATGCATCCCTCCTACCACTCTACCGACGTTGCCCGACCTTCCTACCTCTAGCAATGACTGGTCATCATGCGCTCAAGGCATGTTCACCCAGCAATACGGCTCTCAACATGACCATCTCCCGTTCCCCCTCGACGGGCCTTGGGGGCAGCGGATAGTAGTGGACGAGGTGTGTTTATAGACCTATCATCTGGATTTTTTGGCTGATGAGCACGATCTCAGAGCTTCGTCTCTCAGCATTATCCCACCGTTAGCGACGACCACTTGACATTCCCCCAGAACTATGCGTATACGCAGCAGGATATTTACGCGCAGGAATTGCAGCTTTTCTGCTTCGACGGATATAGTGGGCAGCAGCTAACGAACGAAGTGTGTATTCCAACTGCATGATTATAGCCACTTTTCTAAGCTGCCTCAAGTTCCAGGACTCCTTCAACCAGCCTACTGTTCCCGGCTTCTACGATTACACTACGGAGCCAGCCTACACCAGCTTTGCGTACGACATCCCTGTCAAGTGGTCCCCTCTGCAGCCTACTTATTGAACTTCCCCGAAATACCCTTACTGATACGACATCCCCTTATTTAATTCCCGTAGACCCACGACATATCTATAGTGTACATCCTCGCGGCTGGCTGGTGCAGCGTATCCCCTAATACATTGTCTCTACATAATCGACCGCTATCTGGGTCTGTATGCAACTTATACATGCTCTCGTACATTTGAGTTGGTAGAAACGGCAAGTGGCAAGCACGATTGCCTTGGTCGCTGACCAGGCACAACAAAAGAAAACACCCAACGGAGACAGACTCTTGATAGTACATGATGCATAGGTGGGTAGGTGAGTGAAGTCCATGTGTCTGACCCTGTTCGACCCGCAAAATCCAGACATACATGACGAGGAGAGGAGGTGAGCATGGAGGGTGATATGCCTGGAAGTCCGATGCACATGTAACATACTTTGAATTCTACTGGTCCTCGAGATCGATGAGCACACCCTCCGGCACGCGCCCGCCGTTCGCCCGCTCATTACGCCAGTACGCCTCATCCGCCGGCGCAAAGGTCGAGTCGACCGCCTTGCGCTGCAGGCGGCGCGGCAGCAGGGGCAGCGGCCGGCCCGTGTAGTGCGCGTTATGGTCGTACGCGGGCGTCCCAGACGTCGCCGCCGTCATATACGTCGCCGTGGTCGGCGTGGCCAGCTGCGCGGGCGTCGGCGTCGCGGGCGTGGTGCCCATCGTCAGGCCGGGCGTCGCCGAGGCGTACTCGTACGCGGCGGGCGTGGGCGTGACCTGCACGGGGGTCGGGGTCTGCGCCGGGGCCATCGAGAAGTCAGTGCGGATTCGCGGCGGATTGGGTCGGCGCACGACCTGCGGTTGCATGACCTGCATGCTCGCGATGGACCCTGGCGGGCAGCTCTCGATGGACGCGCGCGGCGCCGCCTGGCCGTTGGGTGCTTCGATGTACGTCTCGTCGCGGTCAATCATCGTCCAGTCGGAGTCCTCTGCTTCGTCGGAGGGCGCGAGGGAGGGCGCGATGCTCGGATCCTTGTTCTTGTTGAAGATGCGTTTGCGGAACGAGTGAGTCGAGGTTGGCGAGAGCGGAGTGGTGCGCGTCGAGATGGACGCCACGGTGGGCGTCCTCGGCGTTGGCATGCTCGCGCCATCGAGGAAGTGGTTCCGCATGGACGGCTGAGAGGGCGTGACCGGCGCAGACGCCGATGTAGGCGACAAAACATCCCTGCAGCTGTTCAAGCGCGAAGGAAGGAGGGTCCGCAGCGGCGCCAGCCATGCATGTGACTTCTTCGTGGGCGCCGGTGACACAGGCGTTGGGTATGCAGGTTGAGGAGACTCATTACGGACGGTGTGCTCCACCGATACCTCACGGCGTAGGTCACTGTCGTCCAAGCGGCGCGTCGACCCGCAGCGGCAGGTGTACATTTCGGGTGTGTGCGACCGGCCCGCCTCATCCAAAATCTGGAGCGAATCGTTGGAAGCATTGTCAGAAAGAGGAGAGTCTATAGGCGGGGATTCCACCCTCCGCTCAGCGGCAGAGTGGAAAGACTGAGTGGACATTGAGAGGGATTGGTCCACCGGTGCACATGCCGGCGCTTGTAGACTGCTCGACGGCTGCGCTTGAGACTCCTGCATGGCCTCCTGAAAGCTCGGCGGAGGGTAGTCTGGTATGTCTTCGTCCGCTGGGCAAAGGGTCAGTAGGTAGTTTCACCTCCCCATTAACGACCACAAACCTGACAAGCTGCCACTCATGTCGCGTCCAGGGACATTCGCCCGTCTCGTGCGCCGCGTAGATGAGGCAGGCCCTGCAGTCCTCCTGGGACCGACGTTGAAGCGCGGCTCCTCCACCGGGCGCGGCCCTGGCCTCCCCGCGAGCGCCTCGCGCCTCTTCGCCGCCCGCTTCGCCTTTCGACTATCAGGCGCGCCGTCATTGGTCTGCGGCACGACAGAACGCGGATAGGGAGAGATTCTGGCGGCGATCGCAGTACGGTGAGCCATTTCGTGAGTGTTACAGAGCAAAGTGCATATGCCGCGTGTGGAACACGACGCGGAGGTGCTTGAGCCCAGCTAGGCATCGATGTCACTCTTTGACGCGATAGAAGGCTTATCAAGATGGCACAGCTCGATAAGAACACCTTCGCGGTGTTGTGACCGCTGGATGTGCGCTGCTCCTCAGGCGATTTCGGTTAGCCCTGGAGGTAGAACGTACCTTCCATGATGGAGTGCGGGGCAGGTCAGGGAGAGTTCCCGCGTAGCATTATGGGTGAGAAACAGGCACTTGCGACCTCGCTTACGCTGCCATCGTGTAAATTCGTCCACCCTCATGAACGTACAAAGAAAGGTGGCACGGTCACAGAAGTTGAACACGTAAAGTCACGTCGAGTCACTTCCACGTGAGACGCCGTCACGTACCTAGATCCATCACGTTTGTCTTTTCTCCATCTCCACCACCGCGTCTTGTCGCACGCCACCGCACCTATCCCCTTCGACCCACCGTTCCCCACCCACAATGTCGCAATCTCCTCCCCCAGAGAATGAGAACAAAGATGTCAAGCCTAAGGTGCGCTTGACCGGTCATTCACCTCCTCTCCCGTGCTGACTCGCGTTCTTGCAGCTCAACCTGACGATCTCCTACGAAAATACACGTGTGTACTCACACCAACCTCCCGCCACAATGTCTCCTGACCGTTTTCTCAGCCGTGACAGTGAAGGTGAAAGCAAACATGAAGTTCGAGAAGATCTTCCACGTCGTTGAAGTGAGCGTCGCGTCTTCTAGCATCCCAGACCCCTTTCTCAACTCCCACATAGCAAAAGTTCAACAAACAAGCGGGAACCTTCAAATTTACATACGACGGTACTCGCGTCAAGCCAGATGATACACCCGCAGGGGTACGTCTGTCATCGAGCGCTTGTTTCCTTGTCATGCTGATATTCCCTCTTTAGCTTGGTATGGAGGACGGCGATCAGATAGACGCGTTTTTGGAACAGGTGCGTGATCCATCTCCTTTCATTCTATAGGCTTTTGACAACCTCTGCAGCTTGGTGGCGGTTTGCCATGTTCAAGATAGCCCAACCGACATCGCCCTATTTATTCGCCTCGACTCCAGCTCCTCTATCCTACATCTTGTTGTATTGGTCCCCGGCTTGTATCCAACGGCTCTTGAATGGGAAGGTCCCCTACTTGTAAACCACTGTCCGATCTCGTCTCGGCGCGCCATCTCTCCGCCACCCTCCAAGGCTTTCGCCGCGACTTCTCGGATGTCCGGTCGATCAAGTACCGATACTTTCACACTATCGCTGCAACACGGACGTGAAGTACACTTTCATTCATCATGTCCCAATGACGCCGGTACGCAAACAAAGGGGATTACGGCCAATCAATACAAGCCACGTCCCAACCGGCCGACGCCATCCAATACACCATCTCCCACCTATTATCCATTCAGCACAAGCATCTGGAACAGAACTACTTCATATGACACTCACCTTGATAACCTGCTCAAACTGCGAGGTCAACACCGACGGCCGTGTTGTCGACACAATCCCGTTCACGGAGTCGATCGTGCAGTGTATGCGCGCGGTGGAGGTGAATCGTGCCAGGTCGCTATTAGAATGGTCGTCAGTCACCGAACACAGATCAAAGGGCGAAATAAACCACGCACGTCTCGACCCAACCCTTGCTCACGCCGAATGCTTGCGCCAATGCATCGAGTGACAGGCTCGCGTAGCTGGCGAGAAGCTGGTTGTATGCCTTGATGCGCAACTCGCGTACGATGTAGGCGGAATGTGGGGACAAAGGCAATGAGGGGAGCAGTGTTGAGTCGGGGAGGGCGGCTGCGAACGCGTAAGCACACATATAGGATTGAGAGAAGAGGGCGTACCAAGCGCAAGGAAGAACTGGTCGTAGTGGCAGTCGTAAAGGTTCGTGATCAAGTTCGAGAGTACAGGCAGCTCGGGCAGTAGCTGGATGATTTCTGGCGCAGCGAGGATCTGGTGTTATTAGCATACGACAGCGGCCCACCCTGCACCACACTTACCTTCTTCTTGAGATCTACTCGGTTCAAGCTGACGACGCCGCTGATGATGGTGAACTCGACGAACTGCTTGTAGTCGAGCAGCTCGGTCGCGGTGAATGTGCTGAGAGCGTCGATGAACAGCTCCGCGGCCTTGCTGAATTGTCGGATGGAGATGAGATGCAGCGCGCGGTAGACCTTCAAGCGATTGAGGCGGTCCCAGTCGCCGCCCTTCTGAATGAGCCTGCGATGGGCGTTAGCATCGCTCCTCACACATCTTCACTTGCCACGCACTCGTCCGATCTCTTCAGCTCCTTCTCGATCATCCCAAAGTCGCCGTAGAAGAACGCGATGCGGACGAGCGTGAGCACGAGATCAATCTTGCTCCCCGCGCCGCTCGTCTTCTCGAGCGCCTCCTCGAGCGCGCGCACCACCTTGTCCTTGTCCTCCCCGATGCGCGTGAGATAGTACGCGCGCTCCTTGATGAGGTCCGCGACCTCCGTCTCGCCCTCCGTCTTCTGCGCCTCCGCGAGCTTCGTGTCGAGCTCGGCGAGCCGCGCGGCGTTCTTCTCTTGCAGGGATTTAAGCAGGGCTGTGTCCTGCGGAATCTTCGCGGGATGCAGCCCGGTGATCATCTCGTAGAAGGGGCCCATCTCATCCTCCTTGATGGCGTCGAGGAGGGAGGCGAGCGTGTCCTTGTGCCGTGACGCAAGCGAGGGCTGATTGAGGATGTAGATGTATTGGGGGACCTTGAGGTTGGGAACCGGGAGTGGGGTGTCTTCGGCCATGCTGGGAGACGGGATGTGTGCGGACGGTGAGGACGGTGAGCGCGTAGACGAGGGCGCGTCTGATGTCGTCCGTCCCGCTTACGCGTCGCGAGCGATCACGTGCGCCTTGCGACGCGCGGCGCGACTGTACATGACCTATTCCCCGAGTCCTCACAGCGCCCGCCACTCCGAGTCGATGCATGGTTCGCATACAATCGCCCTCTAGAGAGGATCGCGAGTCCTGTGGGCCTATGTACATGCTGGTTGTGCTTCTATGTACTGGAACGAGGGTGAGTACCGGCGAGCAATACGAGCACGACACGGGGGTAGGTAGGTATGTAGATGCGAATAGATGGTACAGTATGCAGTTAACAGATATTACAGTGTTCATGCACGTGGACAGACCGTTCGATGAACAAATGTAGGATATGCGCGAAAGTCCGATGAGCAATGCTGTAGCCTGGGCCGACGAGGGGTTAATGTCCTCGCGCGGTGGCGTATCCTCGTCTAGATGATTCGGATGGGGATTCGTCCGCGCATCTCGTCCTGATCAAACGAGACGGAGACGTCGAGGTAGTACTGCGGTTGCGCGGACGAGTGAGAACATGCGCGAAGCAACGAAGATGGGAAGAAGCTCACCTTGATAGTAACGCCGTGCCAAGATATCGAGGGTGTCATGGTCTTTTGAAGGGCGATCTTGTCCTTGTAGAGGCCGTCCGGTAGCGACACCTGAGACTCCAGGGTGGGGTGCTTCTCGTTAGGTGCGTGCTTCCGCGGCCTCTTCGGAAAGCCGACGGAAATGCAGGTGTGCAGCTTCTGTGAGTCTGAGAAGACTTTGTGCGGTACGTGGGGCAAGGGCTTGTTGCGACGGACCCCGTCGTCGTCGCCGCTGCCCCTACGCGGCCTAGACGCATTTCGGACGACGCGCTTGAGAAGTCGTGATCCAGTAGACGCGGCATCGGACTGGCTCTCATCGCTCGGCGTGGCGGGTGAGTGCGGCGGGGTACTGGACGCCTCCTTGACGGTGATATGCCGGACGAGGGACACGGATACAGTCGCGTCGCTCGCGATCTCCCGCGCTATGGACGCAGATCGTGGGGTGGTCGTGAAAACAACGAAGAAGGAAATCTGGGACTTCCGAGAAAATGTAAAATCCGTGGGCAGAGTTATCTGCGCAGGGTAAGCGGCCAGCCGACGGGCAGATAGACGCACGGCACTCACGGCGCAGCGGAAGGGAATGTGCCTATCCGACTTAAGCGGCATCTCTAGCCACGAATCGTCTCTGCGCCTGCTCTTGCCGTCCAGTGACTCGAAGTCGACATCAGAATAGATCATGATGGGAACCTCCAGGCTAAACAAGGCAATTCTGAGCGAATGCGGTATGCGAAGCACGAGGTACTCACAAGGAACGGTCTTCCGGCACGTTGGTGGCTTCCCAGAGCACTACTATTGAGTAGTTAACTTCGTACGGCTGTTCCCCGTCTTTCGAAAAAGATAGGCTCGGGGGCAGCTCCTCGTGTGCGCCGTGGTGGTGCGGTAGATCGAAGCAGAAGGGGTACGTGCGCTCCGGCTGCTGGAAGGTAGCGCTCAGGTTGGAGCCGCTCGGTCTGCGACGCAGCGTAAGTGCCTCGCGCAAGGCGGTCGCTGATCGAGGGATAACGGGTTCAGGGGATACGAGCGTAGTCGTCGACGTGGTGAAGAAGACGTGTTTCTTCTTGTCGAACTGCCGGAAATCGCGGTGTTTCGAGTCGCGTTCGGGATATAGGAACGCGCCCTCGAGCTATGGGGAAGTGAGTGGGTTATCGCAAAGACGGTGCGAGATATTAGACGCACCGTGACTGTAAGCCGCCCGGTAGCGCTGCAACTAGGGTCCAATGTTACCCTCCCTCCAACTTGTTCACGATCGGTGAACGCGGCCATGGGCTTTTTATCGTGGGCAGCATGGATCGTCGGGCTATAGACGCGCACTTCCATCTGCAATGACCTGCGAATCCCGCTCCCGTCAGCGTCGTTGATCGCTTGTTAAGCGCCCTGGCACGTACCGGAAGACAGACACATGCTGGTGCGTCGGCGTCGGCACGAACGAGGAGGGCGCGGTGGACGAGGGTCGTTTGGACGAGTCGGAGAACGAGTGGAAGCGCCTGCGGACCGACGGACGACCAGCCAACATCGCGCAGAGAGTGAATGAAGGAGCGGAAGGGAATGGGGAGAAGAAGGGGGGGCACAGATTTGTTGTGGAAGAAGCTAAGCCACCATTCCGTTGTTCTGGTTCCGTCGGCTACAGGGATATGTATGACGAAGTATGCGCGCGGAGTGCACCTTCTCACGCCCGCAACATGGGGGGAACTCTTCGACATCAACCTGATGTTACAGAGATAAGTACCAACGCTAGTCTCTGTGGCTACCGCTACGGTCGGGCGACTTCTTCAATTCCTTGGGGACCTTTCTTGAAGCGACTTACTGCAGAGGGGTGCTCGGCTTGAACGTCGGTCTTTCTCTATCTGTACCTCATGCACGCTGTTGTTGTATGGGGCGCTGTACCTGACTTGCTCGAAGAGGAAACGTTCAAAGACAGCAAACCTTCCAAACGGAAGATCCTGGGAAGTCTGGTCACGTGCACAGTTCGTTCCGGTCTACCGCCTCGGGGACGCGTTCGTGAGCCTTTTGTCCCGCCTCTTGCCCGCCTCAACTGACAGAAACTGTCAAGGACCCTCTTTCGACCCTGCCGGGATGAGTGCTCATCTTGCCTTCGAAGAGCGCTTTATCGCAACATCGACGCACCTGGCAAAGTGATGATTTCTGCCCATTAATTAGTTCGTTCATCATGCGAAGTCGATTGCGCTTAAAAAGAAGGGGCGGGAGGACGGAGACGGGGTGAAGGGAGGCTGCGATTAACGGAACGGCTGTTGCCAGCGCAAACTCTCCGGTGTTGATACAACCATCACAGAGGAATGGCAGAAAGCAGGAATACTGCAACAGGGACTGGACAGCTGCGGCGGCATCACGGCAGAGCTTTTCCGGTGATCGCCGGCATTGAGGCACCCCCAACTGCCTTTCGGGGACATCAAAGTCGTGATGGCGGGCTCTGATGCGCCCTCGTCGGCGGCGTCGGCAACGGTGGACGCATTGTGCGCGATGAGGACCTTGTATTGTCATTGGTCCAATCCACATACTCTACCACGTATTCGGCATGATTGAAGGGACTACTCTGCCATCACCTTATGCTGTACGCCAGATTTAAATAAAAACAATATAGTTCACGTCGCTTACTTAGGGCCTTCGAGCCCGGCAATTCCCTCCCTGCTGCTTGTGACCCCCATCACCACGCTGCTTGCTCCACTGCCCTCGCGCGCACCTCCAACGGCTACTGTACCTTCTTTCTAGTCACCACCGATGTCGCCGAGATCGCTGACAAATGACGGCGACGATCACGCTGCCCAACATGATGGCCGCGCAGCCAAATGACGCCCGGGGGCGATGCGCGCGAGGGGGGAGGGGGGGCGTAATTGGGTCCCGCACTCATGCTGGTTACTGACAATGCTTTTCCTGCTACAACGCGAGGGGAGCCTACAACCCAGCACGGGTCGGGCGGGGCGATTTTGGCCCGCCCACTACATGCTTACATCGCCCTCAGAGCACACCTGAGGGCGCGAGCTCCTCGTCTAGGCCGCGCTGCGTGTCCTAGGTGGGTTCTTCGCGGGTGTTCTATCACCATGCCGCCACAGCTGTTTCTCGCGCGGGTCCGCTGACAAGGTAACAAAGCCCATCCTCATCGCCAACCCCCTCCCTTCCGCTCTAAGTACCCCTCAAGCGTAGAATCGCCTTTCTGGCGAGTCTTTGCGTCACAAGCGATGCCCTTGGCACTCTGGGGTTGTCCTCAGCAGGCACCGCGCCCTCAACAGGGTATCTTGTACCCCTCCCCTCCCCTCCCTCTCCCGCGCTGCTACGTGACCGCGGCGGACGCGTCGTTCGACGTGTACGCGTGAGCGTAGCTCGGGGTGAGTACTCTCCCTCTTCATTTTACACGCTTTCTAGCCCTCGCGAGCGGCAGGAGAGCGCAATCGGCGCGAGCGAAATTGTCGCTCGCGCTCTTTTCGTGTTTCTTCAGGTCATCCCCCATCCCCCTATGTATATTCATCAATACAGGGTATATATATTGATCTCTGTTCTCGATCCCTTTTCGCGCTCGATACGTCCCGCGGCGGCGCCACGTCGAGCGCTGACGACGCATCGCGCGGGGGCACATGGCGCGGGTGTCGCATCAGCACGTTACGCGGACCGCCCGCGCAGGCAGGTTACACGCAGGGCGCGTCGCGACTGCTCTGCCCTAAGTACGGCTGCATGGTTTTGATGAGCCCAGTGCCACGTTCAACGATGGCCACAATTCCCTGAAACTCTGATGTCATTTCAGAGATCTTCGAACAACAGTGGTGCCCGTGCGCCATGGTAAGGGTAATCTTCATGGCTTTCAACGTTCTAGCATGGGCCATAGAAATGGGTATTGGTGGGCGTAATATTGTTTTTGACAACTCTTACAATGCGCACAATGCGTCCGCCGTCGCCGACGCCGTCGACGAGGGCGCATCAGAGCCCGCCATCACGACTTTGATGTCCCCGAGAGGCAGTTGGGGGTGCCTCAATGCCGGCGATCACCGGAAAAGCTCTGCCGTAATGCCGCCGCAGCTGTCCAGTCCCTGTTGCAATACAGGAACAATGTCGACAAGGTCAACTGGGATGTTCGATCGAATTGTGGGCGCTACCGCCCAACCGGCTACCAATGTACGTGATACAGCGCAGTGATTGGACACGTACCCAAGCTGGACCGGCGGCAGAGTAAGTCTGAAACGGATGATGTTCTACAAAGCTAGTCAAGTTCGTGAGCACACCTGATCACCTTCTACCCCCGTCATGAGAGCCTCTGAAGCGGACTTGCTGGAACACCGTCGGGCAGTACATGACCGAGCGCGGCGGGCTGGATCTCATTTCGAGGATGAGCAGACGGATGGAGGCGTCAGTAGTGACGAGGTCATGCAACAAGAGCTTGTCAGATAAGTCCGCTGCTCAATCCCGCACCTACCGTCCGCCCGGCTTGCTAACCGCCCGTATGCAGCGTGATCTCAGGGGATTTCCTCCCTATCAGACCCCTGCGGCACGAGCGTGGAGGATATCACCGCCTACAGCAGGACGTAGACAATGACGGCTGTGGCGGATCAATGGGCAACCGATAGATGGTGGGAGGCGATGGTCGCTGGCGAGAGACAGCTACCTTCCGGTTGCCAACGCTTGCGATGCCGTCCATCTAACCACTTGATGGCTGCCTACCGAGGGCAGCAGATACCAGACTTAGAAACAAAGGTCAGTGCAAGGTGTTTCAGGAGCTTCAGCCATAGCAAGTCGGCGGAGATGCTCGAACGCGGGGAGTCGACGAGGAGGACGAGGACAAGGTGCAAGCGCGGCGTTCGAACCGTACCCGCAATTCGGCAATTGCCGTGACCTGCAATCGCCGCGGAGCGCTCGGCGATCGTGCGCGATTCGAACGCTCTGACCACCATCATCGCTGCTCACCATGAAGATTGTCATCACAGGTCAGTATTCTGACTTGTATCGGTGTCTATATGCCCAACTCAACCTCGTTCAGGCGCTTCCGGAGTCCTGGGCTCTGCCATCCGCAAGGCCTTCGAGTCCGCCTCGGGCAAAGACTACGAGGTCATTCCCCTCTCACACTCGCAGAGCGGCAATGGCCTGATCCCCCTCGACCTCACCGACAGCGGCAAAGTAGAGGAGCTCTTGAGCAGCAAGAAGCCTGACTGTGAGTCCCCCATATAAACCTTCATGAGAGCATGCTCTGACTTCAAGTGAAGGGGTAATCCATTGCGCGGCTGAGCGTAGGCCAGATGTCGCGGAGAAGGTGCGTCATCACTGCCAACCAGTACAAGCTTAAGACTGATCTCGCCTCCGTCAGGACCCCGAAGCTGCTCGCAGGGTACATTCAGTTCAGCTCTGTGCTGTTCATCCTACTCACAAATCATTCGTGCAGCTCAATGCGGCAGTACCCGATCAACTCGCAAAACTTTCGAAGAGTCTTGGGTTCACCTTGACGTACATCTCGACCGGTTCGTGGATCTCTTTTCTCTCTGGCTGCGCCGGATGCTTACATCCATCCAGACTACGTTTTTGACGGCAAGAATCCCCCGTACAAGCCCTCTTCGCCCACCAACCCGTTGAACCTCTACGGCGTCACCAAGCGTGATGGAGAGATTGCGGTGCTTGGCGTCGAAGGCGCGAAGGTCATGGTCCTTCGTGTACCCGTTCTGTGAGTTTCCTTCGATACTTGCCCTATAATTAGAGTGATTGACTATCGCTGCCAGCTACGGTCCCATTCCGTCTGGCAAGAACTCGGAGTCAGCCATCAACATCCTGCTCGACATCGTGAAGGATCAGTCTGGCAAGACGTACAAGATGGACCACTATGCTGTCCGCTACCCGACGAACGTCCTCGACATCGGCAAATTCCTCGAGAAAATATCAGGTATGTGGCCCTTCCGAGGATGACCATTCTTTCTCCTCGAGGATGCTATGTGCTGACCACACTCCTAAAGGCGCATTGGCTGACGTTCCAAGCATCGTCCATTATTCTGCGTCTGAGGTCTTCACGAAGTACGAGATCTGCCAGCTCTACGGCAAGATCTTGAACGTACCCATCACGCATATCACCGCCGATGCTGGTAAGTGAAGTGACGACCGTCCAGTCTCCAGTCGTTTCTAACGACCTTCCTCTCAGCTGAGCCGAGCGGCGCTAGCGCAGCATCCCGGCCGCGAGACTGCAAGCTCGATACTTCCGAGACGGAAGCTTTCCTCCAGAAGCACGGCCTCGGAGGTCTTGACGCAGTTAAGTTCGAGGAGTGGTGGACGCAGTTCCTGGCAGGCAGCAAGTAAATGCGCCAGCGTGAATGTGACGAGACGTGTCGCGTCCGATGCCAGCTTACTCGTAGAAAAGGCAAGACAATCATTGTCACCTAGAAAATTGTACCAATATATACTGTGTAGACTGTAGACAGTGCTATCTCTTGAGCGGATACTCGCGAAAGAACAGGGTATACTAGCAGGGGGGACCGTCAACATTGAGGGTCTAGATCACGTCATTCACGTGAGCGCAATGAGGCCGTGACGGCGACAATGAGCGTGACGCGAAGGTCTTCACACGAGGCCCTTGGTCTTTCTTACCCTTGTCCTGCACCCTCATCACCCCAACCCCCCGCCAGAAGAAACGCATCTGCCAGTCATCCAGCCTACCCCCCACACCTACGACGCTACTTCCCACCGATAACGCGTCGAACTCAGCCTCTACAACCCATCGGATCGCACAGAGTTCTCCTACGTCGTGCGTGCGTACTAGGACTGCAGTATTCCTTCAACCCGCTTGCTAACCGCGATCCGCAGATTACACTCCGTCTAGCAAAGCATAGACGCGTCGACTCTCCCGCGCAACGCCCTCGGGAACCCCAGATTCAATCAGCGCTAGTTCTCAGGACCGCCATTACCCAAGCGCTTAACGGCATGGATCGCGTCGAAGACAGATTCTGCCTCGGGGAATACTTCCCTCCTCAGCGGACCCTCCCCTATGACTCTAAGGCTATGCCCACTAACAATGCGCGCCTGCCATATGCTGGTGAGCCCCGATTCATCGGCGCCATGAACAGTCACTGACCATTCACGGCATACAGGTCTCAAGCCAGATAACATGGTGATGCAAAGCCCACGGAGATGCAACCAATACACCGATGACAAGAAGGATCTCACCCACCTCCAGCTCGCCCTTCTCAACCAGCTCACCAATGCCGACAACGAGCAGAAGTGTGGCGCACCCAAGATGACTCATACCTATTCATCCTCTGCTGACTCATCCTCGAGCGGATGGTCCATGGGCGGTCTTTCTCCCTTCGTCAACAACAACGGGAGCTCCATCTGGGGATACGGCCCCGCGGAAGCTTTCCACACGACGAACACCTGGGCCATTCTCGCCGCCCAGCGCGCTGCATCTCCCAAAACCGCGCTCTTCCAGGCCTCCCAGGGAGCGCTCTACCCGCAGGCGATTGACGGCGATTACAGCGCACCTGATGTGCTGTCGCCGTCGACCGCCCTCGTACGTGCTGCGCCGCCCCATGAGCGTCAGGCCGTGCTGTCCCCGCCTCGCGTCGGGTCGCCTCAGGAGGCGGCGTTCTATCAGAAGCAGAACATGAACGTGAGGAAGGCGAGCCGCAGGCTCCATGGCGTCGGTGCCATCGGCGAGCACCTGCAGACTCGCGCGCCCGTCACGCGCATCACGGCGCGGGAGAACGCTGGCGCCTTCCAGGACGGCGGCGCCTTCTCTGATCAGGACTCGCCTCTGGACTCCCCGGCCTCGCTTGCTGAAGATGTCCCAGCTCCTCAGGTCGTCGTGTCGTCGGGCTACAGCCTCACTCCGGATGCCTACGATGACGTGATGGCTACCATCGAGGTTAAAGGTGCCGCTCAAGGCGGCGCCGACGTCCAAGGTCGCGGTGAGCTGCTCGGCGCTGGGGCGAACCTCCCTGCTCTCTGGCCAGCTCCGCCTGCGCCTGTCGGGCTAGGCCTTGAGACCACGAACAGCTACTTCGAAGCCCGTGAGCTCCCTCCCATGCCTGCCGCACGCGCGGGCGATGCCTCGCTGCCCAACAGCCTCGCGCTGCTTCTGAACAACGACGTGCAGTCGGCTGCTCTCGACGTCAATGCTGCTCGTGGTGTCGACGTTGCTCACGCCGTTCATCAGCCCCTCGCCGAGCAGCACGACAGAGGTGATCCAGGCTTCTCGCAGGCTCAGACGCTGCCTCCCGAGGCCGCTGCCGCCCACGAGGCTATCCTTAGGCGTCAGGACCTCGATGAGGATTACGCTGAGGATACGCCGCTCAGCCTCCACTGTGAACGCGTCCTCGCCCCGCACGCCCTTGTCCAGTTCTCGAACGACGAGCGCATGAGGTCCTGGGACCCGGACACCTGCATCGCGCAGATCAGGCGCTACCGCACGCACCAGCTTGACTGGCACTAGTCGTTCTTCTGAAGGACTGTCGCGATAGCGACTCGGATTGAGGTGACAGCTCGTCGCTATCTTTTGTACTTGCCTTTGCCGCTGCAATTTCTCCATCAGTGCTTTGCCCCGTTCTCTCCGAGCGTGTTTCTGGAAACGTGCTTAGGATGCTGTACTAACTTGGTCTTCATTGTGGCCTGTACGGGGCCGTTAACTCGTACTTACGACCTCGTTACTTGTGGATGGATCTGGGAACTGCATAGCTACTCGGGCGCAAGTATGACTGCATAGTGTACGTTGGAATTCTGCAATGTGTTGTAAAGTTTTGATGGTCCACGCTCAGACAGAGTCCGCGGTCGATGATCCAAGAGAAGGAGGCCCCTGCCCTCCCTGCTGTTCGTACGCCTTCGGATGAAGAATCGAGTGCATATCGGCAGGATGACAGTCCAATCGCGTGAAGGAGGCACGACAGCTACAAGTAGACTACGTAACGCCGCTGGAGTATCGTACCCATATCACACTTTGCCGCGTACGATCTCCCGGCCCTCCCTCTCATCGAAGTCCCAATTCTCACAGTACATGAACTCCCTGCCCTCCATACTCTCGCTATGGGTAAGCCTGTCGCGCACCAAGGGCCTTCCGTCGATGTCCCGATCTACAGCCCAGGCAGTCATCCAAAACGCCTTCTCCACTTCCTCGAAGAAGATCGTCTTGAGGCTGCGCCCGTGAACTGCAAACAGGCGTGCCGTCGCCTTCGCCGCGTCCACCTCTATTTCGTCATCCTGTCTATTTGCTGAGAAGGCGGGGACGCCGCTCGCAGCGTCTTCGGCGCGTTCCATATGGAGCAGAGAGCACGTAGCCAGGCGCATTGCAGAGAGTGGCATGTTCAGTCCGAGGTGCTCCAGATGCGGAAGGGCAGCGAGATGCGGGGCGTATTCGAAGCAAGGGCGAGGCCAGGGCGTGAGCGGTAGCTGCTTGTACGATACGCTGGCGCAGAACTCCAGGACCAGCTTCGTCAGGTCGGGCGCAGAGTGTCCGAGGGCGGCAAGGAATTCGGGACGAGCATATTGCAGACCAGCGATGCGAAGGACGCGGAGGTGAGGTGCATGTAGGAAAGAGTCACAGAGAGCGAGCGCAACGTCCCTCTTGATATGGGACGCGATGGGCAAGATCGAGAGATGGGTGAGCGGGGCAATGCCGGCTGCCGTGATAGCGTCCGCCAATATCGTCAGAGATTCGGCGCGTACTCGTCGCAGGTCGAGGCGGCGTATATGCGTCATGATGTTGTGTCCGCGATCGTCGATGATGCGAGGGAGAAGGGGAGCTCCGTGCCCCTGATGGCCGTAGAAGGAGAGGAAAAGGACGGATGGGCAGAAACAAGCGAGGTTCAAGAGCCAGTTGTCGTCGTGTCGGAGGTGTTCCATTTTGAGGTGAAGGTTGACGATACTCGGAGCCCTAGACCTGCAGGACTAAGTATCATTTCGTTACAGCAAACAGACGCGAGAATGCACCACTGCACATCAGCGGGGACGATGGTGTCTAGATGGAGGGTGCGGAGCGTTTTGCACCACGCAATGCCCTCCCACAGCGTCTCGTTGATATAGCGACTGTAAAAGGAGAACCTGACGACCGGAGACAAGAGCAGCTGGATGTAGAGAAGTTCATAGAAGGAGCCGACCAGTTCGAGGTACGGAATATCCATGTCGTCCACAAAGTTGAAGGGGTAGAAGGCCGCCCATTCGCTCGACCAGCATTCGAGAAAGGTCAGGCATCGGATCTGTCGCCAGATGTCTCGCGTCCGCGTTGCGCGACACATACGCTCGTAGATAGCGTCGCGTTGTGCGAACGCGACTTCGTGCACATGGGCGCGTACTCTCCTGCCATGTTCCTCGGCGTCAAGAGGTATATCGTCCAGGATAGGCAGGTCTAAGTCGTCCACTCTCATTTCATAGTCAACGTCCTGCAAGAGTCACAATGAGTTCCCTGCACGTGGGGTAGGATACCGACCGATATCTCCAAACAAACCTCATATATGAACTGAGACGCTTGCTCCTGCAAAGCCTTGCAAGTCATATGCCATCTCCTACGCTGAACCATGCTAGAAACCGACATGATGTGGGCAAGGATCTCGAGAGGTAGATCCAACAAAAGGAGGATCTGGAACTGAGGGCGTGGGTACTTCTCGACGACCTTCTCCCAAGCTTCTGTTGCATCCGTCAGCATATATGCGCTGAGATGCATGAGACGGGACTGACCGAACTCAGCCATGATAAAGTCACAGTCAACGGTACGACCCAGGTGCCACTTCCTGGCAAGATCTTCCCAGAGTTTGTTGGCCTCAAGTAGGCAAACGGCGATCCCCTGAACGCCGTCCTCCGTTACTGCGTCTTGCCCTTGTATACTGCTACATCCTCTTGTTGCATACTTCAGGTCGTCGACGAAGGCATCCAGACGGGTCCGCGCGCGCGCGTACCGCGAAGGATACCGCCCCACGCCATCGAGTATTCCCTGCAAAAAGTTCTTTTCACACCGATCTCCAAACAAGCATAAAGCAAACTTACGATATGGAAGCCAACGAGCGTGCGGAAAAGTCGCTGAATAGCGCTCATCCCATATTCGTTGACGCAACGCTGATGTTTGTGACGACTTATTTCCGTCTCCGGTGGAGTGTCTTCCTCACGTCCCCAGTACATGCAGCTGTCCATATGAGAGAAGAGCGTATTCTCGATATACTCATCGTGCATCTTCATGGTCGACCCTTGGGTACGGAGCCAGCGACTGATTACTGGATCCGTCTTCGTTCTGGCTGCAGAATCACGGTGTTGAGCAGATCTGACGCCGTACGATGAACGCACTCACCTTCCAAGATTGCGACTTCCATCTCCGAGTCAGAGTCCATGGCAATTCGATGCGGTCAGCTGTCGGCGTAGTAAGGATGGTGATGGAGCAGAGCAAGAAACGAACTTGATTTACGGGCGTAATTGGCACCTCACGGATAGATCAGCTCCGGCAGACGCCGAGCCTTCAAGTCTTCGACACACTTGAGTCCGGCGTTCGGCGTTCCTAACTCTCGTCCTCCAATATATATCACCTATCGCCTCTCAACAAGGAAGGAACTTCTGGACAAAAAGGTAGAAAGATAGATATTTACGTCAGTGCCTGGATTCGAACTCGAACGTCTCTCCCCCAACGGCCACGAGCAATTTCACTTCGCGCACCGGTGGACCGCGCCACGACCTCCTCGGTGACCTGTACATTCCCGCCATGGCTGCGGACGGCGACCCCGAAACGAATGGTGCCAACGGCACTGACGACCACAACGTCAAGAAGAATGGCGTTCACGAACATCAACACCGCGACTCAGAGGCGGAGGCTATGGTTATCGACTCCCTCCGAACACAGGTTCAGGATCTCTTCACCCAGGTCACCCAGCTCAATGGCAAGCTCGTCAAGTCCTACAATCGAGTCTCCGACCTTGAGGATGAGCTCCACGTCGCCACTGCCCAGCTCCGCTCTTCGTCCGCGAAGGTCTCCGAGCTCGAGCTCGAGCGGACGCAACACCTCGCTGCGCTCAACACCGGGCTCCTTGTCGAGAAGTCCCATGTCACGACCGAACTCAACCGCCTCATGGAGAAAGCCACGGAGGAAGCGGCTCAACGCGGGCAGGCGGAGAGTGCGCGCGCCGCGATCGAGAAGGACCTCGATGACCTCAGTGCCAGCCTCTTCGACCAGGCAAACACCATGGTCGCCGAGGCTCGCTATGAGCGCGCCCTCAGCGAGCGCAAGGTTGAAGAAGCCGAGCGCGCGCTCAAGACCGCGGAGGAGGCCGTCGCGATGATGCAGGCGCAAATGCAGGAGCTGCAGGCGGAGAAGGAGGCAGCGATGCTCCGCGCGCACGAAGCAGAGATGCGTATGGGCAAGGGCAAATGGGTCGACCGCGGCCAGGACATTGTCAAGCCAATGCGTCTCCTCAGCTCGCACTCTCCGTATCAGGAATTCCTTCTCTTTGTTGCCCACCTCCGGACGATACATCCCCAATCCCCCCAACCACCCGCCATGACGACGCTGCTGCAACTCCCCTTCCTCGCCCGCATTCAGACGGAGGACTCGTGCGTGACTAGCCTACTCACCTAGACCCAACTCACGCGTTAGCCTCAGTGAACCCACACTTCGGCTCGATATCGCACCGTCGCTGAATTGGCTTTCGCGACGCTCGGTGCTCGCTGCCATTCACACTGGCCAGCTCACAATCGAGCCCATGTCTGCGGCCGCCTTCGCGCAGGAAGTACCCTCCGTCCTAAGCGGTGGTACTGTTTCCTGCGCTTTGTGTGGGACCATCATTTGCTCCGCGCCCGCAGAAACCTCGCAGAAGCCCCCACAACATCCTTCAATCTCCGGCCTGCCGCAGTTTAATACCCGCTCGTGGTCCAGGTTCTCCAACCCCTTCGCTTCAGGAAACACGGGCAACTCGGCTAATGGGGCGCCCTCACCTACACTACAGACCATGCCGTCGCAAATCTACATCTTCCGCTTAACTTTTCCCGCCGGGACATCTACCGGCCCTATTGCGTCGATGCCTCTGTCCCTGGGGATTTCTACCGGTCCCGCATCGCCTGGGCGTCCTCCATCCTCCCTTGGCTCCCCACAACCGCACACCAATGGACACACCCATTCCCATTCAAGCTCTTCCGGGACAACGACCGTCTACCCACTGTGTCCGGATGGCTGGTGTCTCTCTCGCCTTCGCCGAACATGCTCGTTATGGTCTTTTGTCCGCACGAGCATCGTCGACAAGGTCTGGGAGGAAGAAGTCCCAAATCTCCCGTCGCCAACTATGCCTGTGCCGCCCTCGGGTGAGAAGCCACCTGTACCTCCTCGTCGGCGTGGTCTGTGGGGTATGGCGACAGCCTTGGGCGAGCGTGCTGCAAGCTGGACGGAGGGTTCTAAGACGCCGCAGAGCCCATCGAAGAAGCCCAGCTTGGAGCGGGCACCATCTTCGGAGAAGGCTCTTCCCGAGAAGGGCTTGCCTTCACCGCCTCCCGTGCACCCGACTTTGTCTGCGGCTCCAGCGGCGAAACCGCCTCCTCTGCCCCGCCGCAACGAGGCGCGCACGAGCTCGGACGAGCCGAACTCTGCTTCGGCGCCATTGCCCACAGCCGTGCCGCCTCCGCTCCCTCGTCGACACGAAGCGCGCTCTCCTGCACCCATCCCTGCACCTCCTGCTTCCCCGCGGGCAATTCCGCTGCCCGAGTCCCGCCCTGGGACACCCATGCGTAGGGACTCGTCCTCGCGCCCCGGGACCCCAACTGGTGGTAGTCCGCCCGTTTTGCCACCCCGCGCCGCGGCTCGTCGAAGCATGAACTTGGGCACAACCCCACCTCCGCCACCACGGGCAGAGACACCAGTCACCCCTGGGGCCCCACCGCCTGTCCCGAGGCGCGCGGCGGCGCGTGGCCCGCGACCAATGTCGACACACCTTCGGCGGGCAAGCGACATGGCGGGATCGCCATTGGCTTCGGAGCGGCCAACGACGCCGGCACTGGAGGGTTCGTCCGAAGCCATGGCCGCTGAGGCGAAGGAGGAAGAGAGGCCCGAACGGCAGCTGTCAACCCCGGCTTTGAAGGAAGAGAGCTCGTCTGACACTGACGCGGCGTTCGTGGACGCGCACGAGGAGCAACCGCACGAAGGGCGTGCTGAGCACAAGTCCCCTGAGCTCTCCGTGCCAGAGCCAGTAGCGGAAGCGGCCGAGGAGACTGCTGCCGAGGACAAGCCAGCCGAATCCGTATCGGTACCGGAAGAACCTGCGCAGGAGGATACGGCTACAATCCAACCTTCGCACCAGGACGCACCGGCTGCCTCGCCCGTCATTCTATCCCCGATGCCGACACCTGCGCTTTCCCTCGCTCCTGCTGTCGAGCTCGATGACGAGAAAGTTGCGGATGTCGATGCGGTCAATGGCGTGAATGGCGTCAACGGCATTGCCTCGTCGGAGGAAGGCAGCGCGGAGGGCCATGCCCAGGACGCGGATGAGGATGACAAGAATACTGTGTACATCGGCGATGCAACATGGGAGGAGAGGACGTGGAAGGAGCTGGTTCGGCTGCGCGAGGAGATGTTCTGGGCGCGCATTGGGCGGCGATGAAGAAGGACCTGAATGCATTCCTGGAAGAAAGCGCAAGGCCTCTGTCGCGTGCGGATGCTGCATTAGCAGTAACGATCTTGGTTGGTTCACGGTATACGATTGGCCATGTACGTACCCTGTTCAGTGGTTCTGTTGTATACCCGGCCTTGCCGCAGTGTTGTCGGAGTTTATGATATCACGTCGGACTGTATTTATCTTCTCGTAGACAGACATACTATCTGTGGACGGTATCTACCTTATAATCACGCAGTTGAGATGCTAGTCGGAAGCACGGTGGAAGTTGACTTTTGAGGCAAACAGGTGAGCGGTCCGACTACCGTGCTTGCAGGCGCGTAACATTCCAGGTCACGTCTCGAGGCATCACAGTCGAGCAGCAAGGCAGCGACTCTGTCCTCACTTTCAGCGCGTGCAACAATGGACTCCGACATCGAGATAGATATCGACTTCCTCCAGTGTGCGTCCTCCGCTTCCATGAAGAGATGTCCCCTGATACTCACATCGCGTTAGCTCGAGACGGTGCAGGCCCCGAGGCTCGCCGCTGGCTGACAAGCCGTAAGACAACGCATAAGCTCATGGAGGATGAGATCAATAAAGTGCTGAGAATGCACTTCACGGGTTGCATGAGTTCAGCAGCCCATGGAGGTGACTCCAATGGCGCGATCTGCTCAACGCAGGAATCCGAACACAAGCACTATTGTACTGACGCCTTCGGAGTATTTCACATCAATCGCCTCTTCAGGACGGTCTCTGGCTTCCATACTGTGAGTACGCATGCATCCTGGCGTCAATGAGTGTACTGATGGTGCGCATCACGCAGGGCTCACTCGATTTGGCAGGCCGCTTTCCTGACCGGTATAATCGGGTGAAAGGTCGAATGGACGCCTTGGTGAAGGATGTGACTCCTTTTCCCGATGGTGCCAGCGAAGAAGAGATTCTGACGAAGATAGTGGAGGCGTTGGAAGCGTCAGGCGGTGAAGAACTTGGCCTGCCATGGGCTGAAGCCGTCAAGAAGTGGCATCTGGGCACGATGGTGGATCTGAACGCTTTCATGGATTACTGGGGTCCGTAGTTCCTCAACGTGCGAGATCGAGGTCTGACAGGCTCGACAGAAACGACGGAGCTCATAATTGCTGCCAGTCCCCTACCTCGCTTTCAGACACTCTGCCTGACAGACCTTCCTCCCGAGATCATCGACCGGATTATGGAGCATTCAAGTCCAGGAGAATTGAGAGTATGGTGCATGACCTGCAGGCTGCTGCGAGAGCGTGCCCTTTACTATGCGTATGAGGTACGCTTTTCGCACGAGGCCTTGTCCTGTCGCTGATCGACCACCATCCACTCACAGGCCCTCGAGTACGAGATGACTCCGAAGGAACTCGAGCGCGACCGACTTCGAAGCGAACCTATAGGCAGTGACCATTTTCCGCAAATGCAGGAATACATACGTGGCATCGCCATGGGACAGCGCGACGCCATTCTTCATCGCATGCGCCACGCCATGGGCCAGCCAAGCATCGCCCGTCAGATCCGGCGCCTGGCGTTTGTTGAGACCTGGACCTCTACCCGCACACGCTCGCGCCTCGAGCCGTTCAGCTACATGGACCATATGGGCATTTCCTATCACGACATGTTCACTCCAGTTTTCGAGCTGCTGGTCGACCACCTCCGTTCTTCTCCCGTCGACAAGCTCGTGTACCAAAGCCGCTTTATCTATGCTTACCTGTGGGATGCAATCTCGGAGTCGGCGAACCTTCGCCACCTTGACTTGGTGACTAACGTGCCCACGGACACGCCATGGTATGTCAACGCGATCGTTCGGGAACTTATACTGACATATCGTAGGCCCTTGGCGCCGAACGTAGTCAACCTCCACCTCACAATATTCAATACCGATGACCATCCGGACCGCCTTTGGAATATCGCCTACTCATGCCCATCGACGCTCTTTCTCCACGTTCGCGATCCATTCCGATACATGGTCTACATTCCGAGGGCGCTCTCCAGCGCCGATGGCCGTAATATCATGACGCACGTACGGCGGCTCGACCTACAGGACGTTATAGCCGACACCCTGATCAATCTAGTGACCGCCATTCTGGTCGCGGGAACCATACCCCTCACGCACCTCGCCATCTCCGCCACTGTTTCGCGTATCAAGCGCGCCATCGCGCTCGTACTGGCCGATTCGCTTCGTAATGCACCCAACCTCGCCGCCCTTCGCCTGTCCGGTCTGCACTTCGTCGACCCCGTCTTCTTCGCTCTCCTTGGACAGTGCGTCCCAAACCTCAGGCAGCTTGTCATAGAATACAAGCCAGGTATCTTGCTGTCGAAGTCATACCCCAAGGCTCCCTGGCCATTCCCCTCGTACTGCTACGCCCCGCTCTTCGCGGCGTTCCCGTACTTGGAGCACTTAGGGTTGAATATCCCGATCGTCGACGTCTCGTGTACATCGAAATACCTCGCGCGCATGGAGAGCGGCTACCAGGATATGCCATCGGTCGAGGAGGGTGATCTAGGACAAGACAGTAGCGGAACTGCAGTGGATTGTGTGGCAATGGAGGGAGCGCGAGCTATGGCACGCCTCTTCGCGGTGTACGCGCCTCGGCTACGCACCATCTTCTTCGAACAAGTGGCTTTGCAGGTCTGGAATTCTGCGTGGGCCATTGATCGTGATCCCAACGGGCGGCCACTGCCACGTAGGGACCTCACGCGCAAGGAGAGGTCGCGAGGTATGACTTGCGGCTCGTTTCGCTGGGCGGCCGACTGGGAGTTCAGCGAGAAGGAGTTGAAGGAGATTTTGCGCGGCGCCAGCACGCCCTCATCCATCTAAAGCAGTCAACTCTCGTTGGATTTGATAGAAGCACCGTCCGATTATCTCGCATATGTACCATCCATAACAGCATTCTACCTCATAGTCAGGATACTTGCGCGCGATCACAGAATGAATAATGGCCGGCGATGTCCGAATTTCTGAGTGTCATCACGTGCTGGTGGGACTTGCTCTCACGTGCTCGTTTCGATTTCGAGCCACGGCCCGGCATTTATTAATATTTATTCCTTGCTTCTCTCCAACATCATCTCTGCCGCGCCGGAGATTAAGAGTGTCCATACATGATGGACTCTGACTCGGAAATAGAATGTGCGGTCTTGGAATGTGAATGCGACTGTCAAGCGCTCGTGAACATACTGATTACAGTGCCCTCTTAGCTAGAGATAGTTCGGGAGCAGCGACTGGGCGTTGGCTTCAGCTGCATGGGCCGGCAAAGAACATCTATGATGGAAAGATCACGTCTGCGCTATTCGGACATATGAAAAGCTGCATGCGCACGCGGGTCTGGGTCAACGACGAGTTCGACGAGGAGTATTTCCTGTACATGCATCAGCGTTGCGTCGACGAGTTTGGCGTCAACATGGTCGAACGGTTCTTTCATATTCTGATTGGCTTTCATACCGTGAGTGGATTATATACATCAACAATAACCAGTCCTGATATAATTCAACACAGGGCATACTCGATAGCGTCGGCCGGTTCCCTGAGCGATACGAACGAGCGCGGACGCGTTTGGCCGCCTTCGTCGACGACCTGAAAATTGTGACAGAAGGTCTCGCCAGCGATACCCAGCTACCCCCACGAGATGTAGCAATGAGGGAGAAAGTCTCAAATACAACTGATTCGCGCGCACTATGGCAAGAATTTGCCAAGAAATGGCAGCTGGGTCTGACCGTGGACTACAGTTTCGTTCTCTGCAAGATTGGTGAGAGGTTTGTTGAGTATTTCGACGCATATATGCTGACTTGGGTGACAGAAAACTGGGAGAAAGTCGTCGAGAAGAACCCACACCCACGCTTCCAAGTTCTCTGTTTGCTGGACCTGCCTCCCGAAATCCTCAGTCACGTCATGCTGGTCTCCGACCAGGATCAGCGCAAAAGTTGGTATATGACTTGCAAGTCGCTGCAGGAACCAGCGTCCCGTTTCGTATACGAGGTATGCATCGAGTATATACGCGCTTCACCCTCCTCTTCGAGGGCTCATTTTGGCTATTGGCAGGTGATCGAGTACTATATGGGAATGTCCCTTGTCGCAAAGGATCCCGCGGACGACATACCCGCTGATGCTGAAGATCGTCACAGCAGGATTTGTGCCTGCGCTCGCCAAGCCGCTTTCGCACAACGCGACGCTATCTACGAGCGCATGTGGCGTGCGACACGGAGTGAAGCCATCTCTCGACAGACGCGACGCCTCACCTTTCACGAGTCGTGGACTAGCGAGTCGCACACGTTCTACCCCTTCAACTATGTGGACTACCTGGAAATTCCGTATTACGGACTATTCGGCCCTCTCTTCAAACGTCTCAGTAAGCAGCTGCTTCGGTCACCGGTGGTCGAATTCTCGTATCGCACTCGCTATATAAGCGAGGCTCTGTGGGTTGCTCTATCGGGCTGCGAGACGCTCCGTACCCTCGAGTTGGAAACCATTGTCCCAGCTGATCTGCAGTGGTGTGTTCTTACATGCGACTAGCGTTGGAGAAATGACATTGACCTTCTTTAGGGCCATGGCACCCAGTGTGGTAAACCTTCGCCTCCGCATGGAACATCTACGATACGAAGTCAACTGGCTCTGGAACATCGCTTGCTTCTGCCCATCCGCGCTCTTCCTCTCCTTTATCGGTCACGAGGAGCACGGGGCGCCTGTCCTTCCTCGGATTATCGACAACAACGGCCACAACATCATGACGCATATACGACGCCTCGACCTGCGACGAGTACGCGCCGAATCTCTGACGATCTTGGCGGACGCTATCGCGCTGGCTGGTCCAGCTCCCCTCACGCACCTCTCTATCTCGCCAATCGCGTCTCACATCAAGCAGGATGTCGCTCTCGCTCTCTGCGATTCTTTTCGACAGGCACCTTACCTCCGCGTCCTTCGCATCGCTAGTCTGCAGTATGCTCGTCCCGAGTTCCTCGCCCTCCTAGGAGAATGCGCGCCTGACCTGACGATGCTAGTTCTGGAGTTCTGTCCTAGCGTGTCATTACAGGAGCTACCGTCATCTCCCTGGCCCCGCCCTTCCTTCGAATACGCGCTGCATCTCGCTGCTTTATCGCACTTGGAGCATCTCGGACTGAACATACCGGTAGACAGACGCCGCGTGGCTACGAACGCTCTCATCGCTCTGGAACGTGCAGAACGCCCGACGAGCGGCGACGAAATCTTCTCAGACGATGAAGCCGACGAAGACGACAGTGTAGGGGAGAACGCTGCCATGGCTACAGCGCGCCTCTTTGCTGTTTACGGGCGCAGACTAAAGACGATCTTCTTCGACAAAGTCGAGTGGCCGCATTGGGGCTCAGGATGGGCTGTTGATCGGGATATCGACGGCACTCCTTTGCTCCGCAACAAGCTTACCGATCGTGAGCGCGCGCAGGGTGAGGAATTCGCGTCGTATTGTCGGGATTGGGAGTTTGAAGGGAAGGAGGGCGAGGAAATACTACGTGGCGAAGTGTGAAGTGGTCTCGGTTGTCTTGTAAAATCAACATAATCGAGACGTATACGTGCACTGTTCTCGTAGATTGAATTCCTGCCTGTATTCCGTTGCAGTTGAGTAACATAAGTGAAGCCCTCCCGTAGAGCCCAGGTGCTGTGGAAACCATATCCCTGCTAGCTCAGTGGTAGAGCGCTTCACTAGTAATGAAGAGGTCAGTCGTTCAAGTCGGCTGCGGGGAATCTGCACTATCGATCTTTTTTGCCTCGCATTGCATTGGCAACCTACCGTGCGCGCTGGATATCCGAAACTTCCTTTTGGATGGGCTGCCCATACTGAAATGTTGTAGTTCCTACGTTTGGATCGCAAGGTTGTGCTTACCAAGGGATTGCCTGATCCTCCTGATCAGTCAACCAAGTGACTCCGGTATGCAGAGATAACCGGCGTCGTCGTACGGGGTCAGCAATCGTACGTTCCGCACGCATCGCACTCTGGCGCCTCGCTAGAATACAAGTGCACTTTGGCTTGGGTGGAAGCGAATTCATCTCGAAGAGCAGCGGAAGCCTTGTCCTCCTCGTTCCCTCGCGCGTCATCTTCCCCCACCATGTCGACATCCGCAGGGCCGTCTTCCCAGCGAGATCCCCCATCATCATCTACCCCTGCAGCCCAGCTCGCCTCTTCCTCTTTCCAACCTACCACCTTCTCCGCTGAGAGCTACTTCGCCACGCAGCCAGCGCCGGCGACGCTCGCCCGCGATCTAGAGGGTGTACGCGCTTTTGTCAAGCGATGTCGGGAGCGGGGACAGAGGGTGGTGTTGATCACGGTGCGCGATGTGCTCCACGCACTCTCCGATCGTACTCACGAGCAACCCCAGAGCGGCGGCACAACGGTTCCCCTTGAGCTCAATGTGTGCGTGTCCGCTATATCGTGGGACGAAGCCCCTCTCCTCCATGCTATGCGCGCCAGCTACCTCATCGTATCGTCTCTCACACATGGTCCACCAGCGTCCGCTTCCTCGACAACTTCAGCGCCGGGACGCGTGGCGCGACCTCCGCGGAGTACTTCCTGAAGGCCGGCTACGCGGTCATCTTCATGCACCGGCAGTTCAGCCTGCAGCCCTTCAGCCGGCACTACTCGCACTCAACTAACCCCTTCCTGGACCTCCTGGAGATCCACGAAGACCCGAACGATCCTCTGAAGAAACAGATCACGGTGGCGCCACCGCGGCGGGAAGAGCTTCTCGAGGTCCTGGCCGCGTACAAGGACGTGCATGATCGCGGCATGATACATACGCTGACGTTCGTGACGGTCAACGACTACTTGTGGCTATTGCGTGCCGTGAGCAAGGAGCTGGCGGGGATGGGGAGGGACGTGCTGTATTACTTGGCTGCCGCCGTCAGCGATTTCTTCCTGCCCACGCAGAAGATGGTGAGTGTCAAGGCATGCTCTGACGCACCCTCGCCAATCGTATTCCAGTCCGTACACAAGATCCAATCCGGCAAGGGCAGCCTACAAATCGAGATGGACCAAGTACCGAAGATCCTGAAGCCGATGGTCGACGAGTGGACACCAGACGGATACGTCGTGTCCTTCAAGGTCGGTCTACCTTTCCCCGATCGTACCCCCCCCCTTCGCTCACGCATGCTGAATGTCATCGCACAGCTCGAAACCGACCCCGCGCTTCTCATCCCGAAAGCCCAAGCCGCGCTCGAGCGATACGGCCACCAGGTCGTCATCGGCAACGACCTCAACCGGCGCAAGTTTGAAGTCGTCTTCGTTACTCGCGCAGGGCAGCAGAAGAGCGGCGAGTTCGAGGAGACCTGGCTGCGCATCGACCCGGATGCCGCCAACCATCACGACAAGGAGATTGAAGAGGACATCGTGCGGGAGCTGGTTAGGCGGCACGAGGAGTGGATACAGGGGAAGCAGGCGTGAGGTGGAAGTCGTCGGTGCGCATAATGCGCGAATGTATAACAAGTATAACACACCCACTGCTCAATACTATGGGCGTGCTCAAATCGACCTTGAATGTCGGACTCGCCATAAGAGACCAGAACACTCCCAGCGAAATCCTACTGTATTCTCGTCACCTGTACAGGGAATACAGCTGTCTTATATACAAGCAAAGCACCATGAGAGCAATCCCAATTCACCCATGAAGCAGACCCAGTCTATCCATAAATACAACCTTATCCCTTACAGACGGTCGGGCATCATACGGCGGTGAGCGCGGCGCGCGATCGTGGCGAGGCAGGCGGTGCGCTGGCTCTCGCAGGCGGAGAACTGGAGGAGAGGGTGTCAGCCACATTCGCGGGGATTGGAAGCGAAAGAATGCGCGAAAAAAAAACTGCTCACGTCGACGTTGCCGCCGGTGTTGGGCGCCGCGTTGGCCTGGGCGGCGCACTTGTTGTAGTCGACCCAGCAGCTGTTGTAGGTGTTTCCAGACGACCCGGACGACCCGGTGGAGGTCGACGCGGGCGCGCTGGAGGAGGCAGCGGCAGAGGTGGCGGCAGCGGAGGTGGAAGCCGCAGCAGAGGTGGAAGCAGCAGCAGAAGTGGAAGCTGCAGAGGTCGAGGCTGCGGCGGAAGTCGAGGCAGCCGCGGAGGTGGCGGGCTCGGAGGCGGCGGCGGACGAGGACGGAGCAGCAGCAGAGGAGCTGGGTGCCGCGGCGGACGTCGCAGGCGCCGAGGTGGAGGAAGCGGCAGAGGTGGAGGCAGCAGCGGAGGTGGAGGCGGCAGCCGAGGTGGCAGGCGCGGACGAAGCAGGAGCGCTGCTTGAGCCAGAGCTCGTGCCGTCCGTGAAGACTGCTGGGCCCGGCATGTCGTACGAGGTCGGGATCTGTGTCTCGAGTCAGAACGGTGCTTCCTGCAAGTACAAGCAAGAACTTACTGGATAGTAGATGTTGATCTCGATGCTCTCATCACCAGCAGCAATGTAGCCCCTGCGCCCTCATAAGCCCTACAATTCCACAAACCCGAACCCAGATACTCACGGAATCTCAACAGTCGCCGGGCTCGCGCTCCCACCACCAGAGACGGCCAGCTGCGCGCAGGAGATGTACCACTGCGGGTCGCCCGTCGAGTGCAGGCCGATGTGCTCCATGCGGAGCAGGTAGTCGCCCGACTGGATCGTCTTTGGGATCGCCGTCGTCCACTGGGTCATGGTCGTGTCGAAGGTAAACGAGCCAGGCTCGATGTCGGGGCCGAGCTCCCAGATCTTGAACCAGTTGCTGCCCGAGCCGTCCCAGGTCGCCGCCGTCTCGCCGTCGGGCACCTTGCCGAGATACATGCCGAAGGGGCCCGCTGTGTGGCTGGTTAATCTGAGGCTCAACGTACGAGGGACTTGTGGGAAGGACGCACGGTGGAAGACCGCCTGGGCAGACTGGAAACCGACCGTGTCGCCAGCAGTAACGTTGTACGTCGAGGTTCCGGCGCCGGAGGACGCGCCGACATTGCAGCGAAGGTCAGTGCTCGTCACATCCTCGACAGGGCTGTTGTTGTTCGTGTTCTGGCGGACGTATTCGTACGCGTCCGTGACAGTGCCATCCGGCGCAATGAAGGAGGTGAAGCGGTCTGAAGAGGCTTAGTGTGTCGCAACCAGGAACAAAAGGAAATACTCACAATGCGCAAGGGCAGGCTGAATGAGAGCGAATGCCGCAGCGGCAGAAGCAGCAGTAGAGGTGAACTTCATGGTGCAAACGTACAAAAAACGACGGGGAAGGGCTGAGGAACAAGCGAACGTAAGGCCGAAAAGACGGTGAAGCGAAAGACTGAACCCGACTAGCGGTGTTGGGGACCAAAGACGATGATGAGGGAGAAATGCCTCATCTCACGCGCTTATATAGGGCAGCGCGTACGAGTCCGCGAGCAACCGGCGGGCGCCCAGCCAGGAGATCTTCCGGACTGATGTCGTTGCCAACGGAGGACGGGAAAGTTGAGGATCTGGTGCCTATTTTTATGGCCGGAGAGGCGAGGTCTGCGTGGTCGCATTGTCTGCGACTCTGGCTAGACCTACCACGAGTGTGATCAGGATGGCCTGCGCCTTCAGGGAGAAGGACAACAAGGGAAGTGGCAGGGAGTTCAATAGGCGTCATGGTGGACAGGCGGAAAGAATTTTTAAAAGACGGCGAGAGTATGGAAGTCACCCGTACGCCTTTGAGAGAGCGACACCAGATCCAATGCAGTCATTCGTTCCTGACCATTGAGCCGCCGAGGTTTCGACAATTATGCGTTGCTACCACGAAGTGCCTGGCAACAGCTCCGTCCGAGCGCACGTCCGTTCGGATACTTTCTTCATGAAGGTTCGAATCCGAGTATGCCACGCAGGTTGTCAGCGGTGAATCCCCAAGGTCCAGGACCTGAAGAAGCTGCGGATAAAGGATATGAACAACATTGCGACTTGATGGTAAAAGGCAAGGATTGAGAGCTCTTGTGTGGGCGTGTTTGTTTGTCGCACGTTATCGTAGGACACAGGTGCAAACAAGAGGCTCACATTGTCCTTTCCCGAGTTGTCTATCCATGAAACTGCTCAAATGGCTCGGCATTGTGCATTTTGTATGCTGACAGCGGTGCCGTATCTTCTGTGCGAATGGTCGGATCTGGCGCTAGTTTCTTCTTCTTGGCCTCGAACACGCCGTGTTGCCTATGTGCAACTTGCCGCAAGGACTTCTGAGCTCTCAGACGTGCTCACCATTCTTGATGTCTACTTACAGTCAGCAATCATTCGAAGCTGGCCGCTGCGTAGAAGCCTCACCACGAGTACGCTTACTGATAACATACGTCTTCAGCCCGGGTTTTGGCTGAGTAAGAGGTGATCGATTTTGTCCCTCCTTCCTCTCGCCATGACTCGTCCCGTAGAAGGGATAGAATTGGAAGGCAGATCGACTGCTTGCAGCTGCGTCGACATTATTGAGGACGATGTAGTCATCGCGGAGCATCCGACTACAGCATCGCACACAGGCTCCATCGGACAGGCCTCTCCAACGGATTTGGGCTCGGATAACGCGGATCGTGAGCAAGATGTCAACCTACCTCCCGCTGATAGAGGGGTGCAAGCTTGGTGTTTTGTGCGTATTTCTCTGTGTATTAGTCTATGTCTCGCGCTCACTTCATATGCGCAGCTGCTGGCAGCTTTTGTAGTGGAAGCTATAGTATGGAGCTTCCCGTTCACTTACGGCGTGTTCCTAGAAAGTAAGTGGTAAATCCTCCCGCTGGGTTCCGATCTTATGCCTCCCAGGCTACCTCAGTGACCCGACGTATGCCACTCAGAGCCACGCCACCGCCTTGTTGCCCTTGATTGGCACAATCTCTTCGGGCATCATGTACTGCGCTGGTTAGTGATTATTTGGCACCAGATCTTGTTGGTACTGATGGCGCTTCTCAGGTACTGTACTCCATCCCGCAATCGTGAGGTATCCCCGCTTGCGCCGTCCTGCTGTCTGGATCGGCGCCACCCTCTGTTCGGCAAGCCTCTTCTGCGCAAGCTACACTACGAAGGTGGGTAACTCCAGCGCCTACATCATCCAGTGTGACCGAGATTCTGTTAGATATCCGCTCTTTTTGGGCTTCAAGGAGTTGTCTACGCCATAGGCGGCAGTGAGCCCCTTCTTTCTTGTCTCGAGACTCTCACTTACCAAGCCTCTCAGGCCTTCTCTACTTCCCGACCATCTTCTATATGAACGAGTGGTTCGTCCGACTGCGCGGGACCGCGAGCGGCATCGTATTCGCCGGAACCGCCGCCGGAGGACTCATCCTCCCGCTCGTCTTCCCGCCTCTCATCACCAAGTACGGCGCACCGAAGACGCTCAGGATCTTCTCCATCGCCATCGCCTGTCTCCTGCTCCCAGTTATTCCGTATATCAAGGGCCGACTCCCGCCTAGAGTATATGGACCTGCACCAAGAGCGAGCAACCGCGGCTGGTTGAAGAATTCGTCGTTTTGGCTTTACACCGCGGTGAACTTGATCCAAGCCTTCGGCTACTTCATGCCTGTCGTCTGGCTGCCAAGTAAGTGGTATGCTTCGATCGCTTCGTCGCCCATGCTCAGCATACTATGCAGCCTTTGCGAGCGACATGTCCTTAGGATCGTTGGAGTCGGCTGCTGCCTTGGCCGCCCTCAACGGTAATCCTGTCGCCGCTTGTTCACAACCTTCGCTCATCCCACACTCGTACAGGCGCCTCTGTCGTAGGCGGACTTCTCATGGGTTATCTCTCCGACCACTTCAACGCCTGGCTCCTCGCCCTCGGGTCGCTCGTCTCGACCGCGCTTGCCACATTTATCCTATGGGGCGTCCTCGGCAACACATTCGCAGGCCTCGTCGCCTTCGGCGTGGCATACGGCATCGTCGCTGGCAGCTTCAGCAGCCTTTGGATGTCCTTTGCGCGCATGTACGCGAGTAAGTCGGAGTGATCTTTTTGTCCGCCCCTCAATCGCATCTTAACCGACCTTCCCTCCGCAGAAGAAGAGCCCGGCCTCTCCACGACGCTCTTCGGCTATATATGCCTGTGTCGCGGCATCGGGAACGTGCTCTCCACGCCCATCGCTACTGCACTGACTAGCAGGAGTATCTCAAGCACGCTGCCCAGCGCGACTGGCTTCGCGGTAGGCGGTGGGAGGTTTGAGAGCATGATCATCTACTCGGGGACCTGCTTCGCTGGCGCCGCGGGGCTTGCCGTCTTCGGGTGGCGGTCTGAATTGTGGTCCCTTCATCGGCAGTGAAAGCAGGGAGTAGCGTGTCAAATTCCTCGATAGGGTGCAGTGGTCGTGGTATACAGAAGCGGGGCGGTATAAAATTCCCTTCAGATCCAAAAATCATAGGCCGTCAGTAGATCAGATGTAAGTAGATCAGTTAAATGTAGTAGATTGGTCGAGTCTTGGGCATCAGTCGACGTTGAATGGAGGCATAATTTGCGTCCTTCCTTCGACTGGCCAGACTTCTTCCATGGTGTCGGCGTTCCACAGCCTCCCACTGCGCGCGACGTGTGATAATTCGCGCGAGCGGCGGATATCGTCCTTTAAAATGTCCACGCCAGGTGGATAGATCACGAAGTCTGCCAGCTTCCCTGGCTCGAGCGAGCCGATCGAGGAGTCCAATCCGAAGGTTTTGGCCGCGTCGATTGTTGCTGCACGGTAGACCTACAACGATTGTTAGTATAGGAAGCAAAGATCCAGAAGACGAACCGGTGCTTACTTCATAATTGGACAGCCCGCCCTGCTTTGAGAACCACAACTCCGAATGATAGTTCAGCCCCATCGGCTGCTCGCCGTGCGCCCCAATATGCACCGGAACACCGCGATGGACAAGTTCGGTAGCGTCCGCACTCATGTTCCAGAGCTCGAATGCTGTGGAGGATGTCAACCGAATGAAGGATTTTGACGTGAGGCGACTCACAGTACGCTGGTCTCGATGTCGACTCAGACAATTCATACAGCTGAGTGTGTGGAACCAAGCGCCGAAGCCTGGTCATGATCATTAGCCATTAGTGTCATGGGGAGAAATCGTGAACGCACTTCTCATTATTCGGTAGGTCCTCGTTGGCCCAGATGATCTCTTCTCCCGTGATGCCATCGTAACTGACGATATGCGTAGGCGTGTAGCCTGTACCGGACGCGGCGAAGAGGGCGAGGACGTCTTCGTATAGAGGAGAGATGGGGAGCGAATGCTCCATTGTGGTCATTCCTATTCGCGTGTTAGGATTTAGTTAGATCGAAGAGATCGCACAACGCACCGTCGATAAGGTAGGTCAGATCCCAGTCCCAGTTGGCGCCGCCTTCGGGTACGCACATCAGGCCCATCTCGCGCGAAGCCAGCAGAAGACGCTGTCGTGACGCGCTAAGGATGTGTCAGTCGCGAAGATCAAAACAGAATATGTGAGACGAACCGTGAGGGTAGTTGATAGTTCTTATACGCTAGCATGTAAGGGCCGCCCTCATCGCGTATACGTACAAGGGACTCCCGCGCTTGTTGCATATCCACGATCTCTTGGTGTATTCCGGGCCAGCCAGCGCCAAATAAGACCATCCCCGTTGTGAAGATGCGCGGACCAATTAGTTGCCCCCGTTCCAAGCGCGAACGCTGCGCAAATGCCTCGACGGTCATGGCGCTGGGGCTGCGAGGTTCGATATGAGCCGCGAGCGACAAGAATACTTTGTAGAGCGAGCGACTCACTTATGCATCGTAGTCACACCGTAGGCGAGGAAGACTTGCATCTCCCACGACGCGGCCGGGAAACGGACCATATAGTCACCCCAATGCGCGTGCGCGTCGATGAAGCCGGGAGTGATGAAGCCTCCTTGTGCGTTGAAGACGGTGGCGCCATCGGGTACGACGACCGTACCCGTAGATCCCACAGCCTCGATGATTCCACCCCGTATTACCATGGTCCCGTCGTGCATGACATCTTCCTCGGGACCTTCGCCGCTCGCCATCGTCAAGATTGTGGCGTTGGCGATGACCAGGACATCCGCGTTTAATTCGGCATCGGCGCGACCCGTCTTCGCCGCCTCTGCCGCCTCATGAGCCTGTGCGCGAAGTCGTGCGATATCACTTGGGTGCTGAATAGAGATTGGGTACCGCTCAACCAGCGTCGCCACACAGTTAGATCCATGATGAGGCGCGTCTATCTGGATTGCTTCATGACATTCCGCGAGTCTGTCGACCTCGACTGAATGTAGGACCGGTCCTGGGAGCAAGCATGACAATAAGTCCATGTCTTTATAAAATCAAGACGCCACTCACCCGACGCCCAGAACAACCGCTCCCCAGTGCCACTCCAGGCCAGATCATGGCCACCATTCTCGGTCAACCGTACCAACCCAGGGGTCGCATTCGCCGGCTTGGCCCACAAGCTCGTGTCCGCGGTGACCCTCGGGATGTAGTAGACGTGATAATGGTCCACGAATGCTGCGCCGCTCTGGGCACCAATGGTCGGTCGTACGCGCACCTCGCTCGACATCTTCCCATGTACGAGCGTCGTGTGCATCGGCATGCCGGTCGCGTTCGGTGCGGACTCGAGGTCGACGGCGACGGTGCGCTTGGGCGTGTGCGCCAATATCCTGTCCTGACCGGCGAACTCAAGCTTGAGGTAGCCCGTGACTGCCGCGGACACCTCGGAGGGGATATGACGGACGTTTGCGGCGATGACGGTTCCAGCCTCCGACTTCGAGTCCGTGGTTATGTCGGGTAACTCGATTTGCGCGACGTATAGGCCCGAGTGCGCTGTCTCCACGACATTCCCCGTGATGACATCGCCAGCAGCGCGCATGAAGGTCAGCGTGCGCTGTGCTCCTGGCCCACCGCTGACAGCTGGACTGAAGTGCCGACCGACTGGCAGTCCCTTGACTTCCCAGACTCTCCCCGACGCTACATCGGCGACCTCGAAGGTGGAGAAAATGGGGCTACCCCTGTCGTCCTCAACATCCGCCCAGCGCGTGTGGATGACGAGATCCGAGTCAGGAATAAACGCCGGCGAAAAGTACGGCTTATCTGAATGAAGGCGGGGGATTTCTCGCGTTTTGTTACCAGCGATGTCGTGCAGATATGTGACACCTGCAGCCTCGAACACGACACGCGAGCCCGTCTCGTCAGCGTCCAGTTCCCTGAGCGTGCGCACAGTCTGCGCGGGCTGCATTTCCAGTGCGACAAGGTCGGTGGACTCCTTCCGCGTGTCCGCGAGCTGGAGGTCAAGGTGTAGGGTGAAAGGAATGCGTGTGGGAGCGCCACCTGCAGTGCGTTGGCCAGCAGCGTTCACAGAGAGCGGTACGCGCCAGATGTGCCCTGCAGCCCAGATGATGATCGCGTCGTCGTTCGGCGTGAATGCGAAGGAGGGATAAGTGCCTGCTATCCCGCCGACGAGCTGTAGGTCGTGCGATAGGCCGTCCCAGATGTGGTGTAGGGTCCCGGTGGCAAGATCACTGCGTCAAAAGGTATGGGTTTAGTATCATTTGACAAAATTATGGGCATCAAAAAAATACGCACAGGAGGTAGAGAGCCTGCTTGTCACGTATGCGCCGCACGAAGGCGAGCGTGCGCTGGTCGCGGGAAAGTTCTGGTCGACTCGCGCCGCCAGGGAGAGCGTCGACGAGCTTGACTGTGGTGTCGGTGGTGAGGTTGTACGCGAAAATCTCATAGACGCCCTTGTGGACGTCTGCACTGCAGTAAGTCGATGCTGTCAACGCTCTGTAAGTATCACTCACCCTGGCCATACTCATATCTTCCCTTGAGCTGTGTGCTCTTGGAGTATATGATCGCATCCTCGCCCCACCACAAAAGCTGCTCAGGACCCAAATTCACGTCCGGGTACTCCTCCGTCTTCCACCCCCGCGGGAGCTCGCGAATTACAGTGCGGTCTCCCGCACCAGACGAGACTGCCCAGGACGACGGTAAGTCAGGTGGCGTAGGATAAATCCACCCCTCGCCGCCAGGAATCGTGATACTGCCCGTAAACCATTTTGTGGCAATGATACGTTCTCCCGATGGATGCCACCGCGGGTCGGTCACGAAGCGGTAGGTTTCATTCGTTACGCGTACTGCGTCGAGGCGACCCTCGCGTAATAGGCGGCGCTGACGGCGCTCTGTAGTTTCTGGAGTCCCGGCCGCGAGTAGGGCTTCGTCGGAGTCGCGGGTGGCCAATGCCTCCGCCAACCTGGGCGATGGTCTGTGCGTCGGACGCAGGTCCATGGCAGCGCACCCGCGCCACGGCATGACCCAGATATTATCCAGACCCAGCCCAGCGTCCGAGCGGAACGCGAGGCGTGTCCCGTCCGGGGAGAAATGCGCGTCCGCCTCTTTAGGGACACCGAGCAGTATTGGTCTAGCACGAGCAGGCACTTCCTTATCGTCGGCTGAGATGCAGTAGATGTCGCCGAGGATGTCAAAGACGATTTCGCCGGATACGGGATGCACGTCGAGGCGGAGCCAGGTGCCCTCGGTGACGTCGGCCTCGAAACGGCGAGGATAGGGAAAGTCCGTAGAGATGTCCCACGGCGTCTGCTCGCGCAACGGCCAGACGTCGTCTTTCCAGTCGCGTGCGGGGTCCGACGCAACAGGTGAGTCAGACGCATGTTCCGGTGGGTTTACCGAAGTGCTGAATGTCCAGAAAAGGGCCGTCGATGCCGCCGAGAGGAGGGCGAGTGCCACCAGCTGGGCATACCGATGCCGGGCGCGCGCAGGCGCGACTGGTGCTGTACCCTTCATGACGGTTTGAGAAGAACCCGGTACAGGTCCACACTCACCCTTCTCGGGATTGCGGTAGTGCGATTAGGGTTTCCCCTGCTGGTATAGAGGCGCGCCTGATAGGGACCTGTATGGCCACGCGCCGATATCAGATAAGGACCCGGGTCTTCGCCTGACTCTGATGGTGGCCGTATATAAGGATCAGATGAGCTTCCTGCCTTTCTCTCTGCTGAGATGGTACTGACGTTTGAATATGTAGATGATTCGGCCACGGACCCTTTGCGCAAATTTTCTGGCCCGTTTTCGAGCGGAAGTTGCTGGATGGCACGTGACCCAGGCCGGGTCGCGGCCCGCCCATGATGAACGTGGGAAACCGACGGATATTCAACTTGTTGTGAACGCCGATCCCGAGCGCGGCTTTTGGGCGTACCAATCGAGCTCTGCTAAGTAGGCGCTCACGAAACCTATGTTCTCCTGATGTCTTCATATGCCAGATGCCACGACGCGAAGTATTCGACACTCCTGCTCTCTCAATGCTAGACTCCCACCGCCGTTGTCCAGACCCCGGTGATCCTCATCGACCACATCGACCCCGACGCCCGCTCAGAATACCTTGCGAAAGGATGATGCCAAGCGCAGGCCAAGCGTCGTCGTCGCTAGCAATTGCAGGCAGTCACTAAGGTATCATGAAGCCCGTGCCTTCCTTTCATCATGGGCCGCCGAGGATTTCTCCGCGCTGCATACGGTATAAAAGCACGTCTGCGCTCTGATCGAGGTTTTTTCACCAGTGTACTTTTCTTCTCTTCCCTAGCCAGGCTTGCCAGTCAACCTTCCCGTCTTTTGACTCCTTACATTCGCTTTCCGGGTTTCTCGTTCTTTGAAGTCTTTACGCAGTCCTCCCTACGCGTCTGTCCAACACATCCCCATCCAGCACAATGAAGTTCACCACTGCTACTGCCTCTGCTGCTGCCGCTCTGGCGTTTGTTCAGCCCGCTTTGGCGCACTGTGAGCTTGACGAGCCTTCCATCCGATGCTTTTGCATATTGATCATGATCAACAGACCGCTTCACTTCGCTCATCGTCGATGGCACCGTCACCGGCGAGTACGAATACGTCCGCCAGAATACCAACAACAACAGCCCGGTCGAGGACTTGACCAGCACCGACATGCGTTGCAACGTCGGTGGTCTCGAGTCCGGCGCATCGACCTCCACCTATGAGGTCGCCGCCGGTTCGAAGGTTGGCTTCAAGGCCGACCAGGCCGCCTTCCATCCCGGCCCTGCTGGCATCTACCTTGGTCAAGTCCCCGAGGGTGAGACCGCAGCCACCTGGGACGGCTCTGGCGCCAACTGGCAAGTTCATTGTCCAGCATACCGTCAAGCGATACTAAACTTACATCCTTAGGTTCAAGATCTACGAGCTCGGCGCCGACATTGGCGAGGGCACCTTCTCCTTCCCGACCGACATTGACACGTACGAGACGACGATCCCCGCGAGCGTCCCGGCGGGCGATTACCTCCTCCGCATGGAGCACGTCGGCCTGCACTCCGCGGGCGCGCCGCAGTTCTACGTCTCGTGCGCGCAGCTCACGGTGACTGGTGGTGGTGATGCCAACCCGGACAAGGTCGAGATCCCGGGGTACATCGCGCCGGACGACCCAAGCGTGACGCTGAACATCTACTACCCCGTCCCCACGTCGTACGACTGCCCGGGACCGGAAGTGTTCACCGACGGGTCGAGCGGTGGTGATGCGAGCTCGTCGTCGGCGCCTGCGTCGTCTGCTCCGGCCACGTCTGCTGCGTCCTCTGCTGCGCCTTCCTCTGCTGCACCGACCTCGGCCGCCGAGTCCAGCGCTGCATCTGAGCCCGCTACCTCGGCCGCCGAGTCCTCTGCCCCCGCGACATCGTCTGCGCCCGCCACGTCGTCCGCCTCGGCAACCTCAGCTGCTCAGTCTTCTGCGCCCGCCGAGACGTCCGCGCCCGCTACCTCGAGCGCTGCCGCCCCTACTACCTCGGCCGCCCCCTCTACCAGCGCCTCTTCCCCCGCGACCTCCGTGTCTGCCCCCGCCTCTTCTGCGTCCGCCCCCGCGACCTCCGCCCCCGCCTCCGGCAACACCTACAACGACTGCTGGAACGCGTACAACAAGTGCGCCGCGGACGCCAACGCGGCCCCGAACGCCGGCGGCGCCGTCGACTTCTCGGCGTGCGAGAGCGAGCGCGCGACGTGCCTCTCTGGCATCGCGCGCCGCATGCACAGGCGGAAGGCGCTTCGTGCGTAAGCTGACAGCTCGCATGGGCAGCCGCTTGACTCGATGTGATAGCTACCTGCTCCCAGACTTCTTTCTCATCGCGCTCCGCGGAAGCTGGAGTGGAGCTTGAGCGCCGCGCGTCTTGGGCTCCCGCTTCCGTTGTCTCTTATACTCTTCCGTCCTTCTATGAGCTTTCTCACCCTTCACCGTGAGTTTGCTACGAGTTCTGAGCGACAAGCGCGTTTCCCTTGGTCCGAGACCCCGTTTGTACCTACCTACCTACCTACCTGAATGGCACCCTGGCTACATAAAAAATACAACACTCTCTACCCTAGATATGAGGTCTTCAGTGAGCCGCACGACTGGCGATGATGGGCACTTGCGTTGCAAGGCTTTCGCGCGGGGGATCTGGCAAGCGATTCAAGGATAGCCCAAGCCCATGAGATCCCCCGTAGACGTGACTGGGAGCAGAAAGAGTAGTTTGTGCATCCATTTGATAGCGAAGGCGGATAAGTACTGTACATGTTCGAGTGCTTCGAGTCATGACAAAAGTAGCTACGAAGGCAGAAGCCCAAGGGGGTGGAAAAAATTCAGCAGCAGACTCAGAGTGGTCTGAATTCGATTACAAGCCTGCCCTCGACGAGGAGGTTGGCATGCGCCGCGATTCGCACCGAAGGACGTCGGCCTTGCGCTGCGGTCTCGTCTCCGGAAGACCCCCTACGCTCTGGGAGTGCGCCATCGCCGGTGCACTACTGACTCTCTAGCCTTTGCTGGTGGAGGTGCCAGTGAGGGCGTTGGGGTATGTGTCGACCCAGGTCGGAGCTCGCCCAACATATGACGGGCCACGATGACTGAAGTAGGGACACGACCCCCTTGACAGTTCGACACGGACAACACCGCATCTCACTGCCCAGAGCAGCCAGCACGACAAGACGCGCGCCTCCGAGAGTACCCCGGATAACCCGAATCAGTCAGGCATGCGTCGGGAACAGTGCGCAGGGATGGAGATCGAGTCGCAAAACGCACCTCCCGCCATACTGGCGACATACGTCCGGCCCAGCTATGGGAGGAGAGCCAAACGCCCGAGCACCCGGCGCTCTCAAGGACCCTGTCTAGTCCTACTGTTGTCGCAGCCTCAAGAGCCGGGACATGGTATTGGGAGCCAACTACAGCGCAGACTCCAGATCGCTGGTGCGCCGGAGGCTGTCTGCAGCCTTGTGAAGCCCGCTAGAGCCTTCGAGGGTGCATTGTTCAGACCCGCACTCGCGAAGGAGGGCAAGACGCCCTGTCTGTGGCGAGCATCGCGGCCTTGGGACTGCTGCTCGTGGTTTGGGAAGAACAACCGTGAGAAGGAATGGAAGCTATATGATCTTTGATCCCGTGCACGTGTTGATGTTGTGGGCGCTTCTGGGTACAGTCTCTCTGGTATCTTACGATTGATGAGTACATTCCAGTGTCCCAAGACGATGATACATTTGGCTAGAAGGAGATATGGTCTAGGCGTGCGTATATATCATACTCTGATTACTGTAAGGACACTAGGAAGACAGGGTTTAAAGAAGCTACAGTACCCGAAGCGACTGCCAGTCAAAAGACTCATGGTGGGATGCAAAAAATTGTACAGCAGACCCAGAGTAGTCTGAATCGAGTTACGCCGTCTCCGAGGGCCGGGGAGACAGACGCGCCGCGAATTGCACTCAAGGACATACCATGGACCACACATCGATATCCTCCCGAATCTGCCCCCTTGCCTCCAAGGTACAATAGCGTCCGTTCATTGAGCCTTTCATCCCTGTAGCCCTCCAGCAAAAGCTCGCGAGCCTACGCACGCCTCTGCCCGCGCCAAGGGTTCAGGGAGCGCCACCGAAGCGGCGACATGCGTACGCTGCGCGACGCGATGAGTGTGACCCATACACACCGGGATAGATACGGGAGAGCAATGTGCGACGGTTCCGAACGTCAGGGAAGCTGTCATCCCGGACCATTGGGACGGCAGCCTGCCGCACTGACGCCTTCACGTAGCACGAAGGGCGGTTTCCTTCCCCTGGCCAGCTAGCGTGAACAGAGGCAAGGCAAGGCAGGGATGGGTACACCAGTGTGCCCGAGGGCATGCCTAGGCATCGTGACGCTTTCAGCGGCGAGATGACACCAAGGGATCCTTGAGAGTTCCTCTCGCCACGACAATTGTCGTAGGGACGGGGACGTCATCTGCCGGATTTTCTGGTGCGTCGCGCGACTTATTACAGCCGATACCAGCTGGATATGTCGTGGATGCATCACTCAGACCTTGGCCCGCTCGCGAGAAAGGGACAAGCCCTGTGTGGGGCGAGCTTCGCGGCCTTGGATCTGCTGCATGAGAGTTCGGGAAAGAAACGATGCGATCGCGTGTTTGATATTCTCTCGACATGTGGGTCCGCGTAGGTCCACTTTGTGGCGTTGGCGAGCCGCGGCGCAGTGCGCGGGTTGTCCGCTTCCTTACTTCCTCACGTCCAGTACTGACATATCTTCTTCTCTTCTATACATATTACCGGAACTATGTCTTTTGAACCCAGCACCATCTACCCATGCAACCCCAACACTGCACGAGGCTCGTCTACGAAGCTCGACGCGACGAAGGGCAAGATCGCCTACGCGAACGGGCGCACCGTTATAGTCAGTGCAACAGCCGACGCTCTCGGCAAGCACGCACTGAGGGGAGCCATTTGATAGATACGCGATCTCAATGTACGCGGATGTGCAACAGTCAAGGACGCGAGAAAGACTGAAGGTGCTATGCGTAGGACCCCAACGCGACGATCGCATATGCCGGTCATGTACAGAACACCACTGTGGCGCGTATCTCGCCCTCGGGGTACTACTGCGCCTCTGCGGATATCACTGGGACAGGTGCTTTCTCCTTCTTGCTCCAGCGACATGCATAGCTGACCATCTCTGCGCCTAGTCCGCGTCTGGGACATCGTCGGTGAGGATCGCGCGCTTAAAGGAGAGTACAAGGTCATCGCCGGCCGCGTCAATGACCTCGAGTGGGACGGTGAAAGCAAGCGCATCATCGCAGTCGGAGACGGGAGGGACAAGTGCGTACCGCTGCTCTACTCTTCCCCAACTCTCGCTGATCATGCTGATCCTGTTAGGTTCGGGCATGCGTTCATGATGGACACGGGTACGAGCACTGGGGAGATCAGCGGGCATTCGAAGGTGAGTCTACTGGTGCGAGACCGGTAGGAAGAAGTACTGAACGACGCGTAGACGATCAATGCAGTCGCGATCCGGCATCAGCGTCCGTTCCGCGCTGCAACGGCGGCAGACGACGCGCTCATTGTCTTCCACACCGGCGCACCCTACAAATACGAGAAGGTAAGGAGATTTCCACCACATATCGGGCTTCCATATAAGCAAATTTGCCACATCACATTAAATGCCTCTAACGCGCCTCTTCAGACCATTAAGACGCACACCAAGTTCGTGCAGGACGTGCGCTACGCGCCCAGCGGCGACCTCTTCGCGAGTGTCGGCTCCGACTCCAAGATCTTCATCTACGACGGCAAGACGGGCGAGACCGTCGCCGAGATCACGGACTCGCCGCACAAGGGCAGCATCATGGCGGCAGCATGGAGTCCGGATAGCAAGTCGCTGGTGACGTCGTCGGCGGATTGCACGGTGAAGCTATGTGAGTGTCTTGTAAGATGATCTTGTTTCTGAGGGGGAATCGTTGTAGTGGGAGAGGCGTGCCCAGAAGGAAAAGTAATGCTGATGCTGGTTCAGGGGATGTCGAAGCGCGCAAGGCGACGACGACTTGGACGCTGGGAAGCGGTGTCGACCACCAGCAAGTTGGCAACGTCTGGAGCGGCGAGTCTGACATCGTGTCCCTGTCGATTTCGGGCGATCTGAACGTCTTCGACCCTCGTGTTGGCGACAAGCCCACTCGCATCTTCCAGGTATGGCATCCTTTGTAATTCTTCCTCCCGCTCGTAAGGCACTTACTCTCCTCTTAGGCGCCCCAGAAAGCCATCACCGCCGCCGCCGGGCCCATCTCCTCCGACACCTTCCTCGCCGGCACCGCCGACGGCCGCGTCTACTCCTACTCTACCTCTTCTAACACCTCCGCCTCCCTCGCCGGCAAGAACCACACCTCCCTCGTCTCCGGTCTTGCCTTCTTCGGCGATACCCTCGCCTCCGTCGGCTTCGACGACCACGTCCGCGAGATTGCGTCGAATGCGCAGGAATATGCCCCTGCCGCCACGGCGACGAAGGCGCAGCCCAAGGGCGTCGCAGTTGCTGCTGACGGGACCGTATTTGTTGCCGAGCTCGACGGGGTGGAAGCAGTGAGGGCGAATCAGAAGGTCGCGGAGGTGAAGACTAGCTATGCGCCGAGTGCGGTGGCGGCGGTGGGAAGTGTGGTCGCGGTGGGCGGGGAGGATCAGAAGGTGAGGCTGCACGAGTGGGATGGGAAGGTGTTGAAGGAGACGGCGGTGCTAGAGGGGAATAAGGGGGTTGTGTCGAGCTTGGCGTTCTCGCCGGATGGGAAGTTGTTGGCAGCTGGGGATGTGAGTGTATTTGTTTCCTTGGGGGCGAGCCGCTGCTGATCAAGTTGTAGTCCGCTGGTAGGGTTATTCTGTTCGATGCTGTCGAGAAGAAGGTAAGCGAGATCGCATCTTCAACGGGATGGCGCTCACAAAACCCAGATGATCACCGGCCGCTGGTCCTACCACTCTGCACGCGTCAACTCCATCGCCTGGACAGCCGACTCGAAGCACTGCGCTTCCGGCTCGCTCGACACGCACGTTTACGTCTGGAGCGTAGAGAAGCCGCTGAAGAACATCGCGATCAAGAACGCGGGCGCCGGAGGTGTGAACGCGGTCGTCTGGGTGGATGGAAAGAGCCGGCTGGCGAGCGCAGGCGCAGATGGGTGCGTGCATCTTTGGGAGGTGACGTTCCATGCATGAATATCGAAGGAAATATCGTGGAAAGGGATGTACGGAAGGACTAGAATTTGTACTATGCAATGTACCGGGTCTGTTACACTGCTTGCAAGGTTGGAGTAAACCTGTTTTGCCGACGACACTATGATTGTTGTAAAATAGGTACTCAAAGGCTACTAGGAGGTTCGGCAGAACCGATGGTACACTCTTGTACTTGAACGGCAAGCAAACATCGGCGACGTCGTCAGTGTTGGTGTTACTGCAGACTTCAAGTTGGCAAACAACTCAGAAGCGGCCCGCCATTCGTTTCAACTCCGGGCGACGGCAGCTCCCCTTCTCTTCGCAGGCAGACCGGTCATTCTCCAAGAACCGTCGTAAGTCAATCATAATATTCGTCATAGAAGCAGTAAAGTCGGAAAAGTAGATACGTACGTAAGTAGCGGAAAGACAGGCAGGGCAATGCAAATCGGGAGCATTATCGATGTAGATAGACACAGCGCGAAGGGGGAATTGGAGAAGGGAAAACGGGAACAGTGCTAGAGCTATAGTCAATGTACGTTGGAAGGAGCCATGAACGATGAACGTGTAGGAAGCCTGAAGGTGTAAGGTGCCATGAATCATGATGGATGGAAAAAGGTAATGGACCATGAAGGGCAATGCAATGAGATCCCCCCGTATCATAACATGAATGGAGCAGAACAAAAGGGAGACATGCCAACCTAAGCCTAACCTGGGCCGGAAAGACATGAGGGCACTACTGTAGTGATGCGGAGTAGGATATGGGAGCAGGCACCTGTATTAACCTGATTTTCGACAAGCAGGCGCATGTCATGGAATGCATGGACGCGTATAGGATTGGATGCATGAGCGCTCACACCATCCTGGCGGATGCCAGCGTAGCCTTCTCCTTGAAGATCTCGGGGTAGTGGCGCATGAGCAGCACCAGCGACCGCAGGTCGTCTTCGCCGTCCACCATAACCATAGCCACCTTCGTCGGCTTCTTCAAGTACGGCTTCGCGATCTTCGTGCTGTGGCAGATTTGTCAGTCACTCGCCATAGCCGAGGTTCAAGCCCCGATACGCACATCTCGCTGCCGACCCTCTGCTTCCTGTTCGCCAGCGGCAGGTCCATCATCGAGTCCACGTACGCGTTCGTGTCGTGCACGGCCGCCAGGTCCGGCTTCGGGTACGGGAAATCCGGCGTCGTGTTTGCGATCTTGATGATGTCCTGCGCGAGCATGCGCGCCAGCTTCGCCGAGCTGAACTCGCCGGAGACGGTTGTGTGGGCGCTTGGGGTGGCGGGCGCCGGCGAGGATGTGGCCGACGGTCCCCTCGAGGAGAGCTCCGGCGTTTGTGGTGAGGCGCTCGCGAGCTGCGCCTTGCGCTTGGGCTGTGGCGTGACAGGAACCGTGGGCGCAGGGGGCTCGTCGTCGTCGCTGGCCTCCAGCACGGCCTTCGCGTCGACGAGCTTGGCGCGCAAGGTCTCCGCGTTGAAGAGGAGAAGCGCCCGCTCGCGCTTGGGCAAGCTCATGAGCAGATCCGTCAGCGCCTCCTGGTTCGTCGACTCCAGCCTGCATACGGCCGCGAAGACACGTTCCCGCTCGGTCTGATGAGGGGCGCTACCTGACGGTGATGACGTCCGGGGCGGGGTCGAGAGCGACGCGTTTGCAGATATAGGTGTTGAGGGATGCTCCGGAGCGCTGGCGGTGGCATTCAAAGTCTGCGCATCGAGCAGGCGAGAATCTTGCGAAGCCGAAGGTGAAGGTGATTTGGAGGGGCGCATGCTCATCACGGTCTGCGACAGCTTGCCGGGGTCGTCCAACAGCTTGACAACCTCATCGAGCTTGAGGTTGACAATACCCTCCACGATACGCTCAACGTCATCAAGGGGAACGACATCCATGGTCTTCACCCGGCGGCTCAGCTCGCCCGTAAGGACCTCATAGCGCACCACGGGGGAGAGATTCGAAAGCTCCTCATATTTCATCGGCAGGTTGAGCTGACCGGAAAGCGCCGCCTTTACCATCTTCGTAAGCCTCGTCAGCTGGACAAAAAGCCCAAATGGTACTCACATTATAGTAACTGCCCGATCCTCTTCTCCCTCGGTCAGTTTTGTCGCCAAAGCCGGCCACACTTGGCGTCGGATGTGGCGAACCTCCGAGCGGCGACGTCGCAGTCGGTGGGCTACTCCAGCCGACGTAGCTGCCGCCCTCACTGGGTGTCGGACTCGTCGCGCCGCTAACGCTCCGCGGGTGCCCGTTGTGGCCACCGAACCGCGCTGCAAGCTTCTCCTGGCGCAGCTGCTTGGGCTCGTGCAGGCGCACGACAATTGCCTTGGACCCGATCTGTCTGCCGTTCATAGCATGCATCGCAGCAGCGGCTAGCACACCACATCTCAGCGGACTGGGAAAGGGTACAACGCAGTGGAGTAGCTACCTTGATCGGGGGTCTGGAAGGAGACGAAGCCGAAGCCGCGGCTCTCTCCGTTTTCGTTGCGCATGACACGCGCGCTAAGATGCGTCAGCTACTCATACACGACGCTGTTTAGCCGGCAGCATACCTGACGATTGACCCATACGCCCGGAAGTGGGAGAAGAGACTGTTGGAGTCAATCTCGGGGTCCAGGTTCTTGCAGAACAAGTTGCAGGGGTCAATAAGGCCGCTGTGGCTATTTGAGCCTGGCCCGGTCACAGGTGCGACTTGCACTTGCTGTCCAGGACCGTGAATAAACGGCGAAGGCGGCGTACGCCTGAAAGCTTGACGAGGGGGAGACTGCACGATGTTAGCCGCCTGCCACATTACGTCTCGCACGTTTTCGCACCTGAGGCGTTTGGTACCCGAAGCCACTCCCCGCGGGCACGAACGACGGCGCGTTGGCAAACTCGGCCATACCACCGCTCGCGCGACGCGGCTGGTACATAACAACGGCGATGCTTTGGCCCTCTACTTCCTCGCAGTGGAGCGACTCTTCCGCCGTCCTGCCATCGTCCTCGTTCCAGAACTCGACCATGCCCGTGTCCGCGCCAAAGTGGGTCTGAGCACGCGCGGAGGCGAGGGCACCGAACGGACGGCAGAGCTCGTACAGCTGCTGGTCCGTGTAGCCGGGCGGGAGGTGCTTGATGAGGCGCGGGTGCGCGGACGGCGGGGGCACAGGCGTCGGCGGGTCCGTGGGCGGGTACGGGGAGAGCACGAGAGGCACGGGCGGAGCGGTGAGGGGGATGTATCGGCCCTGGAGCGTCGCGAGCGCGCACTCAGCTGGAATACGGCGCGTTAATCCTTGTTCGCCGTTCGTGACGCGGTTCGCCACACACCTTTCTCGAGATACTTGAACTCGATCGTGCCGGAGAGCATGGGCGCATCGGTATCGCGATTGATCCTGGGCCGGAAGGGCGCGCAGGAGACGAAGGCGGTGGCGAGAACGTCGTCGGTGACGGACTTTGGGATGTTTGTGATGTAGAGGAGCGGGTCGTGGAGGTATGGATGCGGGTGACCCTCCGGCTTTGCCATGTTGGATGCGTGAATTATCGGTGGATATACTGATGATGAGCGTAGGATCCAAGGAGCGGGAGCAGAGTCGAAAGCGGAAGGAGGCAACGCGGAAGCAGAGTGCCGTCGAGCCCGCCAGCTGCAGTTCGCTCACGTCCTCGCACGAGCCGCAAGTGTACAAAACACGACGTGCACGAACGCCTGTCCGAAAGATTTCCTTGATTGATGAGTTACGTAACAACAGGCCCCCACGCCTCGCGGGCGAAGCCGAGGAATGGACCCACAACACCGAGAGGAGTGACCTTGAACTCGCTGGGCGTCTGCGTCTCTACATCGATTCGTTGTAGCCGCAACTTTGCGGCTGCCGGGCCAACCACACCATCATCACAAATGATAGAATGCACGTCGTTATCGCGCTGATAGACACAGTAGTAACACGCTTGATACATTGTCAATGTACGTAGGTACAGGACCTCTTACACACATTGCACAAACTCAGATGTATGCCCCCGAGCTCGCACTTGCACTTGGATAGCGATTCATGCAGTCTATTCCGTGGTAATCGTCCTGAATCGACAGGCAAACTCTAAAACGATCGGAAGCTGGAATTCCGCGGTTTTACACGAAACTCCAGCGATTTGGGGTCCGCAGAGTTCCGTAGCAATCCTGCCATTATCCTGGGCATTCCCGTCCACTCAACTCATGCGATTTATCTTCATGCAATATAGAGGAACCTGACTCTCCAGCTGATCGAAGCAGGGCAGTGCAGCGTGTCCTGGGGATGTGACGCTTGCCAGCCGCGAGTGTGACTTGAACTGACTTCCGCGCACGTGTCTTCATTTAGTTGGTTGTTTCCCCCGCGCGTGCCCCTTCGTCTTGCACACGCCGGCTGACGCTTGTACTGCTGACTGGACCTTCACAATGAAGGTCAAGGACGACTCGGCGGTTTTACCGCTAATCCACAGCGCGAACCCTCCGCAGTGCTCGACAACCGCGCTTCCGCGTGCCTACAAAGCCGTAGCGCTACTTTCGGTTGCTACTGCAGCTTCCCTGGTCTACAATTATCTATACGTGCGACCGTGGACCTCAAGGACGCCACTTCAGGCTACCTCGGAATGGGAAGACAACGTCTGGCCCATCAGGGAGCAGACGCCGTGGGACATCTCAACCGACTTTCCTTACCCTCGCAAGCTGGAATACGACGTACAGGAAGGCACATGGCTACGTCTCGACGTTCATCCTACCTCTGGTGACATTGTCTTTGACATGATTGGCGACTTGTACTGCATCTCTGCGGCGGACGCGCTCAGCGCAAATGCGGATGCCCGGGCAAAGGCTCGGCCTGTACTTCTCGGCGTACCCCATGACTCGGACCCTCACTTCTCACCGGGTGGGAAGTCACTTGTCTTTCGTAGCGATGCTGGCCTTGGTGTAGAGAATATCTGGGTCAAGCCATGGGACGGCTGCGAGGCTGCAGACTTGCGTCCAGCCGTACCTCATGGTGCACTCGCTCAGGCACTTGACGCTCAAGACAAGGAAGACAGCCTCTTGGTCAAGGGCTTTGCGGAAACCTCAGAACGAATGGCGAACCGTTTGCTGCGCGAAGGCAGGCCTGAAGGTGAACTCGCTCGACTGTAAGGGGAGGAAGACGTACTGATTCCCCCAAGCCCAGCGTGTAACTAACGAAACATTCCGCTGGGTCTCCGATGCCCGCTTTCACCCATCCGGCAAGAAAGTCATCGCGACCAAGTGGTTCACCAGCAGCCGGTCCATACCTGCGGGTGAAGGCTGGGAGTTCGACGTCCCCGGACTCGGTAGTCAACCCTCCATCCCAGCCAAGAGCGGGACGAAGCTCGTCGGTCATGATTTGCCAGCTGGATGGTCTAATGAGGACTACGGCGAGCAACAAGTTGGACCCGAGCAATTCATCTGGCGCGGCAACGACACCTTGATCTACTCAAAGAATGTTGTCAACACTGGGGGCACTTTCAGCTATTCGAACGATGTCTTCAAGGGTGTATACTCCATCTTCGCACGTAACTTGACGTCCAGCAAGACGGAGACGCTCGTTGATGCCGCGCCTGGTGGTGCGAGCCGACCTGAGCTCTCAAGGGATCAGCGCACTCTGGCCTTCGTCCGCAGGGTTCGCGACAAGCAGGCCCTCGTCCTCAAGTGAGAAAGCTGAGCTATGACCGTCTGTTATGCGTTGACAATATGCGTCAGGGATCTTGAGACCGGCAGCATTCACAACATCTGGTACGGCCTATCCTACGACGATACACGGGTCTCCGCACCCATGGGGACTTACCCATCTTTCGCCTTTACCCCAACCGACGACGCCATCATCATCTGGGCTGCGGGTCACATCTGGCGCGTCCCCCTTGCTCTCAACGTATTCGGCGAAAAGGTCTCCGGCGGCGAGCCCACCATCGTCCACTTCACCGCGCACGTCGAGAAGCGCATTGCAGAGACGCTGAAGACGACCGTGGACCTTGCGGGTTTGGAGTCAGCGGACGAGACTCAGGTGCACGCGTTCAAGGAGCTCAATGTCGATGAGACGGGTAGTCGCGCGCTCTTCCAGGGCGGTGGGGCGACCTACGTGCATGAGATCGGTACTTCGAAGACCAGTGCGATACCAGCGCTGTACCCCGGACAGCCGTACTACTCGCCTTCGTGGGTACCGAATACGCCGGATCTGGTCATTCATGCACGATGGTCTAACACGAACTTCACGTCCTTCGAGATCGCCAATCTCACCTCCGGGATTGCGTACGAGGTCAACGGCCTCCCCCTCGGTCGCTACTTCTCGTCCGTCCTCTGCGAGTGCACCGGAAGCCGGCGCAAAATTGCGTTCCTCAAATCTGCTGGTACGTGGCTCACTGGCGATATTATCGCAACCGCTGGACCAGGGCTATATGTCGGCGAGCTCACCCTTCCATCTGGCTCTGAGGATAGTATCATCCTTGAGAACCTCCAATTCATTCCCTCCGAGATCGACGTCGACGGCCACGTCACCTTGCGCTTCTTCCAGGGCGCCTCCAAGCTCCTCGTAGAGCAGGACCGCCGCTCCTTCACCATCGACCTCGGCGCAGGCCCGGACGAGAACGGCGCGTCCAAACACACCACCCTTGCGACGGGGAGGATGTCGACCGAAGTGGCGGTCTCTCTGGATCGAGCTTCGCAGCCGCAAAGTGCAGCGTTCGTTGATTTCTATCACGTTTATGTTGCGCCGAAGGAGTCACTTGCTGATGGAGAGGAGGCTCTTTGGTCGAAGCCGGCGAATGCGACGAAGGGTATCGCAAGGCTAAGTCTGGATGGCGGGCATGATCTGGCTTGGAGCCGTGACGGCAAGAAGTTGTTCTGGTTCCTTGGTATGACAGGGCGTATCGAAGAGGGAATCGGATATTGACATTGAATAGGGCCCTACCTACACTCCCTCGAAGTATCCAAGCTCGACGAATGCAAGTCCGCTATCGAGGAGGACAAAGTGACCTTCGGCATTGCCTGCGTCAACAAGCTCGTCCAATGGGAACAGGTCGTCGTCAAGCACTCCACCGATGTCAGTCGCCTCGGGAAGGAGAGCCAAAACGCGTCTCTCGCCATCGTCAACGCCACCATCCTTCACATGGATTCCGATAACCGATACGGCGACGTTATCGAGGGCGGGACTTTGGTTACGAAGGGCGGTTTAATTTCTGCTGTTGGGCCCGCCGCATCGGTCGAGGTTCCCTCGGATGCTGTTGTCATCAATGCCAACCAAGGTATTTGGGCGATACTCTACTACGTCGAGAGGATACTGAGCTGCTCGTACCAGGCTACGTCCTACCCGGCTTCATCGACATGCACGCCCACTGGAACGGGTTCAGCGACCGCTTCCCAGCTAGCTCCTGGGAGCTCGAGACCTTCCTTGCGTACGGCGTCACTACGATGCACAAGTCCGTCCCTTTCCTCTGTCAGTCCAAACTTCCCCTAACTCTCTCGACCTACCTATAGCCCAAGCACCGACACCGTCGACGCCTTCGCCGAGCGCACGCGCGTCGAACGCGGCCAGCTCGTCGGCCCGCGCATCTTCCACACCGGGACTGTCATCTATGGTGGTGCGGAAGCTGGGCTCCATCAGGATATTGCGGATACGCTAGAGGCGCATTCGGCGCTTGTGAGGATCAAGGCAGAGGGCGGGCCGTTCTCGCACTCGTACAAGAACTATCAGTTGCCTTCGAGGTGCGGATCGGTTCTCTTGGACTTGGACTTGTTGCTGATGATGAATCTCCTGCCGTGCAGAGCCTCACGCCAACGCCTCTTGCTCGCTGCTCGCAACGTGTCGATGCTCTGCTTCCCTGAAGGTGGCATGAACTACGACTGGGACCTGACGTACATCGTGGACGGTAAGCCTACTTCTGACGGACGCATACGCATGCTCACAGCGATCACCAGGCATGACCACGGTCGAGCATTCACTCCCTGTGGCCGTCATCTACGACGACGTGCGCAAGCTGTTTGAAGCGAGCGGTACAGCGTACACACCGACGCACATTGTTAGCTATGGCGGCGTCATGGGAGAACAGCAAATCTGGGCGGAGGAAGATATACCGAACGATCCCAAGTGCGTGCTGCTTACGCAAAACTCAGCATCATGCTGACTCTATCTGAAAGGTTGCGCGAGCTCACTCGACATGATGTCCTCGAGCAGTTGACCGAGTCTACTGCGCGACCGAAGCATGGTGCCTTTTCCGTTCTTTATGCGCCTATAGCCATGCTGACTGCGTCGTCTTCAGCGTACGGCCTATACAACATCTCCGAGATATCTGCAGAGATGTCTCGCAATGGCGTACCCGTCTTGATTGGCGCTCACGGCGAGCCGCCCCTCGGGCTGAACTATCACTCCGAGCTGTGGTTCGCGCAGCAAGGCGGATTGTCCAACTACGAGGTATATTTTGTACTTTTCTACACCCATCTAACTCGCTTACGACGCCCTCGCAGGTCTTCAAAGCTGCCACAATCACCTCCGCTCACGTCCTCGGGATGGAGAAGTCTATTGGTTCCCTCGAAGTGGGAAAGCTGGCAGACTTCGTCGTATATCCCCCGGACGTCGATATTCTGGATGGAGATATGAGGGTATCTCGCGAGCTGGCTTATGTCGCGAGGGGTGGACGCCTTTGGGATGCATCGACGATGGAGGAAGTGTGGCCGGTGAAGGGACGTAGACGGCCTATTCCGCCAATCAATGCTGACTGAGGTGCATTCTCTTCTATACTACATCTCCTCAGCTCTGAATATCCAGTACTGAACCGTTTCTTACCTTCAAATCTGCATGAGCGAGAAGAGTGAGAGAAAACGTCGGTCGGAAGTCCAGAAACGGAACAAGGCCATATGGTCCACGTGGTTGCTCCCATCAGTGACGCCATGGGTCGGGGACCGCCCCGACCGCGGCAGTCACTTGAGATCGCTGCAGGATCAGTACACCCATCTACCCAGTTGCTGCCACCCACGTACCTGGCACTCAGTACACAACAAACCTATCTATCACCCCTGTTGAAGTACCGGATATCACAATGCCTGCTGTGAGTTTGATCTCCATCTTCCACAGAGCGAACGGAAATAATGACAAGCTCTCTGAAGGTCAAGTGCTTGCTTTTCGACTGCGACAACACTCTTGTCCTTTCGGAGCCTCTCGCCTTTGCATCATGCGCTGACCTGCTGAACGAAATCCTTGAGAACCACGGTCGCTCCGAGCGCTTCACGGGTCCAGAACTTATGAGCACCTTCGTCGGCCAAAATTTCCGCGGCATGATGGGTTCCCTGCAAGAGAAATACGGCTTCACCATGACGGACGCCGAGCTCGACTCCTACGTCGCCCGCGAGCTCGAACACACCGTCGAGAAGCTCGAGGCCGCCGCGGAGCCCTGCGCCGGCGCGATCGAGGCGCTCGAGCGGCTGCAGGCATCGGGCAAGTACCAGCTCGCGGTCGTCTCGTCCTCCGCGCTCTCGCGCGTGAAGGCGTCGCTGAAGAAGGTCGACATGGAGCGCTTCTTCGCGCCGGAGCACGTGTACTCGGCCGCGACGAGTCTGCCCGTCCCAACGAGCAAGCCGAACCCGGCGATCTACCTGCACGCGTGCAAGGAGCTGGGCTACAAGCCCGAGGAGTGCGTCGCGATTGAGGACAGCAAATCTGGCGCGACGGCGGCGAAGAACGCGAAGATTCCGCTTGTGGGGTATGTTGGGCCGTATGAGGACGAGGAGGAGAGGGTCAAGATGCGGAAGGTGCTGTCGGAGGACTGCGGGGCCGTGGCAATACTAGAGCACTGGAAGGACTTTGAGGAGGTGCTGAAGAAGATTGAGAGCGCGTAGATGAGGAGCAGGTCGTATCATCGGCCTCCATAGAGAGAAGGACGACGCGACCAGTAGGATATCGATCGCCATCGTCCCAATGAACAACGATGATGTACATGATGGCAGGAAGAAAGGAGCGATACCATGCCCTCTCCAATTAGCAGTTGACACGCCTCGATTTGGCATCTTCGTCGACGCAAGTACGAGGTCATAGCGCGTCCACAAGCGCCTACTGCGCCACCTTTGCCACGCGGACCCACGCGACCGGGATCAAACCACAAAAAGCTTCCGCGCGACCAAACTCTCTTCTTCTTCCCAACCACCAGCAGCAGACCCAAGGCCGCGATGCTCGCCCCGTACTGGGCCTTGTGCTCTCACTTGCGAGCGGGCTAAGGTCTGAGTGATGCATCTTCGATGGTCCCAACGGGACCCAGCTGTAATCAGCTGCCTGGCGTACCAGCAATACGGAGCCGTCTTCGCCCCGACAATCCAGCACTTTTCCGAAAGGTTCGGGAGAGATGCGGTAGGGCATGGCGAGGTACTCCTTGCAAAGTGCCAGGATGCTCGGGCGCACGGCGAATATTGCTGCGCTAGGCTCCTCTTTTATTTCCATGTACGTTGAAGCCGTGGCATGCGCCACGGCGGTATGACAACGGCGAACCCCTTGTCGTAGCCATCGTGGCGAAAGTTGTCGCCTTGGCTGTCTCTGGCTGCTCTGGGCGGCGAGGCGGGGCTCTGCTCTTGCCTTCGATTTGCCCGTGGGTGAGGCGACATCGTGTCCGTTGCGGAATTTGCTTCCGCGTCCGAACGCCTTATGCCCACCGCCTCCAGGGCTTACTTGGAGGTCAGAGAGCTGGGTTCAGTATGACGATGGGCTCCTGGCGTGCAGGGAGATTTCTGAAGAGCGGCCTGGGGCAGCGAGTCGTGCGTCCTTTAGTGCAATTCGCGGCACACGTTTCTCTGCGTGCAACTCGATTCAGACTACTCTGGGTCTGCTGCTTAATTTTTGCCTCCCCTTCGAGCTTTTGCTCGCGTTGCACTACTCATGTACAGTAGAACTACTTCTGTCGTAGGTATTGCTTCCATTCTAGATTTTCGTCTATTCTCATGAGTTCATACTATCCTCGCGTCCACAGTCATCATAAGCTGCGGGGAAGGCGCTCGCCTGGATCTCGTACAGCTTACTGTACTCCCCACCGCTGGACATCAAACCTGCGTGCACTCCTTGCTCGACAATCTCGCCATCCTTCAAGCATCTATGAGGTGTCAGTCTCGGTGTGCAACACATAGCCCGCCCTTGCAGTCCGAAAACGTACATGATCAGGTCCGCATCCCTCGTTAAATGGCCGAACCGATGGGTCACGAAGATCATGGTCTTGCCCTCGCGCTCCTTGCACAGGTTGTTGAAGAGCGCGAGCTCGCCCTCGGCGTCTAGGGCGGAGCTGGGCTCGTCGACGAATACAGCGCGTATATTGCCTGAGGTGAGTCGCATGAAGGTGCGCGCTCTGCTTTACCATCAGCTGGGATAGTTCTTGGAAAAAAATGTGAACATACGCGACAATACGCTGTGTCTCTCCTCCCGATACCTCTATCGGCTTTTCCAAGGCCTCAAGCCGTTGTCGAAGCGGATCGTCCTCCTCCTCGGTCACATTCTCCCCGTATGCTCGCGTTTGGGGATCCAACACCGTATCCAGCCCATGCCGCAGTTTTGCTATGCATGCAGTCGCTCCGCCAGCCTGAGCGGCGGCGCGGACCGCATCAACGTCACGTACTTTCTCGACGCAGCCGAGCCCGATGTTCTCACCCATAGAGAGTGGGAACAGGCGGTGGCCTTGCGAGAGCACAGCTGTCGCCTGTCGCAGGTCGCGCTGGCGGTATGCAGCGAGCGGTTGGCCATCTACCTCGAGAGTGCCGGACGTCGGATCGTAGAGGCGCGTCAGGAGCTTGATGAGGGTGCTCTTTCCGCTGCAAAAAGCGTCAGCACGTCGTTTGAAAAGAAGCGACGCATCCACCTTCCGTTAGCGCCCACGATCACTACAAGCTGGCTCGGCTTGATGTCGACATTGATGTTTCGCATAGACGGCCTATCCAGGCTACCGGGATATGCGAACGTCACATTCCTGGCCGGTATCGTCAACACCACGGAGCAGTCAAAGTAAGCGATGCATACCGAAGCTCAAAACCCATGCCCGCGCCACTCGACGTAGGGGAGGGATAAGGTAACTGTCCTTCGGCGAGCAAGTTCTCCTTCTCGGGCGCCTCAATGGTCTTGTAGTACTGCTCGATGACGCGGATGTAGTCTCCGAATCGCTGTACATAGCGAAGCGTCACGGAGACCATGGCCCGGAAATTGGACGCACCCCGCTCGAGCATGGCGATCGAGGTGACTGATAGGTTGCCAGTCCCATATATCGCGCATAGGACGCAATAGACCTGATCAGGGGATGAAGGTAGGGATTGGCTACAGATAGGAAGCTTACACACTATGGGTAAATCACCGGCAAGCTTGCAGAAAATGTTGAACGTGGGCGTGGCGCGCCGATCGTACTGACCATTGACGTCCTCGGTGGATGTGTCCCTCAATCGGGCACACGCCTCCTTGAACTCTGACGTGCGCCGTTATGAGCTACAGGACACGTCCGATAGCCGTTGGACTAACCTTCGATAATGTACTCTCCAATACCAGCGCTGGTGACCTCCTCGCGCAGCTCTTGCTTCGCCATCTTTGACAGTCTCTTGCTTCGAAGGAATGCCTCGTTCTCCGTATGGACAACGTGCGCTGGTGAGCTTTGAGTGCCTTGCGAAGCTCGCATTACGACTATTGCAGGACTCACGCATAGGCCACAAAGAACGGCGCTCGAGGTGAACCAGAACCGGCTCCACCAAGCAAATCAACGGGAACACAGGACCTACGCCAACAGCAGAACGGCATGAGGCGATTATGAACGTCATGATGCTCGCTACATTGAGGATGCTTGCGCAAAGATGGAAGACCTGGCAAAATGCGTCCCATACTGAACTGGCTGACACTCTGCCGGTCGTGGATGGCTCTACAGAAGAATCAATCGATTGGCTCGCTTAAGGGCCAGTATGCAAGGTAGTTCACTTACTCAACGACGTGGGAAGGTCTGTCCGGAGTTTGGCTGAAAGAGGGGAAAATAAATATCCAGATGAAAATTCTGGCATAGGTACGTACCCGATAGTAGGTTTGTCTTGAAATGGCGGATGACCCGACTTTCCAGTCTGGGCATAGTCGTATGGCTGTATACAATGATCAGCATACAGAGCCTCTCTCGTATATGAGGACAAATCAACTGCATACTTCCACCACCGGACCCACGCAACGACCGCAAAACAAGATAGTCTTGCCACTATTGCCGAGAGGATCGCTGCCTTGTCGACCGTTGCACTGACCAGTACAAGCTCAATCTGCGGACGTATGACAATGAGCACCTTCTTCGTCACAGCATCGCCAACGTACCTGCTTGAGCAAGCGACCAGAGAAGTACAGGATGATGGAGTACTCGATGGCTTCAAAGAAATGGTAGAGCACCAAGAACGCCACTGCCCACGGATCGACGCGCCACACCTCGGAAAAGATGCGGCGCACAAGAGCGAAGTGCGAGCGTAGGGCGCCTGGAGAGGGAAAAGGGCACTTGGACTTCGCCTTTTCTTTTCCCAGTGTCAGTGTCCAGACGCCGAGTTGAATAGTCTCGAGTCGAGGATCGTCGCCGTTATCGCAAGTATCGATACGCTTGAGCGGGTTCACTGGACATGTCGCGTTTGAATCCTCTTTCATGATGGCGGTCGAGAATGGGGAGGCGCTTCAGGGCGGACGGCTCCGCCCATTTTATATGAGGATTTTCAAGCAAAAACGAGTCAAGGGTTCAGCGGGAGCGCGGTGGGGCTGAACACAGGTGTAGGGCGCTGGCCCGAGTTCTCCGAGGAAATCATGTAACATAGGCGCTTCTTTTCCCGGGCGTTGAGAGTACCGGCCTTAACATCGTGCATGAGGTGTGTAGATCAACGGGAAAAGAGAGCAGAATGGCAGTACCGACATGGGAGTAAGAGAAGGACTTAGCTCGAGCCAGATGCAGCGAAGCGTATTTCGGCAATTCCCGACGGGCAATCGCTGTCTTCGCTGTAAACACGCTGTCCTTCACATAGGGAGTCGCGACTCATGGGGGCATTACACTGTTTTGTATGGTACATAGGACAGAGATCGAGCATCAACGTCTATACTCGTGTATGTCGAAGCAAGGATACACAGAAGAACCGTAACATCAAGAAGACGAGTAGCGTGTCAAGCAGCGTCTTCGAACCGAACACATCACTGACAAGCTCAGGCCATTTCCACGTCCTCGCCAGCAGCAGGCTTGGGCGCCTCGGCCGCCTGCTCGGCATTGGCAGCCTCGTCCTTCTTCTCCCCGCTCTTTGCCACCGGCTCCTGCATGAACGCCTCCAACTCGCGGTCGAGGTCCTCTGCCGTCGCAGGCTTCTTCTTCTGCCTGGGCTCCTTAGGCTTGTTGCCACCACGCTTATTGCGCACGGGACCGACACCACCCTCAGCGCGACCGCCCTTACCATTGCGGCTGCGCGGAATAGTCAGCAAACGGCTTATAAGGGTGAGATGGATGTACTAACCCGTTCCCTTTCGGTTGCGCGACCGCTGTATCATCCTGGCTACTCAGGCGATCGATAAGTGACGGCTTCTCAATACGGTTCAGCAGCTTCATGGTCGACGGCGCGCTTGCGGCACGCTGCGGCCTCGGTTGCAGCGCAGCGAACTCGATGTTCATCGCTTGACCTGCATGTGTGCGTCAGCTGTCCTCCTTCTCACCTCTCCAGATAGGCCGGGACGCACCTTTCGCAGTCTTGTTATCGAACAGGTTCTTCGCCTTCTTCGCGTCGTCCACCGTCTCGTACGTGATGATCGCGGTACCGGTGGAGCGACCACTGCGGTCATACTTTGCAAGCCAGAGAGGATCCGTGGTTGGCTTCATGCGGGCGGGAGGCGAGAGCGTCGTACCCTGATCTGCGGTTCGCGCACCAAAGTGCCTGCCTGGCCAAAGATTTTCTGGAAATATGCGTCAGTAAATGATACATTGATTGCACGACCCTGTTGGGAGGCTGGGTGGCGTCCCGCGGAACTGAGTGATGCATGGGGTTGTACAGGGTTCCAAGAGTGGAGGAGGGTAGCATGATGGTGATAGTAACGCACGGAAAGATCGAGCGGCGTGAGTTCGTAGTGCAGGTTGGACACCACGAGGCGCGCCGAAGCGGGCGTGGCTGGTCCCCTGCCCAGGCCATTGGTCTGAGGGGCGGCGGCTTGCTTGGCGCCGGGAGCGCGGTCGTGTACCCAATTATCATTGACGTTGGGGCGCTGCGAAACCGGTAAGCATTCCTCCACTTCAACGCGTCTAACGGCGCTAATGGGGCACAGACACGCACACTGTAGGGCTTACGAGCATTCCTTCGGATAGAAGCCATCGTAGAACCAAGCAGAGGTCAGAGCGTCAGAGGAGCGGAGGGCAGCTGAAGCAAGGGCGAAGATGAGTGGCAGCAACGATGGTGGTGGTCGAGACGAAGGAGTAAACAGCGGAGTCTCAAATGAGGGGGACGCGCGTGACGCGGACTCAGCTCGATCACCTCATGCGCGTCAGGCGCCCTTGTTCTCGACGTCTGCAGCCACGGAGCTGTGCAGGCGCTTGTGCGATAGACCATCATTCTCGTCCTCCCCTCAGAGATTGCGCAGCTGCTGGTTCTGGTCCTGCGAACGCTTAGGGCATATCTGCGACTGCGAGTCGCAACCATGAACGCGCATCCGACGATCGCTGTGGACCTTGTACGCTGTCTCAAGATCCCTCCAGGATTCGGCGCTTACGGTCTTAGGTGCTAGACCGCCAGAACGCGAGGGATGTGCTTAATGGTGTACTGCATGCCATACTTTTCCATCGACTGTTCGGCACGGTGAAGCCACAGACGTTCGAGGTGCTCGATGTAACGATGGTGCGCAGATCCCCTCTCCCATACTCACGCATGAATATGTACTGAGGGACGATCCTCATAGCCCGGCGTGTCGGACGCGACGATGGAACGGCTTGTACAGGACAAGGTGGACTCCTTCTGGCGAGCTCTCGAAGGGGCTGGCGAGAAGCGCGGACAGGTGTGTCCCCTCTATCATGCACCCTGCTCACTCTTCTCACTTCTCCCTTACAGCTTACCGTAACCTTCTCCGAGAAGAAACCCAAGAAAAGCTGGTTCCAGGTCTATGTTGGTGAGGAAGACGTTCCTTGGGAGCAATGGTACGTGTACTTCCCTCATTCTTCGACTGGCGCTCACCCTTAGACAGGGTCGTCAACGCCGAACTACGACAACCACGAGGAGAGCGCGGTAAACATCCTACTCCTCACGCATTGAGCGCCGCACTTACGCTGCCCCCAGATCGCCTTGCCTTCGACGCCACCCTCACCAACGCATTACGAAAAGCCATGATGACCATGCTCACCCACACCGCCTCTGAGAAGGGTCGCGCAGCCGTCCCCCTAATTACCAACGCTACCGGGATTTCTCCCTTCCCCTTCCGTATAGCAGGCATCGTGAATGGCATTGAGCTACCATGATCACGATGAACCATGCTGATGACTTCCTCCTCGGACTCTTGTGTATCCTAGACTCGCATACTGTAACTTACAATCGGATGGACATGGAACTGTAGCCTCGATTCTACCAAGACGTACCTGCGCGGCGCCCCCTGACGGCCTGCAAAGCACATTGGTCTCCATGCAAAGGGCAGGGGCGGCCACCACTACCTCTCCACACAAGTCAGCCCCCTTGTCATGCTGTAATGGCTCAACGGGAATGCGGCGGGTTAATCACCGGTCAAAGCCCCGAGTGCGCTGTTTCAAGACCGTCCCCTCCAGAAAACTTGGTGTCCACAGTCTCCCGGCGCGCAAGCGTCGGCCCGGACTTGGAATAATCTGCCCTTGTCAGGCCAGGGAAGCAATTCTGCAACCTGCAGGGCTCGCCGAGTTAGTCTTCGGAGACCAGGACGTGTCGTCAGACGCGCTGGGGCTCGGGCCTGCCGCAAACTTTTGCTGGGTTTTTGGAGCTTTTTTTCTTTTGCCTTGGTTGTAGGGTTCATGAAAAGCAAGAAACGAATCAAGGCGAGGAAGGAGAGGAAATTGAATGTCGTGGGCCTGAGCGCTAAGTCCTTCCCTTCGTTCATATGCGCGAGGAAGCTCCCTTTGTTTAACGAGCACGCGCGAAAGAACCTTCAGAGTCCGGCCCAAAGACCAGCTCAAAGGTCTGAAGGACTGGGGCAGCAATCGGAAGCAGCAGCGTCACTCAGAGACGCAAGGACAGCGGTGGTGTAGATGGATTGCATGATGGTACGTATACTACCAGAAGCACGCCTAGAACGGCAACTTGCCCTTGACGTTGCGCGGCACCGCGAGCGGATCCGGACGGCGGCTCCTGTAGAACTACACGAATGCAAGTCAACCTTAATGCTCCCCTTCTTCACACACCGAAACAAGCTCACCTCCTTGTACTCCCGCACGCGCTTCGCCATATCCCGCATGCGCACCGCGCGCTTTCCACGGACGATGTGCGCGACGCGCTCGTGCTTCTTGCCCTTGAACATCCTGCGCTTGCCCGAGTACAGCCGCGCGACGGGCGCGTCGCGCGCGCGGTGCTCGCCGACCCAGTGCACGTCGCCGGTCCACTCCCCGGAGAGGTCCTTGAGCGCGAGGCGCTGGCGGCGGCGGTACTCCCGCGCAGGGAGGGCGGGGGTAGGCTCGGCTTCCTCTTCTGGCGCGGCTTCGGCAGCGGCTGGAGTGGGGGTAGGAGCGGCGTCTGCGGCCTCGACGGGTGCGTCGGCCTTAGCTTCGCTCGCAGCAGGAGTCTTTGTCTGGACAGCTGGTACTGCCTTGGGCTCGAGGGGAAGAGGATTCTTCGGCCCGCTGGGGAGGAGGTGCAGCAGGCCCGCGGCCTTTGCCTTCTTCACCAAATCGGCCTGGCGGCGGAGGGAGTACTTCGGGCCCTTCCACTTCCCGGTGACAGGGTGCTTGTTGGGCAAGAAAGGGTTCTGCAGCTGCGCCTGCCTCACATCCGGCTTGAGGGCGCGCGCGTTGGGAAGGAGCTAAGGGAATAGACGGATGCGTTGAGCTCAGGTGGGGTCAAGGATATGGATGGTGTCTGCGCACCTGCGGATTCATCCTCCGCGCTAATTCCGGGTCGATCTGCTTCGCGTCGGTGAGGTCGACGCCCAGGCGGGGCAGCGCCATCTTCGCGCCATGGATCTCGTGCAGGCGGAAGGTGCGCACGGCGCGAACGGCAGCTTCCCGGGAGGCCATGACGGTGGGTAGTCCTCTGTAAATCCCAAGCACAGTGTCAGCAAGGCAGCGACAGAGGAGGATTGCACACTCCTCCTACTCACAGAACGCGCCCGGGACTCGGAGTGGTGGCGAGCGCGGACGAATTGGGAGGGCGGTGATCGCGCTTGGCCAAGTTCCCACGGTAGCCAAAAGGGGAGTAGGACGCGTTTCGCATTCCCCTTTTCTTCCCAACCCTCACGAGGCTGCAGTAGGCTGAAGGCCGCGAAGCTCGCCCCGCACAGGCATCGTCCCAATGATCCCTTCTACGCGAGCGGGCCAAGGTCTGAGTGACGCACCCCCGATGGCCCCAGCTGGGCCTGGCTGTAACTGTACGCCCAGCCAAGCGACGTACCAGAAATCCCATGCGTCCGCCCTTGTCCGCCGTGGTCGGCGCGCCCTTGTGGCTGCACCGGCTGCCCAGCGGAGGGGCTGGCGATGTCGACACCTGCAAGGTCGGCGGAGGCCCTGGCGGATTGTGTGTTGAAAGGCGTCGCGGTGCCCGGGCGCGTCTGCAGCCTGCGGGCTGCATCCTGTGTCTATTGTCGGTTCGCTCGTCCCTTTCCCTTCCTCTGCGACAGGACCTCTTTAGCGTACGCTTAACCGCTGCGCGAGAGGGACTGCCCCTTCGGGCGCAGGCAGAGAAGCTCGCACCCCGGGTCCTTTATGCATACCGTTGTGGTGCAGTGTAACGCTCTGCTCGCAGGGAGGGGTTGGGCGCCATCTTCGGATGGTGTGAGCCGATAGAACGCAGGGAAGGCGCGTCCTTTAGTGCAATTCGCGGCATGCTTGCCTCCTCACATGCATAACTCGATTCAGACTACTCTCGGTCTGCTGCCCTCAATTTTTTCCACCCTTCCGGGCTTCTGCCTGTGTATTCGAGTATATAAGTATCGCTAGATTGATTGGATGTACGTATATATGTATATAGTATCGTGTGCTCTTGAGAACACCTTCGATGGGCAATGCGCCATTCGAAGACTCGGATGAAGGATCGATCTCAATCACCTGCAGTGACCAAACCTTTCCCCTCCCATGATCTTGTCCCCCCGGTTCGGCCACTGACATTGCTCGAATGTGGGCGCATGCCTATCGTCGTTGCTCACAACTGCCTCTTTCATTCAGAAAATCATTGGAATCCAGCAGAGCGCGTGCGACACGCGACGACGCGTCGGGACCTGACGTCAATGACGTCGACGCGCAGTGCGCCTGGCGGGAGGTGTAGATCGCGCGACATACGGCTGCATGTGTAGGCTGCTTCTCCTTCTCCTCATCCTATCACCTTAGAGTATGAGCCTCCCCTCTCTTTCGAGGTGTAGCAATGGCTCGCTTGGCTGGCGTCTCTATACGCACGTCTTCAAGACAGGAACAACGCGTCGAATACCTACGTCGACGCGCGCGATAACTAGTCGCGCGCTCCTTTCGCGGACCTCTGGCCCTTCCCCTTTACCTCGGTTCTCCCCGATGCATTGCCTCTCTTCTATGCTTTGTCGACAACGACGAAGCTACGCGTCACAGGCATCCCAGGAACTCACGAAGATTGAGCACTCGCAGTTTCTCTCCGAGGCACCACCAGACGCAAGCTGGAGAAAACGGTCAGCGGCGCAGGATCCAAACGAGGAGGAGGCTGCGCTGGAAGACGCGGCAGACGGCAAGGGTGCGTATCGCTCTGACGGAACCACTGTGACGTCTCTTCTCTCCCCCTACCCCCCCACCTCCTCACCTGTTTCCCCTTTGCTCCCTGATATATTCACCCAAATCGCGTGTCTGATATCCCCATACAGGTAAACTCCTCCCCACCGCTTCCCACCTCTTCAAGCTCATTCTCCCGCTCACGAACGTCGCCCACGCCCGCGACGCACCACCCGTCGTCTTCCTCCTCCACCCCTCGCAGCCGCTCTCGCACGCCGGCCGCCTCATCGCGAGCGAGCTCATGCGCGTCGAATCGGGTACAGCGTCACCAAAGGGCGGAAGCTCGCCGCCGCGCGTAGAATTCCACAGCACATCGCCGTCAGGGAAGATCTCGCAGTGGTCGGATTCGACGGACGTGGCCGACTTCATGCGCGACGCGGCGCGGGTGGCGAAGTTCTCGGTGGTGATTGTGTACCCGGATAGTCCGGTGGGTGGCTGCTGCCCTTATGCGCCCCTACGATCTGTACCATGCTGACTTCCTCTCTCGCAGGAAGAACAAGTCATCGACGTCCAAGTCCCCTCCTTCGCCTCCCGCACGCGCTACCTTCGCCGCCGCCTCACCGTCATCGAGTCCCAGCTCAAGGACATGGACAAGATTAAGCGCGAGTGCGACCATCTCGCACGCCGAGGGGCGAGAAGGATGGCGCTTGGGGGCTTCGGGCTGCTGGTGGTGTATTGGGGCGCGGTGGCGCGGTTGACGTTTTGGGACTATGGATGGTGAGTGTTTAGCAAGCCTATACTTCTGGCGCAGATGCTCAAGCGCTTTCAGGGACATCATGGAGCCTATAACCTACCTCTCTGGATTGTCAACGGTCATCTGCGGTTACCTGTGGTGCGTACCCCTTCTCTCCATTGCTTCTCACCCCCTCCTCCCCAAACTAATTACCCAACCCAGGTTCCTCTACCAAGGCCGCGAAGTCTCCTACACCTCCGTCCTCGACCACTCCATCTCCTCCCGGCGCGAAGCCCTCTACGCCTCCCGCGGCCTCGACATCGAGCGGTACGCCGACCTCGTCGCCGAAGCCCGCAGCCTCCGCCGCGAGATCAGCAAGATCGCGGAGGACTATGACCGGGACAAGTGGGACGATGTGGTGGAGGATGAGAGGGGGCGGCCCGTCAATGGGGGGAAGAAGGTGGAGGAAGAGAGCGGGGTGGCCGAGGGGAGGGCGATGGATAAGGCAGAGAGGCTGGATAAGGAGGAGAGGCTGGACAAGAAGGAGAGACTGGACAAGGAGGAAAGGCGCGAGCTGGACAAGGAGGAAAGACGCGAGCTGGATAAGGGGGAGGGGGACAGGCGCGGGCGGCGGATAAATAAGGAGGACCTGAAGGATGCGAGCACGGAGGTGAAGTCGGAGTCGAGGAGGAAGGTGGATGAGGTGACGGGGGAAGAAGATAGGAAGGATAGGGAGGGGTCTGCATGAACTTGAGCAATTACAGGAAAGTCGACGGACCTTGTATGCATAGATTAGTACGGATCACGAAAATGGCGAAACCAAGACGATGTTCATGTCTATCTATTTACATTAGTACAATACACATTACCGCAAGACGTGTGTCTGAACTCCAGCAAGCCGGAGAGGGTATAGAAAAATTGGCAGCAGACCCAGAGTAGTCTGAATCGAGTTTCACTTGCCGCAGCGCGTATAGACGCATAGCGGTGCACATAGAGCACACCGCAGCGACTATACCAGTGCGCTGCTGCAGGGAGTGAGCCGCGAATTGCACTCAAGGGCGCGCACCGATCTGCACGAGTGTGGAGCCAAAGGACGGAATGCATCTTGAGCTCGGCTATAGAAGCGGCATCACAGCACTTTCGCAGTCCTTCGCGGCGAGGGGCAGGCTGTTGGCGGCACCAAAGAAACTAGTGGTAGTCCCAAGGCGCCGCCATACTGTCCCCCGCACGCCCGCGACCCACGAGGGGCTCGGCGGAGGATCGCACAAGCGCAGATCGGCGGTCGCGCGCCCGGGCACCGCGGCGCCTTGCAAGCCCAGCGCCACCGGGGCCCTCGTCCACTCGATCCGGATCGACGGCTTGGAGGGATGTCTTCGGGTTCCCCTCCGCCCTTGTCCCTCCGTGGGGTCGCAGACGGATGAAGGCCGTTGCTGGGGGCGTTTCTGGTACGCCGCGCGGCTGGTTACAGCTAGGGTCGGGCTCGGCTGGAGCCGTCGGGGGTGCGTCACTCAGACCTTGGCCCGCTCGCGAGGGAGGGCGAGCCCTGTGCGGGGCGAGCTTCGCGGCCTTGGATCTGCTGCGATGGTGTGAGGGAATAGCGCAATCGGGGATCGATTTAAGCAGATATTCAGAATTCTCACGATCACGTTACATTCAACGGAATCAACCACAACTCTATTGCAACTCAGAAGTACGCTACCGCGTCTTGTTTGTTCATCCAGGCATTTTACCAGACTTTGTAAAAGTACTGCATAGGACGACAGGACCCAAGATGGGCGTAAGAACGACGCTGCCGACTGTACCGGCAATTACAGGGTCTAATCCAGCAAGGGTTGAATTAGTTGGTGCGACCGAGCGCTGCGAGCGGCGGCAGACGTACGGTCCTTGATCTGCTCCAAGGCAGCTTGGGCAAGAGACCGTGATGTCGATTTCGGATGGATCATGCGAAAAGGGAACAAAGAAGCGACTCACCCAGTCATCAAGATGGCTCCTAAGCTTGGTGGTATATAATACAACTCCTGACATTTGCGGGCCGTATATCAGAAAGTACATGAGGGAAGGAGCAAACGAGAGAGATTGTTCAGCTGAACAAGCCGGCTACAAAGGCTGTGACACCGCCAACACCCCCGGCAATGGCCAGCCCAATAGCAGGGATAGCACCTGTGGCACCTGCGGCCTGCGCGCCCGCGAAGAAAGAACCCGCCAAGACATTGCCGATCATGGAGTGCACCCATGCAGCCATACTACCTAGTGGAGAAGGGCAGGTCAGCCAGTCAATATTGACGCATATTCGCGACAATCCTACCTGCGGCAACACCACTGGACGTGAATCCAGCAGCGCTTAGTACGAGAGGACCCAGAAAAGGCGTGAGAGCGACACCGACAGCTGTAGTAGCGATAGCAGAATATGGTCGAGAAAGAGTCAATCATAGACGCTCTCTGTCTTCAGCCACGTCACGCACCAGCCGCGATAAGCTCCGGAGAAGCCTGGGCGATGATTTTTCCAATTCCAGCTCCCGAAGCTACCGTAATGTATATCGTCGTCAGCCAACACCTCATATAAGAAGGTCAAGCATGCAGTGACAGTTTACACATACCAGTTGCAGCAGCTGGATTGAGGATAGCTAGCGCAATGACGGGACTTAGGACGAGTCCAATGATCAGCGCGCAGCGGGCAGCAGCGACTATGATCCTCCAGAGCAGGCGAAGCACAGCGCGAGCCAGGAAATAAGCCGCAATGATACCAAGAAAAATCTGCACGTATTTAGACTTTGCACCTGTTGACAACCTGAGAAAGATGTCGCTCCCCACAAGATCATCAGCACTCACAGTACTTCAGGCCTTCGAATAGCAGCATCACCACGTAGAAGGGGGTACAGATCAGGCAGTATAGCACGAGACAAAGCCCATATAGCACAACGCCAACCTTCTTGCCGATAATGCACAGAACTGTTGCGAGGACGTCCCGGATAGTACATGGCGCGGGCCCGTTCCAGTAAGCATAGATCCTGCCCAGCAGCGAAGTGGGCTTGGGGCATAATCCCATCGCGCGCGCTCGATTTACAAAAGCGCGATTCAGGGTGGCGGCCGCATTGCTAATCATGACGGACAGCGTCACCTCGTTAGACGCAGCGTCTGTCCAAGGTAAGTCTGCACGCCGAGGTTACGTGACGAGGCGCTCACAGTTCAAAGACCCTGCTGATTCGGCAACTTCTGACACTGCACGGTGCTTCCTGTAAACGACCGTATCGCAAGACCAGTCAAAGGTAACTCACATTCGTCCATGGCTGCGACGCGATCAAGATGGCGGTCAGACGCAACGCGCTCCGTGCGACTAGAAGACAAGGAACTTACGGCAATCCGAACGGTCACGCATTCGTGACCTAGTACAGTCGACGTGACATCGCCGATTCCGTGGCGCAGGTTCGAATCGGAGCTTGGCTTCGTCCACAACCTATAGTGAACTTTCAGATGGTGGTGAGATAAACTCAAGCAGCGTCGTTGAATTTCGGCGCTGATCACAGGTGCCTCGCAGAAAAGAGGACAATCTCCTGCAGACGGCTACGACCTGATCAAAAGAAAGGTGTGCTTGGATCCAGCGCTTGCGTTAAGCGCCCGAGCGTTCCGTTGTAGTTGACGCTTGTGATCACAGGGAAACGACGCGTTCTTGGCCGAAGACTACGACGTCGCCAAGTTGCTCTACAGTTATGCTGCGTCGAACGACAAGGAAAACTACATTCATACTCTCAATCGAGCGCAAGTGAATTTAAACCTTCAATTGTGAGTTGTGTTGATAGACGAGATGAATGCCTCGCTCACTATTCATGTAGGTGGAGGGAAGCCGAGGACGATGCAGCAGCTGTCATAGAGGTCAAAGGAGTTACTACAGTGCACAAACAGAAGGCACGCTGGCGGCTATATCAAGCAAGGAAGGGTCAGCGACAGGGCAAGGTTTCAAGAGAAGGTAAGGACTCACCAAAACGACCGTCTCAGTCGGAAGTCCCTGATCATCGCATACGCAGCATTGGATCAATGGGTAGTGGGAGGCGGTTCACAGGTCGAGGCTGAAAAGGAAAGGGCCGAACTAGAAGCACTAGAAAACGACCGGGAAGGGGATGAAATCACATCTTCCCTCGAGAATGCACACATCCGCGACGAGGTCTCCATGTCCAGCAATACCGAAGAGGACAATGAATTTTTCGCAGTCAAGGAAGACACCCACGGCGGCAAAGGCGCCTTCGCGCGCAAGCCCATCGAGCGCGGCACCCTCCTCCTCGCCGAGGAACCCCTGCTCCCTAGCCCCGCATCTTACAAAGAAGACGGCCCCCTCTCGGCCGAAATCATCCTCGCCCTCGTTGAGCGCCTTTCTCCCGCCGAAGTTGCCCGCCTCCTCACCCTCAAGAACTCCCGCGCCGGCGACCCCTACCACTGCTTTGTGGGCATATGGCAGACGAACGCGTTCTCTGGCGCCGGCATCTGCGTCACCGCGGCGCGCTTCAACCACTCATGCGTTCCGAACGCGCGTTACTCGTGGCATGCGGAGAGCAAGCGGCAGCGCATCTTCGCGTTGAGACGCATTGAGGCGGGCGAGGAGATCTGCGTGTCGTATCTGATGAATCGAAACATCTATGGCTCGAGTCGGGCCGCGCGGAGGGCGTGGCTAGAGGAGGATTATCGCTTCGTGTGCATGTGTGCTGTGTGCGGAGCGAGCGACGAAGAAGTGGCGAAGAGCGACCACAGGCGGAACATGCTAGCGCGCATCTGGCGCGCGCTGCCGACGATGCAGGACGACCCACGGCTGGCGGTATCAGAGGTAGCCAGTGCCATCCGCATGATGCGCGAGGAGGGGTACCACGCCGACGCGGACGACTTCGCGACGGAGGCGGTGAATTGCTGCGCGGCATTTTCGGACTGGGAGAGCGCGAAGTATTGGGCGGGGGTCATGTATGAGAGTAGGAGGGCAGAGTTTGGGGAGGATAGTCGGTATGCGAGGGAGGCGAAAGCGATGATGGAGAACCCTGGGGATCGGAGGAGAATGCCTATGGCGGGGATGTTCAAGGGGGTGTCGTTCACGGATATTCGTGTATGATAGGGTCTTGCGTTGCGGTACAAGGGAACCCTTCGTCTGTAAGGGGTGGAACATCGTCTTCATCGTTGTTGTATGGACTTCGACCTCGCCAGCGTTGGACTTTGACCCGTATTAGGTGTTCAATGTCGTCAAGGTCGGCGCATTCGGCCAGGGCATTGCGGAACTTGTTGAACCATGGTCGCCTCGCACTGAAGGCGGTCAGAATGGCTGAGAGTGTTAACATAAGAAGAGGCATACCACTGAAAGTCGATGAAGTGCTTGATATGCAGCTTGATCGTCGTCAAAGTTGCTGTACCCGGATATGATCGACAGAGATCCAGATACTCGCAGGATATGGCGACCGGGTCAGGCAAGATCTCCGCGAAGATGCTTTTGAAGCATGCGTCAAAGCACGCTTACTGAACGCCCGAATCTGGAGCACTGACCAAGGATTCCCAAGCAGCGTCTCCCCCACCATGACCCCATCCGCGCCTGTAAGCGCAAGGTTCTTCGGGACGTCGTCCCAATGACGAACATTGCCATTTGAGACGACGGGAACAGTAAGCGCAGACTTTAAGGCTCTGACGACCTCGAGATCGGCAGCACCTTGTCTTCTGCGCCTAGCGGAGACGGTGCGAGGATGAAGGGTAACCCAGGAGGCGCCAGAGGCCTCCAGAGCGGTGGCAAATGCGAGTGTTTTGATGGAGGGCTGACAAAGTCGGAGTTTGGCAGAGACGGGGATGGTGAGGGAGTAGGATAACGAGGATACTGGAGTAGGGTAATGTCAGAATGGATTTGGAGGGTCGGGGAGGTCTAGGTACCGATATCGTTGACGAGGGGCCAATCCTTCTGACCGAGGAGGTAGGCGCCATAGTGCCCTTCCCTTGCAGCGTCTTGAGGACAGCCCAAGTTAAGGTCTTATAAAAGATCAGACTGAAGTTGATTGAGACGAGTGCGGGTACACACCGATCCCTTGACACAAGGTCTGTACACGCTTGGCTGCCTGTACTACCAGTTCTGTGTCATTCCCGCATACTTGGACGATGGTGGGAGACCCGTCGGGTGCATTCGAAGCCAGTTCAAGGTCCCTCTGGTGGAACTCCAAGTAGTCACGATCATTCAGAATCTTGTCAGGATTGAGCATCTGAGTGTACGTTGCTGTCGCGCCATATTTCCTGACGAGCATCCGAAACGGTAAGTCAGACTGGTTGACCATAGGCGCTGCAATTCTCGCCAAGTTTGGGATCTCCATCGCGGTCGGACGAAAGGAGAGAGCAAGACTGGGGAACGAGTACGGCCGCCGGACCGGCGTCTGTGACGTGGTCACGTGAGTGACGCGCGTGTAATTCCCCGCTCGTGTCAACGTTCGTTGACTATCCACCATCATCATCACTGGCTATGCTCCCCTCTCCCTTCCTCTAGGCGGACCTCACACACATACTCCCCAGTCCCTGACGACTCTTTTTACGCGAAAATCTATCGAAAGAATCCGCCTTATATCATGCCTCGCCAGTCCGACACAGATGTCCTCGGGGGACTGCAGGGATTGATGTCCTCCATCTTCGACCAGGCGCAGAATACGGTGGCGAACCACAAGAAGAACTGCGTACAGCTACACAAACTCCACGAGCAGGTCGCCAAAGTCACGGAGCAGGCGAAGAATGGACAGGCTGTGAAATTAGTGGGGGAGCGCGCGTTCACGGACGCGTTTATCGACATGGCGAGCCGGGTGGTGGAGATCAAGAAGGGCCCCCCAGCAGCTGAGAGGGTGGTTAAGTTTGTCGGATCGTGAGTGAGCCTGCCGCTGACCGAATACATGTGTTGACTGAGACTTCAAGATACATGAAGTTTCTAAATGAGAAGGGTGTGTAACGAAGCTCGCGACTAAGCCCCCTCTAATCCCCCTTCTAGACACGGAAGAGAGTGGCATCAGCGCGCGCTTTATTGTCCGACTGCTCAACTGGCTACTTATGGGCTTCAACGCGAAGAACAAGGTTACCCGATGGCGCGTCGTGCAAATCGTATCGGAACTCATAGCACATCTGGGGGAACTCGAGTGCGTGCTGTCCTGATGTTCTCATTCTGTTCGCTCACCAATGCACACAGTGAGGACATGTACACCAAACTACGCTCTGGCCTCCTAGCCCGCGTTTATGACAAAGAGACCCCCGTCCGCGTCCAAGCCACCATCGCCCTCGCCAAACTCATCGGCACAGACGACGCCGACGATCTCCCTGACGGCGAACCCACCATTCTCCAAACCCTGATCGAGGTCCTGACCACCGATCCCGCCCCCGAGGTCCGCCGCGCTGCCCTCCTCAATGTGCCCCTCCTCAATGAATCCACCCCCGCGATCCTCGCCCGCTCACGCGACGTTGACGCGTTGACACGTAAACTCGTGTTCTCCACAGTCATGGCGGGCAAGCTGAGCCACCCGCGACTGCTCACGATTGCGCAGCGCGAAGAAGTCGTGAAGAACGGCTTGGGCGACCGTGAGCCCGGCGTGCGCATGGCCGCCGCGAAGATGGTCACCGGCTGGTTCGAGCGTATGCTCAATGCCGAGGACGGCGAGGGGCCAGCCGCGGCCCCCATTCAGTGGCGCGGCGACGAAGGGGGCATCATGCACGCTTTCATCCGCTTCCTCTGCCTCTTCGACGTCGTCGGGCTCGGCGAGGCCGTCGCGACGGACGCGGTGCTCTCCGTATTGGTCACCAAGCCGCAATACACCGAGGTCTTCATCTTCGAGGAGCGCTACTGGCTCGACCTCACGCCCGAGTCCGCCGTGCTCGCGCGCATCTTCATCGAGGAGTGCGCAGCGAACGAGAAGGCAGACCTGATGGAGTCGGCGAGCGTGCCCGTGGTGACCGCGTTCGCGTTCTTGCTGCAGGAGCGGTACAACGCGATGCTGCAGCGGATACAGGGGGCGGAGATGGCGGCGGGGAGCGGGATTAGCGAGGAGGAGGAGGAGGAGCTCGAGGAGGAGATTGCGAAGGCGGAGGTTATCTTAGCTGAGCTGTTGAGGATCTCGAAGAAGCTGGACTACATGGATGAGATTGGACGGCGGAAGGTGTTCTCGGTTGTCAGTGAGTGGTCTTCCTTCGTTCGAGGTTAGGCAGATGATGCTGACGGCCAACTGCAGAGGATATGCTTGCGCATCCGCAATTGCCGCCTGGTCTCATCAACCACTGCTTGGACGTAATGCTGGTCATCATGGACAGCGAGCGTGACCTCATCCGCATCGTCGTCGAGATCGTCATTGACCTCCGAGACGAGGACGGTGGCATCGAAGGGGATCCCAACTCGACGGTTAGTCTACTCGTCACCGTAGACTGACCGACCTTGAGCTGACGAAATCGTTTAGATGAGCCAAAGCGAGGGTGACACGACGACGCTGTCTGCCATCCGGAGCCGCGACCGCTCTGTCAGACGGAAGGGTCGCGATGAGATGACAGTTGAGGAGCGCATGCAGGCCGATGTGACGGATATGCGATGCTTGATTCTGTGCATCGGGATGCTTGAGCGCATCAATGGGGTGAGCGCAGTGGCTCCCGCCGGCCTGGGTCTCTGCTACGGCTCTTGCACTGGATGCTAATCTTCTCTCGCAGAGCTTTGAGGACAACTCCACGCTCGAGGGTATCCTCGCGGACCTCATCATTCCCGCCGTCAAGCGCAAGGAGCTGGTCATGAGAGAGAAAGGCTTGGTGGCATTAGGGCTTTGCTGTCTTATTGCCAAGGTATGGTCCTTACACATGAATCATAGACACGCTTATTGATGCCGAAACCATCAGAACATGGCTGTCAACTCGTTCCAGCTCTTCCTTAGCCAGGTTCAGGCTGCACCAGAAGAGCTCAAGTTGAAGGTCCTCCAAATCGTGCTCGATATCCTCATCATGTACGACCAGGAGTTCTTCGGCAAACCCAATGATATCGTATGTCACCCATTTCCCTCTCAATTCGCCCGTAGCCAATGAACTCTCCAGACCCCGCAAGTCATCACCTATCTCCTCCACACGCTTCAGAACGAAGACTCGCACCAAATCCAGGCGACGCTCTGTATCGGGTTGTCCAAGCTCCTCCTCGCCGGGCTCGTCTACGACGAGAAGGTCCTGACGAGCTTGCTGATGGCCTACGTGTCGCCAGCGACGGCGGGCAACTTGGAGTTGAGGCAGTGCCTTTCGTACTTTTTCCCGGTCTACTGCTACTCGTCGGCGGAGAACCAGTTGAGGATGCAGAAGGTCTTCAACATGGCGTTCAACCTGATTGCGAGGGCGTATGAAGAGCTTGAGGGAGAGCAGGATATGGTGACGCCGCAGCAGTTTGGGATGTTGTTCGTGCATTGGACGGATCCGGAGCAGTTGATGGAGGGGTATGTGGCTTCTTTGAGGCTTTCAGGCGTTAGGCTAACCATTGTGTCTTGCGCAGTGCTATTCAACATACGACGACCAAGAACCCGCACGTTGAGCTTGCGCTGGACATCATCATGACCCTGTACGACTCCGAGCGGTCTGGTGAGTGTCTGCTTTCACAACCATGGCTGATCCCTTACTTACGCGCTGCGCAGAGGAAGATCACAAGGCTCTAGCGCAACTCCTCCAGCACCTCAAGCTCCCCGCCGACCTCGACGATAGGATGATCATCCAGCTTGACCTGCTCCTGACGCATGTCAGGGAGAATGGCACCACCGACGACCCCACCATCGACAAGGCCCTCGACAAGTTCCAGGCGCGATTCAAGAAGACGTATTCGAAGCGGCTGCCCGATATCAACCGGGGCGCATACCTCGATGAAGAAATGCTCAAGCTGTATGAGTTTGTGGAAGTCGACCCGCCGGAAGCGGTCATTGTGGCGTCGAGTTCGAAGACGTGAGTAGTGACTGCATGCGTGTGGGGATTGTCGTACTAATCTGCGGCTAGATCAATGGCGAGCGGCAGCACCTTGGTGCCCTCACGGACGTAAGTGTAGACAAGTTCATCGCAATGTCGCGCATGACTAACCCTTTGACCAGGACACCAATAGTAGATGCCGGTCGGACGACTCCCACCAAATCCCAGATACTGTAGGTCTTGCACCGGTCTATGAGACATCGATACTGACAAACACAGCAGTCAGCCGATAGGCAATGTCGTGGGCGACGAGCATCCAATATCCCGGCATGTGAAGATCTTGACGCCCATGAAACAACACGAGAAGCGGTCGCGGAGCCCCGAGTCTGCTCGCAAGCTCTCCTCTCCTGGCAATCGAAAGCGGACACGATCCAGTCTTGTGTAAGTATCTCGCATGTCAATTTCCCTTCATCGTGCTCACGGCGGCCCTAGACCATCGTCCGAGGAGACAGACGATTCTGGAAAAGAAGACTCTGAGGACGTCCGTCGGTCCCTCCTGTTTCCCCCACAACGAAGACGCGACTCGCTGCTGTCGGACGACGATGACAGAAATTCAGGCGCGGATGGTGAAGATTTATGATATGCGTTCCAGTGTCGATAGTCGTCTTTATTCCTACATATATATCTCGTTGCATGTCTGTTTCCTTGCTCGTATATAGATCGCACTTGTTGTATAACTACGCCCTTCGTACTCGTGGGTGTGCTCCACAAAGGTGTGCGGCGTTTGGGGCGCGGTGTAAGGATGAGACGGTAAGTTGCTGACCATATCATGTTCGTGAGGTGAGTCCGTCATGTTTAGCCGCATACAGATGACTCTACTGTACCATAGGTGTGAACAATGCGCAAGTAGATTCGCTCAAGGGAACTCGCTGGTGTGTGAGGCCTCGTCACATCGATGACCGAACTACCGTTCCTCTGCCTGCTGCGCTGGGCTTGACGGTACGACTTCCCTTGACTTCTTCGACTCGTCTCCCACTGCCCACAGCTTTGCGCATTCATGAGTAGAGACAAACGACGTTATCGGGACAATTCGACAAGAGAAATCGATGAGCGCATGACCCACCACCGGCTGGACTCAACCCGTCACGCAACGCCCATGGCCATAATCCAAGTTCTGGACGAAGTCTATATATATGGCACAGACGCAGCTCGAAGACCAGCATCCAGCTTCAGCTCTAACATAGACTCAAGGCTTCCCCACAATCCAGTATGTCAGGCGGCACATTCCTCTCCGGCAAAGTCGCTCTCGGTATGTCTTCATACTTAGACGTCGATAATACATCTATGACTCAACTGAGGTCCCAGTGACCGGCTCGTCTCGCGGCATCGGCGCCAGCGCAGCTCTCGGGCTCGCCGAGGCCGGCGCGGACGTCGTGGTTAACTACGTCAAGTCCAAGGGCCCCGCAGAGGAGGTTGCTACGAAGGCGCGCGCCCTCGGCGTGCGCGCCGAGGTCATTCAGGCGGACGTGACGAACCCGCAGGAGATCGAGAGGCTCTTCACGGAGGCGATACAGAAGCTGGGGCGTATCGATATCGTTTTCTCGAATGCGGGGATTGAGGCGTGGTCGAGGCCAGATGACTTCACGAGGGAGGAGATGGACAAGGTGGGTGGGAGTGCGGGTTGTTTGAAGTGGGAATTGTGTTTCTCACTTTCTGAGTTTAAAGGTGTTCGCCACGAATGTGTACAGCCAGCTGTTCGTGGCGCAGCAGGCCTACAAGCACTTGCAGGACGAGGGTCGCCTCATCCTCATGTCGTCTATCGCAGCGCATATGGTAGGTCGAGGTCTTGCTTGCCCTTCGGGCAATGTCTAATATTGCGTAGGGTCGTCCGGAGCATGCCCTCTACGCAGCGTCGAAGGCTGCTGTGCAGGGCGCCACCCGCGCCCTCGCATGGGATTTCGGCCCGCGCAAGATCACGGTCAACGCTGTCGCTCCCGGTGGCATCAAGACGGACATGTACGGTGAGTGGTTCGCCTACCTTGAAGGGATACACCCTCCGAGATCATCAAGTGGCTCGGCTAACGAATGCATTCAATAGTCGAGGCGGCAGGGAAGTACTTCCCAGGCGGCGACAAGATGTCCGCGGAGGAGATCGACAAGATTACTGGGAGCTGGAGTCCGCTGAACCGCCCCGGGTACCCCGAGGATGTCGTGGGCGCGGTTCTGCTGCTGGCGAGCCCTCACTCGCAGTGGCTGACGGGGCAGACGCTGCAAGTCAGCGGCGGTGCGCGCATGGTATGAAGTACTAGGTGGATAACAACGATACGTCAAGAAGAGTATGTGTACAAATAACAATTGTGACCTGCAGATGCAGCGATGAGGATCCAAAAATTCGACGCATGGCGCCCGAGGCTCGTCCAGCAGCGTGTCTATACACGACCGTCTGTTGTCAACGTGCACTACCATATGAATATTTCGCCAACCGCTGCTCGATGTCCACCTCCCCACAAATCCACGCCGCGAGCAGCCCATGGTCTCTGGTTCCCCTTGACTCGCTGTATCAGGCATTACACCCGCGCCCTCCGCTTTTAGGCAGCGCTGGGACTGCCAGATGGCCAGACGCGACGACGTCCTGCATGCATCCACGCGCACGCAAGGGTACCGAGGTGGCCCTGTCACTGCCAGAGCCCCCGGTACCGCGAGAGCCCTCCAAGGAGGTTGCATGCGCTGAGGACTGGTCCGTTCGCCGCGCTTCAAGTTCTGACAGACAGTCACGACGCAACATGATGATGAAGGAGCGCGGGGTAACTCAGCCGTGTACCATGCAGACGAGAAAGACCGACGGCGGAGCGCCCGAGAGGGTCAGTCTCGGGGCTTGATGGTCAGACACCGAGAGATGAGTCCCGGTGTCCAACGTTGCTCGTGGCGGCAGACCGTTCGAGGGGAAGGCGGAATATTCGAAGTCAACGGCAGCGTCGCCGCGCACCTCGAGGAGTGCGCGCCGCCCTGCACAGGCCCACCCATCGCGGGGCGATCAGGCAGGGTTGAGCTCGAGAAAGAGGACACGGAGATCCTGTGTGGATCGAGCGTGGCAGTCGCCGGCGGACGAGCGTTGGGGGAGAAGTGCTTTCCACCTTGAGGGGCTTATATACAAGGCGCCTCGTGGAAAAATCGAGGCAGAGTTGGCGCCTATTTGCGGAATCAAGGCGGCTAGAAGGCCAGAAGGAGGTGTTCAGGTGGCCAGAGCATAGCGGATGTCGGAGCGGTGCCACAAACTGTGATTCCAAAAGCTCGTCATACCGAAAAAAATGTATGGACAATATAACAATTGTGATCTGCATATGCAGAGGATAGACTCCAGAAACTCGACGCAAAGCGCCCAAAGCTCGTCCGCCAGCTATGCACACACCGAGCATTGTCGGCGTGCACTGCCATAGAGATATTTCGCCGGCCATTGCTCGAGTTCGACGTCCCCCCAAGTCCGTGCTAAAAGCAGCCCAAGGTTCCTTGGTTTCCCTTGACTCTTCACTGTAACCAGGCATGCCACCCGCGCCCTCCACGATTACCATAAACCAGCCGGGGCCCAAGCTCACAATGGCTGAGTCCTCCATCCAGACGCACGCAAGAGTACCGAGGCAGCTAGGCCCCTCAGCACCGCAAAAGCCCTCCAAGCACCGTTGGAGGCCGCATGCGCTATGGACTCGGACCCGTTTGCCGAGCGTCTGACAGAGGGCGCCGACTGGCTGCGGGGCATGAGAGAGGTACGCGTGTGATCATGCTGAATATGCAGACGAGAAAGACCGATGGCTGAGCACCGAGAGGGTCTCGGTGCCCGATGGCAGCACACCTTCGAAGAGGGGAGTCGCCGTGCTTGTGGCGGCGGACCCTGCGAGGGAAAGACGCAAATTCGAGCGCAACAGCAACGTCGCCGCACGCGGCGCACTGCACAAATCCACCCAACGCTGAGCGAACAGGCAGAGTCCAGCTCGAGAAAGAGGACGAAGGTCCTGCACGGGTCGAGCGGGGCAGTCGCTGAAGGACGAGCATAGGAAGGGGAGCGCTCGATGCTTCTGGGTGCTTATATAGGGTGCACCATGCCGGAAAAATGAGGCAAGATCGGCGCCTATGTGCGGCGTTGAGGTGGCCAGAAGAGAGCGGAAGCCGGGAGCAATGCCATAAGTTCGATTTCAGAAGACCATCGCACTCGATTTCGGAAGCTCATCGAGCTCACTTTCGAAACGCCATCGAGAACGACTGTGTTGTTCTTCTCAGCATAAGGCTTCCTGCAAAATCCAGTCAATGAACGAGTCGTAGAGAACAAGAGGAACCTACGAAGAAGTCAAAATGCCAACCTATTGTACTCACCCGACCAAGTCCTTCGGCGTTTGCCGTAATGAACTTCGCTTCTCGCACTGTGATCTCCTGGTGATCTCGTCACTGCGATCCGGCAGACCACCACGATCCGGCAGACCACCGCGATCCGACAGCGATACAGTTCACCGCGCACGCGCTGTAGGCCATCTGCGTGTTCATATAGGGATCGCGCAGGGTACTCCTCAACGTAAACCGCGACTGCGCCCTGAGCTACACTACACATCGGCTGCTTCGTTCCTTCCTCTGTCGCAGCAGCACAATTTGGGACGACCCTGCACATCGATGGGAGGCACGTTTGCTCGCGTAGTTGTAAGCGATGGGAAGACAAGTCTCGCTAGGGATGGAAGGCTAGGTATCGCTAGCGATGGGAAGCTAAGTATCGCTGGCGATGGAAAGCGTTCGCGGGCTAGCGTTAGCTCTATCTCGCCCGCTTGGAGATCCCGGGTACCCGGGCCTAGGGACCTCCTCGAGCTACATACCGATCGCGAGCCGTGGTGAACTGCATGGCTGCCTTTGTAGCGATGGACAGCATGGCAATCACGGTAGAAAGGAAAGGAAAGGAGTTCTGTCTTTCTACTGCGCGTCGCTGGCGCAAACGTGCAACGACCTCGATGATCAGAATACGGACGGACTTCGCGTCGACGCTGTCTGTCGTTCCGCGTCCCATTGAGTCTATTCAGTACTTGATCAACGCTATCAGCTACTCTCGCGGTACCATCAGCATTCAATCGCCCGTATAGGTTACCCACTCGCCAGAAAAGGTCATCCACTCGCCAGAAAAGGACATCAAGCCCTGCCAAAGGGAGAATCAGGTGCGGACCCTCGGTACCGCGGGCTTCCACGCATAGGGCTAGCCCTTGCTGCTCGCCTGAGGAGCTCTCACGTACACGGGTGCAAAGGTCCTGTGCTCGCATCCATAGGACCCTCCTTTCGCAGCACATCGGACGAGCCGACAGACCGAACGAAATGGAGGCGACGACAGACGACGAATTCGACAGAGGGAAAGCGACGGCAGAAAAGCATCTCCCGAGCGCAACATGGCGCTCAGGGTCCAGAGACGGACGCAGCAAGAGGAGAGTAACGCATTCGCCGTGCAAAGCAACAGTTTCGACGGGCAGAGCAAGGAGATCGCCGTGCAGAACGACGGAGAGCATGTCGCTGCGCAGCCGTTACCGTCTCGTGCCCGCGTTTCTCGGTCGCGCCGGCACCGTTCGCATCGCTGCGCGTTGCCCCTCGCGTCCGTCGCGGGAGACGAGCAGTTTCAGATCGACATCATCGAGATGCAGACAGACGAAGGGGGTCTCCCGACTGCCGAGGGCGCAGCGCGCTCGCCGCCGTTCAGGAGCCCGTGGACGCCCTGAAAGTATGCGGGACCTGCGCCTCGGGGCGGCCATCCCTTTCTGGGCGCTTAGGCAGTCTTTCTGGCCATAGACGACCGCGATGAACGTGCAGGAGGTTGCGCGCTCTAGAATGACCGAGAAGACGTTGTATGGGATGAAATCAAAGTGCATCCGCGGAAAATCAGAGTCTGCCCGCGATCAAGTTGAACTGTGACTGTGACACTGAGAGGAATTTCGGCTGGCTGCCTCATCGCTGAGGATGGGGATTGTGCCAGGGCAGAGAGGTGGTCCCGCCGAGGGGGTGTGCCGCCGCCTTGCCGCTTTCATCCGGCAAAGAAGGGGATGGAAGAGGAAGGCGGGGGCCGCGGGGGCTGACATCAGTGCCGTCATCAGGCCGTCGGGGCGTCGGTGTGACGTTCCCAATCCGAGCGGGGGCCCCGGTTTATCCTGCCCGCCAACCAGATCGCCCGCATACATATAGACCGTACGCTCCCAAATCCTCCTAATCAGATTCCCCATCCCCATCCCCCGCCCCCGCGACTCAGACGTCCTCCGCGATGGCCACCACGGACCACGTCCGCCAGCAGATCCGCGAGCTCGAGGAGATCAACCAGAAGCAAGGGCTCGCCCTCTCCGGCCGAGTCATCCACGTCTGCCACTACCTCCCCGTCACCGCTGCCCTCAAGACCCCGAACGCCAGTGGGCTCATCAGCCCACCCGCAACCCCGCCAGTCCGCCCGTCTGACCTCGAGTCCAAGACCGATGGCGCGGCTAAGCACTGGACGCTCGGTGTTCGCTATGGCCACGCCGCGATGATTTCTGGCATCAAGTCGCTGTCGCGAACACGCAATCAGGTCATCATTGGCTGGACAGGCGACATTCCGCGCGCCCCGGCTAGCGCTGGCGCGACTGCGGGGACGAGCAGCGCAGCGAGCGTGCCTTCGAATGCGATCACGCAAGAGGACAAGGATGCCCTCGTAGAAGCGCTCGCAGAATACAGCAAGAACGAGCCGCAAGAGGAATGCGAGGGTGCCAAGCACGAGATCGGCTATGTGCCCGTATGGCTGGACGACAAGGTCGCGCACGGTCACTACGATGGCTACTGCAAGCAGAGTGCGTGCCCCCTACGATTTTACTGGGCATCATACTGACCTACTGTCTAGCCCTCTGGCCGCTATTCCACTACCTCCTCTGGCAAGACGTCGCCTCAGAACAGTCGCAAGCCTCCGCCTACTACCAATACTACGTCCAGGCCAACCGCACCTTCGCCGAGAAGATCTGCGAGACCTACCGCCCCGGCGACCTCATCTGGATCCACGACTACCACCTGCTCCTCGTCCCCAAGTTCATCCGCGAGATCATGCGCGAGAAGGAGCGCGACGGCACGCTGGGCTGCAAGGCCGAGGAGGTCATGATCGGCTTCTTCATCCACACGCCCTTCCCCAGCAGCGAGGTCTACCGGTGCCTGCCCGAGCGCAAGCAGATTCTCGATGGCATACTCGGCGCGAACCTGGTGTGCTTTCAGACGTACTCGTATGCAAGACACTTCTTGTCGACGTGCGTGAGGGTGTGCGGGTATGAGACGACGACGGCGCATACGGCGAGCTCGATCACGAAGTCGTTCCGGGTGGACGAGGATAGCAGTGGGGGCGTTGGTGTCGATGTGCAGGGGCATGTCACGATTGTGGAGCACTGTCCCGTGGGCATCGATGCTGAGCGCGTCGGCCGCGACATTTTGCGACCGGGCATCCAGCCGAAGCTGGAGGCGTTGATGCACCTGTACGAGGGCAAGAAGATCATTGTCGGTCGCGACAAGCTCGATGTGGTCAAGGGTGTCTTGCAGAAGGTGCGTTCCTCCCTTTAGTTCATTGGGTGTTTGCTGACCTGCCCTCCTAGCTGCGCGCCTTCCGCCACCTCCTCCTGACCTACCCGCAATGGATCGGCAAGGTTGTCATGATCCAGGTCACCTCGCCCTCCCTCACGGACTCGCCGAAGCTGGAGAAGCAAGTCAGCGAGCTCGTCTCGCAGATCAACGGCGAGTTCGGCAGCTTGGACTTTATTCCTTGCCATCACTAGTGCGTATATGATTCATTGTGCCTGTTTATCCTGTCCTATCTTCCCATCTTCTTTCACCTCCACCACTCCCTTGCTGAACTCCATATCGTAGCCACCAGACGCTGAAGAAGGACGAGTTCTACGCGCTGCTGTCCGTTGCGGACCTCGCGTTGATCACGCCTCTGCGAGATGGGATGAACACGACGTCGATGGAGTTTGTGGTCGCGCAGGAGAGGACGAAGAAGAGCCCTTGTGTGCTCTCTGAGTTCATGGGGATCAGTCGGCATATGGCGGAAGCCCTCCTCGTCAACCCATGGGATCTAGGCGTGAGTTTGACTCGCCTTCTATCCTCTCAACCGAGTTGACCAGTTCTTTCTTAGGACGTCGCCGCCGCCATCGACCGCGGGCTCACCATGGCCGACCCGGAACGTAGCGCGCGCCACGCGAAGCTCTACGAGAAGGTCACGACGCACACCTCTCACACCTGGGCCGCCCTCCTCGTCAAGATGCTCGTCGCGCACGCCGGCGGCCTCGACGCCATGATGAAGCCCTCCGAGACGCCCTACATTGACACCGCGCTCCTCAAGGCGAAGTACACCGCCGCCTCCAAGCGCCTCTTCCTCTTCGACTACGATGGGACGCTCGCGCCGATCGTGAAGACCCCCAGTGCGGCCGTGCCCACACCGCAGGTGCTGCGTGCGCTCGAGAAGCTGAGCGCGGACCCGAAGAATGTGGTGTATATCATCTCGGGACGCGATGGTCAGTTCTTGGAGCAGCATTTGGGCCATTTGGAGAATGTGGGCTTCAGCGCGGAGCATGGAGGTTTCGTGCGCCCGCCGAAGAGGGAGAACGGGGGGTCGTCGGAGTGGATGAACTTCACGGAGCGGCTGGATATGAGCTGGATGTCGGAGGTGGAGGAGATTTTCAAGTACTACACTGAGGTAAGGGTTCGTATCCTAATCGCTCCGGACTGTCCGCTGATTGGGCTGGCACGCAGCGCACGACGGGGAGCACGATCGAGGTGAAGAAGTCGTCGATCACCTGGCACTACCGCAACAGCGACCCGGAGTGGGGCGAGTTCCAGTGCCGGCAGTGCCAGGACCTGCTGGAGAACAACTTGGCGAACAAGCGGCCGATCGAGGTGATGTTGGGGAAGAAGAACCTGGAAGTGCGCCCGATGGCGATCAACAAGGGCGAGATCGTCAAGCGGATCGTGTACCAGAACCCGGATGCGGAGTTTGTGTTCTGCGCGGGGGATGATAAGGTGAATTTCTTTCGTTGACGCGTCTCTCGTCGTTGCCTATCAAGTAAAGTCTCATGCTGACCAATACACTCGCAAACAGACCGACGAGGACATGTTCCGCGCGCTCCTCCTCTTCCCCAACACGCCGGGCCGCAACTCGGGCAGCTCGCACATCCGCTTCGAGGCCCCGCTCTCCGTCACGCTCACCAGCGACGCGAAGGGGCAGGACTTCCCGCCCGTCGAGCTGCACATCACACGCGACGCGATCTTTACGACCGCCGTGGGCCACAGCTCGAAGCGCACGCTCGCGAGCTGGCATGTGACGGCGCCGGAGGAGGTGGTGGATAATATGTTGAGGTTGGTGGGGGAAGAGCCGGAGAGGGGGCAGGAGGTGGCGAAGGCGGAGAGCAACCTGTGATTGAGTGAGGTGGTGGGGGTGTGATGTGTTGGGTGAGCGAGGTGGAGGGTGGACGAGCATATAGAAGGCAGTCTGAAGCATCAACCAATGTATCATATGGGCTTAGACGGACGGGGCTCGCGGGGCGCATTTTGAGATGCGCGTATCTCTTTATCATGCGTATAGTTAGCCATTAGACACGGACGCTAGACATGCCTCGATACCCACAGCTGTGTAGTTTAGGCATTCGATTCTTATGCAATGCTTTTCAAGTCTAGCTGAGTGACGAACTAAAGACACTTGTCACGATGTTTAGGAGAGGTCAGAACATGAGGGAGTCGGCATTTGTGGCACCGTGACCGCGACTTCCGCGCGCTTCTAGCCGCCTTTACACCGCAGATAGGCGCCGCCTCGATTTTAGCATGAGGCGGGGCGTATATAAGGGTGCACGGAGGAGGAAGCGCTTCTCTCCTCACCCTCGTCCGCAAGCGACCGCCGCGCTCGATCCGTACGGGACCTCCGGTCCTCAATCTCGAGCGAGAACCTGCGTGCTCATCCATCGAGGGGCGGGTATGCCCACTCGTCCTGCGAGGGGCGAGTATGTAGGTGCCGTGCGTTGAGACCCTCCGCACGGTCCGCTGTTGTTGAACGTGTCCTGCCCCCTTCCGGAATAGTCCGCTTCGAGAGCAAATCGCGGGGCGTGTGAGGAATCGTGCAATCCGCGAAGGCACCGAGATTTACCCTCCCGGCGCCTAGCTTTCCATCCTTCTTGGCTGTAGCGTCCGCACCATAGATATCATTCACTTCGTCATCTGATCCCAGTCAGAAGTCACATCCCTCGGGGAACCGACCTTCATGGCGAAAAGTCCAGTCCGCGTTGGGTGTAGGCTAAGGGCGACGAAGGCAGGGATGCGGCGGCGCAGGCCCTGCCTTCGCGCTTTTGCATGCTTGCGGATGCGGGATCTTCGGCTGTGCTGGTCGGGGCTGCTAGTCTGGGGATACCAGGGACGCTGGGAATGTGTATGCGAGCGGGTGTGCAGAACCTCAAGTCAAGGGAAACCAAGGGTGGATTAGTTGCTTGGGAGGCGGACGTTGGAGGAGCGCGGGAACATGTCCTATGGTTAGTGGGACAGATTTATGGCGGTGCACGCTGACTATGGTCAGTCGTGTATGTAAAAGCTGCTGGACGAGCCTTGGGCGCCTTTGCGTCGAATTTTTGGACCTTCCTCGCTGCTATGGCGATCCGGCATTTTTGCGGGGGTGTCTCCCTACGCGTATGAATAAATTCTTCGACACATACTGTAAGAATGCATTAATCGGAGGCGTAGCTTAGGCTTGCGGTTTGACTGTAATGCTGTTCCAATGTCGAGCTGTGGCAAGTATCAGTAGATGGGTAGGCGGATAGGTGGTATCACTCACGCTAAGTTTTAAGTTGGGGCACCGCGACTTCGCGCGCTTCTACCCGCGCTGACGCCGCAGATAGGCGCCGCCTCGCTTTTGGCATGAGGCTGGGTGTATATAAGAGCACGAGAATGTGGAAGGACTCCTCTCTTCACCCTCGTCCATAAGCGACCGCCGCGCTCGACACGCACAGGACCTTTAGTCCTCATTCGCGAGCGAAAACCTGCCTGCTCGTCCTTCGACGGGCAAGCATATGACGGTCCCCACTGGACATAATTGTTGAGGATATACTTGCTCTTGTCAAGCTTCGCTTTTGCGATGTTCTGGCTCTGAGTCTTCACTTCGCCTTCGCTCGGGATGTGAACTTGCATTCGAATCGTAAGTGCACGTGACTTTTGCTTTAGGTCACGTGGACTTAGCTTTGGACTCGCGCATTTCGCCTTCGACTTCAACGTTTCATCTCTGACCTTCACTTGAACTTGCAAGGGCGCTTTATCATGAACACCTTGGCAATCTCAATAACTATGTATAGCCGCGCGTCACGGGTCCCGGCCAGTGGGCGAGTGGGTGCCAGTGACCGTGGGTCCCTCGCAGCCACGGCATTCTGTCAACCTTCCGCAAACAAGGCCAAGGAAGCCGCTGCATATGCATCGTGTGTGTCCTTGAACTGCAAAGCTCGATTCTGACCTTATTGGGTGTCTATGAGCTGTCGACGATGCCCTTGTCGCGACCAACAGAGGCATGACATTCCCCAAACAGCACGGCGACGGGTGGAGTAAACTCCTCCTCCATTGTCCTTTCTGAGCGTCCCAAAAGCGTAGGGTAACCCTCTCAAAAGCCACGACTGTCTTACAATGCCCTCGCGCCATGGAAGGCACGCGCGAGTTCCCCCGGTGCACGGTACGAAGAGGTGAGCTGCCCTTCCCCTCCTGTATACCTTTCTCTGAGTGCTCTGGCCCTTTTTTTTTTTTTTGAAATCATTTTATGGACCGCAGGGGCTACCTATGCTGGTCCTCCCTCCTTTTACATGTAGTAGATACCGATCCCAATCCTTTGAAATGTGATGTTGTTGTCGTTCTCCAGGGTTCCAAGAGGCCCGTGGACGGAGCAAATCCCCCCACGGCCCGGCGCGTCCTAGCACCGTTCCTTGGCCACCGTCCTTCGGTATCTCTCCATCTGAGCCGGCGAAGCCAGCCTTTCCATCGTCAGTCGTGTGCTCTGGCCCTACATATCCCTATGCACAACCGCCAATCGCCGCCATAAGATGCGATGTGCGCGATATAGCGGACGGCCGAAGGCAAATGCAGAGCATACGAGAGGGAGAGGCGGGAGGGATGCGGGACGGGTGTCTGCGCTACCCCCTTCATTATCGTTTCCACCTCAAAGATTGTCGGTGGCCGTATCGAGCTCGGGAATGTCACCGCGAAGTCGCCGCATTTTTCCTGACGTGTGACAAGGGCGAGAGATGCAATTGGGAAGGGCCTACGAGGTCGAAGGGCAGCGCAGATGAGTATTTTCGCGCGGCATACGAAGGGCGGGGGCGACGCGAGATCAAAGGTACGAAGCCGTTCGTCAAGTGTATGAGCCTGATCATGCCGACATCCCATTCGCTGACTATATGCGCTCAAATCATGCTTTGCTCGCCCCCGTTACTCCTGCTTTCGATACACATGAGCAACGACGCCGTGTGCCTGCTTCGTCGATAGCTACCCAGACCTACCCGAACGAGCAGTCCTATGACCACGAACCGATGTTCGAACAACATCGCACCTATGATCAGCAACTCCCTGACGATGGACCAGCCTACGACCAACAAATGCCTTACGACGAGTACGACGACAACAAAGAGAACATCCCGCAACTCGCGCAAGATGATTATACCGAGATCTCCTCTCTGGATTACACTGACTATGATATGCCTGCTGCTCGATCTCCCAGCTTTTTTTCTTCCGCGATCGACTACGGGCACGCCGGCATGGACGATCGATAGACACTGTCATCGAATGCTCTCCAGTTGATGTTCGAACCGCCGCAAGTCTACCCATCGCGTATGCAGAACGAGGTCGAGGTCGAGTCCCAATTGTCCCTGATCACGCCAGAGCCAGACTACGTCCATGGATCCCAAATCATCCCTCTTTCTTTCGATTCCCCGCAGCCAGCGATCTCCCGCCGATCTCGATCCCGTGTGCGCGACGAACCCTCGAGTTTCGACGAAGCTACCACTACGAGGGAGGTCATTTTGAATACTCATTCGAAGCCCTCTGAGCGGTCCACTGTCGCGACTTCTCATGCTGAAGACTTCGACATTGCTGCCGCTGCCGACCTTGCCAATCACTCGCTCGAAATATTCGACTTCGCTCTGCTACGCGCAAAAAAGGTTACTGCACCTGCGCCCCCTACCACCTCCCGTCATATCGCGACCGGCAACTCCTGAAGAACCGCGAAAGCCTCCCGAAACCATCTACGACGCGAACACTTTGCGATTGCCTTCAACGTGGACGATCCCAGCGACTGTGCACCGCTATCTCGCCCCGATTGACTGCGTCCAAAAGCAGGCTCTGCGCGGCCTGCGTTTTGAGGAATGCGCAATCGACGTCATCGAACGCGATAGCCTGGGCGGCGTCGAATTCATCATCGACGCGCATACAGGCGTTCTGCTCGTCTCTCTTCTGTCCCTCCCTGGCGACTGCGCGGACGCCGTCGCGCGCATTGCGGTGCAGACATGGAACTTTGATCGCCTGCTCGTCGTTCTCGAAGCGTACCCTTCACGTACGCCAAGAAGATCGAGCGCCGTAGCGCGGCGCCGTTCGCGTATACGCCGCCGGTCCTGAAGGCGCTGCAGAAGCTGCGGCGCGACCTCAATATTGAGCAGGCGTGTGGGACGAGTCGCGAGGCGATGGAGGTGAAGTTTGCGTTTGCGGATACGGTTTCGGAGGCGGCGTTGTTTGTGCGCATGTTTGGGAACGAGGCGGAGGAGAGGGATCAGACAGATGGTGCGCTTTGGGGCGGGAGGGAGTGGTTGGATGATGAGCCTTACGAGGTACGTCCACAGGCGTATCTTCAGGTCGAGGGCTGTGGTTAATTGGACACGACAGGGTGAAATGGACTATGCCGCCGTGAAAGGCATGAACGTCTCCGCCGCCATCATTATGCTTTGTCAGGAGGACCTTACCATGCAGGACGTCCCGAATATGTCCCCGAAGCAGCGTCTCGATTTCTTCGCACCCTTCATTGGCGTGGACCGAGTGGTATGTGCCTATCCCCTACGTAAACCAGCCTCACCTACGAAGCTGAACTAACCCGCGAACACAGGAATCCTTCAACTCTGTTCTATCCGACCGCCGGCAGCAGGTCGAAGCGATGTCTTCGGTCAAGGCTTCGTCCACACTGCTCGCACCAGGAAATTTGCGGTGCCTTTCACTGCTTCGTCATGCCTCGACTGCTTCGTCGCCCGCTTTGGGAAATCGCTGCACGACGGCTGCGAAGGCGTGAGTGGCGGGGAACGAAGGCTCGGGGAGAAAGGCTTCGATTTAGGCGAGAAGGGGAAGGAGGACATGCCCCCCTCATCGTAGGTACCCGCCGACTACAGGACATGTACGTAGACTACGAACACAATTGACTGCGCCCCATCCCCATTTTCGCGCCAGTGAACAGAGTCCGAATGAAATGGATTGCCACAACTGTCAAAATGTGTCGCTCCCCCTCGCGTTTTGTCATCTTAGGGCTTACTACCGTCCCTCCACCCCTTCCCATCCCTTCTCACTCCTTCCCTTCGCTCTCCCAGTCTTGTCTCTTCATTTAACGACCTCCTTGCTTCATACCTTCCCGTGCCATTTGTTCCTACTTCCCTCTCCCCTTCTCCTTCCTCCCTTCCTCTTCCTCTTCTCCTTCATCTCATCAATCACTTTCTCTCTCTCTCTCTTCCTTCGAGTTCCCATTCCCTACTTTGCATTTTCTCTCGCTCACCCTTGCTCCCTTCCCACCCCTCTTCCTCCCCTCCCCTCGCCTCCCACATCTTGTCTTCTCGCTTACGTTTCTCAACTCGTCAAGGAGCAAACGATGTTCTATCGTTCTATCTACTATGGACCATATGCTTTACCCCCGATGCACTCATTTCCCTTCTGCTCACGCTCCCATCCTTTGACGCGTTCGTACCAATGTGACTCGCATCTGCCTATTGTTCCGTCTTCTATGCTTTAGTTAGACGCGCTCAACGTCATAGGACCCTTATTCTTTTCTCCCGTCCCCTGATCTCACGCATGGCTGTGGTCTACGCAAGCAGTGGACCTGTTAACCGCACATCTGAGGTAACTGTCACGGTTCGTCACGGCTGTTACAGTCCGGAGGTGCGGCCCGCCGTCCCGCCTGCCGTCTCTCCGTACTGCCCTACATGCTGATCCACAAGACAAAGAGAGACAGGATAGTACTTAGCGTACACTCTACATCCAAGACAGAGTTCGCCATATCCTAAGTCAAGAGTCGAGGTCAAAAGCTAAAGCTAACGTCACGTGCAAACGCAAGTCGAAAGCTAACCTCACGTGACCTTGCGCCAAGTCTAATAATTTTGTCCAATGAGGGCACGCATACAAGCATGTGGGTGCCGTGTGTTGAGAACTTCCGCACGGTCCGCTGCCGTTGGACATGTTCTGCGTTCTTCCCAGACAGTCTGTCTCGAAAGCAAGTGATGGGGCGTGCGAGGACTTGCCCTGCCAACATCCAGCTGGGTAAGTCCTGACGCTCAGCCATCCATCCTTCTCCAGCTATTCTGCCCACCGTACTACCGTCGCGCATCTTTGGCCAGGCTTGCGGCGGTAATCACCTTCCAAAGGGAAGACACCCTTCATCGCGAAAAGACCAGTCCACTTTGGGTGTAGCTTCCCCGGCGTCGTAGGCTACGCCCTCGACGCCCTTGCACGCGTGTGGATGCGGGGTCTTTAGCTGTGCTGTGGTGCGATTATACTCGAAGTCGCCGAGGAATGACGACTGTGTAGGATTTCATGGGCAGGCAAGTTTGGGGTCAAGGGCAACCAAGGGTGGATTGGCTGCTAGAGAGATGAACGTTGGAGGAGCGCGGGAAGATGTTCGATGGCCAGTGCGATAGACTTAAGGTGGTGCACGTTGACCATGGTCAGTCGTGTATGTAGCCGCTGCTGGACGAGCACTGGGCGCTTTGCGTCGAATTTTTGAACCTTCATCGCGATTCATGGCGATAGTTGTACCACTTTATTGCTAGACCGTTCGGGTACATGTTGCTGGAGCAAATCGTGCGGTATCATCAAGAATATATTCCTGAGTATACGAGGGGACAGGGAGTGGTAGAAATTGAAGTGTGCGAAGACCAATTCATCTCGCAGCAGGGAGAGTATACTCAAGGCCTGAAGCCTTTCTGAACTTCGCGATGAGCTTAGAAGTCGATAGATCAGAGTTAGGCCGCCAAGCTCTGCGTCGCATATGAGGAGCATCGAGAGAGCTGTACGAATATTACAGACACGAGGATGTATGAGATAGGCCGCCAAGCTCTGCGTCGCATATGAGGAGCATCGAGAGAGCTGTACGAATATTACAGACACGAGGATGTATGAGATGAGGAGGTCGTGAGGGGAACATGGGGACGATGACGGTATTTGGCCTTGTGTGTTTGTACGTGTTTCTGACGTGGCGTCCGGACGCGATCCCAGTCGAAAACGCATCCGCACTGTCCATCCTCCTCGTTCCTCATGGCGACGCCCGCTCAGCAACTTCCTCCAGGATGGGTCGCGGAATGGTGCGCGCGCAGAATCACCCCTGCAAAAAATCAGCTCATCTTTGCCCAGGGATCCCAACGCACAGCGTTACCTCTTCATTGGTCCGTCCCATACCCAGTGATCATGCACATCCCGCTCATCTGCCCCTTCAGAGTCCGCAACCGGCCAGACCCAGTGGGAACTCCCCGGAGCTCCAGGCGCCCCCAATCCCGCTGGCTCACCCCCGCCGGGCTCGCACCATCACACAAAACGGCGCCAATACGCGGCTGGTCAAACTCAGGCATACTACGGCACGGAGGGAGGCGGCGGCGGCTATCAAGAGCCCGCAGGATACGGCGCTGTTCCCGTCGCGGGCACACCCATTCCAGGCCAGCCCCCCGTGCACCCTGCGTACGCGTCGCCCCCAGCGCCAGGCGGTCAGCTCTTCACTCCCGGGTTATCGGGCGAGGCGCCCGTGCCTGTCGCCCAGCCCTCGTATTTCGCACCGCCCCAGGATGGCGCGCCGTCGATGATCAGCCCTGCGGACCAGTTTGCGTACCCGCAGGGCGCGCCAGCTGCAGCCGCGCCGCCAGGCGTCGCGGGACTCACCAGCCAGTTCGGCCAGATGGGCCTCGGCGGCGGCGACGCGTACAAGCCCTTCCAGCTCTACACCACGAATCTGCTAACCTCGCCGCCTGACGCGCGTGACCTCGTTCGTCCACCTCCCGAGATTCGTCTTCCTCCCAATGCGAGCGTGTCCCCCTCGCCGCTCGCCAATGCCGACGCGTCATACCAGCGTAGCACGATCAACGCGATCCCAACATCGTCCTCCCTGCTCGCCAAGTCAAAGCTGCCCTTCGGCCTCGTCCTTACGCCGTACCGTTCGGTCAAGGAGGATGAAGCCGTGCCGGTTGTGACGGACACGATCATCGCGCGTTGTCGTCGCTGCCGGACCTACATCAACCCTTACGTGCAGTTCATCGACGGCGGGAACCGCTGGCGCTGCTGCATGTGCAACATGTCGAACGAGGTCCCGCAGCTCTTCGACTGGGATCAGGTCAGGAATCAGCCGGGCGACCGTTGGGCGCGCCCTGAGTTGAACTACGGCGTCGTCGAGTATGTCGCGCCGGCGGACTACATGATTCGCCCGCCGCAGCCGCCGACATACGTCTTCCTGATCGACGTCAGCCATCCCGCCGTACAGTCAGGTATGGTGGCCACCGCCGCGCGCGCGATCCTCGAGAACCTGGAGCGCATCCCGGACGAGGATGGGCGCACGAAGATCGCCATCATCTGCTACGACGTCTCGCTGTACTTCTTCTCTATGCCGCCTGGAACCACTGACTGTGCCATGCTCGTCGTCTCTGACACCGACGACGTCTTCTTGCCCAAGCCGACCGACTTGCTCGTCAACCTTGCAGAAGCACGCGCTTCACTTGAGTCCCTCCTGGGCCGTCTGCCCGACATCTTCGCTGAGAACAGCATCATCGGTAGCGCCATGGGTCCGGGGTTGCAGGCAGCATACAAGCTGATGGTGGGTGATATATACCCTATACAAGGCATCAGTTCTAACCTTCATCCAGTCTGCATTCGGTGGCAAGATCATCGTACTGTCTGCCAGCTTGCCCAACATCGGTGCCGGTGCGCTCAAGAACCGGGAGGACCCGAAGATCTTGGGCACCTCGAAGGAGTCGAGCCTCTTGCAGGCGGCGTCGCCGTTCTATAAGACATTTGCTATCGACTGCTCTCGTGCGCAAATTACGGTGGACATGTTCTTGTTCAGCGCATCATACCAGGATGTCGCAAGTCTTGGTAAGTCTTCGTAGTGCCCCTCGCAGAATCTCTCAAGCTTACGATATGTCCTAGCCTGCCTGCCGCATTACACTACCGGCCAGACCTTTTACTACCCATCCTTCAACGCGGCACGGTCAGAAGACGCTGTCAAGTTCGCGCACGAGTTCGGCGCGGTGCTCGCTATGCCGATCATGTTGGAGGCTGTTATGCGTGTGCGTGCGTCGCGCGGGTTGCGGATGGCGTCGTTCCACGGCAACTTCTTCGTGCGCTCGACCGACCTGCTTGCGATGCCGACTGTGCCGCAAGACCAGTCGTACGCGATCGAGGTGCAGATTGAAGAGAACATCTCTTCGCCGTTTGTGGTCTTCCAGACTGCGGTGTTGCATACTAGCTGCTATGGTACGTTGCGTGCTTTGGGCTGTAGGTGTAAGGAGCTGACGTACCGCATGCAGGCGAGCGCAGAATTCGTGTCATTACCACCGCCTTGCCGACGACGTCCAATTTGTCCGAGCTCTTCGCATCCGCAGACCAAGTCGCGCTCGCCACGCTCCTCGCCAACAAGGCCGTCGAGCGCACGCTGACGCACAAGCTCGAGGACGCCCGTGATGGCCTCTTCCAGCGCCTCGTCGACATCCTCGTCGCCTACCGCAACAGCATGACCGCGGGCGGCGCGGGCGCGTCCTCGCAGCTTGCGATCGCGGAGAACATGAAGATGCTGCCCGTGCTCGTGCTGGGCTTGCTCAAGAACGTCGGCATCCGGCAGAGCGCGCAGATCCCGCCCGATATCCGCGCGTACGCGCAGGCGCTGCTGACGTCGCTGCCGAGCCAGCTGTTGATCCCGTACATCTACCCGAACTTCTACTCGCTGCACAATATGCCGCCAGAGGCGGGCGTCGTGGGCGAGGCGGGGGTGATGCTGCCGCCGCCGCTGCCGCTGTCGAGCGAGCGGCTGGAGAGGCATGGGCTGTACTTGATTGAGGACGGGCAGACGATGTTCTTGTGGATCGGGCGGGACGCGGTGCCGCAGCTGGTGATGGATGTGTTCAATCTGCCGAGCTATGAGGTGTTGAGGGGAGGGAAGGTGAGTTTGGGCATGGGCGCGATGGTGCGGTTCGGTTGGTGCTGACGCATACACCTAGACGACCCTGCCGCTGCTCGACAACCCGTTCTCGCAGCGCATCAACGCGATCATCCAGAAGACGCGCGAGATGCGCCGGGGGCCGTACTACCCGCACCTATACGTCGTCAAGGAGGACGGAGAGCCCGCGCTAAGGTTGTGGGCGCTGAGCATGCTCATCCAGGACCGCGCGGACGTGCTCCCGAGCTACTCGCAGTTCTTGACGTCGATTCGGGAAAAGGTGCGCACTTGCAATGCCATATGCGGCGTTCACTGGCTGACTGATGTATGCGCTCCCCAGGTCAACGGAGGCAGCGGCGGATACTGAGCACGGCGGTAAATTATGATGGTGTTGCGTGCTTTCTCGGACTGGAGCCGCAGCGGTGCCCGGGTCTTGTTCTTCTGATGCGGAATTGTCCGGTAGATATGTTCTCGCTCGGTTTTGAGGAATTGAGCGTCTTTCTTCATCATCTCCGCTTCGGTGCTCGGGTCGTATGGGGCTTGTATTTTGAGTGTAGTGTTTGGATTGGCCTTGGACGTCGATCACTCGTGTTGGGTGCCAGTGTGGACTGGGTCGTTCATTCATCGACAACATTATATATTTACGGCCGGTGAAGAAGTGCTAACGTGCAGGTCATTACGGGAGACTAGATCATCATGGAGAGGATGGGTAGTCGTGCAGTATACGATATATAAAGGAGTGGGCAGGTGAGTCCGCGAGCCTTGTAGCAGTTCTGAAGCTGATGGCTGGTAGTTCAAGGATCCTCGTCAGGCCGTGGGCACGTCTTGATCTCCCACAGCCCATTCCGCCCCTTCGCAATCCCACAGAAAATAATGTCTGCTCCCAGGAAGTCGATCCTCTTAATCCCCTCCCCCTTCATCTCATCACTATACCCGCACCGCTCTCTGTACGCTGCTATCACAGCGGCGCGGTCGTCCCCATTCAGCACCACGTTGTAGACGTGGTGCCACTGGATCTGCTTGTGCAGCTTGCCGCACAGCTGCTCGAGCACGTCGCGGACGGTGATGCCGATGGGGTTGCTCGCGCGCACGCGGACGAGCCAGGGGAGCTTCTTGTGGAAGAGGAAGATGTCGTCGTGCACGGCGGGGACGAGGGCGAGCTGGTAGAGGTCGGCTTCGGTGGCGTAGCGCTGCTGTTGGGGGAGGAAGACTTCTTCTGGTGTGGGATAGTGGCGCAGGTTGTAGGTGAGGGAGGGTGGCTTGCGGGAGTGGTATTCAAGGAGCGCGTGTGGGCGGCCGCGGCGGGTGCGGCTGCGGGCTCGGACTGTAGGGCGGGAAAGTGAGTGGGTGTATGCGTTGCGGGAAAGAGGATACGGCGCACCTGGGGTGGGGATGACGGGCTTGCATAGCCGTCCGCGTCCAAATATCCCCCGCGCTGGCTTGTAGTCTGGCCGCCAGTCCGTCGGGCGCGCTGCGCGTACCCTGTCGTCGTATACGGCGATGTCGGCACCCTGGTACAATGGTCTGTAGCCATGGTATGTCGGCGCTCTCGTTAAATGCACACGCTCGTCTGAGTAGATCGTCGAGGGCGACCCCGCAAACATGCCCGGGCGGCGCCCGTCGTCGGAATTGGGCAGAACGGCAGGGAGCGACATGCTGCTCGCGTTGTACGGCGTGTAATGGGGGCTACCTGGGAGCGCCTGCGGCCTAGCCAGAGTCGACCAGGGCGGCAATTGGGCCGGCGCAGACGCAGCAGTGTAGATTTGTGGCATGCGCGGGCGGTGCCCGCCCCAGGACATACGGCCAGGAGAGCACATTGCGCCGTTGGGGTCGTACGAGTAGTATGCGTCTGGGACAGGTGGTGGTCCGCGCTGGAAGGCAGGTATAGTGTCGGGCGGGATGTCGAACTGGTAGCCGCCGGCGTTTGCAGACGGGTCCGACCAGGGCGGTAGGCTAGAGAGGGCGTCAAATCGCGTTTGTGCTTATGTGACATACTTCCTGACCGTACTGGGCTACAGGCGCTATGTCAGTACCCTTCGAACAAGGTGGTATGCACAATGTGGCACGCACCTCATTTGCGCGCTCATTCTGCTCCTGCCCTGCGCCCGAATTGGTGGCGAACTGGATGGTGGGGATCGCGATGCGATGCGTATGCTGGAGAGGGAGAACGTGTCTGGGTAGAGGTTGGAGGCAAGAAGTGTATATGAGTGGCGCGGCGCGCAGGTCAACAAACGGTTTCCGTTTTGGGACAATAGCGCAGCGCCGCTGATCCGCCATCAGCCCCGTGGCACGTCAACACGGGCACTTGTGCGGGGGAAGCGCGCGCCTTGAGGGCGCCGCTCTTCTTCCAGAACCCTCACCATCGACATGGCATGGCCGGAGACGGTGAAAGACACCTTCAAGGCTGCCGCAGGGGCTGCAGGCAGCCACGCTAACCAATACCCCGGCGCTTATTGCTCACGCAGGGGCCCCGCCGAGGAACGAGGCAGGGGAAGCGGGAGCAATGCGTGTTCGCGATGGATGGGCTGGAGTTTCCGTACAAACAAGTACAAATCACGGAACGCAGTGCAACCAAAAAGCGCTCCGCGCCTTTTGGCGCGCGCAGCGCGTTCAAACTTTGGCATAATGCTCTGAAATCCTGCATGGGAGCACGTATGGGTATACTGAGATAGCTAGCGAATTTGCACGGAAATCCTTCGACCCAAAGTGACAGATCTACGTTCCCTTGCCCTGTGGCTCTATCTGGCGGCAGCCCGCGCGCCTACGGCGCGCGGTAAGCCCCTGCGTGAGCCACCGTGGGTTCCCCACCTAACTATTTTAATAAACTCCTTCACGTTCTATTTCCTCCGCAAGGGAAATACGTCGTCACGCCGAACTACCTGCCCGCGCTCGATGCGTACGGCTCCTCTGAGCCCGTGGTATCATACGAAGTCCATATCAGAAACGGGCCTGTGCTAGTGTTGCAAGTCAGGCCACGCTCGCATCTAAATATCAAATCGCAACGAGCAGCGGCAGACCGACAACTTGCTCAGCGTATGCTCGATATCCAAGGTATATGCCTTCTCTCATTTGGGCACGCACTCGACTGACAGTCCTTTCCAGCTTCATCGCCCTTATCGATCGAATTCTACGGCATCAGTGCTATGGGCACCAAAATCTGCTTTTATACATATGATCGCGTAGAAGGCCTCAGACCAGCACCTATCCCGGCCACAACCGTGGCAGTCGATACCGCACCCGTGTCGCGATGGAATGAGGACGTCCTTCGATCCTCAGGAAGGCGTCGGTTGCGAGTCCTTGTCAAAGACATCGAAGAAGGCTTGACATCGTCAGACTCAGATTCATCTACAGCTCTATCCTTCTCGTCTGACTCCGACGGGGACTCGAATTAGGCTCTCAGAACGGCATTTGGCATCGTAGTGTGCATCCGATTTTGAGCTATGTATCGTGCATGAAAAAAAGATACAGTACCGATCCGTGCTTTTTTCGGGCATGTTTGTAACACGTACTACCTGGCTTGAGCTTGATTAGACCGTATTTGCACCAGGATGTATTAGCAAATTTTGTACATACCGACTGCCCATAGAGAACAATGGGATTTGCATGCAAAATGCGTCGATATATATCGGTGCAAATACGGTCTATTCTGTTCGTGTTGACAATAACCAAAAAGACCCCGGATGGCCCGCGATAGCTATGAGAGGGCCGTCTATTGTATCTAAAGTCTATGCGTCTAAATCAATCAGTACTCATACATTGTTACCAGCAAACCCATAGTGGACTCGAACAAGCTAACAGGAACGCCTTCGTAGTGAAACGACTGCTTCACCTTCGTAGTAAAAAAACTGCTTCGGTGATCATGCCCATGAATGAGCCTCTTGCCTTCCCTTAGGAAGTCGCTTCTTGTCCCTGTACCAACGAGTCCTCCATTCTAAGCCGTCGCGCTCTTCCGCTCCCTCGACTCCCGGATTTCGAGTCCAGTCTGCAGCGCACGACCGCCCTCGAGCCAGAGCATCGCCTCTGCAAAGTAGATCAGCACGACCTGCACACCAGCGCCAACTCTCCCCACGACAAAGAGTAAACGAGTGTCAAGAGGAAAAACCCAATTCAGAGAAAGAAAACCAGGGCGGAATGACAACGCAAGAACCAGTGCGGAATGACAACGCAAGAACCAGCGCAGAATAACAACGCACCCCCATACGTCCTCGGCACCACCGTCCGATTCAGCGGCGCGCCGTCCTCGCGGGACCACGTGAAGCGGAACTCGTTCGTGGTCTCCTCCTTGCCGGTCCGGACGTCGACGACGTTCGCGGTGACGCCGACGTGCTGTAGAGGGCGTGTCAGCGAGTTGTTCTCTTGTTCCGCATTTTCCACCCATTGTAAGGGCGGAATTATCCACCGGGTTCCGCATTTTCCGCACAACGTGAAGGCAGAATTGTCCACCCAATGTGAGGGCGGAATCATCCATCCAATGTGACGGCGGGATTATCCACATAATGTAAAGGCGGACACTTACCACCAACACCGGGTGCTCAGCCGTCGTCGCGGAGTGCAGGACCCAGGACTTGAGGCGGAGGATGGAGCTGGGTGGGCGGGTGAGCGATACGGCATAGCGGGTGCGCGATACGGAGGGGCGATTTAGCGATGCAGAAGGGGCAAGTGAGCGATGGAAAAGGGGGCGGGTGAGCAATGGGGAGGGGCAATTGAGCGATGAGTAGGGAGGAGGCAATGGGGCAAGGCAGGTTACTCACCCAATAGGCACAGGCTTCGCGAACGAAATCCCATCAAGGGAGAAGAAGCGGATCGGGCCGCGACAGAAGAGGGACGCAGACGCGAAGCCAAGCTGCAGACGTGGGTGTCAGCGCGATGTAGATGTATTTGGCGCGATGGGATGTAGTTTCGGCGCGATGTAGATATTATTCCGCGCGAAGTAGGTGCGGCGCGACGTAGGTTCGGCGCGATTCAGGTTCGGCGCAATACAGGCTCGTCGCGAAGCCGGTTCGGTGGATGGAGACGAAGGGGTGGACTCACCTCATACGCCAGCCGCATCAGGTACCCGCCAAACACCTTGTTGTGCAGGTTGCGCACTTGCGGGAACATCAGCTGTGTCTTCTCCAGCCGGCTGTCGCTCATCCACACGCAGTCGTGCTCGTCGGAGGACGGCGGGGCTGGGTGGGGGTGGGGTGGTTAGTAATTGTGAGTCCCAGACAAGTCAGGGGTGGAATCGACAGCGCAGGCAGGCTCGAGCACTGCTCGGGCTGGCTCGAGCACACTCAGGCAGGCTCAAGCACTACACAGGTAGCCTCAAGCACTACACAGGCAGCCGCAAACCCTCCACACACAAACCGTAAAAACAAAAACCGACGCTCACCCGAATGCTGACTGCTGCTAAACACCATCCTCGGCTCGTACTCCGGGTCGCCGTGCTTCAGGTAGAGCTGGTGCAGCGCGTCCGCCTCCGCCTTCGTCGGCGGGACGCGGTCGAGCGACTGCGAGGCGATGGTGCTGCGGCGGTTTTTGATGGCTGGGGAGGGGTGGGTTAAAAAGTCCGCACGTAATTTTGAGATTCAAGGGGGTGGCAGGTGGGCAGGTAGGAAGGAAGTGGAGGATGGAGACAGCGAGTTGAGGAGTGAGACAGCGAGTAGAGGAGTGAGACAGCGAGTAGAGGAGTGAGAGGAGGGAAAGAAGAGACGTTATGATAATGTGAAGATGGATCTAGCCACCCACCTTCACCCATCGCGTGTAACTGCTCCTCCTCCGGGGTCGCGCGGACGAGGGGGTTCACCCGCGTCGCGCGGTTCATCTCCGCGCTGAGGCAGACCATGGAGAAGCGGCCTGGGGAGGGCGGGGGTCAGTCCTCGTAGCGAAGGCTGGCGGTCAGTACTCGGGCGAATTGGTGATGGAGGCGAGCGCTTTCGTAATCGAGGCGTGTGCTCTAGGGAACGTGGACATCTGTCTTCAAGGCGATTGTGGCAGATGCTTTGTGGAGGATGGTAGATGGCAGAGGAACGCCGGATCGAGTACTTAGGTCAACAGGGTCGCACCAGCTCACCTATCAGCACGGTCTCGTCCTTCCCGCCCTTCCCGCCGCCGACGCTCGCCATCTTGACGGAAACCTCCATAGAGGACTTGCCGGTGTAGATGACCTGGGGACGGTGTTAGCATTCGTACGTATAGCGACTGGCATCGTGACGCAGAAGCATCCAAATCGCGCAGCCAGCCGACATTGCTGGGAAGTGGGGGAGAATCACTCACCATCCCGCTCAGCCGCAAATCGCGCGTTGGGTCCAGCCGGCCGAGCATGTCGAGGCTGGAGGGGCGCGGTTAGCTGGTCGCCCATCAGACATGTCAAGGGACAACGGGTTTCGGAGAGCAGCGAAGGATTGCGGGTCTCTCCGACAATGACCACACGTCTCTCCGACACAGGACTGCACGTCTCTTTGTGAAAGGGCCACAGGGTCCTCCAGCAAACGTCCATAGTCCCTTGATTTTAATCGTAGATAGACGAACGCCCACTCACCGATCCACACTCGCCGTCACCAAGTAAAAGCCCGCCTGCTCGATGGGGCCGACCGACGTCGCGCTCGGCCCGAGCATGTGCTTGTAGGCGATTGAGCCGGCGATGGAGTCGAGGTGTTCCATGAGTCTGGGGGAAGGATGAACATCAGCTGAGTCGAAGAGACTAGGAAGTTGGTTGGAGGAGAGGTAGACCAACGAAGGGTAGGAGGAAGACGGGTAGGGTAGGAGGGAAAGGTAAGGTAGGAGGGGGCCAGGTACGGTTGGAGGGGGGCAGGTGGAGTAGGAGGAGGGGGGACAGGTAAGGGCACGAGTGAAAGGAAGCAAGAAGGAGGGGGGAAGCACAGAAATGGTGCCAAGAAGCACACAAAGGAAGCCAAACGCTTACTTTCCCGTCCGGATCCCACCACTCGCGTTCGTGTAGCGGTCGACGAGCTTCGGTTCCTTGGAGAATGGTAGGTCGATCTCGCAGTAGGAGTCGGTCATGCGGCGGGGGACTGAGAGGGGGAGGGGTTAGCATGAACGTCGAGGTGTTCGTATGCGCGTCGAGGTCGAAAGGAAGGAGCGGGACGAGGGATCAAGGTGAGGGAGGGGAAATTGTGTGCTAGGGGATGATGGTGCGTTCGAGGATACTAGCAGGATGCATTCGAGCAATACTCACTATGCGGCTCATACAGCGTCTTGACGGGCCCATCCTCCGACTCCTTCGGCGCATGCTCGCGCCCTTCGTGCTCGAAGAGGCCGGATTCGGACCACAATGCGGGGTTGCGCATGGGGATGTCGCTGCAGTATAGTGAGGTGGGTTAGTTTAGGACGCATGAAGAATGGCATACGCATGAAGGACGGTATCAAGGGAGGTGCAAGTGAAAAGGGAGGTGGACGTGAGAAAGGGGGAGGTGCGAATGGGAGGGGGGAATGCGAATGGGAGGGCATGCGAAGGAAGGGTGGGGAGTGGGGGAGAGAGGAATGGGAAGGAAGGAATGGAAGGAAGAGTGGGGACTGGGGGAGAGAGAGCAGTGGGAAGGAAGGGATGGCACTGGGTCCGATGACGGAACGCCGAAGCGCCAGCAGTGTCAATTAACGGCGGCGATACAGAGGGCGAAGAAGGATCGGAATAGGCGCCGGAGGGGGCTATCAAGCGTGATAGGCGCCGGGACGTGAACAGGCGCCGGGATGTGAACAGGCGCCGGGATGTGAGCAGGCGCCGGGATGGGAATAGGCGATGGGATGGGATAGGCGCCGGGATGGGATAGACGCCCGAGGCGGGATCGGAACAGACGTCGTGAGAAGTACGACATACCGCACATGTGCCCGATCGACCTTCTGGCCTGTGAGGAGAGCGAGGTCAACATGCGGGGTCGCGCTACATGATGCCCAGAACCATGACACGCACTGACGACGTCCAACAACCTATCCATGAGGAAGATGTCTTCGGTCTCCTGCGCGACGGCGCGCCCGCGGTCGGCGACGATGTTGCGGACCTCGGAGGTGGTGTGGAGGCCGCGGTTAGAGGGGGTGTTGGTTGCGTTCGTTGAGGTGCTGGTAGAGCGAGAGGGGACATGGTGTACAGTGGGTGCGTAGTGCGCGCCAGATGCCGCAGCGCGGGAGGGCTTGATACCTCCTAGCCTGGCCGCACGGGGGAGCCGGCGTAGCATGGGGAGCTCAGCGCTCGAAGTGGCGGTGCGTATGGAGGAAAGCATAGCGGGAGGGGGCGGGAGGCAAGGCGTCGGGGCGCGCCTCCGAAGGTTCTTGAAGGGCGCGTTGTAGATCGCCGATCACTGCTGCAGTGAATATGCACGCCACAAGTATTTATCCCGACGTCGAATCACCGTCGCGTCAGACCAGGTCACTGCTGAGTAGACAGTCTATAGACCCACTGTCGGGCTACGGACCCCTCGGCGTGCTAGAGACCTTCTGACCTGATTTCTGCCCCCCAGACGTCCTTCGCGCGGCAGGACCAGCGTTAGGAACCACCGATAAGGCTAGGGCGTGACCTGCGGTCTGCACGTAGCGGAGTTGTTGGAGGGAGGGCGAGCCCAATCGCGCTTGACTTTTCCAGCTGCCAGAAGACGGAGTTTACGTGGGGGAACCCTTGGAATACTGGCCCCCTCATGCTCTGTACCGAGCTCATCTTCAGCAGACCTCGGGCGAATTGCGACGTAGGCTAGGCTCTTTGCGAAGCGGTAGTTTCAGGATGCACATGAGAGCAGGAATAGGTCACTGTCATGCCGTACTCTACTTCCCATCCGTTGACTACTCGGTCACGGACTGATGCGTCTGGAGGCGAGCAGCGCGCATCATTTGTTTACGCGTTGTTTGTCTGCAGCCCCGCCCCCGCGCACATTCGAGTCGCGTCGCCGCCGCTTGCCTCGTTCCTCCACGTCCACACGCGCCGCGCACCATGTCGCGTCGCTCCTCGCTGGCCGGCGTACCAGCGCACTATACGTTTGTCCCGCAACCGCCGGTCCCAGGCCCGTCTACCCACCATCCCACGGCGGACTTGACCATGCTTCGCACGCACGCGCCCAATCAGCCGACCGCGTCTGCCCATCAGCCGGCGCCCACATATCGCAGCGCTTCTCTATCAATGGCCGGCGTACCCACGCACGGCGCAGCGTCACCGACATTCGCGACCCCAGCGGGCTACCCGTATTCGCCAGTCCCCGCTAGTACTACTCCTGGGCCATCTCCCGACGTCTACTGGAAGCAGCTGGACGACTACGTCGTCCGCCGCCTCAACGAGGTCCTCAAATGGCAGGCCGACGCGATGTCCGCGCAGGATGCGCGCCTCGCCAAGTGCGAGGAGGCGCTCAAGGCCTGCATCGCGGACGCGCGCACGGAGGCCACGCAACAGAACGAGCGTATATCCCAGCAGAACGAGCATATGGCGCAGCAGAATGAGCGCGCGAACATCATCTTGAAGGCGCTGTGCGATCACGCGAAGGGGCTGGATGACAAGGTCGATCGTCTTAGCAAGGCAATAGGGGTCGAGGTGAAGGAGGGGGAGCCGGAGACCAGCCTTTCGAGTAGGGTCAAGGATGTTGAGTGGACGATGGGGGAGCTTTTGGAGAGAATCGGAGATCCTTTGGCTTTAGGTGAGACTATACTCCTTGCAGCGGGAAGTATGGTGCCCGCCCGCCTCCTCCTTCTTGGGCTCATATTCGCGCGCATATACTCACCTCATTCTTCCCAGACCCCAACGCCCCTCAACAACCCTTTGTGAACACCCACCGTCGCCCACCAGTCATCCGACACGAGGTCGCCGTCGAGACCAGCCCTACGCCCACTACACCTCCTCCCGCCCCGCGCACACCAACACCACCTCCTCCTTTCGTCGTTCGGCATGAGATGGCGACCAGTCCGATCAGGTTTATGGACGTGGACGATGAGCCGAATGACGTCGAGGACGAGCGGATTGGTGTCGAGGACGAGCGGATTGATGTCGAGGACGAGCAGGAAAGTGCGTGTATGCGTATATATGCGCCGTCGAATGCGTATACTGATTGATTTTTGTTGTACGAAGACTCGGAGCAGTCGAATGACACCGCTCATCCGTTGACGCCCATCAGCGCGCCGGTCGCGAGGCATCGTGGGGGAGGTGAGCCTTCGGTTGTCCTTTGTCGGGTAGGAGCTGTATGCTTATCGCACTAGAAGACGTGCAGAAAGAGCGCACGCAGACGCCAGTGGATCGTCGGAATACAGGTATATGCGCCTTGAACGCAAGGTCCGCACAGGTGCTAACATGTATTCGTAGATCCTGCCAGCCTCTTTGACGAAGACGAGGAAAATGTTCGCCCACCAGGCAAATCTAGCAAACCTCACCCACTCGCAGTACGTACCAACACCCTCGGACTTGCGGCTCGCACGAAGCCGCTCGCGCCGCACTCCTCTATGCCATCGCCGACGCCGTCTGTGCGCGGGCGCACCGTGTCGGCGGAGGAGCCTGTGCCGGCGTGCACTACAATGGCATCTGAGCGTGCTCAATCTGCTGGTCTGCCCCCACCCACCCACGACTCCGACCTCCGTCTGCCCACGCCCGACGCGACGGTCCGGTATAGCAGCGTGCCGGGGGATATGGCGGTGGATGAGGTGGAGGGTGATGAGGTGGCAGTGGAGAATGGGATGGATGAGGTCGAAGACATGCCGGAGATGTGGACGGACGATCCGATTGAGGATTATGAGGAGGGGCGGGTGGGCGACGAGGACGCCCATGGCCGGGATGGGGAGGGTGCTCACGGGCAGACTGAGTCGCACGACTCGAACTCGAAGAAGGCCTCCGCTCCGCTCCCAAAGAAGCCATCCGCTGCATTGCCGAAGAAAGCTTCTGTTGCGTTGCCGAGGAAAACCCCCTCCGCATCCCGTCGCCCGCTCACGGTGCAACCCTCAGAGGACTCGGTGGCTGTAAATGCGTACTTGCTGGGGCGGTCGTCGCCCGCGATGGAGGAGATGGAGGTGGAGGAGTCGGGCGGGGACGCTGCAGGTGCCTCGTCTTTTGCGAACAACGACTCTCATCCGTCAGTGCAAGCCGCAGAACGCACGGATATCGTGGGCGGCGCAGGTATAGGAGGCGACGACGCAGGTGACGCCAGCGACTCTGACCTGTCGTCGTTGTCATCGTTGTCTGACGTCGAGGATGCAGGGGCGGCGGGCAGGGCTAGCGGTGCACGCCCGGTAGCGGGACCAGTGCCAACAGCTTCCGAGGCCCCGCGCTCGACGCGCTATGCAGCGCAGTTTTCCGCCGCGGGCCGCCCATCGTTCCAGCCGAAGAGCTCGTCGCTCCAGCCGAAGAGCTCGTCACTTCAGCCGAAGAGCAAGGGCAAAGAAAAGAGCGCGGCCGCGACGCGCATCAAGCGCAGGCGGGCGGACGACGGTGAAGGCGCGCCGGCGAAGAGGGCGAGGGTGGGGGAGGATGAGGAAGGCGCGGGCGAAGGTGCATCAATGACGTTAAAGGGAAAGATCCAGCAGATCAAGGAAGAGGAGGGCGAGCAGATGCTCTCCTCGTCTAGCTCACGGGCGAGCAGTGTGAGACGCGGTCGGTCGGGGAGTGCGAGGGGAGGGAGTGCAAGGGAGGATAGTGCGAGGAGGGGGCGGTCCGGCAGCCTTCGGTCTGCTGCCGTCAAGCAGGAGAAATCGGCGAACGGCAAGCGGGGAGAGTCGATCAGCGTCAAGCAGGAGAAGGGCGAGAAGAAGCGCGGGCGGTCTCGCAAGAAGCCGCAGTGGCCAAAGTTGGTGGAGGGCTCGGGGTCGACGTTTTGGGTTAGTGATCTTTTTCTTGGGTTGCTGGGCGCGCATTAGTGGATGTGCATGTGCTATGTGGACGGACGGTACTGACGACGATCTCAGACGACTGAGTGCGATTGCTGTGGCCAGTGGTACCACAACGGCTGCGTGGGTTTGGATAAGGAGGCAGACTCTGACGTGCCTTTCTGCTGTCCTTTTTGTGTCGTTGATCCGTGAGTGTTGAGTATCCCTCTTGCCCTATAGATCAGCGAAGGGATGCGACCTTTGCTTCATCGCTCCCTTTGCTCTGCCACATTGTTATGCGCCCAACTAACGACTCTCTATAGACACTACAAAGACACCGTCAAGAAAGTACACGAGGGCATGTGTATGCGCCCGGACTGCCCGCACGAGATCGATGTGGAGAACTATCTTGGAGAGTACGAGATTGACTACCTCGTCGGCCGCTTCGTGAAGATCTCGAGCCAGCAGCCGAAGCAGGAGTGGTATCTGGTGAAGTGGGCCAAGCCGTGAGTGCCGGGTTTATATTCTCAAAGCGTCGTTCCCTTCCTCGACGTTGCACGGGTCCGCATCGGCCCGCCTTCGCTCTCGTGCATCTCTGCTGCTCCGTGACATTCTTGACCTGACAAAACTCGCTCTGCAGATGGACAATAGACGACTGCACGTGGCAGATCCCGAGCGACTTCTCTGCCGACTTCATCCGCAAGTTCAACGAGACCGCAGCAGCGGAGGGCCGTGGCGGTTCCCAGGACCTCACTTTGCTGAAGGAGGCGGAGGATGGTCTGCGTGCCAACCCGAATGTGGGATGGAATAGGTTCGACCCGATCGGGAATGTGCTGCATATGTTGGACGACAACTAGGTCTACGTTGGACGATGACTAGGTCCATATTTTGGACGATGACCAGGTCCATATTTTGGACGATGACAAGGTCCCTGCCGCTGCGCTGGGCTTCGCCGGCGTCAGCGCTAACTTCGACAAATACTTCTTGGATTACTGTGTACCAGTAACATCGCACGTCGCGAACGGACATCCTACCTACCTTATTTCGCTTTTCTTGTTGCTGTGCTTTGCCGCTTTTCGTACTGCTGCACACCGTCGATGCATACATTATTCCCCCTTATAGATACTTACCGACCTCCAATATTCATTCCGTGTCTTGCAATTGAAGGGTCTGCCTGCATATGGAGCTATAACCTGCAGGCCAATGGAGTCTCGTCGAGCAAAAGCTATTTGACGTTAGGGCGATACATCTTGTGAGTACGTACAGTATGAATACTGTGAGCGCAGCAGCGCTATGTATACAGTAAATCTACGTGTAAAGAGAGAAAGCACAGCTTTGGAAAGGGTATCGAGTAAGTAGTTAGTCATAAGCCGACCGAATGCTGGTCAGGTCTCTTCGTCGTCTTCATCATCAAGCACGTATCGACAAGAAATATTGGAAGCGAGAGATTTGAAGAACTGCAGCTGATGTTTGCGTCTAGTCTTCCCTGACCACGTCGGGCGGCGGACCGAGGATGTCCACCTTGCCCTTCGGGTCGACGATCGCATCGTGCGTGCTGGCGTTCACACCAGCGTCTCGGCATGCGCGAGCCTCCTCTTCGCCTGCGAAATTCGTATGTCAGCGGACGTCGACGGATATAAGCTGTCGACATACCGTGCCCAAGATCATCCGCCGGAATCCAAACCGTACGCTGCGGGCGCGACGCCGCAGGATGGGCGAACCCGTACTCATCCGCCGACTTCGGTTGGGGGAACACGCGTGGGGCGCCCTGGTCCTCCACCTTGGTCGGGGGGTAGGCGTGGCCAGCCTCGCCAGCCTCGACGTCTCCGGCAGCGAAGTCTCGCACGCTGACGTCCTTTTCGTTCTTGCCTGAGAGGTGGGTGAGGACGACTGTACAGGCGAAGAATGCAGTCGGTCAACTTACCGTCGCTAGCGAAGGTGGTCCGCCTCTTCTCGCCCTCCCCACCGGCAATTTGGCGGGGTTCAACGGCGCTCGAGACGCCCTTCTCGGTTTCCGCGGCCTGGTAAAAGGTGCTCTTGCGCTTCCCGTTCGTGGCGTTCTCGTCCACCTCATCTATTAAACGACGTGAGTGTCCTGTTGCCGCAGCCAGGGAACATCGACGCACCTTCATCCTCCTCATACCCAAACGTCTTGTCCTTCAACGAAAGCGGCAGCGCACTCAACAGCGGGCCATACGAGTTCGACAGGATGAGGTTGTAGAAGGCCGTCAAGATGATCAGCACGACCATAAGCGCGCCCTGCGGCACCGCCTTCGCATGGTGGTTGTCGTCCCGCACGAGGAAGAACAGCGCACACAGGCAGACCTGTTGCACGTACATGCCGACGAAGACGTGCTGAATTGCCTTGGGGAAGAAGAGGCCGCCGGTGTCAGATGCGGGAGACTGCTGCAGCTGCCACAGGAATAGGTACTTGTAGAGCTCGTAGAAGGCGAAGAAAGTGAAGCAGGCGAGGCCGTTGATAATTGGTGAGATGATGGAGTACCCGATGGCTGCAGTATGTCGTCAGCTTTGGATACGTCAAGTGGGATGGAAAGAGCGCACCGATAGTACTGAGCAGCGTAACACCTGGGAATAGGGTGCCCCAAGCGACGTTACGTCTGGAAACGATACTGTCAGCACATGTTCATTGCTGATAGCTTGGAACTCCACTGACAATTGGTACTTGATTCCATAAACCGCCCTCGGAGTACTGCCCAAGACGAACAGCTTGACATAGTACAGCGCAAGGGGCACGATCTGCAAGAAGCCGGCGGCCGTGCCCGAAAGACCTTGCAAGATGATATAGCTAAGGATAAGGTGTCAGTAGACGACGAAAGCACTGGAGCGGGATCGCTCACGTCAAGAAGAAATTGCTAGCGCTCGGTAGATTGCTTGCAAGTAAATTGGGGATCGAAGTCGGGTTGTTCAGCAAGTCCTCGAGCGAAGCAATGATTCCAGAAGAGAGCGTGACGACGAGGAAGGAGTGGACGACCTGGACACGGCGTCAGTACGATCATATCGAGCTCATGCTTGGGCTGTGGCGCTGACCTGGAAGATAAAGTACCGCGTCATCAAGCTCAGCTCGAGCCCCGAATACCTGGGCACGCCCTCAAAGCGCGCGAGCAGGCGAAGCACAACGGGCAGAAGTGCCATCAGGATGGCAAGCGCAACGGGGGGAAGGATACCTGAGGTACGGCACTTGAGCACGCAGTCCATGAGGACACCAAGAACAAAAGCACTTGCCAGAAATGATACTAGTGACCACAGTCGGCAGGTCGCATATCCACGTCAACCATTTGACCGTGCCACACAGCGTGTATATGTTGCTGACACTACCGACGAACGCCACAGGGAACGCCCAGAAGACGATGAGCGCCCCCGTCGCGGCCCACGAGATCGCTATGCGCACGCGCGCCTCATACGGGTTCATGCCCAGGTTTGACCAGATGACATCGTCGGGGGCCATCTAGGAGATGATAGCTCAGTTAAGGCTACGGCGTGCAACATGCCGACAGGAATACCTACCTCAATATACGTCTTGCTCATCCGGTACGGCTCGTGGTGCAGCAGAACCTGCGCCGCCATATGCGCGCCGATCTGCTTCTGGAACGTCACGAAAGCACTAGCAGAATGAAGTCAAATGTCAGCCCAAACACATCTCCTCAACTCGCACCCAGAACCCACCTATTCAACGGCGGGTAGCTATCGTCCTTCGACGCCAGCCCGACCAAGCCTAACGCCTGCTTCCCCACATGCTTGCCGACCTCGCCGACCTGCTTGCCCACCGAGGAGAGATCGCGCGTCATGTCCTTGCCCGCCTGCAGCCCCGCGTACCCGACGTCGCGCGTGACCTGGAGGCCGGCGTTCCCGACCTGCTTGCCGACGTTGCCGACCTGCTTGACGCCCTCGCCGACCTGGCGGACGCCCTCGTCCATGAACTTGCGCCGTTGGCGGTCGGTGGCGGTGGACGTGCGGCCCATGGAGGTCTCGCCGGTCTCGAGGGAGTGGCGGACACCTGGAGCGCAACGTAAAAAACACACGAACGACAGCCTGCCTGAAAGCTAACCTTCATCCTGCGGCAACGGCGTCCCCGGGTCAAACGACGGCCTCGGCGCCAGCGCATCCTCCTCCGAAGGCCTCGACACCGGCGACACATCCCTCTCGATACTCCCCCTCGCGCCTCCCTCCTCCGTCGACACCCGCAATACCGGTGCGCCCTTCTCTCCCTCTCCCTCTCCCTCCTTGTTCACCGCATCATCAATGGCGCCTCCGCCGACCTCAAAATGATCCTCCGGATGCGCGATCCCCGTCTTCCGCCTCTCCTCCCGTTTGACACGCGCGATATTGGCCCGCGCGGTCTCCCTCGATGCCGCGTTGATCGCCGCGAGCCGCGCGCGCCCCTCCTCGAGCACGACCTCCAACCGCGCGATCTCCTTGCGGCAGTAGTCAATCGTGTCCACCTTCTCGCCCCACAAGCCTAGGAAGCCCAGCCTATGGGTGGGCCGCGGAACTGCGAGCTCTGCCTCTTTGAGGGGGTCGTTCGCGCCGTCGGTAGCCGTCGCAGAGCTGTTGCCAGACGATTCGTTCGTGGCGCCGATGGTCGGCGAGCCACTCGGGGAGTCGGTGCTCTTGCCCTTCTTCCCCTTGCCTTTCTTCGCCTCCTTGTCCAGTTTTTCCTGCGCCTTTATCCGAGCTTTAACCCTATTGCGCACAAGCTCTGTCTCCGCGCTCTCGAGCTTGGCACAAAGGGCCACCTGCTCGTCGTAAGCGTCGGGGAGGGAGCCGAGGTCGCTGGAGCGAACGCGTTAGCAAAATCCATTCCTCTACAAGGCACTCGAACCCCAAAAAAACTCACCGATTGATCCACATCTTCTTCACCCCGCCCGGCATATCGCGGAACAGCTTCCACAGCGCATCCTCCGTCAGATACGACGCCGGCACGCCAGTGATCAGAACAGTCGCCGCCTGCGCCGTCCCCGCATGCGCCTTGCTGACGAGGAACTGCTGCCGCTTCCGGACGAAGTAGCCCATCTCGCGCGTGAGGACGCGCAGGATGTGGATCGTGAAGACCCAGGCGAGGATGAGGTGCGCCCAGTAGCGGCTCGTGTTCTGGCGCGAGACGTTGCCGAAGGTGAATCTGTCGATGGGGAGGGAGGATTAGTGTTTGGTGTTGTGAGTGTGGTGGAGTGGCGATTTTGATGATGTTAGACTGGGAGGGATCAAGGACTGACCTTTCCAACCCATCCCCGCTGCCACCTACTGCGTCGAGAGGGAGCAGGATGAGCCAGCTGATGACCCATATGGGTGCGAAGATGCGGGTGAGCATGCGGAGGAAGCGAACGAAGAGGTAGGCATCGAGGCCGGAGGCGGGGATGATGTCCTGAATGGGCGGTCAGTCATGTTGTTCGAAATTTGGGAGACGGTCAGAGAAAGGTAAAAAGAGAGTAAAGGACGCAAATAGACGACGAGGGTAACCATGAGTAGATTGGCTACATGATAGCGTGGTGCATGCGAGCAACACCGGCGATGTGCCTAGTCCGGGGAGGACGTAGTGATCGCAGCGCTGCGCGGCAAGGACCACTTCTCGCGACGGTGAGAGAGCACCTGCGGCGATACGCTTGGTACGCGCTGCCCTTGGAGCGGTCGCTCGACGTCGCACGCGTCGACCGTTGTTTGTTCCTCCTTCCCGCTACTCCGACATTTCCTCCCTCTCGCCCTCCCCAAGCAGGATATGGATAGTTGAAGGTAGAAGCAATGGGCTAAGGAGAGTCTTGGCACATACCTCTGCATCGGCCTTGTACACAGCGATAGGCCAGGCGAGGAGAGCTGAACGATCGAAGTCAGGAACGCGTGGGGGAAGTAGAGCGAGGCACGGGACGCACTCCTCGGATCCAACTTGCTTAGCGTCGCGTTCGACACCCTGCGCAGCCCTGCGAGGGCATCTATCGTGGGGGACCGCTTCGACGGCGGCGGGACGTATGTACGGGGCTGGGAGGGATGATTAGCCGACTGTGGCGCGCTTGATACCAAACATCACGCGAGGCGCGCACCTCATAGATCGCCCTGAACCACGGTCTGAGGACAGTAAAGACACCAATTTCTGCACCAAAGACGATGGCGTTGAAGACGAGAGCGGTCACGAAGGAGTCGGTGCTGGCTGCCTTGGCGTTGGATATGTCCGTGGTGTCGGTTGAGGTAGACGCAGACGGTGCGGCGGACGTGGTTGTCGTCGACATCGTGGCGCGCAACCACTGCGAGGGTTGTGTTCGAGGTCAGAAGGAGTGTAGGGTACTGCAGTTGGTGAGGTGCAGACGGGTCGTGATGGTCTTTGAGAGCAAGAGCGGAGACGGACAATTGAATTGGCGGCCTCCTATCGGCAGCTCCGATCATATTGCGCACGTGGAGAAGATACACGACGTCATGACAAGGGGAACGGTATTCGACTTCCCGCACACACAATGGAGGCCGTAAAATAGAGAAAAGACACCCCTGTTCATGTTCTGTGCCAATCACCTTTTCTCCGTCTTTTCTTGAGATGGAAACGGGCCGTGAGACTTTGACGCCCTAGATGGGATATCCGGATATCCCCGTTTGGACGATTCTGCTGCATACGGCGTTCGGTCCGTTCATCCGTGATGAGGCAGCGCGCGGCGTGAGCGATCGAGAACGCGCCTTGTCCGCGACCGCGACGACCCCTCTGCACTTGACTGCGGCATCGGTGCTCTGAACGCCATAAACATACTCACCAATACCCATCTCTCATCCTCCGTAAACTTCTGCTCGGCGCTGCCCTCGCCACACGGGCTTCGCTTGCACACCATCACCCCTCCTTGGACCGCTTGACTGCTGGTTCAACATTACCTCTCCTCCCCCATTACTCATCTCTCTCATAAGCTATTACTCCCACCATGTCTACCCATGCCTCCAACTCGGCACCTTCCCAACCCGAGATCCAGCGCATCCTCAAACGTCTGGTCCAATACGTCGCCCGCACCTTCTACGAGCCCAAGCACATCGTGCTGCTGGATCTACTTGTCAGGAATCCAGTGTATGTGCAGACCTTGCATGTCCTCTGATGTGACTGACGCATCTTTACCTGCTCGTTTCCTCTTTGTACGAACCACATGCCATTGTTGTCCGCCTTGGTCGTATCCCCATCATTGTCAATGCTACCATGATCCCTCCCTACCCATCAGCATCAAAGACGATGAACTCGCTGGAATGATGGACATGAAGCTGAAGGACGTCCAGAAGATCGCAGCAGACCTGGCCAACGCGAGCCTAATAAAGCTGTAAGCGAAATGTCCTCATGCCCTCTACACCAATCCTGCGTTGCAAGCATGCGCAATTGTGGCCCCCCAAGAATGCCCTCCAGACTCTCCGTATCACTCCTCATTGCCAGCGGTGAATGCTGCTATCTCCATTTTAGTGCTATTTCCATACTAGTGCTATCCCACTGCCCACACTGCTTCCATACTAACCTCTCCCCTTCCAGCCACCGCCAAAACGAGCTCAAAGACGGCGCCGTGCGCGCCTCGCCCAAGACCTACTACTACATCGACTACATCCACTTTTGCAATGTTGTCAAGTGGCGCGTGTGGCGCATGCAGAAGAAGATTGACAGCACCACACGAAATGTAGGTTTCCGTTGTCTGTCGCACGGTGCATGGCTAGGCTTGTGTCTATGCGTGGCTGAGCCTGTGTCTATGCATGGCTTAGCCTGTTCTGCGTCGGCTAGCTATGAGTTCTATCAGCGGAGCGAACTGTTGCACCATCAGCGGGGCGAACTATCGCACCATAATGTACAAATCAGTATGCTGACAAGTGGTCTAGGAACTCGACAACAAAGGGTACCTGTGTACGCTATGCAGACAGACGTATACGGCGTTGGAGGTGGATAAGGTGTGTGCCTCTTCAATTTTGTGCTCTGGTGGTCCTCGTTTCTTGACATTGTACTATCGTTCTTCGACATCGTATTATCGTTTTGCGACATTGTACTATCGTCCTTGATCATTGTACTATGGCTCCTCGACTTCGTATAATCGCTCCCCGACCTCGTGTCATCTCCCCTCGACATCTTGACATCGCTCATCGACTTCGTATCATTGCTCTCCAAAATGACTTATACTATTTTTCGCCACCAAGGCCGAAAAGAGATACTGACGTCCTCCGCAGGTCCTCGACTTCATGAGCGGCGAGCTCATCTGCGAAGCGTGCAAAGGGCCCGTCATCGAGTACGAGGGCGCGGGTGCGGAGGGCGGGAACACACGGTTGCAAAGGTGAATTCGGTTCCTCGTCAGATCTTGGGCTGCGATTTCTGCAACTTGGACTGCGACTCTTGCATTCTGGACTGCGACTTCTACGCGCACGGCATGGAGATGGAGGGTAACGACCTAGAGATGGAGGGTAATGGAGGAGCAACACGCGCGATTAAGGATACCCACTGCGCATGACACCCACCTTGACGAGCGGTTCTCTAATCGACTCATCCCAGATTCAACCAACAGATACACCTTATTACCAGCGGCCTCCGGAAAGTCGACGAGGCCGGTGTCCTGCCCGCCTTCGACGTCGCCGCGCACGTCAAGGCCGCGCATGTGGATACGCAGAGGGGGAAGAACGAGGTTGGCTGGCTTGGTCCTCGCTTTAGGAAAGTCTTTCCAACGCTGACCACGCACCTCTACAGCCCGGCGCCGGCCTCCGCATCGCAGGCGAGGGCGGCTCGCGCACGCAGGAAGCTGCCGTCGGTGTGGTGCTTGCGGCGGAGGGAGATGAGGTGCGTATTTTCTGTTCTCCCGTCAAGAATAAGGAATCGTCACATGTATCTGACCATCCATCCTCCACTCAGGCTGCCGCACGAGCCGCCCGCGACGCCGCTGCCGACGCGCGGAGACAGCAGAACGCGCTGCCCGCGTGGCATCTGAGGAGTACTGTTTCAGGCGGGCTGACCGCATTGGGTATCCGAGAGCAGGAACGAGAGGAGAGGGAGAGGGGCGAGCGGGGTCAGGGTGAGTGGTTTCAGCGTTGAAGGATGCTTGCTACGAGTGTTGACGAATTTCCATGCAACAGCAAACGACGCCAAGGAAGAAGACCCCCTCAGCGGCTTCGGCGTCGTCGGCGGGGGCAGGCCGCGCGTCAAACAGGAAGAGGACCTGGAGGATACGAAGGGCATCTCGATGGCCACACAAAATGCACCTGGTACGCAGGCAGAACCGGCGGCGGCAGATCTTGATATGTGGTACGCTGGTGTAAGCGTGGGCGCGGACGTTGGTAAGTGGTCTGATGATGTTATACGATTATTCTGTTGGTCGCTGCGCATTTTTCTCTTTCGCGCAGTTCCCTGTGTATAAACTTCACTGCTGACGATCTTTCCAGCCACTCCATACCTGTCCGACCCCAATACGCCGTACACGCCCTACAGCACCAACACGCCGCCAGAAGACGACGAGGAGGACGACGCGCCGCGCGTCGTGACCAGCCTGTCTGCCTGGCGAAAACGCTCGCGGGAGGAGGAGGATGAGGGTCGGCGCGTGCGGGTGAAGGCAGAGGAAGGCGAGTCGGGCGTGTGGGGTGGGACGAATGGTGCGTTATTTCCTTGTGACTTGGTAAACCGAGTTTTGGCAATTTATCGACGATCCGGCAGGGTACGCAAACACGAACGGGTACGGCTCGACCAACGGGTACGGTGCCGCGACGAGCAACGGTTACGGCTCGACAACGAACGGCTTCGGCTCGACAACGAACGGGTACGGCGCTGGCGACTTCACCATGGGCAGCAGCCAGGGGACCGACGTGTCAATGGCGAATGGCGGGGACGATCCGACGGTGTTCGTGCAGGGCAAGCCGTATGCGTACTCGGCGGTCACGGAGGAGCTGTACGAGCAGATGACGGAGGATGAGATGACGGCGTACGTGGAGGTGATGCAGGCGAGGGGGGTGTGATGCGGTGTCGACATCGGCGAGAGGCATGTGCTGTGAGCTGGTATACAGACAGTCGGATTCTTTGGCGATTGGTGTTTGTGAATATCTTATTTGCTTGCGGGACGCTTGCCTATGGACGACTTGCGAACTTTGATTTCGGGAAATGCGACTGAAGAATCTAAGTCTCGCCAACACCCTTGCCTCTGGAGGTACTTATGGCAAGTGCACCTAGCCATGGTGGGACAGTCATGCAAGATCCAAAGCAGCAGCATAAATAGCGTGTGTTGACATTATAAGTTACAAAGAGCGATATTCCACTACTGGTGGGACAGGTATATGACAAGGCATCGAAGATCTCCATCCCTGCAGAGCCGACTTAAGGGCAGAAAGTGACCGTCTGAAAACCATGTGAGTAATCGTTCGACCCAGCACGGGATGGGACCCTCACGTAGTCAGCGTTCTTCGAGCCAGTGCAGGTCCAGAGCGCGGTGCCGCTGCTCTCGTCGTAAGCGTACGCGTAAGAGTTCGGGCAGCCATCCTCTGCGATGGGGGGTTAGCAGGCAGGTCCAAGGCGTTAGGCTGGAAAGGAAACGCACTGAAGTAGTCGTAGTACTGAACACCGGAGGAGGGGCAGGTTTCGGGCTTGTCGAAATCACCGCTGCAGCAGTTCGGCGAGTTGCTCGCGTCGCCGTCGAGGTTGGCAGAGCAGGCGGTGTAGCAGCCGACGACCTTGCCGTCGCCGTCCTTCTTCTGGAGCTCAGCAGGGCCTATCTAGCGTGTCAGCTCAGGTATCGGATTGCACGAGACTTTGATACTCACAGTCCGCGTTCAGCTCCTTCGGGCACGACGCCTCGGGGCAGTCCTGAGTCGGCTTAACCGAGACGGGGATGTTGTACCCATCGACGAGCGAAACGTCGTAGTTGTCCTCGCCGTCCGGGATGAGCGTCCACTCCGCGACCGTGACGGGCGGGACGCCCGTGCCGCCCTCCGTCGCGCACTCGAGGCCGCCATTGCAGCCGCCCGTCGCGCACGACGTCTGGTCCTGCGTCGAGCTGAAGTCGCAGCCCGTGCGGCCCCAGATGCGGCCCGCGGTCCAGTTGTCGGGGACCTCGAACTGCTCGGTGCTGCCCGCGGCGGCCTCCCAGCCCGTGGCGTGGTCGGGCGAGTCCCCGGAGCTCGGGTCGGTGAAGATCGCGGGCCACACGGTGAAGTCGCAGTTGTTCTTCACGGTCATCTGGCGCGCGCTCGCGGAGGTCGCGAGGACGGCGAGGGTGACGGCGGCGGCGGCAATCATGATGTACGAGTGAGAGAAGGTGGACTGCACGACTGGGAGAAGGAGGCCAAGGAGCGCTAGGCGAAGGAGAGAAGAATGCGTTGGTGAGGGGAGCAGGGACGCGGACAGGACTTATATAGGCGGGTCATGGATAGCTGGCGGGGGTTGCGTCCGCAGATCGTCTAGCGTTGGGCTGGCGCAGTCACCGTCTTCGTGGCGCGGTCGCTGTCGGCCAGTCGCGGTCGCAGTACGTGTTGTCGCACGTCGCAGTACGGCCTTGGAGCGATGAGATGAACAGCTAGGCATACCCAATATGGCCACCACAGATGACGGTGGCGCCTCGGTGGGGCGCACATATGAAGATCTGCGGCTGGGGTCGTCCTGCGCCTGCGGCTGGGGTCATCCTAGACTCGCTAGCCAGTTGTTGCCGCTCGCAGCTGCGGTCCGTGAGCGGTTCGGCTCGGAGGGTAGGAATTTGCAAAGAAGGGGGGATATTTGAAAACGGACCGCGAGCTTGCGAGCGGACTGGGCAACTCCGTAGAGGGGACGCAATCCTGGGGTCCGGGCCCCAGGACAACTCTGAAAGTTGAGAGCGTGGTCTGCGCGATGGCGCGTCCGACGCGCGTACTGTAGTAGGTTCACCTATGCAGAGCGGTTTCATCTGGAAGAGCTGTGTTACGCAATGCATTTCGGCCTGGAAAAGGTAGTCTTTGGCGGACGAATCGCTATGGGAGCCGTGCAGGAGGGGACTCAGCGCTCGACTGTCTTTTGAGACGCTTTAGGCAAGGAGGCGCTCGATCACATCGAAGTTGCTCTTGACCGTCACGACGCGGCCGACTTCGCGGCTACCTCACACCATCCACGGTTCATTGGCCTGGCATCATAGCCAAATATACTCGAGTCGGTTCGCGCTGCGGCCCTGTCGAAGACGTTCACCCACGGAAGCAACTGGAGACCACAATAGCGATCGACCTTCTGCGTTTCTGCACCTACATCTTTGCTCGTTGTCAGTATATTGTCGACCCATCTTTGCGGACATCTCGCAACTCGCCTATGTTGCTCGTCCGCCCCCTTGTCAGCGCACCACCGGATGGCGGGCAGGACATTTTCTTCCACGGTGGGAGCACGAGTGGCCCGCGCGTGAGTATCTGGGACGTACGAGGCGCGCTGCGTCCGCGGCCGCTGGACTTGGGCAATGACAGCATGGAGAAGGTCACCGACGGAGATCTGTGTGTCTCGGGCAGTAGGAGGTGCGTACTGTCTTCAAATGCATAATCGCAGCCTATCTGACCCTCGGGCGGTGCAGATAGTTCACCAGCACACTCATGTCGGGTCTGCCCGCCCTCGGTTATTGCAATGATGACCTTCTCCCCGAAGCCCACTTACAAGACCCCATACGCCCTGTGCGCTATCTCGTTCTGCTCCTCGCAGCTAAATGACCATTCTTCCCCCCGCCCTCGGCGCTTGGCCTCGCGCATCGTCAAAACACGACCATCGTGAATCCTGCTGCTCATCACCAACCCCTGCGACGATCCATCCGGCACCTCCGAGCGCGACGCTCAGCAAACAAGGAACATCATGAATCGTCGGAAGCGCTGACATGCTCTCTGCAGCATCTTGATCGCCCTCAACTGCTAGACGTTACCGCGGCGCGCGCTCACCCAGAGACTCAGCGTTATTACACTGGTCTACGACGCTCTGTGTACCTTCGCCTTGCGCGAAGACGCCCTGCTCTCCTCTGGCATGCCGTGGCCAACAATCCGCTTCTCCATTCGCGCCGTTCTTCTCCGCCACCTACAGCGTCAACAGCAATCTGATATGTAACATGGTTGTCAATGTCGCCCTCACCCTCGCCCTCGCCCTCCACATTTCTCTTCCACTCTGGCCCCCTTCTCGTCCGCTCCACATTCCCTTTGTCCCTCAGCTCTGAGCTCGAGTTTGCCTGAGCCTGTGCTTCTTTGACCACCCACACGGACACCCGTCTGGAGGCCGAATTCCTCATGCCTACCGGCACTCCTTCGTTGCTCTCTAGGGCAGAACCTCACCGAGTCTGCTCAATATGCCTAGTTCCTGGTTTTGCTGTCCTACAGGAGCCTCGTAGCCTCGCGGGTACGGCATGCGACAGCCCTACGCATGTGGCATACATGTTTTCCTGCCTTTCCCCCTCTTTGGCGTTTTTCGGCGCTTTTCCTTGTAATACTATCATTTTTGCCGTGATTACTCTAGAATCCGCTTCAGGCATATACGAGTATCTAATGGCAGCCGGGGCGACCCAGCACATGAGCACGGTGGACGGCAGTGAGTGAAGTGAGCACCCGCTGACGGTGCACGAGAGTCTCAACTTTCAGAGTTGTCCTGGGGCCCGGACCCCAGGATTGCATTTGCTATACGAAGTTGCCCAGCCGGCCTACGGCTCCGCGAGGCCACGAGCGGATTTCAAACGTAGGCCGATGAGCTGGTTCACGAGTCTAGGGTCATCCCGCTCTGTTTCAGTGTCGAGCAGACCGGAGTGACCAGCAGCCCGCCTGTCGTCTGCCAAGCGCATCGACGACGAGCGCAGCAGCTTCGGTGTGCGGTCTCTCCGTTCTGGTCGCCAGAGTCCCGCGCGAAACCTCGCGAAACTTGACGGAAAGTCACCCGAGCTATCATCAAATGGATCGACTCAAAGGCTTGGACTTCGTGAAGGCAAACGACGACCAGCCGAGGAGATTCTCGGCTTCATTCAAATCTTCTTTTGGGTTTTTTCTTTCAAAGGCATGGCATAGCCCGCACAAGCTCGAAGGATGGAGCAGCGCCAGCTGGCAGCGAAGGAGTTCACCGTGAGACTTAGACGGAACCAAATGTTCATCAATTGCACTTCGGCTGTCTCCGCAATCCCACGTGCTAGGGACCCACATGACCGCATTTGCTACCATATTAGGAAAAACCTCGCTCGTTATAATCACAAGCGAGCCATCCTTGACTCCACCATCCCCAGTCACGACTCGCGAGCACCTTTGCGCGAAACCCATGTTGTGATGATACATTGCAGTTTACCAATTCGCCTTCTACATCTTGTTCATAATTACACAATTGCCCAAATCCCCCATGAACCCAACCCACCGAGCCCAAGTCACTGAGCGGTGAGCCCGCGAGCCCATGCCCATAGCCCTTCAAGCTGCAGGCTGCACCTCTTGAAGCTTCAGGCCGCACCCCTTCATCGACATCCTTCACCCCCGAATCAACGACACTGGCCTCTGCTTCTGCTCCGCGTAGTCGCTGAAGGTGATGACCGGCAGGTCGCTATCACGACGCGGTTCCTCCGGGACCACATAGCGATAGGCCTCGTCCGACGACTCCATGCTCTCCGCGTAGAGCGTCCAAGGGCGCGATGCATCGTCGTGCGAAATCATAGGTGACCCCGCTTGAGAGATCATAGGCGACCCTGGTTGGGAGATCCTAGGCGATCCTTGGGGTACGGCGCGGTACGGGTCCCCCTGCATGCCTCCGTACACCTCCCCGCCAAATTCGCCCTCTCCCATACCACCCAACATCGGACTGCCCACTCCGCCCAACAGCGGACTCCCCACCGGCGGCGTCCTACAAAACGCCTCATCCGGCCTCGGAATCTCCCCCAAGCTCTTCAGCCCCCGCTTCTCGCAGTCGCCGAAGTCAGACGAGGTGACGCTGAACTTCGACCCGGGCACATTCTTCGAGATGTCGATAACGCGGTCGTAGACGGTTGGGCGAGTACGTGGAGGTCCGGAGGCAGCGGTGGATGCAGACCAGAGCCCGGAGAACACTGAAGAGCGCTTGACGAAGGAGGCGCGGAGGGAGGTCACCGAGAGCGAGGGGAAGTGGTGCGCTGGGCGAAGCCAGGCGCCGGACGAGACACGAGCAGAGGCAGGCGCATCGGGCCTCCAAGTCGCTGTGTTGTCCTTCTCATGCAGCGAATCCGTCGAGAACGAGCTCCGCATCGACGCCTTCGTCTTGTCGTACGATAACGTGCGCGAGAGAACGCTCTCTGTGCCGTGCTTGAAGTTGTCGGCCTCGCGACGCTTTGTGCGGTGTCGGCGGAAGACGGCGCAGAAGTAGAAGACGATGACGAGGCCGATGAGCGAGGAGAGGATGCCGCTGAGAATGTAGCGCGTTGGGATAGGCTCCTCGGTTACTGCGGTAGTACTGTCGTGCGTGGGTCGGTGAGGCGCGCCGGCTGAGGGCTCGGAGACTTCGGCGGAGTGGGTGACGATGCCAGGAGCGATGCGAACGAAGGTCGAAGATACGTGAGTTAGGCCCGTTGCAGAGGACGAGAGGCCAGAGACGGGGATGAAAGTCTCGGTGGGCAGCACAGTTGACGTCGGATCGACAGCAACAAGGACCGCCAGAGTGGTCGACTCAGTAAAGTCTTGCGTGGGCGCCGTGTCGTACGTCTCGTTGGGAATGTCTTCGACGTAGGCATCGGTGACTTGAGGTTCGTCTGCGGAAGGGGTAGGCAGATATTGCTGTGTAACAGTAGGCAGATAAGAGGTTGCTGGGACGATTGGTAAGTTATCGATGCAGAACTAGCAGTCCTCAAAGTACCTAGAATATTCTGCTGTATCATCACGGGCATAGACTGTTCAGGTTGAGGTGCTGGCATAGACATAGAGACAGGGATAGAGTCCGCGCAGTCCGTACAAGGCTCGTTTGATGTGGTGTCGGCATTTAAAGACGAGTCTGGCTTCGCCGGGGAGTCTTGAATCGTGGGAGGCGAGCTAGGTTCGAGCATGACGTCCGTCGGACGGGTAGGCGGCGAGGAGGGAGGGTCCATAGGATGTGACGTAGGCGCGTCAGAGGGAGCGTCCGGTCCTCCTCCGATATGTAGAATGCCGACTTGCATATCCATCGGTGCGGCGAGAGCGCGTGTTGCCGACAGAGCGAGCAAGGCGAGAAGTACGGGAGCCTCTTGAGGCATAGTGGTGCCTTGATAGATTGAGTGAGTGACTGTGCGGTTGCCCGAGGGCACTAGGATGAGGGCGAGGGTAGCCGGTGTGGATGATGCTGGTCAGGATCAAGACGCGTTATTTACATCCGCACGCGCGACGCCCACAAAGCCAAACGCGCTGCACTGCCACGGTTCCTTCATCACTGCTTCCACCATCGTGCTGCTGCGTTGTCGCATTCATACCCTCTCGGACACTGCTGTCTGATGATTCGCTCGTAGCGCAAGTCCCCTTAACCCACACAACATGTCGAAGGACCCGTACTATGATCTCCAGAATGAAGTCCAGGCATCGCTGCAGACCGCGAGCCAGCTGCGCGCGTCGTATACGCGTATACGGAATATGGCTGTCAGTCAGGACAGCGAGGAGCTAGTTTGGGCGAGGAATGAGGTGCGTCTGCTACTCAGGCTTACGAGCTTCATACCTCACATGGTTCCCTCAGCTGAAAGCTACGCTGGCGACGCTGGAGGCTGACATGGAGGATCTGGAAGGAAGCGTGCAGTGCGTGCCCTCATCCCCTCGCTCATTGACTGGTCTAAGACTGCGCGAAGGATAGTAGAGACCACCGGCGCACGCATGTTTGGCCTAGAAGAGGCAGAAGTGCAGGAGCGCCGCGCCTTCGTCGAGCACGTCCGCCGTGAGATCGAGGTGCGTCCCATGCCGGCCCGCATTCATCACGCTCATTACAATGACACGGAAGGATAGAACATGAGAGCCGAGGTGTCTGGCAAGCCACGCTCAAGACCGCCATCCTATGCATCCCCCTCTCCTAGCCGTCCGCAGTCGCGGCTCTATACGGGCACGTCAAGCCCCACGAGGGAGGACGAGGATGATCAGACTGCATGGGCCCGTGAGGAGCAGCAGGTGCGCATACGTCTTCTGGAGTGAAAGCAGACCTTGCTCACCACCATCTAGATGATCATCCGCCAGCAAGACCAGACAATGGACACCATATCCGGCACGCTGACCACCCTCGCCCAACAAGCCGGACTAATGGGGCACGAGATCAATGAGCATGTAGAGTGCGCACTCCGACACTTCCCATGATAAGACCTTGATACTCAACTCGCACAGAATGCTCGGCGACCTCGAGCAAGGCGTCGACCGCGCGGAGAACAAGCTCGGCAGCGCCATGGACCGCATGAAGCACTTCATGCGCAAGAGCGAAGAGAAGGGAAGCGGTTGGTGTATCATCATTCTTATCATCATCCTGTGCGCACTCGTTCTTGCTCTCATTCTCACCTAGTATACATATTGCGGCCGGACAGCCCTATACGCTAATGCAACACTTAACTTGTTTGTTGTTAGCCCATGAGCGCTGCTGTCACCGTAGTCCGTGGATACAGCATCACTTGCTGGACTCCCCGAAGATCTCTTCGTAGCGGTATCCTGCCTCTCGAAGGGACCTCTCTACGACTTCGCAGAGTGCCAGAACCTTGCGAAGATGGTCAGCCTCCACAATGCTAGCGAATGGCTCACATCACTTGCCTTCTCTTCCTCTAGTCTTTGGCCGACGACCTGCACACTTACTGGACCTCCTTCATATTCCTCTGGAACATACTCCCTGGCAAAATGGTCAGTGCCACTCGTGCGATACTAGCATTGCCTGACGGACGTACTTCCAGGCGTGTTCGTCCAAGATGTTGCGCGGTGCGTATTCCAGCTCCGCTGGATCCTTGGCCGGGTCCGCTCGCAACACGGGTACAGTCGCAGCAGACCAGTCCAAGACGTTCCACACGGCCGTGTAGCCCACATACTCCCACTTGTCACTGGCAACCTCTTCAGCAAACACAACCAAGCAGAATCGCGCCACACGCACTGTCGAATCGCCGCATACGGCGCCGTGGGCATAATAATCCCGTCAATCGGTCTCCCCGTTCCTGTCCTCTCCCTTGTCGCCGCCCAATGTGCCAGATACCTCTGACACCACGCCGTCCTCTTCAAGTGAATTTGCCACATCTCATACGTCGTCGGGTGCGGGGTCCCCTTCTCCCCGTACTCCCTTAGCCCCAGCGGCCACGGCTCCTTACCCTCCTCGATGACTTTCTTGATGCTTGTGCCCCCGTCGGCGAGGAAGCACTGCCGGCGGAGGTCGTCTCCTCCGGCGTGGTCGAGCGGCGGGAGGTCGATGACGGTGTGTCCGGCGGCGCGGAGGGCAGAGACGGTGGCGGCGAGCGCGCGGCGAACGGGCGGGTTGGGGCGCACGACGCCGTCGTCGGCGATGAGGCCGAAGCAGAGCCTCTCAGGCAAAGTGATGGGGCGCCAGGGAATGGGGACGGACTTGGGGTCACGGAGCCAGGGCTGGGTAGAGACGACGGCGGAGGCGAAGGTGCTGAGGGCGGAGAGGGAGCGCGACATGGGCCCGTTGACAGAGTGGATGGCTTCTTGTCCAGCCATGCCTTATTTCCGCTCAGCATATCTCCCTTAGGGTCTGACCGGTTTGTGATCACTCACCGGATCGTGCTCCCAGCGTAGGGAAGCGACCCAGGGACGGTCGAAGGGTATAGAGGCCTGCACACGTCCCCGGGATCCGGATGGAGCCCCCAATATCGGTGCCTACACCCAGCGGTGCGCCTTTCATGGCCAGCAGCGCAGCCTCGCCTCCGCTACTTCCACCCGCTGGCCAAACTCGTCAGTATCACAACCTCGCAAACCCGCAGGAGACACGAGGACTCACGCGAAAGCCGTCTGTTATACGGGTTGAGCGTGCGGTTCCAGACATTGTTGTAGGTCTCCGCAATCATCATCGCGGTCGGGACGTTCGTCTTGCAGTAGACAACAGCGCCAGTCTCGCGCAAGATGCTGGTGAGGAGACTTTCCTCCTCCATGGGTTCGTTGCACCAGGCAACGTATCCGACCGTCGTATCAAGCCCCTTCACCTTGAAGCAGTCCTTCAGAGAGACCGGAAGACCATGCAATGGGCCAACTGGCTTCCCCGTCTCCTTGAAGATCGTGTCGAGCTCGTCCGCGCGCTTCAGCGCATCGTCGAAGCAGATCTCTGTCAAGCAGTTGACCTGCCCTCCCCTGTCAGCCTTTCTCCGTCTCACCAATCCAATGCACTACAGCTGACTTACCAACTGCTGCGCCACCGCTGCTCGCTTACAAAACGCTTCCGCCACCGCACGCGCCGTCCACTTCCCCGAGTGCACATTGCGCAGGATCTCGTCCGCCGGCGCGTCCGTGATGGTGAGCTCGTCCGCGGTCAGGATGCCGCAGGATGCGGGGACGCCGGTGACGTCGAGGAGGTAGGCAGGGGAAGTCTCGTCGGTGTATTCCGGCTTGTCGGGAAGGCGCCAGGCTTCGGGAATCAGTGCATCGCGAGCAGCGCGTTTGGCCGCTGCGATTTCAGTCCAGTCCTTGGTTTTCTCGAGGACGGGAGCAGCAGAGTCGAGGGCGCTGGGAAAGTCGTTCGGCATGGCGAGGTTGGTGAAATACGAAAGCAGTGAGGCCAAGCAATGCAGAGGGAACGATATCGAGCGTCGCAGAGCAAGAGGGACTAAACGCTGCAGAGGGACCGATATCAAGTCCTCCAGGGGAAACGATATCATGACCTGCGAGAGTGAGCTTTATAGGAATGAGGAGAATACCCACGATAGTGATAAGAAGCCGATTGCCAGTGGCGAAGAAGACGTGATAAGGTGGCTCACATGTTCGGGATTGTCGATCCGTGGGTGTACTGCTCAGGCTGAGCGGTACGTACTAAGGTACTTACTCCTAACACAGCGGGATCTTCTAGATCGCCTGAGCTTCCCGGGGTAACAGCCTCGGAAGGGCCATTGCACCACGGATACGTTTAAGACTTGGATTCATCTCATGGGCTCGGCGCATACAGTATACTGACGCGTCTACTTCACGTACGCGTCTGTAGGTCGTGAGCGATAGCAATCATGCCGTGATAGGGTCGCCACATACCTACTGCCGCTTCTGTGCAGAGCGGTGACTCATCACCTAAGCCATGGCACTCATCGGATCGCTACACCTCCGCCAAAGAAGGCGCGCGCCTCGTCCGAAGCCTGGTTTTCTTCTGATTTCTCTTCTTCGACGTGCTTTGGGATCGTCAGCTTCCTGAACTTCAGTTGGGCAACCTAAATCTCACCGGTTCCACACCATCGAGGTGCTCCCTCTGATTCGTGTGCGTCTCCTTCACGTTGAGCGGTGGAGGGTTGTTCGAGTCGATCGATTTCACCGATGGGTCCTGCAAGACGACCGATCAGCGACATCATTGTAATCAGCTCATGCAACCATCCTCCTCTGACCTTCGGGCTCAACTCCAACCTCATCCACGCCGTGTTGTACATCCAGACATCCTCCCTCGGCGCCGCATCCGGGTCAAGCTCATGCAGCGCCCCAATCATCTCCGTAATACAATGCCCATGGCTCGCGATGACAACATGCGCACCCTCCCCCGTCTCCACCTCCTTCCTCAAATGCGGCAACACCACCTCCCTCACCGCCTCCCTCGCCCTCGCCCGCAAATCCTCAAAGCTCTCCGACGTCGCGCCCGGGAATTTCTGCGATCGAGTCTTCGGGATCGGGTACACGCCCGCCGCGCACGCGTCCTCGAAGGTCGCGTACTCCGCGGGCAGGCTGGAGACCCACTTGTGGCCCTCGGCGTCGCCGAAGCAATGCTCGCGGAGGGAGAGGTGTTCGGTGAAGGGGACGTGGGGGTGGGCGGAGTGGATGGCGAGGCCGGTAGCGCGGGCGCGGAGGAGGGGGGAGGCGTGGATGGCGGTGATGGGCGGATTGGGGAGGGTTTTGGATTTGGCGAGGGCGGCGGCTTGCTACAGGACAGTGATGGGATGTTGAGTACAATAAGAAGCTATGGGAGGCAAGAGATAGCCATGGTTGGATAAGGCACGCACCCTTTCACCTAATCAATAGCGTCAGGCGTGCAATTGTAAACGAAAATGGAAGGCCTTCACGAACCTAACTTGGAAAGAGGCGCGTCCTTCCATCCGGCCCAAATACCTTTCTGCAGCAGCCGGTAAGTAACAATCCGACGATGGCCGTAAAGCTACTCACGGGGTTATCCTCGGATTCGCCATGGCGTACCTGCATGATGATGTGACTGTGAGGGTCAGAACAAGCGCCAAAACGACAGAGACGTACGAAAGTAACGATGACCACCATTGCTATCGACTTCAGCTGGGAGATGAGGGGGAGAAGAGAGAGGCGAACGTTGGGCAGAGGGTACTTGTACGCGCACGTTTTTGCCAATCTCCGGCAGGAGTCAGAGCGCGGCGTGAGTCAGCCCCACGAGACCGTAAGATGCGATCCCCTCGGGGTGGGCATGGGGTTGAAGGACATGCGTCTTGAGCATGGGGGTTAGCGGGAGGACACAGCTAAGCGGGGGGATTTCTTGACGTACAGGTCGACCATAAAGCCCTCGGCCATCGACCTTCGCGTGGTCGAGGCCTAGGAATTCAGTCCGCCTATTCAAGGGTACGAGGAAGGCTGCCCTTCGAGGACCGCCTCTGCAGCGGACAAGTTCCCGGCCGCATGATGCTCAATGCATCGCAGACAAAGGTTGCCTTACGGTATCCCACCGAGGATTCGCAGAGAAGGATCGTATATTCGCCTGTGGCGCGCAGTACAATGGGCAAATAAAATGAGGGTGCTGGACGGAAGGAGCGCTGCCAACGAGGGAGCGGCGCCGCAGCGTTGACGTTGACAGTCGAGGGCTGCGCTCCTCCTTCCCCGCCCCCACCTGGGTCCTTCGCGCGGCAATCTTCTGGCTTCCGGACTCCGAGCCGGGCCTGCAACAGATGACTTCGATGCGGGCGTCGCTGGACATACAACAAGAAACCCAGTATTTTCCGTTGTTCGAAGTGATTGAGGGGACTTAAGTGACCTCCTGAGGCTCGAGCTCGACCGCGCTGCCGTGGAGATCGAGAGAGGATAAGGATCTGGCAATTATAGCCTAGCAACGCTCAATATTTTTCGTTGCCAAGGACTTTGTCCGGGCGGCTGACGCCATTGACGCAGGCAGCCCGTTCCGGTTTGGCTCCATCCGCGGCGGTCACGAAGAGGTCACAGACCTCGGTTCACGTTCTCACCCTCCTCCTTGTCCTTCGCCCGAACAATCACGCAGTCGCCCGCGACGACCAACGTCCATCCCCGACCGTCCCCACCCATGGCGGCGTCCATGCCTCGACGACGACAAGCGGCCGCCCGCGCGGCCCTCGCCCTCCTCCTCCCCGTTCAGCTCGCCTCCGCCTACACCTGGAACTTCCAGAGCAAGCCGACGCAGTGCGAAGACCTGTCCATCAAGATCTCCGGCAGCGACGGGAAACCCCCGTACCGCGTCCTCATCGTCCCGTACGGCCCGAGCCCCCTGGATAACAACATCGAGGCGCGGAGAATTGTGGCCGAGGAGGCGGACGGCGACTCGGACACGATCACCTTCCAGCTCAAGTACCCAGAGAACTCGCAGTTCGTTGCTGTGGTGCGTGTCATTGCATTGCTCGGCTCCCTAGTTCGCGGCTCGCGTCGGCGGCGTTTGCGACAGACCTCCCTATTCCTATCGCGAGCCCAGCCCCCATCTATTACCCCCTGTGCCGCGCACCATCCGCGTGCATTACCCTTCGCTGCACGATAAGATACTTATATCGCTTCGCAGGTGAGCGATGCGAACGCGTTCGGTTCCGGGGGTACCAGTGGGCCGGCCATCGTTGCAAGCTCGAGCGACACCTCTTGTTATCCCACAAGCAACGTTGCGCCTGATTGGGTCTTCAACATATACCCCCAGAACCAGATCGTTCAGTGCCAGCAGACACGATTATGGTGGGATGAGGACGATGTGCAAGGGTGAGTAGCGTCTGGCATTGCCATCCCCGTCCTTCCGGATGCGCGGATACACTTCTCAAACCATCCCTCCCCAACATCGCACCACTTTCCCTGACTCTCGTACTCCCTTACTTCATCACCCCCTCATCTACCACATTCATCCTGCAACTCTCGCCCCGCATCCTCTTGTTCGCGGCGCGCATAGAACTCGATGACGCGTGGGTACACCCTTGTCACCCAGGGTCTGGTGATTCTCACGGCAACGCAACGGCTTCTGCTTCCTAGCACTCCCCTGCGCAGCTCTTCCTTGATCGAGATGTTCATCTAACACAACGATTCTAGTACCCCATACTTCACCGGTGTTATCCCTGGAGGCGATTCCTTCGCCATTCCACCAGCGGACATCAACACGACGACGGAAACTGGCACTGGCTTCTCATGGACACCCAACGTCCGGGGCATGACCCAGCTGCTCATCGTCGCTGGTGATAACCGCGGGAACGGCACTGGCGGCAGCGGCACGTATACGGTCAGCTCATCCTCGGACAATTCGTGTTTGGATTCGAATAGCCCGAGTTCAACGCCGGGTGACGCCGCTGGAGGGTCTTACCCCACAAACACCGACGGCGCTTCAAACGGTGGTAGCAGCGGTGGAAGTGGAAGCACAGGTAGCGACGGAGGGTGAGTTTGCCGACGCTATCGCCGAATGCATGTCGTAACCCCTCATCTAGCTCATCCGACAACACTGGCGCTATCGTCGGTGGTGTCATTGGCGGTGTCGCTGGCGTCGCATGCATTGCACTCGCGCTTTTCTTCCTCATGCGGCGCAAGAAGAACCAAAACCGGGAGAAGGAGAAGCCTGTGCTCATCGACGACGACCAGGACGGCCGCGGCGGCACGAACGAAGGCACCGACAATGATCTGCCGCAGTACTACGAGCCCGAGCCCTTCATGGTGCCAGATCCGACCAGCGATGGCAGGCGGACGAGCGCAGGCAACCTCACAGAGAGCGGCTACCTCCCTACACCGAGTCGCAGCGGGACGCCGGACGTGATGTCGGCCAGCGGTGCGACGCGGAAGACGGCGCCGCGGCAGATGCGGGCGGTGAACTTCATCCAGCATGACGACGCGGGTCCGAGCATGCCGCCGGGTGCGAGCGAGGAGCCCGAGACGATAGAGCTGCCGCCCGCGTACACCAACATCCGCAAAGAGCCGCCGCCGGCGGAGACGCAGGCGTAGTACCAGTAGGAGTCGGACCTCTTTTCTTTCGCACAGCAAAGAAGTCGCCCTGCCCTCATTTACCCTTCCCCTACCCTACGTTTTCTTCGCGTTGTACGACTACCCACCATCGCTCACTTCACCTTCACATCTACCTTCTTGGTTCGCTCCCCCCTTTTGCTGATGTCTGCCGTTCGTACTGCTATGACCCCCCTGTCCCTGCCCCCGATTCCCCTTACCGCTTTCCACCACGGACAGTTCCTCTGACCGACCGTTCACCCCCGTCCCTTTGGATCACAGATATCGCATCACCGTCCTTGTACCACTTGGCACCCTTCTACAGCACTTATGATAGTAAGCATCGTATTGGTTCAATTTCTACGGTATTTATGAGATGAGAGAAGAGGTTTGCTATCGTGCTCTGTGAGTTGAGTTTGACTTTGGCGGTGCGCCACACGCATTGTTGATGCGTGTGGGCGCTGCGCAAACATTGCACGTGACGGCCCGAATTCTTTGTACTGAACCACCACGCGCACAAGCGATGGACTCGCCCAAGCGCTCTGCGTCACCCGCTGGCTCAGACTCGAAACGCGCGCGGCTCGACGACGGCGAGGGCACGCACGAGCCCGCGCCCATCAACCTCGACAATGCGCCCGGCAAGCGCGGCGAGAACGAGCCCGTGCCCGGGGGCGAGATTGGGAACCTGCCGCCCGAGGGCGCGGGCGACGCGCACATGGACGACGCGGCGGCCCCGCCCGCGCGCGTGCGGCAGCTGAAGGAGGACGACGAGGGCGGGGACGTGTCGATGGGCGACGACGAGGGCGGCTCGGGGGACGAGAACGAGAACGAGGCGGACGAGGAGGACCCGGCGGCGCTCGAGGCGACGCGCATCCGGCTCGAGGAGCAGGCGCGCAAGTACCTCGCCGCGCAGACGCACGAGATCATCATCCCCTCGTACGCGGCGTGGTTCGACATGAGCAAGATCAACCCCGTCGAGGAGCGCGCGCTGCCCGAGTTCTTCAACTCGCGCAACCGGTCGAAGACGCCGGCGATCTACAAGGACTATAGAGACTTCATGATCAACACGTATAGGTTACGGCCCTCGGAGTACTTGACTGTGACGGCGTGTCGGAGGAATCTGGCGGGGGATGTGTGCGCCATTATGCGCGTACATGCATTCCTAGAGCAATGGGGGCTCATCAATTATCAGGTGTGTGGCGCCGGACTGCTCCCCAGCATGTCGTACTCAACTTTGCTTCTAGATCGACCCTGAGACGAGACCAGCAGCACTCGCTCCTCCCTTCACAGGTCACTTCCGTGTTGTCCTCGACACCCCTCGCGGTCTGCAGTCTTTGCACCCAGGCACACGGCCACAAAACCCAGGCGCCGTCGCGGTCAATGGAGCGCAGAAACAAGCTACCCCTGCCTCACTCGAAATGCGCAAGAACATCTACCAGACGTCGTCCAAGTCCTCACGACAGATCAACGAGGGAGAAGCAGCAGCACTTGCGAACGGCAAAGACGTGCCCACCTCCGCACGCTCTGGTCTTTATACTTGCGACACCTGTGGTGCCGACTGCAGTGCGGTGCGCTATCACTCGCTTAAGGACAAACGCTTTCAGCTCTGCCAACCATGCTATCTCGACGGCCGCTTCCCCTCGACGATGTTCAGCGGCGACTTTGTGAAGCTCACGAGCGCCGCCGTGCACGGGGTCGCGGACGATGACTGGACAGACGAGGAGATGCTGCGCCTGCTCGAGGGTATCGAGATGTACGAGGACGACTGGTCGCGCATCGAGGAGTATGTGGGCACCCGGTCAGCGCAGCAATGTATACGCAAGTTCCTCGAGCTGCCCATCGAGGACCCGTATCTGAGCACGGAGGGCTCGATGGGCCCCCTGCGCTTCGGGCGCGTGCCCTTCGAGCAGGCGGACAACCCCGTCATGAGCGTCGTCGCCTTCCTCGCTGGCGTCGTGAACCCCGGTGTCGCAGCCGAGGCGGCAAAAACAGCATTGCACGCGCTCACCGACGGCGACAAGGGCGGCCCGAAGGAAGAGGAGGCCGATGAGGAGAATGCCGACAAGATGGACGAGGACAAGAAGGAGGAGCAGCCCGCCGACAGCACCCCCGCCGAGCCCTCAGCAGCAGCCGGCACCTCGACAGAAGGCAACGGCGACTCCTCCTCCACCTCCCAACCCGCCAAAAAGCAGCCCACCGTCCCGCACTCCAAGGTCGCCCGCGCGGCCGACCTCGCACTCAAGGCCTCCGCGCGCGCCGCGCGGCAGCTCGCGGACGCCGAGGATGCGCAGATCCGCGGCACGCTCGCGTCGCTCATCAAGCTCACGCTCACGAAGCTCGAGATGAAGATGAGCCAGTTCGAGGAGCTGGAGGACATCCTCGAGGACGAGCGGAAGAACCTGGAGAGCGCGCGGATAGCGCTCATGAGCGAGCGGCTGTCGCTGAAGAAGATGCTGGAGCAGACGCGGGAGCAGCTGGCGGCGCATGGGGCTTCGGTGCCGTCGCAGCTGGGCACGACGGGGCAGGGGCCGATAGCGAACGAGGTGCAAAATGTGGATATGGGTGGTCCGTCGGGGCCAGTGCCAGACGGCAGCATGCTCCAGTTGAGCTAATTGCCTGGACGCTGTGTTTCTTGCTACGTCGCATACGTTACTATTCGCTGTATCTTTGCTGTAGAGTACTGAATATTCGTCGCTTTCCTGATCGCTATGGTTTGCATGGAATGCTCAACAAAAGGACTGACCTGTGGTAAGCCCTGCGGGCACTCGCAATCGCGCATCGCGACCTCAGATGGACTGTTAGGTATGAGATAGGAATGCGGTCCTTCTAGTAATGTACAGGGGATAGGTAGTGTTACAATTCCAGGTAGTACAATAATGTCCAATGTGCCCTCTAGTAAAAATCCAGTCGTGTCCTCGGACCGTAACAGCATGCTCGTTCTCCCCGCTGTCGGCCCTCTCGTTCTCTGCCTGCCGTCGGGCCTTCCTTCCTCTCGCGTCCGGGCCTCGCATTCGCCTCATCAGACTTCTCGTCCCCTCCCCCTCAAACCAGCACGATATTCTCCTGCGCCCGATCCATCACCTCCTGGATCCCCGACGCTTCAACCACCATTCGATCCTCCCCACCGTCCATTCGCCCCTCATACTCGTCCTTCAGGCGCTTCCACGCCGCAGCCACCGTCGACCCCGACCCCTTCTCCCTAAACACGGTCACCACCGACATGCACCCCAGCGGAAACATATGCCGCGCGTCCAGCATCGGGCTCCCATACACGCCCCTACCACCAACGAGATGCTCCTGCGGCAGCGCCGCGCCCGCGGGCGCGAACTCGAGGCGGAAGCGCGCGGGCTTCACCTCCTCCGTGCCCTCGACGCGGCAGCGAACCATGCAGCCGCCCGCGTCCGCGGCGGCGCCCTCGATGAGCACGCCCATGGACTGCAGGATGCCGATGGCCTCGCGGCGGGTGCGGACGGCGTCGTTGGCGGAGTAGATCACGTCGGCGGTCGTGTGGTTCTTCCAGTGGAACAGGTTGGAGAACCAGCCCTTGAATTCGCCGACGACGGGAGATTTCATCGACGCGTTAGGCGAGCCCAGAGTTATGGGGGACCCAAGGACAGAGAGCGCACGGTTGCGAGGCGGAGTTGCGACTTCGTCTAGTGTATCGTCAGTACCGAGCAGGAGAGAAGAGAAGCAGACGTACACTTCGGTTTCTGCGGCATATCCTTCGCCAACTCGTCAACTTGTGGGCGCGCGACGTTGCCCAATTCCTTGCCAAAGGCGCGGACCGGCGTATCGACGTTGACATAGCTCCAGTCGGCCACATCTGTGGAGGTCTTCTCGACGTCGAACGTAGTGACCTTCTCACTGATGTCGGGCGTAGCAGTCGTCCGCGCGTCGGGCGTCGCAGTCTGCCGCACCGACATGCGGTTCGTCCGGTTCGACGCGATGTCCTCGATATGCGCCATCTCCGCATCGCTCCCATACACCGGAGTCCTCGCATTCACCGAGCGCACCGGCTTCGGCGCGCATATATCCATCGGAGTGTACTGCGAAGCGCGAGGAGCCTCCGCTGAGCGGCGTCGCTCCGAGAACATCACGACGTCGGCACGCTGCGCGGACGACCTGTCCGTCGACGGTCCAGCAGCTCCACTGTGCGAGTAGCCGCGACGAGGAGGAAGCGGGCGAATAGAGCGTTCGGTATCGGACGATCCAGAACGGTGGGAAGCCGCGGACGGCGGGCGCGAGTGCATGGCAAAGGACGCGCGGGGTTGCTGAGGAGCAGTCTGCCAGTCTTGAACTTGATGGTTGCGGAGAACATCAGTGCGAGCACGACCAGCAGTAGACTGAGGACGAGGACCAGCGGGAGAGGCAGGACGGTCGCGCGAGCTGTGCGAAGTTCCAGTGCGAGACATAACCGGAGGCGTGTACGCAGTCTGAGAAGGCGTCGTAGAGGCGGAGCGAACTGAGGCAGCGTCCGAGATGTCAATGTCCAGGAGGCGAGATGGTCCAGGCTTTGACGATGCAGGTCGACCACCACCAAGCATACGATCGAGGTCTTGACGCATCGCTCCAAGAACGGAGCCATCGCACGAAGGGAAGCTGACCAACGAGCTACCGCCACCGTAGACAGCTGGTTCGCGAGGGGCAAGCCGTTCTTGGTGCTTCATCAGAAGATAGTAGAACGCCTTAGCATGTAGTCCGTAGCCAGGCGGTGAGCAGAGATCACGCTTGATGAGTTCGCCCTTAGGGTCTGCATGCCGCCCCCAGATAATGCGAAGCGAGCGGAAGATCTCGGGGTCGATACGATCCGGAGAGGCAATCGGACGGGCCAGAAGCTCAGGCGGCGGCGGTAGCGGTGGGTTGATCAGAGACGGCGGCACGATGGGGAGCTTGGAGCCGATAAGAGAAGCCGGAGTCTGCAGCCAGGGGTGCGCCAGAATCTCTTTCATCTACGAAAGTCAGGAAGTCGTCGCCCTGAGGGTTGGATTACGCACCGTGATACGCTTGTTCACGTCGATGACGAGCATGCGCGAGAGAAGGTCCTTGGCAAGAGGGTCGATGAAGGCGGGCATATCGTATCGGCCAGAGCGGACTTTAGCGAGCAGAGTGCGGACGTCCTTGTCATCGAACGGAAGGCGGCCAGTCAGCAGAGCGAAAAGGATGACGCCGCAACTCCAGATGTCGGTCGAGTTGCCGGTGTAGGACTCGCCGTTGACAATTTCAGGGCTAGCGTAGTGAGGAGAGCCGCAGCTAGTGTCGAGTTGGAGCGTTGGAGGAGCGAAGGCGGCCATGCCCCAATCGGCGATCTTGACGGAAGGGGGAGACAGCGAGGCAATGAGGATGTTCTCCGGCTTGAGGTCGCGATGGATGATAGAGAAAGTGTGAGCGTAATTGAGGCCGTAGATAATTTGTTTGAAGAAAACGAGCGCCTCCGGAGACGAGAGTTTGCCGCGATTGACGAGGAAGTCGAACAGTTCGCCGCCTTCAACGTACTCCAGGACCAAGTAGAGCTGAGTTTCGCCCTCGTGGACATCATATATGCGCATGATGTTGGGGTGATTCATGAGCTTCATCATGGTGATTTCGCGGTCGATACCCAGGCGCATCTTCTCGGCCTTCGCGGGATCGACAGAGTTGTGGCGGCGAGAGCTGACGAGAGGAGCAAGAGGGAGAATCTTGACGGCGGCGAGCTGCCCAGTGGTTTGGTGCTTGGCGATCTTGACGCGACCAGAGGCGCCTTTGCCGACGCACTCGCCGAGGATCCATGGACCGATCTGCTTGGGGTCGTCGGGATGGTCAAACGCCTTGGCGCCGCCAGCAGCTGCCTTCTCCTTCTCCCAGCGAGTACCGAGAGGGGCCTTGTACTTGATGGGCGCGGGGCGCGGTGGGCTGCACGAGACGGAGGACATGGTAGATATAGTGTGCAGGGCGTATAGATGCTGTTGTCCTTGGCGAGTCGCGGAGGTCGGCGGCGGTCGTTGTCTTGAAGCTGCTCGACCGGCGGGCAACCAACGGAGCGCTAGGATGGGCGTTGTGGACAAGCTGTACCCAACTGCTCTCCCCGCTCATAAACCCATCACGCGCACGTGCCCGCGGTTACTTACGGCATCGCCGCGCACGTGTCCGCGCAAACTTGTCTTCGACGTCTTCCTCGGCGCGTACGTTCTGTCTTCGACCTCGTTGTAGCCGACTGAAGACAGGGCACAGTATATGCTGACCGCATGGTCCGCGACGGCAAGGCACCCGTCCGGCCAAGTGCGGGCATTGGCACGGACGTTCACTCAGGGCGTTGCCTCTTCGCCCACCTCCAAAGGTTCTGAGCGAGGTCGAAGTTCATCTTCAGCGCATCCCGCAACTGAAAATGCTGCTCCATCGAGCATAAAAGGTTTTCGCGGCTTTTCGAGTGACTCCAGCTCTGCGTCGTACTTCCCGCGACTAAGCTCGCTGGTGAGGGAAGGACGCCACGACCAAGCCTATCAACTACTTTGCGATCTTCGGCAACAGGAAACGGTTATAGAGCCTCAGTCAGTCTATCTGGATGCCGCAAAGTCTGTTCTCGACCGTCCGGAGCCTCTTCGACATGTCGATGAGTTTAAATCATGGCTCGCTCTCGTTCCGGCTACAGACGAATCCCTGGAAGTAGACCTTGCGTCCTTGCACAAGCGTATAGACGAGATAAGGGCTTCTGCCGCCGAAAGCTCTACTCGACCTTCCTCGCTGGGCCCGTCCTTGCTGGACGTGTTCACTGCCATATGTGCGGAGAAGGGATATACCCTTGGCAACCAGGAAGTGCGAAGAACCACGAGGGTCTCTGAGTCGTTCACATTTTTTTCATCGGGGCTTTCGCAAAGAAGGCATGCTTCATGTGAGTGATGCATACTCCGTCGACAAGACAGCCAATTCTCATACTTCTTCAGCGCAGGCGTCGCATCCAATTCGGCCCCCTCTGACCGAAGAGGAGACTGCAGTCTTTCAAGCCGTTCTCGACGAACTTCCGGACACGTTACCAGAAACGGAGATGGAGGAAATGTCAGACGCTCTCTTCGAGGACGAGGGGGACGATGACTACGCCTGGGCGAAGGCAGCGTCAGTGATGGGTGCTCAGGCCATGTCAGCAACTCGAGCCGCAGAAAATCGTGACTCTCTGAGCGCCGTAGACCAGCTACGTGCAGCTGTCGAGAAGGGCAACTACGCGGCTGCCGGTCGCCTCATCCACGAGCTGCACGACGTCGGCACGCACATCCCTCCGTCCGAGCTATACGCCGGCCCTCTCCTCAGCCTTCTCAAGGACTCTTACGCGCGCGAACACCCTCTCCGACAGCATACCACCTCCGTCACCGACGCCTTCTCCGCATGGTTCGCCCTCCTCCCGGACGCCGAGCATGTCCAGGACCCCACGCTCCTTTCTCTCGAGGAAGTCCGGCGACATATATTCCAAACCAACATCGTCAACACCGACCTCGTCCTCACCTTCGGCCTCGCCGCCGCGCGGAAGGGCTACGCCGAGCAGGTCAGCAGCCAGCTGATGCACTTTGCTATGGGCGCCTTCCCCGACGTCCAGGCGGCGCTGCGGTATATGAATAAATTCTTGGAGGCGGCAGAGGAGCACCGGCGGGGGTTGCAGCCTCAGAACGCGGTCTTTCGCCCGGCGCTGAGCATAAGGCGCAAGGTGTACAAGACGGCGCTGAGGGCGCTGGTGCGGAATGGGCATCACGATGTCGCCGTTGACCTGCTGACACAGAAGAAGCGGAAGTTGGGGCAGGCTGTGCCGAAGGAGACTTTGCAATTTGTGGCTGCTCAGTTGCAGAAGGCACGCCGATATGACCTTTTGGCTAAGGTCAATCCTTTGCTGGAGGGTTCGGAAGACAAGGCGCTAGCGCACGAGCAGAGGCAGGTTGACGTTGAGGCGGCGTATTTGCAAGAAATTGTGGATAAGCGGAGTGGTGCTGCTGCTGATGACGACGCTCTCGTGAACGGTTCGCTCGCCTCCCGACTTTCTCACCTTCGCCGCGCCTTCAGCCACGGTGGGACACCGCCCACATGCGCTACCCTGGTAAATTTCATGGACCAATACTACGACTCCGGGCGGTGCCGTGCCCTGCGTCTCCTCCGCCAGCGCGCGCTCCGCAATGGGACCGCCGCTACCACCGCCTACACCTTCGCCCAAATGGTCTTCCTCCGCCGGCGCAAAATGGACACTCTCCTCATCCAGTCCTTCGCAAGCACCTTCTACCTTTCCGGCGTCCCCCGCGAGCCCATCCTCCGCATCCTTCAGACCGCCCCCTCGAAGCCCATCGACTCAGCCGATGTTGCGACCTTCGTCCCCGCCGCGCGCGAGGTCCGCAAGAAAGCCTGGCCGGACTCCCTCACCACGGCGCTCGTGTGGCACTCCGTGACCGCGCTGACCGTCGGGTGGCAGGCCGTCTCCGCGCTCTATCACCAGCTGCTCGCCTTCGCGGCCGGGGACGCCAGCTCGGACAGCGTCGAGGGCACGGTGGGCGAGCGCATTCCGGCGCTGATGCCGCGCCCCGCCATCCGCACGGAGGCCTTCATGCCGTTCGTCCGGCGCCTGATGCTCGGCACGGGCCTTGAATGGGGCCCGCGTATCTTGGAAGATATGCTTCGGCTGGGCATCGCGCCGACGATCTACCATTTTACGGATATGGCGGGCGTGTACGCGCGCAAGAACGAGGTCGAGCGCGTCATGATGATTGTTGACATGGTCGAGGGCGCGGCCCTGAAGGAGGCGAGAGAGAAGGGCGAAGCGCAGCCTGCCGCTAAGGCTGTGGACGCAGCAGTTCAGGCGGGCCGCTCCGACGCGGGGTCAGAGACTAGTCGTGGTTCATCGGCGGTCATAGGCTCTCACTCTATTGCTTCAGAGGCTGCGCAGGAAGCTTCTCGCCTGGACGAAATCCCACTCAATGTATCAGCTCACCAGCCGCGCAAGGCCGGTGCGCTCCCAGGCGCAGACCTCATTTTCTACATCTGCGTCATCCGTGGGTTTATCATCGCCCGTAATCTCGAGGGTGCGCTGGCTATCGAGGAGCGCATGTGGCGGCATTATGACTATCAGCCCGGGAATCCGTACTACGAGTCGTATTTCGAGGACCTGCGTCGTATGCAGGAGCATTCGAGGCGCCGGCAGCAGGCGGTTCGGCAGAAGGTGGGATCTCTGGCATCGATTAGTATGCCTTTTCTGACTGTTCATCTTTCAGTGGGTCGCGAAATACGGTCCCGAGCTTGCGCAGGAGAAGGTCGACGTAGCCATAAAGGAGCGGTCGGAGAGGGTAAGTCGTTGAGCAGGTCCCACATATTTCTTTCTTCTGACCACCTTTGATTCAGGTCAGGAAGTTGTACGGATTGACGGACGCGGAGGCCTTGAACAGCGTACACTACGGCCCGCATGGCCTGGGTAAAGTCAGGAAAGATTCACAGGCTGACAGTGCCTAGGCGTCGTAGACGTATATCTCACAGCACTTTTAATACTTGGTTTTGACAAGCATGGAGAGCAGTATAGCTCGGATTGATACCCGTGCTAGCGATGACGCCGCCTCCGCCTTCCCGACAGCAGTGCTAAGGCTGTCAGCGCGGACCAGCCGCCCAAAATGGCGTAGAACATACGACGTTCAGCGTAGGTCATGTACATCTGGTACCCGGCTGGCCTTGCGCCAGCTGGGGCTCCTCGAGAAGGCTGTGTGAGGTCGTACTTCCCGCGCTCCGAAATTCAACTGCTCACGTGACGCGTTCGACAAACACGGCGAGCTCCCTCCGCCTGCCAGGTCAGCCGCACGATTTTCGTGCGCCGTCTCTGAGTCCTTGTACCTCTCAAGTATCTAAAGGCTGCTAATCCAAACCCTGGAGGCGCTACTGGCATGGCGGAGCCGCTGATTGAAATCGGCCTACTGGTTCCGTCACTATCGGGCGCGCCTGATTTTTCTATTGGTCGAAAGCCAGTCCGTTGTGTGTCCATAGACAGTCTGGTTCTTACGGCAAGCCCTTTGTGAGGATACCGCAGCTGCCAACAGCATGGCAGCTCGAGGTGCTCCGGGCCTATTTTTGTCGGATTTCCCTTGCTTTCTTTCCTTGAGGACTTGAAGAGGAATATTCCGGCCTCAAATCAGCGACGTAGAGTACTTGCGGACGCTCTCCAAGCTATTTCCCTTCCAGCGGTACATCCGCCTGTAAACTTCACGCGACATGAAATCATTTATTTTCTCGTATGAATACTGCGGCGGTTGTTCCACGGATTGCCTTTCGATTTACCTCAAGCGGCTCGCCGGTGTTATCCACTTTGCGGTTCACCCACCCAACCTGGTGATAAGTAGGATCCGAGTCGAACGCGAAAGAACCCGCCGTCTCCCGTCAGAACTCGTCGCTGCCTCGCGCCACCTCATAGACTCGCGCCTTCCTGCCGCTGATTGGTCCGCTTCTAGATCGCAGCGCCTTTACACACAAACAGGCCCTTGCTTTGTCGTCATGCGGTGGGCAATACACGGCTCGGGCCCTCCTTTCTTCGGATGACGGGCGAACTTCGTGATATGAATTGGTGAGGCGGCGTTGCCTACGCATGTGGCAGGTCCCTAGTTTTATCCCCACGCGTTGGAGGTACGGCGCTGGCGGGGTCAAGCCCATAACCCAACACCGTCCCCAATTTTTCCCACTGGTCCCGGCGGTTGCCGTGTAATCCTAGGGACCTGTCCGCCAGGGTGCGTCGCAAGTAATAAGTGAGACCTCACGAAGAGCAATTACACTCGCAACGAGACAGAGATCCCGTCTAGACCTTGGACTTGAGCTAAGGGCGAGTATCAGCCCAGCTAGCCGCGAGGGGCTGCAGCGCTGTGAACTCGCGGTCGTTAATAGACTGTGGGAAGCGGCGAGCCGAGCTCCAATTGTCCCGCGAGAATGCAGCCAGATGCCATCTGGACCCCACGCACGTCAATGGAGATAAAGAGGTGCGGCTGGCGATGGTCTCGTGGGACGAGCGGCGACAAGCGGGCTGATACGAATATTGAGGCCCTCGAAAAAATCATTGTATGGTCAGCCCTCCGTCGCCCTCGCACCGCACGAGGGTGGGCATCAGCGGCAGTCGAGGCGAGAAATCAGCGAGGATACCGTGAAAGGGGCGGCGCGACGTCAGGATTGGCGGGAAGTGTGACAACAACGTACGTCGGGAGCATGTCTAACTTCAAGCTTGGACCCGTGATACGTGCATGCGCAACCGGCGTAGCTCGTAGCTGGCTCGCGGTGCGTGCTTGGGCCGGGCACATGCACGGTACCTACTAAACTGAGCATCAATGGCTGTCACTATTAGTCAGTTCAGAGCACAGTTATGGGGACTGATGACCACAGACCGACAACATTTGGCACCTAGTGCATAGTGGGGCGCGTTAGCGAGATCGAGCCGCGGAGCCCATAGACAGTTGAATGCCGGCAGTTGAACGGTCATGCAGCGGCAATCGCTACTGTGTCCAAATCCAGTCGCCCCCACATGTATTGACGAGGGCTGTACCGTAGCTGTTTGTATACGAGGATTCAGGACGCTAAGAAGCCCTGGTCTTCTTCAGGAGCACCAAGTTCCAATTGAGATTATGGCGCTTCTCTTCGTAAAGCGCAAGGGCAAGACGCTACCTCAGAGTGTCATCTTGCACGATGTTTGCTTGCGTGTAAACACGCAGCACTCGGTCACAGAGAAGTTGATCATCAAGATAATTGTTCGCCAGGCAGAGGCTGTTGCGGCAAGTCATAGAACAGCTTCGGAAGAACGAGTGGTCACGGCACCTGTTGACTGGTTCAATATAGCAACTGGGCGCTATCGGAATTCTATCTGGACCATCATTGCCCTGGATCCGAGCTGATTGGGTGCCGCCTGCCAGTGGCCAGCGCACCCGGAATCGCACGCAAAGCAGGTTTGGCGCCAGACCTTCGTCTAGGACCGCAAGCGAGGGTAAGGTACACGAGACACTCATCTATAAGCTGTGAGACATTTGTCGCAATTTATTCACCGGAATTCGGGGACACCAGAAACATGGGGAACGTGGACGTAGGGGAGATGAAAGGCAGTTCATCTCAATGGGGATACGGCCGCGAACCAATCGATCGAAAACGTGCGGATGTCACGAATTTGAAAAGGAACCAAAATGGAACCGCCTCACGTGCGGCCCGTCGTTTGTTTACTTCAACGCCCCACCTTGACCTCTTACTTTCATCTCGACCGAACGATGCCCGCCTCCGCTCCCCAGCTTGCTATGAATCCCGCTACACGCCCCGCTAAACGCATGCGCCGAACCGCTACCGCTGTACTGGCTGGCCAATGCGATCCTCGGCCCGCGCGCGACGTGCTCACCAGCCTGCTCAACGGTGTGCCTCCGTATCAAGTCGTGGAGAAGGAGGAGGAGAACGCACGGCGGCAGGAGAAGAAGGAGGCGGCTAGGGACAGGAAGAAGGCCCGAGCGGCGGAGAAAGCCAGGAAGGCGGCGGCGAGGGAGGGGAACGCGACCGCGGCAGCGGACGGCTTACCAAACGGACGCGCCACTGCACCATTCACCTTCGCCATTCCAACGCCTGCTGCACCCTCTGGCAAGCAGCCCCACTTCCACGTCCGCCCCGCTATCCACATCACCTCTGGCCACCGATCGGTCTCCGTCACGCCCCCGCCCATGACCCCTCCTCCCATGTTCCCCTCATCTCCGGGCTCTACCCCAGGGCCGGACGACTCCTCCGCCACCTCCCGCACCTCATCTAAGCGGCCGTACACGCCCGACACGCTGGACGGCTTCGATCGTCACCCGTCCTTCAGTGCGCCTGTCAAGCGGAAGAAGCCTCGTGCAGCTGCGAAGAAAGGCTGGAAGGGCTGGGTCGAAGGATCTCCAGAGCCTTCAGACCGGCTTATCAACCTGGACCAAGCAGTCGTGTTCCAAGAGCGCAGGACGCGCAGCGGGAGGAACTTCGATGCCTAGGGGGGCCACCCAGGTGCGCGATTTTACACATTTTTCTTCACGGTTCAATTGTGCTTAAGCGCCGTCTTTAGGATTTCATCCACTCAGAGACCCTTCCCGCCCACCTTTCCTGTCCTTTCAAGTGTTCCATTGCCCCAAGGCCCAAGCGCCGCATTGCCACTCGTCATGTCGATCAGCCGACTTGCAGTGGCGTTGCTTTCCTCTCTCCAATCGTCCGAAGTATCTTATGGATCTATGCTCGATCTGGCTACCTTGATTGCCCAATTGTTACCTGATTCTGAATATGGGGGGCTGTCCGCCGTCTGGACTGCCTACTTGATAATTACTGCATGTATCTCACCCGTGAATAGAGTGGACTCCGTTCTACCTACTGCTTTTCTCTTCTTGCTTGCGGATGTACCATAGTTTCTGCTGACCTATGACGGGCGTAATGAAGCCGGCCAAGCTGTAGTGCTGGCCACGGATCTCGAAAGTACCAGAAAATCCCTATATAGCGACACACAATGACCAGTAGTTGAAAGTAGTGACTTCCATCGTTTGTTTAGTCTGAAGTGTAATGGCGGCAAGCTCAGTAGAGGACGCTGGAAGACGAGTTTGGTGCCGCGCAAGATGACACGCGGCGGTTGAACTTGCACGGCACGAGGCCGCATGCCGAGATGCCGCTGATGGAAGGAAGTAAAAAATGCAGATCCTAAAAGGGAGCTCTTTGTCTCGAACGCCCACTAGACCAAACACCAGCACACGGGAGGGCCGGAACCTCGTCGCTTTCATTCGTTGCACGTCTCCTGACCAGGAGAATTGTCTCTCGCCTGCCCCGCGCAGCCGCTTAGGGTCAAGGGCGAAAAGCCTTCCCGTTTTGGTAACTCCCTGCGCCAGCTATACCACGATGTCCTCGGCGTTGGTTGTTCGTCGCCCGGCGCTGCCGAACCCGATATCATGGTACCCTGGCCATATGACGAAGTTCACGCGTATGCTGCCCCAGTACCTCTCGCGCACGCACGTCGTGCTGGAAGTGAGGGACTGTAGAATGCCTCTGACGACCGTGAACAAGCATTTCGATGGTACGAGTATTTTTCACCGTCAAGAAAATCATGCATCTCTGATGCTCTAATCTTTCTGTGAATAGAGGCGTTGCGAAGGTGGAAGATTGACCGTGGACGCGACCCTTTTACGACACTGCCCAAGTTTGATACGGGCATGGCTTGCGAGCACTACGTGGTGCTCAACAAGCGCGATTTGATGCCTGCTTGGGGAGTTGAGGTACAGTCTCTCGCGCAGGATTCCGGTGTCTCTGACTGACATCACTTTTTTAGCCATTACGCCAGGCTTTGAAGAAGTTGGCGCCATTCAGGCCGACGTATTTCACCTCCACCTCAACGAAGGAGGAGCTGAAGGAATTGAGAAGAAGTCTCGTCAGTAAGTCTCTGCTAGCTCTTCATTTCAATCCGTTCTTTCTCAATATATACTTCGTAGACGTTGCGAAGCGCTATCCACATCTACCAGAGCTCAACATTCTCGTCATCGGCATGCCCAACGTTGGGAAATCGTCGTTGCTCAACTCCCTTCGGTCAATTGGTATACCTGGTCGTAAGTGGGCTTATCGGCCTGATTTTTGAGGTGCTCATAAATCTTCAGCTACGGCAAAGGCGCTGCAGACCTCAAATCAGCCGGGCCGCACCCGCACCCTCTCAACGCCTCTCAAGCTCAACCTATCGCCGCCGGTGTATGCGTACGATGCGCCCGGCCTGATGCTTCCATTTATTGGCCATGGGGACACGGGTGCCGAGCGAGGCGCCAAGTTCGCCCTCATGTGTAAGCCAGCTCAGCCCCCTGATCCCGTCCCGCGGCTCACCGCATCACCAGGCGGCCTAAAGGAAGGTCTATATGACATCCACAACATCGCGTCCTATCTCTTATACAAGCTGAACTCTCTGAACCCCGACTGTGAGTCCCAATGCCGTACCGCGGTGCCTTCGCGCGCCTAAAGCTATCATCCCTAGCGCCCGCGTACCTCCCGCTGATCCCGCAGGACGCGGAGCCGACGGGCAGCGTCGACGAGCTGCTCGAGCTTGTCGCGCGGAAGCACAATATGCTGAAGCCCGGCGGTGTGCTGGACACGCATCGCGCTGCTGAGCTGTTCGTGAATTGGTGGCGCGACACGGGGGCACTGCCCCCAGACTCCGGCGCGAACGTACCTGCGCTGCCGTCCGCGTCTGCCCCGCAGATCACTGGCTGGGGCTTCGACTTCCAGTGGGAGGTCGCGCCGGAGCAGGTCAGCGCGGCGAGCGACCCGCTGTTCATCCAGGCGAAGATGGAGGAGTGCATCGTGAAGCATTATCAACAGGAGCAGAAGGAGGAGAGCGAGGGCTCCCATCTCAGTCTGCGCCAGCAGAGGAAGCAGAGCTTCGCGGACAAGAGTATGAGGAAACAGAAGCTGATTCAGTAGATAGAGAAGAACGAGGGTGGAGGGATACTAGGCGCCAATCTGCAGCGCTCATTACAGCAGCCTTCTAGCTATTTACCTTACGCACGATACTAATCGCACCATGCTCCCATCATCTGCGCGCCATGGAAGTCTTAACCTGAGAACAGCGCCTGTCAAACCAGCACCAGACCTGGGATTTGATATTCCCCGGCGCTTACTGCACGTTTATTGTGGAATTATGCTAAATCAGCTTTCGATAAAGACCGCGGGTTGATTGAAAGGGCATATCGAGGCCCAGCCAATCGGAGGCCATACCGATCAATGTGCCACCCATAAGACCACAATCGACCCATCGCCTTTATGCTTCGCTTATTCTCAATCAACTCACAGTATTCCTGCAGTATTGCGCCGGGGAATATTGTGTCCCAGGTGTGGTGCAGTGCAAGTATTCAAGCTACCTTTCTCGGTGCAAAATTCTGAAAGTCACCAGTTCATCCCCGATGAGATGTGATCGTTTCAATTACACATGTTCATGGGCTCGATTCGCATCTCGCAAAGCGTACAGGCATCAAAAGACATTATCAACTCGTAAATAACCATCCTATCTCTTCCTCTGACTCAGACGCGACGACCGCCTCCGCGCGCTCACCGGCTCGTCCTCAAGCGACGTCAGACTCGCCGCTGACGCGACACTCGTCCGTTTCCGCGGCTTGCGCGCCTTCTCCTTCACCGGCGGGGGCAGATCCGGCACCGTGTCGCGGTCGTCGAATTCTTGCGCATTGTTCCTCACGGGCGGGGGCTCGAAGCCCCCTGGCACGGACCGCGCGAGCGCGTCAGCCTCGTCCTCGTCGTAGTGCGAGGGTTGAGGCGGTGAGGGCCTTTTCTCGGGCGCTTTCCCTTTGTCATTCTGCTTGGGCGTCCTTCCGTTCGTCTGCGGCTTGGGCGGCGGCGGTGGGCGCACAGGCGACGGGGTAGGCAGAGGCGCAGCACCCGCAGGTTCTGGCGTCATAGGCTCGGGCGTCGACCAGCCACCTGGCACGGCGCGGTGGGTTTGCGCAGACTCTCGCCGAGGCATCAGTTCCTCGACATGCATTGACGTGTCACCATCCGCTTCCAAATCCTCCAACCCCCGCACGGCCTCCTCCGCATCCCACATCGACTGGTCGCCCGCCATGGCTGAGGTGCGCAGCGACGCATCCGGCGTGAAGCTCTCCAGACCGCGCACAGCTTCCTCTTCCTCCATCCGGGTCTCGTCGCCCATGGTCACGTCGGCGAGAGGGACCATGCGGAATGACTCCCGGCCGTTGGTAGGCGGCTGGAAGAACGCATTCTCGCGCTGCGACGCGCCGAGGGGCGTGCCGCCGTTGCTCTTGCGAGGCGGGGCTGAGGGCCGAGACATGGGAGGCACCTGGGCGCCCGGTCCTGCTGATGCAGTAGAAGCGAACAGAGGATTGGACGTGGATGCGGTAGACGCAAATAGAGGACGAGTGGGCGGCGTCGTAGACGACAACGGCCCATTCTGCGTCGAAGTCGACGCGAACAAGTTGGCGTTGGCCGCAGTCGACGCGAACAGAGGGTTCGACGAGGCTGTGGACGCAAACAGGTTGTTGGGCGTCGATGCTGTCGATGCAAAGAGCGGGGTAGACGATGTCGAAGCATTGAGCGGGTTCGACCTGGTGGAGGCGCCCAAGCCCTGGTTGGCGGCCGGCGCCGTCGACGTCGAGTCGAAGAGAGACGCCCGGGACATTCCCAGTACCGACCGATTGTTGGAGCCGAACAGACTGGAGTCTTTCAAAGACCCGCCCGGAGTGCTCTGGAAAGAGGTGTCCATGGCAGAGAGCCTCGTAGGTAAAGGCTGTTTCTTCGCCTTCCCATCTTCCCAGCTCATATCGAGCGCCAGCGCCTTCGAGGGTGTGCCGAAAGACTTCACTGGACCGCGGACGACGTCGACGTCAAGCATGGCACGCTCGACCGAGGGCAGGGCGTCGATGAGCTCCTGGATCATCTTGCGGCGGCCCTCGTCGCCGCCCTTCGACCAGCCTTCCTTGAGGGGAATGGAGCAGAAGCGGCGGTCGAGTTTTATGGCGTCGACGTGGCGGCCGACCTGCACTAGACGCGTGCATGCGAGGTCCTGTAGGACATAGAGAGCCGGTGGCTTCAGCCATGAGGGTGCGTTGGTGCAGAGATTCTGCAGCAGGTCTTCGTCGGCTTTTGTGAGGGGGATGGAGAGAAGTTGCGATAGTGCCTCGGGGCGAATGGCTGCGGGATTCTGTCAATGGGGTGCATGATGGAAGAGACGAAGAGACGCACGCGTGACGGTCCACCTGAGAAGCTTCTCCAGCAGTCGTGCGCGCGTCCGGTCGTGGAACGTCCTTATGAACTGCCACGCATCCAACAAGCTGCCCTCTGCCAAGCAGATAGTGTATAGGTCGATGTCGTCCGGCTCCGTCAATAGCGGCTGCGCACACCGCACGTACTTGACGATCAATTGGGGCTTGTTCTCAAGATCAATTGCCTGCATGATTTTCGACGCGTAGTCTCTGTTCAACCGCGGGTCCGACAAGTTCGAAATGGCGCGCTGCATGGGGAAGTCAGAAGAGCTCTCAATCACAGAAGCCAGCAAGACGCACTGCAACATTGTAGCCCGAATCGAGATACCAGTATGCGTCCGCGAGGGCCACGAACTGCGGCATGATGCTCTTCTCCTCCGCAAAGCCCTTCTCGCGCTCGTCCTTGTGCCACTTCAATAGAAAGTAGACGAGGCAATTCTTCTTCAGACGGTCATATTTGCTCCCCTCGATCGCATGCAGTAGCCGGGAGAGACCCTGAACGTCAGAGGGCGGATAGAGCGTATCTGGGGCACGTATTCCACCAGATGTAAGGAGAATGTCGAACAACAGGACGTCGTTGAGCGCGGCGCGTCGTTGCTCGATCTGTTGGTTATTCTGGGCACTGAAGGCGAATGTCGAGCCCGAGAAGAGTTGAAGGTATGGGTGGGGGCGCTAGTATACCGTAAGCGCTGGCAACGTCGAACGCGTTCAGTCGAACACACCTGTTCGTCCATTGCTCCGTCGTGTTCGATCGTGTCACTTCGCAAGTTCTTTCGTACCCTTTGTATAGCGTCTCGGCGCGTGAATCTGCCCAAGTTCTGCGAGCACAACGGCCAGCGCGTCGCGTTCAGGGCTTTGACAAGGGAGGTCCAGAAACAACGCGCGGCTCCTTGATCCGAACCATCATGGGACGGCAGGGAAGTGGCCGATCACAAGCAACCAAGGCGTCGACGCAAGTCGATGCTGACGACGTTGCCTGTATTGGTTGCGACTCGTACCACCGCGGGTGGTGACGGCCTACAGGATGCGCGAGGCGCCCTGTGCGAAGCTGAAATACAGCAATGACGAAAACAATCGAATATCTTTCTCCGCATAGGACATGGGCTACACGCTACGATAAGACCAAATCCATACTCTACAAGAGTCCACACACGCACCACCCTGGATGTTTGTACGACCCAACCCCTACCATACGGCCAACGACGAGACCAGCGACGAGTCCCATGCCGTAAATTTTCTTGCCGATGACAAATCCTGCTGCCTGCCCCGTGCGTTCGCCTGATTGGCCAATCGCGTCCCGATAACCAGGACTGGAACATTCCGCACGGCGCAGTTCGATCCCGAACGGCCACGCCCGCCGAAACCAACCCTCTGTAGCGACGAAGCGCCACCTACCTGCGGAAATACCTAATAACAGCCGCAGACCCTGACGAAGCACCTATAAATTACGCACACCCTCATTCTACAACCTTCTCCAAACGTGCTAAACAGACGCTGACCATAATCTCCAACCAGGGCACGTACCTGTGGTACGATCTAGAAGTCTATCCCATGAATGACAAGCTCACGTCCAACGAAGAGCCAACAGCAATCTGTACCATGCAGCTGTGCAGTAGCACAGATGGCGCCCTTATATCCAGAGCCAAACAACGCCGCAGCCAAGCAATGGAGTTCTTCAATACCAAAATGGTCCTCTACGTAACGACAGTGTAAAGCGGCCGCACCTTACCGCCCTGAAAGCCCGCACCCAGTACGTTGACCTGTCACCCCACATATGGCCAGCTGCTCACCGCAACCTGTATAGTTGGTCATATGCACTGTATGCATGATCTGCGACTACCTCCGGCCTCCCTGATTATCATTCTCATGCAGTGCCGTGACGGCACTCCTGGGAAGTCGTCGACTGCTTGCCGTACTACAATTCAGTAACAACCAATAAGCTACCAAACACCCTCAACCCTCTACCCAACTTATCCGAGTTACCGTGTCCGCCCTAGCATCTGATCAGCCTTCTCAATACAACGCATACCACCCGTGTTCAACGTACGGCAAGCTTACTTCCCCACCCTGATCGCGCCTGATCACAACGAGTTGCGTACCCTGCCGACGAGTGAGCACTCATCCAGAAAATAAAGACCTCGTACATCTGCAAGACGCGCAATGGCATGAACGGTACCGGTAACAGTCCGGGACGCGCCGTCCCAGAACCAGACTCTATCGCTGACCTGGAAACTGGTCAGGACCTACATGTAAACATAACATAGAAACTGGAAACCTACAACAAATGGATTCATAGCAAAAATACGCAATGGGGTGCAGACGTGTACCGTCGACAACCTCTCCCAGTAAAGTACCACCTTATATACTCAACCATGGCACACCTACCTCGCCTCACAATATAGCATTGAGAAACGGCATTCTGGCGCCCTGCCGTACAAGCCAATGCCCACAGTCTATCCAGACAGCGCAATCAGGTAGCCCCCACAACCCATCCCCAAATGGTGAGCGCCCACCTATGGGCCAGAAGACCAACTCAATTATAACGGCAGAAGGGAGGATATAAGATGAAAGAGGGGCAACGACGGAGGCCATAACTCCCAGCCCGCTAAGTTCCCCGCTTGTGATGGCATCACCGATCGCCCTCGGCCCGACCGGAACGCCCACCGGAACGCCCACCCATCACCACGACACTCTCCTTCCTGACCGTACACCCGTCTTCTCGTTGCCCCGGTGGCTAGCCCTACTCCCAAGCCGCATCTGTACCTGGACCACCTCCACCGTGAAGCGCCTCCGAAATATGACATCCAAGGCCAGACGCGTACAACTACCAATCGAGCTTAGTACGTAGTGCAACGCACCCGCCGCCTGACACTGAATCATCATAGACACGAAGCCCGAGTGTACACCTCACCCCAGCATTGGCATACCACCCCCAGACGCATTCTACTTTCGCATATCCGACGTTAACGAGTATAGAGACATCTTCACCCGTCTGCCCTTGACACGACAGGACTTTCCGCCGGTCGACCTCCCAACCCCCCCGCCGTCTGTCCTGCCGAACGAGGCCCATCCCGAGTACCGCCTCTCCACATATGACCACACTCCCGTAGGATACCTCCGTCCAACCTCCCAACACCGTACCCTACCTCTCCCATCCCATTACCTTCGCAGCGATCCACCCTCGCACGATCACAACGCCGCCCAGATACTCGTTCCCCATCGACATGCTGCCGACTAGGCTGAATGTCCGGCAAGCATGCACATCTGAGATGCCGACGAGGCTACTACCCCGCCACCGCCCGGTCCCTAGTACATACACAACCGACTGGAAATTGAAAACGGGCATCCTGGGACGCTCATAGAATACACGATTGAACTGTGTCCCCTGTGCTTAATCAAATACATATATACACGACCGGAAAAGTCATCTCTCCTCACAGGCTCAGAACACCAACCGGCCCACGGCGCTCATATCATGAACAAATCCGGCGTGCCCAGCTCCGCACGCCACAAATTCTCCGGCGTGCCCATCTCCGCACGCCACAAATTCATATCGACGCCACAAAATAAGGAAAGATGATCACACCGCGCACTCGCTACCGCCGAATACTCGCCTCCACACCGCCCACAGACGCTTACCGAAAACACACCCTCACCACCCATGACCCAAGACACGACATACATTGCACCCCGCGGTGCCCCGCCGCAACCCACTAGGTCATACGGAAAACCGCTTGCACATGAACCGCTGCTGATGAGGACCGCAGACCTATAGAGAGACCAACACGACGCATGGAAGACGACATCGCAGGCGCATAGATGACGCCCCCCAAACAAAGTACGCCCTACCAATATTTCCCCCTTTCTCCCTTATAATACCGAACCCAGACACGCCAAAATCATCCGCACGTACCCCAACGAACGGAACCCAAGCTCTTTACCGAATCCTACGCCGCACACACAGTTATGCAACAGCACACCCCCATGCAGACCGAAGCCGATTTCCCGGGCCTCCCCAAGGGCCCGCCCCGCCCGCCCTCCCCGCCTTCCCGCCCGTCCTCCCCCCCGAGAGACATCATGGAACGCATCAGGCTGAACGCCGCGGTGACCCGCGAGGAACAGGAAGCCAGGAAACGCCAGCGGCGCGGCTCCGACCCTGACTCCCGCGCCCCAGCGGGAAAGGGGAAGAAGGCAAGGCCTGAACCCCAATCCCTCGCGAAGGCGGCCGACCAGCACCCGAGCGGCCCCCAGAGCACCCTGCCGTCTACGAGTGCCCATACCCTCGCAGACGCCGCCCCTCAGCAGCCCGCGGAGGCTCCCTCTGCACTACCCCAGCAAAGTGCTGCACTCGCCTTCGGGGACACCTCGCATCCATCCCAGAACGCACCGAACCCCTTGAACGCTCATAATCCACCCGCCCCTCCACGGGCACACCCTATCCCGTATACACACGAGACCCCGCCGCTGCCACCCGCTGCGCCCCCCTTCGTCCTGCACCCGCGTATTGAGCTTACGCCGCCCCCCACCGGTGGCTTCCGCATCCCGGCGGGATGGTACTCGGACAACGTCCTGTGGGGTCGACCCATGGATGAGCAATTTGCTGCTCGTGAGGTACGTACCACTCCACTACAGACAAAACAAACGTACTCAACAATATGTTCTAGGACCCGAATGGCGACACCTTCCTCGCCTACGAGCTCCCCATAAGATACTCAGGGAACGCCGCGGACGCCATACGCATGGCTGACGTCCTTAATCTCATCGCCCCTCCTGGAACTCGTTCCCTCGTCACTCCCGCAGGGACCGTGGACAACATCCAGAACTACACGGAACGGTACAAACCCGTCACTCGAGTCGTCCGAGGCATCGACCCCATAGTCGTCCGCGCCATCCTCGACTTCGGTATCTTCTCCACAGACCGCCTGACCTTCATTGCCCTCCCCCTGCACCCTACCATCGGACCATGGCTATGCCGGGTTCGTAACCTTATCTACCGACCCGAAGACGCCACCCACGTCGTCAGCCTCATCCAGAACAAGCTTGTCGGCGACAACACCTTTGTCGACTTCATTAAGATGAACCACGACGCCATCCCAGGACATTCGACCATGACGGAGCAACAGCGACTCACCCATACCATCCACACCATTCGGGTCGAGGCGGAAGCCCTCACGACGCCCGACGGTATCGATATCGTCGACTGGCACGTCTTCATGGACTCCCCGACAACCATCATCGCCGAGTATCGCAACCTACTCGACATCGTCCTAAATATCGCCTTCAACACCCCTCTCAACGGATGGGGCCGCGCTGAGCGATACGACAAGACTCCGTGCTCGTACTGCCGCTCTGCGGCCCACAAGATTGTGATGTGTAAGCTACACCTCACGGCCGGCTGGAAGGGACGCCCCCCGTCGCGCAATGCCCAGGAGGCTACCCCTACTCACCCAGCTACGGCCTTCGGGGACGTGCGCATCGCAGACGACCCGATGCCGTATAACGGCCCGGCTTATGGCAACCGAGGCTCGAGAGGCTCCTTCCCGTCCTGGGGAGCCCGAGGCGGGACGAGGGGCAATTATCGCGGAGGCAATCGCGGACGGCCCTCCTTCTACGGATAATTAGTTGTACTCTACTGAACTTTCCTGTACACGTACACAACACCTTACCTAGCTCGACATAGTGATACGAACGATGTAACCCTCCAGTACCGTGTGCACGAATCATCGATGTTTTTCGTCATAACAAGGACTTCACGAATTCTCGTCTGCCTGACGCCGTACAGACAACGGCCCTCGACTAATAAAGATATTCGTATATAACTCCTCCTGTATCTCAGTAGCAAAGTCCCACAGAAGAGTCGTGTCGTCGTCATAATCGAAGGGTAGAGAGTAACCCGACAGCACACCGTCGCGCATACACGCCTCAGCATCGCGCGCTGGGTGGCTTGCCTGAAACTCCTGTATATATGGCCGAATGATGTCACTCCTAGCATCGACATCGCTCGCGCTCGCCTCTCGAACAACGATAGAAACAATGCGTAGGAACAGACCCTGCCACCCAACATGACCGATAACGCGCCCGAGCGAGTTACATGCGAGTTTATACTTAGCCAGCGATGCTGAGCTCAACGTCGGCGATAAACGTTGGGGACGGAAATAACAAGCGGTCCCACGGGAATACCAGCGATGCCAGATAATGGCCTCTTCGAGCGAGAACTCATCTCTGATTTGTGGCCCGAGCAACTACACCTCTCAGCCGCATACCTCAAGAACGAAATGAAGCACTTACATCCAGACCATGCGGGTGAGCATTGAGGTACACCCCCAGAGGGAGACCAAAGCGACCACCAGCTGGGAATATGGATTGACTATTGAGCAAGCGACAATGGCGTAGAATCTTACCCTCAGATCGCACATACTGCTGGACGCAGAAAAGCACTAAATCCATTCGCGAAGGGGAAGACATGATGGTTAGGAGAAGGTTCAGACGAGTCCGCACTCCCACTATGCGAACGCATGTATGACGCGCGGGTCACCCGCCAGGGCCCTTAATTGGGGAGCCCAAATCCCTGATAGACAAGACAAGTCACCAAATCACACCCCATGAATTACACACCATATCTACCACCACAATCCACAGCCACGGGCCCTCTGCCGGTACACGAGGAGGGTCTGGATGACGGCGCCATCCCACGCTCACATCCGCCGATGAGCGAGTCCATACCAACTTCTGGCGGGGGCCGAGGCGACTGGGGTACTAGCCCCGGCTCGTCGGTGACAAACCGACTACCCACAAGTGCCCCGCTCGGCGCCTGGGGTGCGAGGGTTGCCGATGCTACACGTGAGCACCTCCAAGAGTTCGCAACTGCACGACGTCCCGAGTCGGCAGGCGAGGGGCGACGGACTGATGCGACCTCTGGACTGGAAAAGAATGAGGTGGGCGGCGGAGACGGCAGGGAATGGACGAACGGAGTGCACCTACCACACCCCGGGCCTTTATCCCCTACCGCTCAGCCGCCGCAAGGGAGCGTTGATGAAATGGGACGGAGACGGCCGATGAGGCTGCAAGATGAGAACGACACTCATATCACGTCGACGGACAGAACCGAACATGACGCCCTCACAGGGACGGAGGACATAGCGCCTATTGAACTGAATCATCAGAATCCCGAACCGGCTGAACCCTTACTTAACGTACCACCTGGCTATAGACCGCGACGAGCCGGAAATCTGCATGACAGCATCCAGCGTAAGACCACGGCCGGTCTGCGAATCGCCTCACTAAATATAAATGGACGGGGCGCAAACTCCATCATGCATATAGGCCACAAGTGGCATGACTTATGGCGTCTCATGAAAGAACAGAGAATCAACGTCATTGGACTACAAGAGACCCACCTAAACAATGACTACCTTCCCGAACTGCAGACCTTCTTCAAAGGAAAACTAAAAGTCTTTAACTCTATCGAAGAAGATAAACCAAACGAGAAAGGGGTTGCGATAGTTCTCAACACGAGACTCACCAACACAACGGATATTGAAGTGCACGACATAATACCCGGGCGTGCCATAATGGTCGTACTCGCGTGGCATGGTGTCCTGAAGCACGCCATCCTCAATACATATGCACCAGCCACAAACGCACCAGATCGACGTAGGTTCTGGATACAACTTACCCAAACAATGATCAATAAGAACCTCCCAGCGCCAGACACTCACCTAGGCGACCATAATATGGTGGAGGACGGCATCGACCGACTACCGTACAAAGCCCCACGCTCGCAATCCTGCTTGCAAGCCCTACACGACTTTAAGAACACCTTCCATCTGTTAGACGGCTGGAGAGAGCTTAATCCGGACTCCAAAATGTATACGCACGAGTACACCGGTGGCGGCCGCGCCAGGCTGGACAGGATCCACGTAACAAAGGCCACCCTAGAACGGAGCCACAGTTGGAAGTCCGAGAGTGTAGGATCCCTAACCGACCACGACCTTGTTAGCTATGTCATGACGAGCGACGATGTTCCCTTTATCGGGAAAGGAAGATGGGCAATCCCACTCTACCTCCTGACTCACCGGCGACTACTAGACCAAATTTGCGAGAAAGGCAACGAAATGCAACTCGAACTCGAGCGCGGCCAACGAGGTGATTGGAGAAGTCGTTCCCCCCAAGAAGCCTGGGTTGACTTTAAGGAACAAACTGCAAAAATGGCGAGAGATCTCGCGAAAATCGCCCTGCCGAAGCTAGAAAAAGACATCGGCGAGTGGTCCGCTCGACTGAAGGCGCTTGAGAACGATACGTCCCTTCCAGATCACGATCGTCAGCACGCTGGAGCTCTCATACGAGCGAAGCTGAGTGAACTCTACGACACGAAGAATGGCAGAGCAAAGAGCAAGTCCGCCGCAGCGGATTTCGTCTTAGGCGAAACCCTGAGCGCGTACTGGACAAAACTGAACAAGGACCACAGACCGCGTGAGATCATGTATCGACTCAGGAAGCGGGACACGAACGAACCCTCTTTTGTCACGAAGTCCGTCGATATGGCTGAACTCGCAAGGGACTACCACGACAACCTACAGAATGAAGGAATGCCTGAAAACACAGATGAGTGGACCGACGCGATCGACAATGTGAAGACATACGTCAAGCGACGCATCTCAGCTGACCAGAAGAGACAGATGGCAGAGAATCTCTCCGAGGACCAGGTCAGAGCAGCCGTGAAGGCGTCCCCGACGAACAAAGCTGCAGGATTGGATGGAATCCCATCGGAACTCTGGAAGGCGTTAGACCGTAAGCGTGCAGCGGAAAAAGATAAGGATATACGTACCTTCGACATCATTAAATGCATGACCATTGTATACAATGACATCGAGAAGAGGGGCCTGCAAAAAGGCAGTAAGTTTGCGGAGGGATGGATGTGCCCGATATACAAGAAAAAAGCGAAGGACGACATAGCAAACTATCGCCCGATAACAGTCTTGAACACGGACTACAAGATATTCACTAAAGCACTTTCCGTCAAACTCACAGACACCGTGGGCGCGATAATTCACAGAGACCAAGCGGGCTTCATGAAAGGACGAAGCATTATGGACCAAACACAACTCACCCATATGGTAATTGAATTAGCGGAAGCCAACGGTCAAGACGGAGCTATAGTAGCGCTCGATCAGGAAAAAGCCTATGACAAGATATCGCACACGTACCTATGGGCAATTGTCGACGCCTTCGGGTATCCTGCCCACTTTATCAATGCGCTAAGAACCCTGTATGTTAACGCGGAAACAGTCGTCGTCATTAACGGCGAGATTAGCTCGAAATTTAAGGTAAGGCGAGGAGTGCGCCAAGGCGATCCTATATCCTGTCTGCTCTTCAACATGGCTATCGAACCTCTTGCGGAGATGCTGCGGCAGTCGCCCCTGAAGGGCATTCAGATCCCCGGTGCAGCCAACCGGCTCATAGCGTCGCTATTTGCGGATGACACGACCACTTACCTGGCTAAGACCGACACATGGGGTACGTTGTGGTGCGTCCTGAAATCCTGGTGTAAAGCGTCACTAGCGAAATTCAACGATGGAAAGACGGAACTCATACCCATAGGAAGCGAGGAACACCGCGCACGAGTCATAGCGACGCGCAAACTTGGAGAAGACCAAGAAGAACTACCGACGGATCTCCATATCGCACAGGACGCCGAGCCTATAAGATCCTTGGGAGCGTGGGTAGGAAACAAGATCAAACAAGCGGGAATATGGTCAAAACAGATCGAACGGTCGCACTCCCACTTGACGAGGGCCGAACAAACAAATCCTTCAATGGAAGGTCGTAAGCATATGAACGACATGTATGTACGACAAACAACCGAATACCTGTGCAAAGTCCAAGGAATGCCGAAGATGATTGAAACCATGCTGGATAAGATGGCCAACAGCGCCTTTTGGGGAGGCAGAGGGCCAACGATAGCCATGGGCACGATCCAGGATAGCGCCGACAACGGTGGGCGAGGACTGATGAGCCTGAAAGTCAGAAATAAAGCCGTCGACCTCGCGTGGGCAAAGAGGTTCCTAGAGGGGGGAGAACACGCACCGCTATGGACCCACGCCCTACGTGCAATATGCAAGACACACCTCACTAGCGGTGACGCCGCCAAATGCGCCCACAACTCTTACGAAAACCACATCATCCAAGACCTACAGATAAATACACGCGACCTCCCGCCAAATGCGAAGAGAGTTATGGCCACCATCAAGAGGTACGGTGTACGCTTCGACCCGGTTAACCCTGCACAGAGCATCAAGGAAGGCCTACCAATTTGGCACCACATCTTCATACCGAAGAATAGACGCCCTCGGTATAACACGCTCGCGTGCAAGTGCCTCAGAGCGGTCCACGGCGTCCACACAGTGGGCGACACTATACAATTCGTGAGTACGGTATCAGCCGACGAGAATCACCAACACACAACACATTGCCCTTGCTCCGCATGCGAACACGCTCGGAATCTTGGATGCCGCGATCCCCACAAGTGCGTGCGGGACGCCAACAAGGTCCTCAACAAGCTGCCTGCAAAATGGGACCCGAGGATAAGCTTCAAATCGCACTACGACCTCACCAACGATGAAGCGAAACGTAACAAGGACAACGCCAAAACAGGAGGACCCGTCATCTTCGATCCCGCAATCCGCGAAGAGAAGACGCTAGAGGAGTGTTACCGACTTTTTGCACACCACAACGCCCAAGACACACAACCACGACCGGACAACCCCCTCGCTGACCCTAGGAATCCCTATAGAGTCGTGTACCTCAGCGAGAGGAAGATAGCCGACAACCATACAGGACGGACAACTAACATGGCTGCTGGGATATGGTCAGACGTGGAGGAGAGAGGAGAGCGCAAAAGCATACGCACCTCCAGGAAGACCGACGGATACGCGCTCCTAACGGCCATGCAGGACGTCCTCAACAGAGCGGAAGCAGAGGAGAACATTGAGTTCGTCATACCACAGCGTAGCCTCATCATCGCGCTCACCAAAGATCTGCAACGCCACGACGACGAAGGGTGGATGAATGTTCCGAACAGACCCCAAGCCCAAACCCTCGTTGCGAAACTGAGGAGTAGACCTGGCAGGACGGCCATGCGAGTGCCCTCTAGAAATGAAGACGGTATTAAGAGGGCGAACGAGTTAGCAAGCGACGGTCTCAGGCTCCATGCCCACACGCACAATAGTATCGCGTCTAGCCCGTTCGAAGTGCGAGGGGCAGCGATGCACAAAATGACCCAACGCCACTTCTACAGCGCGCTCATGGACATCAAAAGACCACCGGTGAGGAGACAAACTGCCCCCAACCTACAGAACGCGAAGACGGCTTTGGACCGCGGAGGAAAGACTCCCACAGATCGTCAATTTTGGCGCTCGATGCGAAGCCGAGTCCTACGACGTAATGTTCGTCAGTTCATCTATAAAGCTGCACACGATGCCCACAGATGCGGACGACACTGGAAAGACATCCCAGAGTGCGAACACCGAGTCTACTGCCACCACTGTAGTGAGGAAGGCATTCTCGTCGAGGAGTCACTCCAGCACATACTCACCGAATGCGACGCGCCAGGCCAACAAGACATATGGAATAGGGCCAGGCAGATATGCACGGAGCGAAATCTTCAATGCCCCACCATATCGATGGGATCCATTCTAAGCTGCGCCCTCAGGGTCGTAAGAGACGAATCGGGAAAACCAAAGCAGGGGGACAGCCGATTCCTCCAAATTCTTATATCGGAGAGCGCGTACATGGTCTGGTTAGCGAGAAACGAGAGAGTTATCCAACATGAGAACGATAGGACCAAGTACGCGAGCCCAAGGTCGCTCAGAGACAAACTCGACAGCCAACTTCGAAGGCGCCGGGCGATTGACATGGAACTCAAAGACAAACGGAGATACGGAGCCAAGGCCATCGCGCACGACCTCGCCGACGCCACGTGGGAGGGCACGACTTTCCACGACCAGCAACCACCCTAAATGCGACTTGCAGCAGGCCCGAGTCTTTAGTGGGTGCTCAGAGAGCGAAAGGCCCACACTGACTTACCGTCGAGAAGCGGAAGTCGTGCCGCCAACAAGGGCACGAGGCATTTTCTCGGGGGAGCCTTAATCCTGCTGCCATAAAGTCGTAGCCAACCAAACGCTGGTGAAAGGGGGACAACCAAGATTGTATTGCTCTGAACCATATAGCTCCACAAAAAAAAAAAAAAAAGAAACAACGCGCGCATGATCGCTTCTGAGAATTTGTCACGTGACCTCCCCAGAATGGACCTACAGCAGTACATATTCAATAAATAATGGGACATACCTCTCCTGCGTCGCCTGGACCTGTTGGACTCTTGTTGGCGCGTCTCTAAGAATAATATGTATCATATTCCAGAGGCACTTGGATTGTATGTAGGGAACATCTCTTGACACATATTAAACATCCGGACTGCGTAATCCTAGTAAAAATTCTCGAAAGCTTGCCACTGTGTAGGGGTCGTTGTAAATACTGGCCAATCCACCTCGTATGCTTCCCAGAGTAGCCATCACCGCTACACCCGGCTGCGATATGTCGGAGACGCCCGGATCCAGGACAGCAAAAACTTGGTGGCTCGGCCGTATCCCTAGGTGATAGTTAAAGTGAACCCAGTAGACTCGCTTAGCAGGAGATTCGGCGTGTGCCGCAATCTCGGCGTCGACCTCGGCCATAATATCAGAGCCATGTCGCTGGAGATAATCGATAGTAAAGATTGCAGCGAACTGAATCTCTATGCGTCGGAGCCAGGCTGAGCCTAAAAGCAAGATGCGAGTCAGCAATGCATTGCCTGAGCAACGGCAAGCCTTGCGTACCAGGAAGTAACCTGAAGAAGAATTCGCGGCACTTTGGTTTATGCTCGGACCAGTGCACTCTTTGGCATGCTTGCGAGCAATATACGACGGTGGAGCAACGACAAATCTTCAAACGAACTTGCTCGTCAAGTATACTGTGTGTACACTGAGAGATGGTCATGCTCAGCAATGCTTTCATAGCTTGTGCATGTCGACATACCTCGAGGTTGCCACATACATTAATGTGCGTACCAAGCACTTGTGCAAGCGCATATCGTCCATTGTACTCAAAATCCAGCTCGGCACCATCCACCATGTTTTCCATTCGCGCGAACCGAACAATGGGACAGGATGCTTGTCTCCGAGAAGGCGAGCGACGGGGAAGAAGATAGAGCGTTTGAAGATAAAAGCCAAAATACGGGTGATCTGCCCATCGGTACGGACGTTTAGGGAGATCATCTTCGGCAACACGCCCAGCTGTAGAGCCCGGAGGAGCGAGCGATCATCTTCCGATGTACACCATATCTGGAGAAGAAATCTGCATGCCATTATGGCCGCATCCTTCGACTTATCGTGAGTGCTTGAGCGTGCCTCGAGCTCCACGAATAGCTCGACAAGCATGCGTATGGTATCGCGTGAATGATGAGGTATGGTCAAAGCCTGCCAAATAAATGCTCCCATGGTGTGGAAGTGTTCCCGACACACATCCACTACCAGCGCTCCTTCCGTGTCTCTGCATAGGCATATGTTCTCCACAATCTGCCTATACAGACGTTTCGGACGCATCCCGGTAACAAGCAACGCCTCTGTGATCCAAGAGCGAGATTGCCCGTCGTCGTCTCTGACAAAGACCATGACGTCTACGTGAATCTCGTCGAATAAGCGCCTGGCTTCGGTGCTAAAACGGTCGGTCGTCTGGGAATACATGGGAAAGTGTAGCCAGAGATCAAAGAGCAAGCTGATCACTTCCGGCGTCTGCTCCATCAGGTCGAGGAATGAGGCTTTGTAACGAGTGAGTGGGTCATAGGCAGTCGCGAGCACTTTGGCAAACTTGATACAGAAGATGACGCATTGCTGCTTGGGTTGGATGAAGTTGAGCCAGCGGACAAGGGTGGACCACCAGCGACGGATGTACCGCACGACTGGATCACGAAATTGGGCTGCAAGAGCAGGACGGCGCCGCGTGAAGTACAATGTGCCGAAAATGGCTGTGAGTGCCGTCATAGCCTTAGTCATCGTAGGATCGTCGTACAGACGCTGGTGCGGGGCCAGCGTTAGAGGGTTGATCAGGAGCTCTGGGAACGCATCATCGGGTGCAAGCAGCATGATAATCCTGGATACTATGGGTGCCCAGCGTTCGGCTGGCGCCCTCTCGATAGAGTGTTGGAGTTGTATAATCTCCGAAGAGCGAGGCAGGGCCATGGTGAAGACGCTGGGCGCAGGTTGCAGATGGCGGTCCGGAGGAAACCATGGAGCAACGCGCGAAGTTCGCAGGTATCTGATTCGGTAATTGCCGGGCGGCAGGTGACTTGGCACGTGGTCTACGGTTCGAAATTCGTTTCCGTGCTCAGCGCTCAGCGCTCAGCATCGTTTCTGGTGATACGGCTTATCCATCACTACTGTACAAGGTCCACTTGGTATATAATTGTACATGAATCGAGAAGAATAGAGCTCGAAGCATCAATAGCACTGAAGTTCGTGTCCAAATAATTTACGCACTGTCCTTCACGCCACCGCCTCCTCCGCCACCAATGTATACGCTGGCGGCGGCGCATCCACCTCATCATGCTCAAGCCCGCCTGCCACATGCGCCCCACCCGCCAGCCTCTCATTCTCCCTCTGCACTGCATCCAGCCTTGCCCTTACCTCCCCCGCCTCCCGCTCCGCCGCCTCCGCCCTCGCCCTCAGCGCCGCCAGCTCCTCCTGCACCCGCGCCCCCTCCGCCTGCACCCTTGCGCTCTCCGCCTGCACCCTCTCGCTCTCGGCCCTCAACCGCTCGCCCTCATCCAAAGTCCCCTGCACGAGCCGCCTGTCCGCGTCGCGCTCCGAGCGCAGCGCGGCGAGCTCCTCCTGCAGCCGCGCGACGCGCTCGTCGCGCGAGTGGCGGAGCGCCTCGTTCTCGCGGGCGAGCGCGGCCTGTACCTGCGCAATCGAGGTGTCCGCGGAGTCGGCAGCCTGGAAGGCGCGGAGGGTCTCCTCTTGGTCGGCGACCGTCCTACGGAGGGCAGCGTTTTCTTGCTCCAGGGTCGTGAAGGTGCCGTTTGGCGAAGAGGGCGATGTTCCTGCGCGCGCGTCCCGCAGCTGCCCCTTCAGCCTTTCGTTCTCGTTCGTCAGGTCCGCGATGATGGTCTTGTGGATGCCTAATTCCTCCGATGCGCCTCTGAAACGATCCAGGTCCGTGCGCATCGACTCCATTAGCAGCTGAAGCATCCGGCGCTCAGCTTCAGCCTCTGCGGTCCGTCTCTCGGCCTCCTCCAAGCGCCTCTCCAGGTCCTCCCGCCGCTTCTTCGTCTTCCCCGGCACCAGCATATCGCGTGAGCTCTGGTACAGCTCGCGCGAGGAATTGTACAACTCCATCGGCCTCTGCATCAGCTCGCGCGACGTATGCATGAGATCGGCGGGCACACTCGTCATATGCATGAGCGGCTGACGAGCGGGCTTGCGAGGTTCGTCGACCTCGTTAGGGGGCGCGAGCCCTCCGTTCTGTGGCGCGAGCCTGCCATTAGATGGTGCAGGTTCTACATTTTGCGAACCAAACGCAGCAGCGGGTCCGTTCGGCATATACATTGACTTGCTCCGGAGCTTGTTCCTCCGCACAGGCATCGTGCGCGCATTTCGGGCAGAGGTGTTTGACGGGCCCTCTATCTGACCAATGTTGTGACCCGCTGTCGCCGATGTCGATGAGCTAGCCGCGGAGTTGGCGCGTCGGCGGGGCCCGCTGTCCGGCACAGACAGTTGAGCTGTAGGCGCAGATACTTGCATCGCAGGCGCAGATGGTGACGTGGGCAAGGGTAAATCTGCAGGCGACAGCCTCGACGGCGAACCTGCGCGTGAGAGCCGTGAAGGCGAAGCAACAGGGGACGAGCTGAAGGGCGACCTGGGAGAGAGCATAGGCGTATTCGCAACTTCCGTGGCCGGCGACGTTGGTGGCAAAGAGAGCTCCGGGATCGGCATTGGGACCCTCTCCCTCGGCGATCTTGGAGAGGTTGGTGAGGTAGGCGAACGAGCACCAGCTGTCGGTGAGATCGGTGATGTGAGCGAAGCTGGCTGCTCGTTTGCCGGTATAGGCGGAAGATCTTGAGTCTGTAGGCTTTGCATCCGCAACCCTTCCCTCGCAAACGCATAGATCTCATCAGGCAGCGCAGACGGCAGAACCTCCATCTTCTTCGACATGAGGTTTTGCGTGAGGTACATCGCGACGGCGAAGTCGGCGCCGTCGAGGAAGCCGCGGCGCTGGAGGTCGGCGAGGGCCCTAGTGAAGGATGTCAATCGACGAAGGCCATTGCAGTTTCAGAGAAGGGAGCCGGTACGAGACGTTATGTAGGGAATCATACGCACCAGATCTGCGAAAGCCTCGCGACCGGCAAGTTCGACTTGTTCAGAAATTCCTGGGCTTTGTTGCCTACAGGACCAACCAGTCAGTCCCGTCCATGCACCAAGTCTATATTCGGTGATCGTAAGCTCCACTTACCATCCAGAATTCCATCCGTCGCACCCGCAATCCTGAAGATATGCAGGTACTTGCTCCGCTTCTGGGGAGTAAAGGGGGGCAGATCGCTCATTGCAGGAGTGAGCTCAGGTATGGCGAAACGAGGGAGGGGACCAGCTGGAAGGAGGTGTGGTCAGTCAACTATCCCATCTACATTACTGCCTCTTCGAAGAGCCCTACTCGACATGGAGGTCCTGATTTTACGTTCAACGATAAGATAGATCTACTTACCCTGCGCCAACGTCTCCTTCGCCACCTCTACCAGCGCCTGCGCCCACCCCAGCAATCGCACCGCAGCCGCTACTCCGTTGCGCGACAGCCTCCCATGCCCACCCTCGTCCACGATCTCCCAGATGCGGAATAGGACTTCGGGAGGGATACCCTCGGCTCTCGAGAACATGGCAACGGCGGTGTCCCCGGAGAGGGTTGGGGAGTAGGACAGGGTGGTGGGGTCTGCGGAGTTCTGTGCGTCGTTGGCGACGGCGAGGATGCGGTCGGCGAGGGCAAGCTCGTCGGTCGTAGGGGCAAAGTTAGGTGGGGCGGACATAGTGGGGAGCTAGTGAGTAGTGAAGAGAGGGGAGCAGGAGGGATCGGGAGGAAGTACAGCAGTGGTGGGCGATCGAGGCAGGTAGGATGTTCCCGACGGAGGCGTGGTCGTTTCCGATTCACGGGGTCGCGCGTCGCTAGCAGTTGACGAGAGTGTGGGTGTTCCCGGAGCTGTCTTCAAGTCACAGACGGGGTCTCAGAGATGGCGGAGATGAGCGAATGGCAAGCAGTTGCGAAGTCGAAGTCGATCGGTACGCGGTTGTACGTCGTCGACGACGTCGAGCAAGGGTTATCTCGTCTCAGTCTAAGGAGATGTCGCTCGTCCACAGCAGAGGACTCCCTCCGCAGCCACTACGGAGAACAAGGAAGGAAGGCGAAGCCAAGAAGTCAAGCGGATAATCTCCCGCAATGCAAGAGGCGGTGCAGAGTCCACCCTCGCCCGCCCCCGCGGCGCACGCTGATGGACGTCACGATCGGCGGGCCGGGGCGCGCGTCGGGAACTGCGCGGATTTTGGGATGCGGCAAATGCCGACGTCAAGACTTCGAAGCCATGTTATTTCTTTGTTCCTAGCATTTCTTTTGCAGACAATGGGTATTGTCATACCCCTTTCCCTTGACATGACCTCCAGCCCATCTATATACTCATCGATGTGTTTTATTCACTGCAGGTGGCCTACCGAATCCCGCCTTAGGTTCCCCCCCCCGGCCATGTCTCTTCCGCTGCGCAGTAAACGAAGCCACTTTCTCCTCCGTCATCCTCTCCAGCCGAGCCATCGTCGCCTGCAAACGAGAGCTTCGTCCACCCAGTGCATCCTTCCCAAACCTCCCCTCCATCGCCTCTCTCACCTTCCACGCTGCGCCTACCATGTCGCGATCCAACAACGCGTCAATGACCGACGCGTACGACACGGGGTGCGGCGTGTGCTCGAGGATGTGGAGGGCGGCGGGGACGCCGACTGAGAGCGGGGGCTCAAGATCGGCTGAGGGGGCGCCGTTTGTAACATGATCAGTAGCACCAGGTACGACACCGCCTTCACCCGCCAGCGCGACGCTCTTGGCGAGGATCTCGTAGTGCGCACGTCGAGGTGTGATCTGCATGCGCTCCATAAGGCGCCAGACGCGGCGGAGGTCGGCGAGGAAGGTGGTCGGGCCGGTGGTGTCGCCTTGCCTCTGCCCACGCCTAGGACCAGGGATGTCCCTCGTGGGTACGGACATCCCATGCCTCGCAAACCCGCTCATGAACCCGAGCAGGACCTGTCGTGCACCGCTGGCGGCTAGCGCCTCTGGGTTGAGTACCCGGGCATTATTCTTTGCTTGAGGGAGAGGATGCGGTCCATCCCCCGAGCCCACAACAGACGCCTCGTACGCAGCCAACAGCCGCCGGAGGCGTGGCGGATGTTTCCACGCAAGGAGTGTCAGTGTGTGCCAGATGAGCCAGTGATGGTGGGGCGGGAGGGCGAGAGGAGTCGGGACGGCGGCGGCGGTGGGCGAAGCTGCGGCGGTAGAAGTTCGAGGAGAGGTGACCAGGGTCGAAAAACCGGTCGATGGCGAGCTGGCGCCTGGAATGAAGGGAGGTGGAAGCTCACGTTTGCGTCCTTCGATAATCTGCTTCGCGCTGTCCACCACCTCCCCTTTACTCCTCTCCCAGACCCCATGCACCTTCGCCACCTCTTCAATCAACTCCCTCGCGTCCTCCGGGAACCCCTCCATCGTGAAGTTCTCCAGAAATATCCCCAGCGCGCGCCGTCCGTCCATGACGTGGCGGCAGAGATAGAGCTCGGCGACGAGCCAGGTCATGGCGGTGGCGTCGGGATAGGCTAAGGCGCGCTGGCGGAGGAGGGAGAGGAGGCGTGAGAACCGCACAAAGCTGGACGATGGATTCCGGGAGATAGGTGATGGGTTCAGGGAGACAGGAGAGAGATTCTGAGAGCCAGATCGTCGATTTGGAGAGGTCGAGGACCGTTCCCAATATAACCTCACCAAGAAGTCATTCACGTCGAGATACGTATGCAGCACCCTCTCCCGGATCGCCGCGAGCACCTCGCGCAGCTGCATCGGGAGGTCGCCGGGGAGGGCGAGGCGCGTCTCTCTCCTTTCCTTGCGGCCGTGGGCGGCGCGCGCGGTGCGTAGGGCGGTGAGGGTAGTGGTGGATGCTTCTGTCGAGCCATTGGAGAAAGGGTCACGCGAGGCATGCGCAGTAATGACCGTGTCGAAGAGGCGCTTATCGAGCTTAAGCCCGTCCGCGGTACGCAAGAGCGCGGCAGCCGCGTCGAGCCAGCCAGCGTCGGCAGTCGACCAGTCCACCCCTTTCCCCGTAGCATCCCCACCGCGCGACCGGGCTTCCCCACTACGCATACGCGCAGCGTCTCCACGGAACCGTGCAGCATCCAAGCACGCACGCACCGATTGCTCCCTCAGCCTCGAGCGCTCCGCTGGGGCATGCGCATTGCCCATACGTGCCACGTACGCGCCCACCGCAAATTCGTGCTCGACCATGATTCTGGAGGCGAGCGCAGGCGGGGCGTGTGAGGCGAGGAGGGCGAGGATGTCGGGCCAGATGCGGGTGTGCGCGACTTGAGCGCTGGTACCAGTGGCAGACGCAAGCTGAGGAAGAGTGTAGCCCTTCTCCGCGGCCAGAGCGGCAAAGCGTGCAATGAGGGGGAGGTTGTTCGCGGGGGTGCCGGTGTGCAGGAGGGCGTTGTGGATAGGGCGGAGGTCGACGACTTGACTTGTGTGGGAGGCCTCTTTCGGAGCGGTGGAAGAGGTGGAGGCATCGTCGCGAAGGTATGAAGCAAAGGAAGGGAGGGCCACATGTGCATCCGGTATCAGCTTGAACCACGCCGAGAAGAGGTTGATGCGGTCCGTATGGGAGGGGTGGTCAAGGGCGGCGAGAGCGGCGCCAATGTAGATGGGGTGGGGCTGGATGGTTATGCCGGAGGCGACGAGGTGATCGTGAAGACGCTGCGCGGCTTCGAAGTGATGGAGGGAGACGAGGCTAACGAGAGTGTCGTTGTTGAGGTCGTCGAATTGGCGCGAGGAATTGGACGAGATGTACCTTGCGGCTTTGGATGAAGAAGGGTGCGCGAAGGCAACAGAACTATGACATGCTCGCAGGATGAGGAGAGGGCGCGGGTCCGGACGATTGATTGCTTCGTGCGGTGTGAGATATCGCGAAGGGTGGGAAGGAAGAGTCACTACTCACCGAGTAGAGTATAGGAACGCGTCCCTTCAACGCGCCCAATTCTCGTGGGTCCCAGCAGACATGTTCCGTTGAGGCAGCCAGCAAGAAGTCTGCTCGGTCCGTGCAGGTGCATAGGCGAAATTCATCCACCTGTTCTTGGGCTGCTCGCTGGCATCCTCGACGCCAATAAGCGCCCGTGGTGGGGTGAAGCAAGGATGATCGGCGAGCGGCACACGGCGGGCCGGGCAGCGGCCGCGACGGGAATATTCCGAAAAGTTCAGAGTTCAAGACGCTCAGACAACTCAACGTTCAGGACGCAGATCTTGGTAGGGCAATGCCTTTGTTGTTGGGTGTACACGCATCGCAGAGAACATGGTGACAGAACAATCCTGGTTCTACACCAAATAAATACATGACACACGCTGTAACACGCCAATAAATACATGAGCCAGCTCTGCACTGCAGCTATCTCGATCAACGAGAGCCATCACAAAGGGGAGCCAACTACTCTACCCCTTCTTGGGAGCCTTCTTCGTCTTCTCGTGAGAGCGCAGCGTACGCGTGCTCGGCGGCATAACCAACATCTTGCGTTTTCCCCGCGTCGACGCAGCCTGACCTCTAGCGGCCTGCGTAGACGATCCGGGGCCTGCTTGCGCCGACGGCTCGGTGTTTGCAGGCGCGCGTCTGGCCTTCTTCGATACGTGCGCATCGCCTGCGTGCTCCTCGTCGTCTGAGTCGTCCGGTGCAGATCGCTTGAGTGGGTTGTCGGGGTTGATAGGTACGTGTCCTCCAGTAGCCCCTCCGCCGCCACCACCACCACCACCACCACCACCGCCGCCGCCGCCGCCTTGAGCGTTGGCCGCGGTAGCTGCAGCAATGGAAGCACCGACAGGTCCGTTGCCACCCATGGGAGCACTGGCGGAGGGACCGGCGCTTTCGTTGGGAGAAATACTGATGGCCGCCAGAGCGTCGAGCGTCGCTTGAGTAGCGTGTCCAGTCAGAGCCGTGCCACCAGGTCTATCGGTCGGTTCCTCATTTGCATCGTTGTCGTTTTCAGCAGGGTGCGCAAGATGACCGGACTCGAGGGTGAACTCGGTATCCTGAGCATTAGTACGCAGAAGTTGGCGATATTGCGTACGAGGACCGAGCGAGACAACAGACGCCGCAGGCGCGCCTTCCTCCGCTCCCGAAGGCGCGAAAGACCCACGCTCAGTTGTGTTGACTGTCTCGTCAATAGCATGTGTGTGTTCCGAGGCCGTATCGCGTTGACGGTTGCTGCCAGAGTTAGCCTGAGTTCTTTCCGGCGAGTCATCATAGCCGCGACCAGGGGCGGGAAGAGTCGGGACGTCCTGCGCATGCTTTTGAGTGCTACTGCCATCGGGAGGCTCGGTCGAGGTAGCGCCGTCGTGACCAGTGCCGTCGCCGAGTCTCATGTTGGAAAACACATCGAACGTGGCTTGCGTTTTCTCCCCGTGCAAGCGACGGGTGACAGAACCATCAGCATCCACGGCATCAGCTCGAGCGATCAGCGGAAGCTGCGTATCGTCTGCCTTGAGGCTGTCCTCAGAGTCGTAGCGTTGAAGGTCGCGCCATGAGAGATGGCTAGCAGGCGCTCGAGAGACCGGAGTAGCGCCAGAGGAAGCGCCGCCGCTCGGCGTGCGCTTCGGTTCGTCCATGGTGACGTCGAGGTCGAGAGAGCGGGCCTCCGGGTCTGACGTTGCAGCGACAACAGGAGCGTGTTGGTCTTCATCGGCATGATGAGAGGCCTCGCGCTCGGAGCTGAACACCTCACCTGCGCCTTCAGGACTATCAGCGTCGTCTTCACCATGGTCTTCGTCATCACCACTGCGGGCTTCATCATCGTCGCCAGGGTCCGCGCCGTCCCAATAATCAGCGCTCATGGGATCGAGCGCCACGAGCTGAACACGATTCTTAGACGGAGCATTCGGGTCGGCGGAGTCAGGAGCCTCAGGAAGCGGAGCCTCGCCGTCGGGACCTTCGGGACTGCCAGGATGCGAGGTCGAGGTCGAAGGCAAGTTGGGAGGCAGCGCAACGCCAGCGCCAGGGAACAGCTCGTTCACGCGTTGCATCATCTTCTGCATCGCTCGGTCCGAGGCAGGCGAGCCCCACTGTACCAGTTGGCTCCAGGGCCGGCTGGTCTTAATGGGACGGTTCTCGTACGTGTAGTCGTCCCAGTTCGCTTGCTTCTTGTGTTCGATGCGCCTCTCGAACTCGGACCAGCTCCACCAGTCGCCAATCATCGCCATTGCGACCACTCTGCTCTGGCGTTCACCCCATGTGTCGCTGGTCAAGAGATACGAGGCCTGTGGCGTTGTTAGTCCGAGCGAAAGAGTGAGAACGAGGATGAGCACACACCTGTTTCATCAACTGCCGCTGCGCTTCGCGCAAACGAGTAAGTTTCGCATTCACGAAAGCTTGTCCCTCCTGCTGCCGCGACACTGACTGCTTGCATTCGATGAGCATGGCGACTACAAATCTTGCAAAGTCCTGAAGGCGCTTGAAGGCAGCCTCCGTGTTGCAGATTTCGTCTCCGGGTTCCGAGTCGTCCATTCCCGCCTCAGAAAGGTCTTGGTCCAGCCAGTCGCGTCTCTCCAGAGCATACCCGCCGACGTCAGAGAGATCCAGATCCTCTGTAGTTGGCTGATGCTGTGACGTCCGCTGCACCTGTGGCGGATCCTTACGGATATCGTAAGGGTCGCGCGTCGTGGACTCGCGGGGACCAGAGGGCTGATAATCTGGGTCCTCAGATTCTTTCTTCTTCTTCTGCTCGTCGTCGTCCGAATCGTCGTCTGGGATGTCGGCTCGATACCTCGGTATGTACTCTCCGGGATGGCTGTAGCAACTATTTCCAAGGCGCGCCTCCTCTTCCCGTACCACAGCGGCAGCCGCGTTGACCAGTTCTCGATCGAGCTTCATGTTGGGGTCTTCGAGTGCCATGACCATGTAATCCGCTATCACCAGGTCCGCGTTGGCCGTGTTCGTACGGTTGCTGGAGACAGATGTATTGAGGAGTTGGTGAACTTGCTTCATGAGAGCTTCGGAAAACGCGGCTGCCGGCGCGGCCGCTGCCTCCGCTCCAGGTTCGTGAGCGAAAGGCGATCCAACGTCTTGCGCAAGTTTCGGGAAATCGAGCTATGGAGGGTTCATGTCACTCTCAGAGGCAATTGTGAGCATTGAAGTACTCACAGCATCTTCCGGGTCATCATACAACATGTTGTTGACCCCGGCGCTCTTGATTTGACCCCACTTCCCCGACGACTCAGCGTTCGCGCGAGTACCTCCGGGAATCCATGCCAGTTCCTGCGTGCGTTCAGTGATTACGATTGCGCCGGTCATGCTGGATGGTAACGCACCCCGCCGGTGGCTTCGAGCTTAGTTCTGTCGCCATTTCCTGGGAGCGTGGTAGAGTTACCGATCTGTAAAGGAACGTAAGTAAAGGCATCATATACATCGTGTGAACATCATGATCACACACCTCGGGGTTCTCATTGACCGACTCAGATGAAGCCTGAGGCTTGGCAGTGCCGGTGGCATCCACGTCAGTCTGTGAGAGTCAGCAAAGAAGAGCACAATCATGAAGCATACACCATACCTGACTGTCCGCCGGCGGCTGCTCATCATTGGGAACGCCTGTCTCCGCTTGATTTTCCGGCTGAGCGGGAGCATCGTCATGCCAGATCTTTGGTTGAGCGGCGACAATCGCAGGCCGGTCCATGTGCGACTCCACCATAGATGTGAGCGCAGGAAGCGTGAAAATATAGTCTTCGTGCTCGGTGTGAAATTTGTTGGTGTGCATGTTGACTTGAAGGTAGGGGAGCATGCGCTCAAAGTGGGGCTGCAGCTTCACCGGTCTAGGTGGGTGATTGGAAAGGCTCGGCGACGGAGAATTTCCTGCAGAATCAGTGCCATTGTCGGAAGACATGATGGTAGAGAGCAAGAGGTCGGAGTGTCCGCTTGAGGAGAGTGTCCCTTTTTTAGCAACGCCACGTGGTTGAACAATGGAAGCTCGGAAATTATACACGTGACTGCCATGAGGCTATGCGCACAAGACGCGTCGCGTGGCTGGCCCATCTCTCACTTTCAACCACCATCATCCTCGCCACGCGTCGCTCGCCCGCTGACCATGTCTTCTACGACTACGCAAACCAGCACTTCATTGCCTACTCTCGCCGATGCTGTAGCATCGGGAGAGCGAAAGCTGCGCGAAGTAATGGTCACAGTCCAGGATGTCGTCCCGCCCCAAGTCAAGCCCAACGACAGGAGTATCAAACACTTCTACGTACAGGCGCGCCCAACCTATCTACTCGGCTACTTCATGTCGCCGAAGAAGCTGTACGAAGGCGCTAAGAAGAACGGGAAGGCAGAAGCGACTATGAAGGCTACTCTTGACAAGTACCTCGCATACGTGAAGGAACACGGTGGGATCACATGGGGTGACGGGCTAGAGAGGAGAATGTTAGGGGGAGAAGAGAGGTGGCTGTTCTGGCTGATAAGATCGGAGCGCAAGGAGGATATCTACACCGTGGAGTTGGAGGTGGTAGATGGGTTTCGGAGACTCCTCGGCGTTGGCGTAGATCCCGCCATCATCATTTACCAACACCCTAAGGTGCGTTTGCTTGCACTTGCGTCATATATTGCCTTCTAACGTGCATTGCGTAGCACTATATATGCTGACGGTGTATCACTGCCTGGCGATCGGACTACCACACCTAGAGAATCGCCTCATCTTCGCAGCGGAGGCGAAGTTCATCATTGCCTAGCGGAATACGGACGGACTTGTAGCCATACCTGTATTATACCTGCGCGTCAGCGATACCATTCCCCATGCTCCTTCGGATGTGTGACGTCCAGAGGCTGCGTCGCGCGCTACTCGCGAACTTCGAAATCGGGAGAGCCTACGGCTTTGGACCCCAGTCAAACGCAGATGAAGCTTTGCTAAGCATCCAACTCTTCAGCCATATTGGTTGGCATTGTCGAGGCTTTATCCACGGAATCTGGTTCAAATATGGCGAGGAGACTGGACGGGGTCGTCACACGAGGTAATGAGGCATGCGGACGCGTTCAACCGACACGCCCAAGAACCAATTGGAAGCCAGACATGGGATAATGAACAAGTTTCCCGGTCTGCCCAGATACACAGGCGGCATTCATCTTTTCGTTTCTTGGGTCGCTCGCTGGCATCAAGCGCCTGTAGTCGAAGGACGCTCGGTCGGCGGGACGTCGGCCCGGAGGGACGGCGTCGATGACGGGGACCGCCGCCGCTGCGCCGATCGCGAAATGTTGCTCTCTCGTCGACTTCCATCATGTCGGCGCACGCTCGTACACGCAGCGCGTCATGCGTCGACGAAGGGGACGCCGCCACCTAGCGCTGCTGCCCAATCCACAATTGACACGCAATCCTCACCAGCTTCGCAAGCCTCGGCATCCCCGCGAAAACCGCTGACGGCCCCGCCGCCGATAGTCAAGCGCCCCACTCCATCAGACCAGCCGCTTCCCGGCCTACGACGCGCGCTTGGCGTGCGGGAGCGCCCCACTGTAGAGAAGCAGAGCAGGAAGGAGCGGTTAGAGCAGATCATGCTCAACCCCGAGGGTGTGCAGAAGGAGAGGCAGCATCTGTGCGTTCGGTAGTAATTGTCCTCTTGACAGACTCGCTGACGCGCTGCTGCAGACTGCGACAGGCAGGGAAGAGCTACTACGAGGACATGATCAACACCCGGCACCACGGCGGTAAGACTTGGATAGCACCGAAGCAGGCTATCCGCGAGGATGTGCGTCCTTCCGTTCACCCTTACCTTGCTCGTCTCCCCTCCCCTCTTTATCCCCTTCTTCCTCGTACCTCACTGACGTCGCCTCCAGAAAGCCCTCTTCTTTCCCAACATCACCGGCAAGTCACTACTAGGCAACCAGCGGCATACCACCACTCTCTGCTTTGGCCGCATCACCGTCCTCTCCCTCCTCAGCACGCGTATCTCTGAGATCCACTCTGCGCGTCTCGTGCAGCCTACCCTCTCCGCCTACGCGCAGCACCCGCTCTTCCAGCATGTACAAATCAACCTGCAAGAGAACCTGCTCAAGAGCTTCCTCGTCTCTTTATTCACGAACTCGATCAAAAAGCAGGTGCCGAAGGCGGAGCACGACCACTACCTGGTGTCTAGCCAGAATATGGAGTATCTGAGAGGCCCGATTGGGATGGACAATGAGAAGGTGAGGGGCCCTTTTTCAGACTCGCTCACGACTATCCTACATCCTCACTCTCTCCCTCCACCGCAACTTCTCTCACTCTGACTGAACCAACTTTCACATAGGTCGGCTACGTCTATCTCATTGATGAGAACCTCAAGATTCGCTGGGCAGCGGGCGGCGAGCCCGAAGACTCTGAAATTGAGGCCCTGAGGACGTGCACAGGCGTACTCTTGCGACGGTGGGAGAGGGAACCGAAGAGTGCGGAGTATAGGGATAAGGCGAAGGAGGTGGTGGAGGAGACGGTCGAGGAGAAGAGCGGCAGCGCATAATTCGCTGCGGCACCTATCATACCATCATGTATGTCCACTACTCCCTCTTCCTTCTGCCCGATGCTACCGAATAGATGAGGACTCTTTAAGTTTGGCTTGTGCGTCGGAGAACAGGGCGAAGTTGGTCCATTTCTCGTGCTCGAATGTCGACAGGCGTCGGCCTGCGCGCGCGCCCAAGACAATCTCTTGCCAGTGAGTGGCGAACAGACTGGGGCACTGCAGCCCAAGCTCCACAGGTTCGAGTGGGCATGGAAAAGGTATCTTTCGTACGCAGGTATAGGACAGTTGCGTGTGACAACTCCCTTCGACATCCAAGCAACGCGCGGAGCACGAACCTTCGCTGCATAGGCGGAGCGTTGTCCCTGGGATTGGTCACCCAATCCCAGGACAGCGACACGCCGTCAGCATATATAGTGCTATAGGAGGTATTTAGAATGCGACGCACAATGCAAGCGCAAGCGAACGCACCTTAGGGTGTTTGTAAATGATAAGAGCGGGATCTGCGCCAGCGCCCAGAAGTCTCCGGAATCCCTCTACGAGCTCAAACTTCGCGGTGTAGATATCCTCCTTGCACTCCGACCTCAACATCCAGAACAACCACCTTTCCTCTCCTCCCAGAGATCTCCTCTCTAGTCCATGTCCCCATGTGATCCCACCGCGTCCCTTCACGTATGCGAGGAACTTGTCGAGAGTAGCCTTCATAGTCGCTTCTGCCTTCCCGTTTCTCTTGTCGATCTCGTAAAGTATCCTCGGTGTCATCAAGTATCCGAGTAGATATGTCGGGCTCGCTTGAACGTAGAAGTGCTTGACGTTCCTGTCGCTGGAATTGACATGAGGCGGGACGACATCCTGCAGTGTGATCGTCATCTCGCGCAGTATACGCTCGCCAGATGCCACGGCATCGCCGAGAGTAGTCGGAGGGGTGCTGGCTTGTGTGGCTGTGGATGCCATGGTCAGCGGACGAGCGATGAGTGGCAAGGCTGATGGCGGTCGGAGGCAAGAGATCAAGTCTCCACGCGACACGGTCCAAGCTCACACGACCGTCCGCGCAGCCTCGATCCTAGATCGCTTCGGAAAAGGCGGATCCGCCCCGAACAATGTCGCTAGGTTCCTCTCTCTTGAAAGAAGAAGATTTCGTCGGTGGACGTTCAGTGTGAAAACGGGGCGCGACGCGAAACTGGAACATCGGGAAATGCCGTCGATTCCCGAAGGCCCGCAATATCCAACGAACGAGGACAAGAGGATTGGATGACCGCGCGCAGACGGATGAGATCTCGAGTCCACCTCCCTTCTCAAAGAACTTTCTCGTGGTATATACAGTAAACGGAAGCGGAAGCGGAAGCGGGCGCAGTGTCAAATCTTGGGTGGTGGAGGACGCATTCAAGTCGCCATCGAGGTAACGCATAATCTGTGACGATGACAAGACGTGGTATAGGATACGCAGCATGAGGGTATGATACATGATATAGGAGATGCGACCAAGGAGAACCGTTCCATAGAGTCCGACTCGGCGGCGAGCAACCATGCCGCGCCCAACAATGGTGAAAGGGAAGATGATGTGAATGGGTGCAGGCGCCGTCAACAGATGAAGCGCTAGTCCAAGAAGTCAGCCGTACACACATATCTCAGTACAAAGGAACGCACCTTGGGATGGTGGTAGATGATGAGCATGGGCTCCTCGGTGGCGCCGATCAAGCGTCGAAGGCCGTCGCGGTATGACTGATCTATCGCGAGTATATCCTCCCTGCACAAGGCCTTCGCAATGTAGAAGAGCCACATCTCCTTCCCGTCGACGTCCACCTTCCGTAGCCCACTTCCCCATGTGATTTTGGTCTGCTCTTTGACCCATTTGAGGTACCGGTCGAGAGTGCGCTGAACGTCGTCCGATGCTTTCCCTCTCTGCTTAAGCATTTGGTAGATGTCGTTAGGCGTTACCAAGTACCCAAGCAGATAGGCGGTAGGCGCTTTTTTGTACCGGTGCTTGACACTCCTGTCGTGGAGGCGGACACCGTCCGGGATGATGGTGCGGAAGGTAAGGTGGCGCTCGCGCAACGGTTTCTGCGGTTTGTCACTCCAAAGAGCAGACAGATCATCCCATTCAGAGTGAGGGTCAGGATGAGAGGCAGTGGGCTGCATAGTCGATCAAGATTTGGAGTGGCGAGTGATGGCGGGAAGCAACTGACAGAAATCGCCCGTTGTAACGATGTCACAGGTCGCGTGCAGCGTGACATTTGCAGTGACGGCCGCCCGCGGCGCCCCGTCTTCTGCCAAAAGGGGAATGCTTCATCTCGGCCCTCATTAACGCAAGTCCATTGTTCGACTGCATGAGTCGAGCAAACATGTGGAAACTGTCACGCTTGCCTAGTCACACAAACAGCGCCCTTCTTCTCTTCGTCTTTCACCATCCCGATGTCCATTTCGACCGGTGGCAACAACGCCACCGAGGCGGCAATGCCCTCGAGCGTCAAATCATCTTCCCAGGGCAATCATCAACAGCTCTTGCATCGGCCGCTGGTATCTCACTACGAACGCATGATGCCACTCTTGCAAATCGCGATGCACATCAATATGTTCCACACAGAACACGAGGACTATCCCTTCTGGGCGAGCACCTTGACTTACATCGTCGAGAAATATATGAAGAGAACCGCGGCGGTGGTTCCTCAATGGAAACTGTGGTCAAAGCCAGTGAAGGACCGCAAAGAAATCGAGGAGGGAAAGAAAGGAGCGTCGAAACAGCAGTCTGCGCCCACCGACGAGTCTGCAACCACGAGTGCCGACAAGGTACGCGCGACGTCAATCATATGTGAACATGTGCTAACATCTGTGCTGTAGAATGCTGGCGCTCTCGACGCCGAGTCTCCGACATGCGAGGCTGATGAACAGGTGAGAGCGTTATGGCTATCTGTCTCTGAGGAAAAGCTGACCGGTGTTGCGCTTGGCCGCAGTCGGAAACCGCTGAATCTCCTGTAAATTCTGCAAGTCAGGAATCAGAAATTGCGGAGGTGCGAGCACCTGTACGCTATTTGTTTTGGACGTCGCTGACTGTCGCAGAACGAGGAGCACCCGACACCAGTACCCAAGCCGCAACGCGACAAGAAGGGGCTTACCACAGCCCTTGACTTCCCTGATCCCGATTACTTTCCAGAAGCTGAAGGTCACTCGAGAGATGCCTTAATTAGTAAAGGCAGCAACAAGGTATGTACACGACTGCATGGCAGAGAACCTCTAAACTCAGCGATCTCCAGGCATCGGATGTCGACGAAGAGCAACAACGGGCTGACTCGGACAACATTGCGAACACCGGCTCCCTTGCCGCCGCCGATGATCAACAACGTTCCTCACCACCTTCGGAGTCGGATTCTCAAGCTCTGTTCGTGGAGGAGGAATACAACTTCGATCTGTCAATGTCCACCAATCGTACGACAGACACTGGTCTGAGGAAGAAGGTCATAACGGACTTCGGGGTGCTCACACCGCGTTATCCCGGCATGGACTTGGACCCTGCGCAAGTCTACTCGGCCTGCGCCAACGTGCGGAACGATTATGCTGGTACCAAGATTGTCCCTCATGGCGGTCCCTCCGACTTCGTTCCAAAATTTAGAGCTCACCCCGACGGTGATGGCGACAGTAACGAAGAAGCAGAAGACCTCCAGGGCGACGACGAGGGCGCATATCCCGAGGACGAGGACTCGGATGATGATGATGACGACGACGACTATCGCCCGGATCCACCAATCGTCACACCGTCAGCCTCTGGCTTCACTCTCAAGCTGCGCGATCGGAAGCCTGCATCTGCTACGCCGTCTCCGGATGATAATCTGGTACAGGCCGATCGCGAGGCACTCGATTGGTTGGAACGAGACATGCTCTTTGATGAATCCGAGACTTCTCTACACGACGAGGTTTGCAACACGGCACGCGCTTTCAAGGAGTTCAAGGATTTTGCCAAATTTTACGTTGCGATACTCTGTGAAGGCAAGCGGTCACCCTCGAACAAGAATAAGAAGGGGGCCTTTACCAGGAAGCTGTACGAGCGACTGTACAAAGGGATCCGCTCGCTCATGATCCAGGCACGTCGTTGATCATCCTCTTTGTGTTTTATCGAAAGCTTACGTGGATATAGGTCCTTTACTTAATGACCAGCGACGTTTGGGAGCACCAGCACAATGTCGTTGGCATGGTTATGGTGAGCGACTACTGGTGTTGGAACGAGTTCGAGCGCATCCCTGGGCGCAACAAAGTGGAGGCGAAATGGCAGGATTACACGGATGAGACGCGCCCGTTTAAGACTTGCAACCCATGGACTCGATTTGTTCAATGGGGCTCGCCCGCCTCCGATCAAGCACTTGCAAATATGATGGAGCGTGTCAACCAGCTCTATCCTGCGTTCTCGCCCTCACCGACTGTCGACGTGACCACTGGCGCTACGCCCTCTGCTTCGGACGCGCCTTCCGCTTCTGGCTCTTCTGGTCCTACCGCTGTGGCTACGCCTGCCGACGCTCCATCGTCCGCGGAGGCTCCTGGCTCCGCAGACCTCGACACCCCGTCGGGCGGACTCGCTGATTCTGGCGAAGAGATTCAGGCCGTGGAACAATACCCGGAGACACACGAAGACGAACTCCCGCACCGCGAGGACGAAGTTCAGTCCTTACCCATCGAGCGTGATGAAGCGCTTGGCGTGCCTCGCGCTCTCGACATCGACATCACCATGCACGAGCCAGAACTTGCGTCGAACGCTGCCGAACCCTTCGATGCACCCTCTGCTCGTGCAGCTTCCGCTCGTATGGAATATCGAAACATCCTGGACAGCGAGGTAGACGATGGTCCACCTCCTCTCATGGCAAAGGCGAACACCGCAGCAGCTGGCAGTCCCGATTCTCGACGCTTTCACGAAGAGGGCTCGCACGCCACCTTCAATGACTCGGCCATCATCAGAACTGGCGACGACGCTGGCTATAGTGGCAATACCTCCTCGAAACCTCTCGATAACGAGGAAATTCAAGGTCATGCGCAAGACGCCTCGACTCTCATCCCCACGATGCGGGCCGCCTCTGTCCAGCCACGCTCAACCAACGCCCCAGGGGACACGACCAAGCCCCGATCTCTAGCGACACCCTCAGCTCCACCAGGCACGTCTGCGTCTGCTGTTCCGCTCGCTCCTCACGTGCGATACAATGTTCCTCTGCGCACTGCTACCCAAGATATCGAGCCCGACTCAGGTCCACCCGGGCTCTATCCCGAGATTGACGACACTGGAACAAACAATGGTCTGACGAACACTACTGGTCCCAGGCCCCTGTATGGCCAGAATACTCAAGCGGCGCTCGACGGTCTCGCCGCCATCAGCATCTCCAACAACGAAAGCACCAACCACTCCGGCAATGCTACCTCTGGCAACAACGGGCTTGCTAGTGTTGCCGTCATCCCGGCTAGCGTGGTCCCTGCTCAAGGGGGCGGCGACGGCGGCAGCAGCAGCAGTGGAGGAGGAGCGGGAGGAGCGGGAGGAGGAGGAGGAGTAGGAGGAGGAGGAGGTGGTGGTGGTGGTGGTGGTGGTGGTGGTGGTGGAACTATGCCCGTCGGCCCTGAGAATCCACTAAAGCGACTCGAGCCCGACGACCCAGACGAAGAGGACAAGGGAACGCCGCGGGCGCCGAAAAAGGCCAAACGAACGCCTGCAGCCGCCGACCCGCCAGTGCAGGCAGGACCTGGACCGTCTACGCAGGCCAATAGAAGGGCAGCGTCTCAGCGGGGCAAGCGCAAGAGAACTAAACCAGCGTCAACCACCCAGGAGAAACGCCCTCGCGACAACTTGGGGAGGTTTTCCAAGAAGAAGTAGAACTTGAGTAGATCAACTCGATTCTCCTTCGCTGTGGTTCTCGTTGATCGAGGCCGTATATGTAATTATTGGCGGGCGAATGTTATGTATTCGGTGTAGGATCAGTATCTTATTACTGTCACGATCTCCTCCGCTCGCGATACGGGACCGTTAGCAGAGTCCGACGACATTGAGGAATCGAACGTTGCTTGCACGTGACAGAGCGGCCCGGGCCGGCGGTGACAATTCTGAGTTCTGGAGTTCATGACTTTTTCCCTAAACGCGCATGAATCGCCTGCCCCGCCAAGTCCTCGCCGCCGCGACGCGCTCAAGGCCACGGGCCGCGCGTACAGCGCAGGCACTTCTTACCCGGTGCAACAGCTCCACCAGCGGAGGGAGCAGTAACGGTAGCAGCGACAAGGACCTCTCGATCGAGGACCGACAGCGGGCCGTCGCGGACTTGCTGGAGAAGGCAAAGAGGGTGTACGGGTCGCGGCCTCCAGCAGAACGTGAGCAGGTGGAGGCGGAGGGGAAGGCGTACGATACGACGCAACCTCCACGGAGAAGAGATGAGGAGGAGCCTGCGCTCTATGGCCCCACAGAGGCAAAGGCGAAGCTGCACTCTTTGGTTCTGACGGATCGTGAGTGCTCGGCTATCGAGGACCGACCTTCTCTAACATTCCGAAAGCCCTTTTCGACGACCCATTGCGGGACGTGCTCGCCGACCTCGCCTTCGATGCCGCTTTTGCACACCGCAAGGCTAGTATGGAAGCCAATGGCATGCCCGTCAACGTCGACATCCTCCGCACGCACCTCCTCACGGACGGTTTCTCCGAAGTGCGCGCCATGGCTCGGCAAGTCAAGGCCGGCAAGCTGGATCCTGCATTAGGTGTCAAGGCAGCAGGTGCGTAATTGTACTATTTCCCTCCGGTCGCATAGCTAAATGATACCCCGTAGACAAGCTCTCGGACCCTGCCACCCCCCTGGGCAATCCAGAGGAAGAGCTCATGACCAAGCTCGAGACTCCCGCTGTTCAGCGCAAGTTGCAGCACCTCGACCAGAAGGCGAAGCGCAAGCTGCACGATATCCTCACTCGCGTTCCGACCCTCGGCGGTGCGAACGTTGAGGCTTTGCGAGAAGCATCAGCCTTCTTGCACGAGATTGGCGTGCGCTTCGAGTACTCGACACGCCCGGCGCAGACTCCGATCGGGGAGGAGTCGGTGTCGTTCGACAAGGTCGACATTGACTGGACCACGGAGAAGGAGATCATTCTGCGTCGTATGTGTCACTTGTCAGCTATGGGCTAGCATATTGACCCCAAATCACAGAGAGGGAAAAGGAGCTTGCCGAGCGGGCTGCTCGGCGCGCAAAGGAGGAGGCCGAGTACGACCCCACGCGTACCATCACCGTCAAGGATGGTGAGTCATTCCTCGCGGAGCCTCCGAACTTTGCCAACGGAACACCCAGAAATGGGGCACACCTTCGTTCAGCAGTACGGCGTCGAGCCCTACCCCGATCTCATGACCGCGGACCCCATCATGGACTCGCGCACTGAACTGGACTTCCCTCCGACCGAGCAAACCCCCTACCACAATAAGGTAGTCTTCCGCAACCACGAGTCCATCTTCCACGAAGCCATGGAGGACCAGGGCTTCGACTTCGCCGACCCCGACTGGGTCCCGGAGAAGTCCGACGAGGTTCAGGAGACGCAGCGCGAGTCGCGCACACTGCCTAAGTCGTTGAAGTGGAACTTGCACCGCTACGCATTGGTCTCGCGGTTCGTCAGCCACCAGACGGGCAAGGGCAAGATCGCGCGGTACAACATGATGACGGTCATCGGGAATGGCGACGGCATTGTGGGCTTCGGGCAGGGCACGCACGAGGAGTCGAGCAAGGCGCTGAAGATGGCCGAGCTGCAGGCGATCAAGAACTTGGACTACGTCGACCGGTTCGAGAAGCGGACGATTTGGTCCGACCTGGAGACGAAGTTGGGTGCGACGAGGGTGAAGATGCGCCCACGTCCGCTGGGCTTCGGGCTCATGTGCAACCCGAACGTGCACCAGGTACGCTGAAAATCTGCTCGCTGATATGTTCGTAGACTAACGCTCGTCGTACAGGTTCTTAAAGCCGCCGGCATTAAGGACATTTCTGCGAAGGTCTGGGGCAGTCGCAACAAGATTCAGGTTATCAAGGCGACCCTTCGCATGATTCAGTCCGGACACGCACCCATTGGCATGGGCGACGGTATCGGCGGCAAGGGCCTGACGGGTATGAAGGGCATGGGCCTCATCAGCAAGCAGGACGTAGAGAGGGAGAGGGGGCGCAAGCTCATTCATCTCCAAAAGTCATAGTACCCATACTCATCGCTCTGTCCTTACGCACGGACATGACTGCATTAATGCCATCCTACACGTCCCTCCGCTCCTGTTTACTGTTGATTTTTTCTCGTCTGTAGTGCCTTCGACGGCGAAGTTGTAGGTCCCCCACGTGTGCCTTCGCACGATGGTTAGCGCCAGGCCGTCGTGCTGATCTCATCTCTGAACGACCATCTACCTGCCTGCCCGACATGGAACCCAGCAGCTCGAGCTCTTTGAATGCAGACACGGCAGACGCGTCGAATCTATTCCGCGTCATTGACAAGGACAAGTGAGCGCGCCCCGTCTGCCGCCTCATACCCGCGAGCCGACATGACAAGCGCCGAAGCGTCCACGGCCTCAATCTAGCCGTACCCGAGAGCGCGCAGGCGGTCATCAAGCCGTGGCACGAGCGCGAAGATACGACGGTATATGCAGACTCGGGGGTCGATGATCAGGTGTGTGGATTAGTGCTGAGGCTTGATAGCGCGTACTAAATCGACGCGTAGATGATCATACACGTCCCCTTCACGGAGAGCGTCAGGCTTCGATCAGTGCTATTAAAGCTCGGTACGTGCATCCATATCAATTAAGTGTGTATGTATGGTGGTTGATGAGATGACATGCAGGCCGAGGAGAGTCCACCCCGCGCACGCTACGTATCTTCGCCAACCACCCCAATATCGTCGATTTCGCGGACGCGGAGAACACGCGACCCCAGCTGAACATCAGGCTACTAGAAGGAGAGGTCGAAGTCGTTGAATACCCGTTGCGGGTAGCGGCGTTTACCAGCGTAACGTCGCTCTCGCTGTTCTTTGTGCGTACTGCCACATTTTATTTCCATCCTGCCTCTATCACCTGCGCATCACTGCTGTTGTGCGATCTAATCTTTGACCATCCTTTCAGAGTGATGCCGTAGGGGAGGACACCTCTCGACTCTACTATCTTGGCTTTCGAGGCGACCTTCGTAATCCCAAGAAAGACGCGAACTCGAAGATCGACATACCTGCTGCAAACGCGGCAGACGCGCCGCTCGTAGACCGAGTGTCGGAGAAGTCCGCGGGTGCACAAACGACGGCCAGATAGACCGCATATATCCTGGCACGCTGCACAACGGCCAACGGAGTTTGCCTGTCATAATGTTGTCTCCAGGTTGACAATGGAATCATTGGCTTCATGCCCCCTTTTACTTGCGCTCTCTTCAGCTTCGGATGAGGTTTGTGCGCGCACTCCATCTCTCTTTTATGCACTCCCGCAAGTTCTGTTCTCATCCACTTCGAAGTCCTTTCGATTCCGAAGGTTCCTTGCAGCACGAGGCCTGTGGCATGCTGATTCACGTGCAGCGTCACACCCGGTCTGCAAGTCTGACTTGCCTCTTGCCATCACTCGCCACTCCATACCTTAATCGACTATGCAGCCCACTGCCTCCCATACTGACCCTCACTCCGACTGGGACGATCTGTCTGCCCTTTGGAGCGACAAACCGCAGAAACCGTTGCGCGAGCGCCACCTCACTTTCCGTACCATAATCCCGGACGGTGTCCGCCTCCACGACAGAAGTGTCAAGCACCGGTACAAAAAAGCGCCTACCGCGTATCTTCTTGGGTACTTGGTAATACCTAACGATATCTATCAAATGCTCAAGCAGAGAGGGAAGGCATCGGACGACGTCCAGCGCACTCTCGTCCGATACCTCAAATGGGTGAAAGAGCAGACCAAAATGACATGGGGAAGTGGGCTACGGAAGGTGGACATCGACGGGAAGGAGATGTGGCTCTTCTACATTGCGAAGGCCTTGTGCAGGGAGGATATACTCGCGATAGATCAGTCATACCGCGACGGCCTTCGACGCTTGATCGGCGCCACCGAGGAGCCCATGCTCATCATCTACCATCATCCGAAGGTACGTATCTTTGTGCCGCGTCATGCATATACGACTGACTTCTGGCCACAGCGCTTCATCTGTTGAGGGTGCTTCCTCCCCCTCCCTCTTTGATTCAACTTCACCGCCGTCATCGAGCCGTGATCATTGTACAATATGCATAGCAACCTCCCATTTGCACGTACTTTTCCGAGATCTTGTCATCGCCGCCAATTCACCCACTACATAAATCTGACATTCGTCGACGGAGCTCACTCTCGATCACCGTATCATACAGCGTTGCTTAACGTACACTTGCCTATGGAAACTCATCAGGATTATATGATGTTTGGTGTCCCTCCCGACAAAGGTTGTCTCTTAAAGTTACAATGGTGGACGGTCCGGAGAACCGACGGCATCTTCCGTCGTCGAAGTTTCGTGCCGCACCGCGTTTGCGCCTGACTTGATCCACCATCAACGTGCAACTTGCCTCTTCCCGTCAAGCGCGCCCCTACGGACTCTAGCTCTCATTTGACCATGCAGTCCAACACGCCTATTGCATATGTGCCACTGTCCGCTCTCAGCGCTGGTAAACAGATACCGTTGCGCGAGTATACTCTCGTCTGCAACGCTATCGTCCCCGACGGTGCCGATCTCAACGACCGGAGCATTCAGCATCGGTATAAACAGTCGCGTCCTACCTATCTGTTTGGGTATCTACTATCGCCTCAGAAGGTGTACGAGATGCTCAGGCAGAGCGGGAAGGCCAGCAAGACCATGACAGCCACGCTCAAGGGATACCTCGGGTTTATCAAGAAACATACGGGCATCACTTGGGGGAACGGCTTGAAGAAGATTCACGTGGAAGAAGAGGAGGTCTGGATTATCTACACGGCGCAGTCATTGCGAAAGGAGGAGATATTCGAAATCGACCAGCCGCATCGAGATGCCTTTCGCCACTTGATCGGCGCGACCGAAGATCCCATGCTCATCACCTATGAACACCCGAAGGTGCGTCTTTTAAGAGTCTTTACGCCGTGTGCTATGCTCTCGTGACTGACTTCTTACACTAGCGCTTCATCTGTTGACGGTATACCTTCCTCTTTTGGGTCTGTCATTGTTGTAATCCACCGTCTCGGTGGCGTGTCATGGTTTTCCGCTCGAACGGTGCACATCTGGCCAAGATATTCACATTGCATGCCGCCTCGTCCATTCCCGTGGACCGCGTACTGACGCCAATTCGCCTCAAGTATGCCACCTCCTTATGTGGCTTGCTATTTGATGTAGTCCATCGCATAGCTCATCGTAGCCAGGATGATTCTTCTATGTTCTCTTCGCCGGTCTGATGCAGCACGAAGGGTATCAAGTTTATCCCTGAGATGCAGGCTTGCCCCGCCTTCTTGAAGTCAAACCCTGTCGCCTCGTAAAACCGCTCGTATTCATCGTGGGCCCTAAGCGTAGCATGTTCGTGTGAGGTGGCGTACAGACTCGTACAGATGGTATGGTACACTAGGTACGTCTACATATATGTGGTATGAGGAATCAACCTATCATGCCCGTGTGGTATAAATAACAGTGTGTGCGCGACGTGTGTGTGTGGTCTACAAATGTGTGGAGGTCATGCAAAGTCCCATGGGTGTAAGAGTGGAGGAGAAGGACGAAAAAGGCATGCGAGAAGAACGAAATCATAAAGACAAGGAGCGTGGAAGTTGCTGCAAACCCTCTATATACAGTGGTGATCCAGGCCGCGCCCGCGCTTGCCGTTCGACGAGCTCAGCTCACGCCTGCGCAGCGACTCTCGTGGGCGAGAACCAAAACTTGGGTGAAGATAGCAAGCGCTGGCGCTTGTACCCTGCCTGCCTCCGGGGTGGCGTAGTCAGGTTGTCGCCTACACGAGTGCCTGCGCGCTCCTCAAACGCCGCTGCCAAGGGCGAAGGTGGCGCAGAGACTTGACCGCGCGGAAATAGCTTGAAGCGACGCGGCGAGGCAGGACGCGGAGCAGCAGGAGCACGGGCCACGTCGCCATGCGCCAGAGCGGGCTTGCGGGCCTGCCGCGGGAGAGACTTGCCTCGGGCGGCGGCGGCAGCGACGGCGGGCGACGCGACGCGGGCGGGGGAGGTCGACCTGCGAAAGTGGTTCACGTTGTCGGTTATCATGGAGAAGAACGATCGGGGTGCGTGCTGACTCTGGCTGGCGCTCTGGCTCTGCGCGTGGCTGATTGGCGAGCGGTGCTCGGGCCAGACGATGGTGTCCGGGCACGGCGAGGGGCAGGCTACCGCGAGGGGATGGCGCTGCGCCTCGAGGTCCTGGTAGTAGTGCGACTCAGCCTCTGTCTCCGGGAACAACACGTTAGTGACCACCGAAACCGGCGATGAGACGTCCGACGGGTGCTCCGCGAAGGACATGTTCGACACGCTGTACCCCCACGCAGACGGCGACGTCATCTCGTCCTCCTCGGTCTCGCCCTCCGCGTCATAGGGGTCGGTGACCATGGCGGACGACGGACGCAGGGAGTTCTCGACCGACATCATCGACCGCGTGCGCTGGCCGTGCACAAGCAGCGACGGCGACAGCGAGTCGAGCTCGATGGCGGTGTGCATGATGGACGACAGCGTCGACGCCGAGGCCATACGCGCGTCCGGGTCGTAGCACTGCGGCCGGAGCCAGTTCGTGTCGATGGTGAGCGTCTTGCGCCGGTCGCGGCGGCCAATCTTCTCCGCACCGTACGGCGTGCACGGCAGCGAGCCCGAGAGCGTGTCGTCGACGGAGTCGCCCGACGACTGGCTCGCATACGGCGTGCGCGAGCGGTCGTAGATCTCGATGTCCTGCGACGAGTCGGAGGACGACGACGAGAGCGCGCCCTCCTCCGCGTAGCGCGACGCGGGCGGCGAGACCTCGACCGAGCGCGTCGCGAAGATGAGCTCCGACGAGGAGTCCTTGCTCCAGCGCGACTCGAGGAGCATGTTCTGCTGCGACTTCGTCGGGCTCGCGGCCGGGGAGCCCTGCTTCGTGGACGAGGAGGAGGACGCGGTGTGGATGTCCGCGCCGCACTCCCACGCGCACTTGGCCATGCTGCCCTCGAAGACGACGGTGTCGGCGTAGAAGTCGGTGATGTCCTCGATGGCGACGCGCAGCTCGGCGAGCGAGATGCGCCGCCGCCAGTTGACATCGAGCATCCGTATGAGGACGTCGTTGATCTCCGCGGAGATGGGCAGGACGGAGGGAAGGAAGTTCATGGGATCGTGCAGGTAGGCCTGGAAAGTAGGGTCGGAGATCGATGCAGACTTCCACTGCGACAGTATAAGCGAGGCGCGGCACGGAGAACATAAACATAGCATACCGGGTTGCGTCCCGTCATAAGATTAAGAAGAATAATACCCAGCGACCATATGTCGTTAAATAATGGCGAGTATGACCTCGCCGGTGCGTAATCACCGCCCTGACATTCTGAGAAAACGTGTAAGTATGGAGGCTTAGGCTATGACGAGGTCGACACTAACCCGGGCTCATATGGTACACGCTGCCGGTCCTGAACTCGTCGCTGTACTTGTCGGTAGTGCCTAGACGTGCTATCAGCGCCAGAACGACATCTAATAACAAGGGAACTCACTCAAGCCAAAGTCGGTGATGGCGACTCGGAGGCCCTCATCGAAACAGAGCACGTTCTCGGGCTTGAGGTCGCGATGGTAGATACCGAGAGAATGACAGAACTCGACAGCGTCAAGAAGTTGAAGGAAGACATGCTTAATGAGCTCGTTGTTGCCCAGGTACCGGCAGTTGTGCAGAATCTGCGTGAAGAGGTCCTGGTCGGGGGCGTAATCCATAATGATGAACGTGTAGTCCTCGTCCTCAATCACACGGTGCAGCGTGATGACGTTAGGGTGCGCGCTTGCCGCCTGATGGAGGGCGACCTCGCGGAGGTGCGCCTGGCGGTGGCGGGCGCTCTGCTTCTGGAACAGACACTTCACGGCGTACGACTGAGGCCGCGAGGAGTACGTGTCAACGGCGCGGTAGACGACACCGTATCCGCCCACACCGAGCACCTCGACGAGTTCCAGCGAGTCGTCGTCAATGAGGGTGCCGACGGGCGGGTGCGTCGCCGGCGACGAGACGCGGGGCTGCTTCGGCATGGCTGGCGATGGGGAGCGAAGGCGAGGTGACGGGACCCGGGGGCGAGTGCGGTACGGTGCTGCTGACAAGCCGCCGCTTAAAAGCAGCGCAGCAGGAGGTACCGGCGGGAACGTGCCCCCCAGTCGTTTTCAGCGTGTTGAACACGAGGAGATCAAATGATGCCTGCGTGCAGGATCGGGGCTAGGCGACGAGCAGGTTGCAGCAACGAAGTTATAACGCAAAGGGTTTCATGCGGATGGAGCTTGGGGGCGAGGAAGTAAAACCGAGGTCCGCGCTCGGAAAGGGGGGACAGACGTGCGAAAGGCACTCAAGGCCCATCCTCGGGATTGTGAGTATCAACGTTCGATCTGGGGCCTACTGAATGGAGGGAGAGTGCGCACCCGGTATAGGTGGAGCCAATGAGACGAGTGCGTTCGGCCCTTTGGGCGATCTGTCCGCGATCTGTCCGTGGCGGAACGTGCCATCGTCGGCGGCGCCTAATGCTTGTTGTAATTTCGGGAACAAAGCGAACGGCGACATAGCACAAATGACCATCAAAACTCAGCCGGCATTACGCTAGTAGGGTACGGGGCATTTATGACCGCCACCGCAGCCCACTGAGAATGTTCGGGTCGACGTGCATCGCCCACGCATGGGGCGACGTAAACGATAATGTGCGTATGTTCTGTGACCGACAGAGCAAGACAAGCACAATTATGAATGAACATAGTCGAGGGATGGGTAGATATCCCGGATTAGATGACAGGATGAACGGCAATCTGCCCAAGTTCGACTTCGGGGCCGACGGGGGAGCGCTTGCTGATTGAATGGCGCGCCTCGTGTTGGTGTTTGTCTGCAGAACGCGTGTATATTAGTTGTGCAATGAAAGCGGTGCATGGTTGTCATGACAAGTCGTTATTCCGCCCCAAACACGTGATCCCATGTGCGCTGAACAAACCCGTTGCCGAGAAGCCGAGAGACTTTGCGGTGTCACGCAGCCAAGTCCCTCAAAGTCGCCACCTCGCGAAGGGCAAGGGCCTTCAGGCCAGAGTTCAGCGTATGGCTCTCTTCTGATACTTCTATTTTACTTATACATGATTTTAATATGGAACTGCTCGCGGAAGGCCCGATAGAGTGGCCGGGATCACAGTGTTCAAGTTGCCACCCTACCTCTCGATTTGCCACCCGATAAGTCATACTTGAGGGGACCAGAGAGGCCCGCCACTGCAAATCTTCGTGAGAGAGAGAAAGAAGTCATATATTCAGTTGAACATGGTAACTGCTAAGCTATGCATACTTGTGGCAGACTGGGGGCAATGAAAAGGAAAGTGAGCCACCCGAAGTCAATGGTGGCGGAGGGTCATGACTGTGCGTATTACGCGCCTACATCCATCGTAGAGCAAGATGAGGCTTGCAGAGCGCGGGCGAGGGGGGCTTGAGAGGAGGAGTGGCGTGGCGTGGCGTGGCATGGTGAGAGTAGAACGAAAGGACAGCGTGTGCGTTATGCACTGTCACGCACCGGAAATTGCCCCGGAGATCTCCGAAACGTGGGATCACGTGTTTGGGGCGGAATAACAAGACCTGTTGTCATGACAGAGGTGCGTTTTGTCAAGGCCGGGACCACACTTGTTGCGTGCGGGGCAATGAAGGCATAAAGCAGAGTTGAACATGACAAGGACCGTGCGAAAAGGTTCGGCGTCAAGCGCAGGCCACGCGAGTCACACACTAGTTACGCTGGGTCACGCCCACGTGAATCACAGCCGTGGGTATTTCATCCACGGGAGCAGCCTTCACTCTACTCGACGATCACTCACCGTCGCCTCCAAGCTCGTCCAGGTCGCCATCTGCCACCCCCAGCACCGGTCCGCTCCCTTTTAATGTCTGGCCGCTCGTTCTCCGTCTACCGCGACACCCCCGCGGCCCCGTCGCGGCCGGCCACTCCCCCAGCGACGTCCGACAAGCCTGCGCCCTCCGCCAGCTCGGACGCGGTGGCCCCCGGCACCCCGCTCTCCCCCACCAGTGGCGAGAAGGAGAACACGAACCCGGTGACTGGCCAGCGCGCGGGCGCTCCGGCCGTCGCGGGCAAGAAGCGCAAGACTGCAGTGCTGGCCACGAAGGCATCGCTGCCTCTCGGAGAGAAGGCGCGGCAGGAGGTAGAGGCAGCGGAGCCTGAAGCGAAGAAGCGCAAGGCTTCTATCCTTCGCCCCAAGGACGGCAAGTCGTCATCCATCCCGCGGAAATCAGCTAGTGGGACGGCGAAGAAGGGGGCGAAGAAGGTGGCGCGCCGCGGTGCATCCCCCTTGCCAAAGGTCGAGGAGCTCCCCGAGGAGAACGAGACGAAAGAAGTCACGCAAGCGCTCATCAACGAGCGATGCTACGAACTCACGGTCAGCCCGCTGGCCGACGTTACCGAAGCGTATGTCGAGAAGTCCACCGAGGCCACCGCGACGCCTGCCACCCCAAAGAAAACTGAGAGCACGTTCACGACTATCAGGGTATGTGCCCCGCCACTCCCCTTCCCCGCATTACCCTGACCTCTTGTCCAGGAAAAATCAGTTGAACCCGAGATCTCCGACCCCGCCCCGATCGCCCCCGCCAAGGCGCGGGCGAAGTCCATTGTGCGCAAGGTGCTCACGACGCCTGAGCGCCGGGCCATCTCCTCCACGTTCACCTTCCACTCCCCCTCCCCCACGAGCGAACGTATCAAGGACTCGCGCGTCGACCCCGACCTGATCATCGACCTCAAGTCCGACGACCTCTTCGGGTTCTTCTGACGAGGATCCGCCCCACGAATGTTTCCACGACCGCATATCTACCTTCATCTTTGCATTATCTATTGGCACGCACTATCGCTGTCGCAGACCGCTCTTCTCATACCAGAATCCGTACCAGAATCCAAACTACAAATCTTATCGCATACCATCGACGTTCCGTGTCCCGCTTCTTACACTTACTTGCGCGGCTCTGGCGGAGTCGCGCGGCTGCTTGTCTGTTTTTCCCCGACTGCTTTCCTCATCTCTTCGCATATAGCCCAGTTGACGTTCACGAACCTGGCCAGGACAGACATGCCATGTTCTGTACGTCGCCGCAGTGCTGTCCGTGTTACCTACCCATACCATGTGTACAACAATTGCATCTCATTGTATCGTGGCATGCAATCCCATCCCTATTTATCGGTCTCTCTCCCTTGCACCTTGCATTGTCCGCACCACCCAGCCACCTTGCAATGTCCCCGCGCGCCTATATCCGGGCAGCTGCGGGGGAATGCCGCGCGCGCGTGGGGTGACGTCATCTGTGGCACGCGTCGCTGTGATTTCGGTTATCTCGCCACGTGACCGCGTGACCCGCGGCCAAATGAGATAGGCGCGCGTTGAGCGACGGCTTGGTGCTGGCCCGCATGATGATACGGACGACGCCGAGCAAACGCCCAACGCCAGAGATAAGGCTTGAGGCGCACTCAATGGCTCGGCCGACGCAGCCAAGCTGCTCTTGCTTCCCCCTTCCACGTTCGTACCAGCGCGATGGGGCTCCTGCAGCGACTAGAGGTGTCCCACCAGCCAGGGCAGACTTATGCGCAGATGTTTCTGGAGGTGAGGGGGTGTCTGAGAGCTTGAGGGAGCTTGGCTGATGTATGTGTGTTCGCAGAATGAGGATCTGCGGCCTGTGGAAGCAGAGAAGCGGACTTGGAGGGGATGGAATTTTGTCACCTTGTCCGTCCTTCCCTTCGCAATGTGATCAGGCGCTCACCGAATCCCGAAATAGCTGGATAGCCGATAGCTTCAATATCAATACGTGCGTCTGAATGTACTTCTGCAGTGCAACTCCCCTCTGCAGTCAAGTCATCCCATCGATCCTGACGACTACACAGATGGATGATCGCCTCGTCCATGATCCAGCTGGGGCTAACCTGGTGGCAGGCATGGATATGCGTCTGGGTCGGCTACCTCGCGGTGGCGCCCTTCATTGCACTCAACGCACGTCCTGTAAGTCAGGAACCCTCCGCATTCGGGATTCCCCTCGCCTGGCGCTAGGCTAACACCACCCGACGCGTCTTAGGGCGCCATCTTCCATGTCACCTTCCCTGTGGTGGCGCGCACCAGTTTCGGCCTGTACGGCAGCCTGTGGTGCACCTTCAACCGTGGAGTGATGGGTGAGTCTTGTATTCACTTGGCTGGGACCTAGCGTGCCCAGCGTCATCGCCACGCCAATCTCTGACATTCCTTGGCTTCTAGCATGGTGCGCGGCTTGCTCGTGTACTTCGCACGACACTAGGCGGCTGAATCAATATGCAGTATCTGGTACGGGGTTCAAGCGAGTATCGGGGGCCAGTGCGTGCTGGTGGCCCTGCGCGCGATATGGCCGTCGACGAACAATATACGTGTGTGGCCTGACCTTTGGTATAGAGATCATGTTCGCTGACAACGTTGTGATACCTGTTAAGCGAACCATCTACCCGAATCGTCAGGAACCACGACGCGCGACTTCATGTGCTTCTTCCTCTTCTGGCTCATCAGCTTGCCGGCGATCTGGTTTCCCATCCACCAGATGTGAGTTTCGGCCTCTTGCGTTGCTTCCAGATTAGAGTTCCCTCCACCATACCCAATCTTCACGGCTATTCCCACTCTATTACATCTGCCAATGATTTCGTTCGCTTGCTAATCCGCCCCTCCACCCAGCCGCCACCTCTTCACGCTCAAAGCCATCGTCGCGCCCGTCGCCGGCATCACCTTCTTCGTCTGGTGCATAGTCAAAGCACATGGCGTCGGGCCCATCGTCAAGCAGCCCGCGACGATCCATGGCCCTGAGTTCTCCTGGGCCATGGTGTCCAGCCTGATGTCGTGCATCAGTAATATGGCTACGCTGATCACGTATGTCCTTTCTTCCTTCGCACATCAGTGCCCGCTATCACACCTTGCTCTACCACACCTTGCTCGCCCTCGGCTTTTCTCTCCTCACCTCCTCCACCACCTGCCCTCCCCCACCCTTACTCATCCCCTTCCCTCTCCCTTCCTCATCTCCCTTCCCTCTACACTCACGCCCACTAACTCCCCCCACCAGCAACGCCCCCGACTTCGCCTCGCGCGCCACGACGCCCTCCGCCGCGCTCTGGCCGCAGGTCTTCGCCGTCCCGCTCACCTTCTCCCTCGTCTCCTTCATCGGCATCATCGTCGGCTCCTCGTCGCAGGCGATCTACGGGGAGGCGATCTGGTCGCCGATTGAGCTGCTCGGGAGGTTTTTGGACGATGGGCCGTCGAGGGGGCAGAGGTTTGGGGTGAGTGGACTTAGTTTTTGGTTTTGTTCATGCAGGTGGTGGTGGTGGTGGTGGGATGAGGAGGGTTGGGTATGGAAGGGAAGGGAATGCTGACGAAGGAAACAGATCTGGTTCATCGCGACGGCGTTCATCATCGCGCAGTTGGGGACGAACATCTCGGCCAACTCCGTCAGCGCTGGGTGCGACTTGACGGCGCTGATGCCGCGCTTCATTGTGTGTTTTCCCTCGTCTGTCATGGGTTCACTCGCACGAAGTCTGACACCCCCCTCAGAATATCCGCCGCGGGGGCTACATCGCCGCCATCGTCGGCATATGCATCTGCCCGTGGAACCTCCTGAAGGATAGCAACAGCTTCACGTCGTATCTGTCCGCGTACTCGGTCTTCCTAAGCTCGATCGCGGGGGTTATGGTGCGTTCTCGTCCCCCTTCAACCTTGCCTCTGGCCCATCCTTCCGCCCTCCTTCTCCACATCGAGCCGACTGGAAGCTAACTCTCTCATAGGTCACCGAATACTATCTCATCCGCCGCGGCCATTACAACCTCGCCGACCTTTACTCAAACCACAAGGACGGCTGGTACTACTACACCTACGGCGTCAACTTCCGCGCTTACGCGGCGTATATCGCGGGCATCCTGATCAATGTGGTGGGCTTTGCGGGTGCTAGTGAGTGTTGTTCTTCCCTTCTTACTCCGTCCCACTCCCCTCTTCCATTTCTGTCTGCCATCCTCTTTTTCCCTCATTGATGATCACTCTACCCTACCCCATCCCCCTTCACCTACCCATACTAACTCCTCCTCCCTCTAGCTGGCCGCTCCGTCCCCGCCTCCGCCACGCACATCTACGAGCTCTCCTTCTTCACCGGCTTCGGCGTCTCGTCCGTCATCTACTACGCGCTCAACCTCGCGTTCCCCGTGCCTGGGAAAGCGAAGAGCTTCAGGGAGGTGGATGTGTCGGGGGCGGTGGATGATGGGGCGAGCGAGAGTCACGACGCCAGCGTTGGACGCAAAGGCTCAAGCGTGGGCCATGCCGACGAGGACCCAGACAAGAAGGACAGGGCGGAGACCGTGGTGTACGAGGCTGCATAGCGCCACAGGGACTTGTGGCCCGGGCCTCGTGATCAGGCAGCTCGCTGCCTACGATAAAAATCCGTCCTTTGCGGTGTACGAAGTTGTGAATGGAACCATTGTTCAAGCTCCGGTGGCTCTGCGCCCCAGATCGTCGTGCAGTTCGAGTCAAGAGCTGTTGATTTCATGAGTAACTCGGCTTTTTCGAAGGTAACTGTTGGCGTCGGCATCGACTAACTTACTCTAGAATACTATATTCAAGCTATTCCTTTCTACAAGGCCTGTGACTGTGAGCCTGACTCAACGCGAGCGTCCAGACAGTGTCTATTGAAGGTGATGCGACGCGTTGAATCAAGAGCGAGCTATACTGATAATTTGCGATCTCTCCAGGTCTGCTTGTCCGGTCGGCTTTCGACCACATGCGTCGAGTGAATCAATGTCCGGAAAGCATATCCTCGGTCTCCTTCTGCCGTCCATACCAGTCCAGGACATCCATCGTGAAGAGTGCCCTGTAACAGACACGAACTATACCCATAACGGCCAGAAGCTATGCATCACCTCGCAAGTGCCAAAAGCCCAGCCGCCCTAGCAAGTGTCCAACCACTTCCATTGGAACGCAGTCCTCTCACCGGGCGCCTACTCCGATCTCCTCGACAATGAAGACATTCAACCCCTCGCTGGCCTCGGTGCCTACCCTCGTGCCTTTGCACGAAGACCTACGGCCGCACAAGAAATCGAGTCTGGCTCGCTCACCAGCGCCTCTCGCTATGCAGATCCTTCGCCGCCGCTTGCGTTCCATGCCAGATCGACCTCGCTCTCGACTGGAAGTGCCTTAAACGCTCGGCTGGGTGACCTTGTGCGAGGACCGGTATAAAAGGACTAACCTGTAGCTCACACTTTCTTCAGCAACTTCGAACGCCAGCACAGCGTTCGCTACCTATAGCCTCTCCTCATCACCATGCTCTTCTTCCAGATCCTCTTCACTCTCGCAGTCGCCGTCCTGGCCGCCGCCGAGACGCACACCATCCACTTCGACAATGCGTGCAACCGGGGCACTGTGAGCACTTCTTGTGGACGTCTGCATCTGAAAGTCGAGCTGAGGAACATCTCTTCCTAGCCGGTGATCTACCAGAACTTCAAGCAATTGCACTCCGGTCCGGGAGACTATACGTTCCAGGGCGAGGCGCGCTCGGTCATTGCGTGAGTGGCTGGTCTCGTCTTGTAAGGCTTGGCGCTGATCAGTCGTATTCGTTGACCCCTGCAGCTTCCTGCAGACGGGAAATTGCGGCGCGAACGGCGAGGGCTGCACCATGGTTGAGTTCACGCTCGTCAACGGCGGACAAGTGTCCAGCACGGACGTGACCCTCATTCCTCCGTGCGTCTTACCATCCTTCTTGCCACGGCACCCATACTCATACCATCACCTTACCCCAAGTCATACCTTCTCCGTCGCCACCGGCTTCGGGTACTACAACGGGTGCGACGGCGTCGGCAACAACTGCCAGTCCGCCAACTGCGCGGGCGCTTTCCACCAGACGGGTGACTACAGCGCGCAGCGCCAGTGCGTTCACGATAATGTACGACTTGTCCTACATAAATTCAATAGCCGGATGCTGATATTTTCTCACAGGTCAACCTCGCTATCACCTTCTGTAAGTAAAGAGGCAAAATCAAAGCCACACACACTTGGTTGGCAACAAATTAATGGGACAATCGGTGTACTGATCGAGGGTGTACTGTTACCAATGCGAATGTCGTATGTAATGCAAAGTGGTTGTGTAGACCTCGATGTGAGACGCGCAAAACCTGCACTTCTTTCCTGGATTTGCCTTTGTTTTTACCTGTGGGCGCTCCGGCGGCGCTCGGACCGGGGAAGCGATCTCTTCCATCATCACCTCCGCACGCTCCATTGTCTTCCGTATTCAAGCGCCGTCCCGCACAAGTCTCCTTCTGTCCCTCATACCATTCCGAGAGCAGGAAATCAACTCCAAGGACTCCCTGACTTGGTTCACAGCTCCTCGCCATGGCCGCACCTCTGTACAGTGCGTGAACAGTCCGCCATGCTGGTCGAGTGCTGAATCCAACGTGTATCGGTTAGCCACGGAATCCGGTCTCCTCTGGCACGCCGGAAAGATCCTCGTCGTGACCGTCGGCCTACCAGCTCGTGGAAAGACCCATATCTCCCGCTCCCTGGAACGCTATCTACGATGGATGGGCGTCAAGACGCAAGTCGTTTCCACCGGCGACTACCGCCGGAAGACGCTCGGAGGGACGAAGAACCTGCCACCAGACTACTTTAATCTTGGTGCGTGCACAACCGATCGCCCATCCAACGTGTGCTCACCCTTGTGTAGGCGGAGAACGTAGTCAATCAACAAATGAGTTGCGCAAGAAGATCCTGGAGGGCTGCGAGAAGTTGATCTGGGACTTCTTCCATGGGGGAGGGCAGGTCGTGATATACGACGCGAACAATGGGACGAGGCAGGCGCGGGCGACGCTGGCGAAGAAGTTCACGGATGCGGGGATCCATGTCATCATGCTAGGTGCGTACGCGCGCGTCATAGCATGTTGCCCGTTCACTGACATTGTCATTGCCTCAAGAGTCCGTCTGCGATAACCAAGAGATCATTGAAAACAATATACGAAGCGTCAAGATCTCCTCTCCAGACGTGCGTGCCCGTTGAACCCGCGCTAGGATACCCCTCACATCCCAATCGCAGTACCGTGAATGGGACCCGGATCAGGCCGTGAAGGACTACTTCCGTCGTATTCAAGACCACGAGAAGTTCTACGAGCCCGTTGAGGAGACGACATGGCCGTTCATCCGCATCATCAACGTGCGTCATGACCCTCTAGCATTCCGACTCGTCTAACCGTTCGCTAGGTAGGAGAGAAGATCATGGTCAACGTGAGTAAACGAACCTTATCCATAGTGCACATATCTCATAAGCCATGCAGAACATCCGTGGCTACCTTCAATCTCGGATTGTCTTCTTCCTCATGAACATCCACAACCGCTATCGGACAATTTACTTTGCCAGGGTGCGCCTTGACCGTCTATCCTCTGGTAGTTCCTAACTAACTTATGCCCTTCAGTCCGGCCAATCCCTCATCGAACATTCGTACAAAGCCGACTCCGACCTCTCGCCTGCCGGTTGGGAGTACGCCGAGAAGCTGAAAGACTTCGTGCTTGAGCGATGGCAGAAGAGCTTGAAGGAGCGCGGCTTGAAGCAGGAGCAGCGGAGATTGGTGGTCAGTGTTTTCACTCGTCATCATGACGAACCAACCTGCATTTTCCCCATCTTCAACTCGAGGCTAATTACCCATCTACACTCGTAGATATGGACTTCCACCCGCCGTCGTGCCCATCACACTGCCTGGCCCTTCCTCTCCGAAGCGTCTGCGTCGCATGGCCGGCAACAGGTGACAACCGGAACCGTCGCTGCCACGCCCGCCGTCCAAACGACGATGCAAGAGGTCCCTAACCCGATGGAGTCCGCAAACACCCCACCCGTCAACATCAAGGTCGTCGAGAAAGCCCAAATGTCCGAAATCAACCCCGGCATCTGGGACGGCCTCTCCCCCGACCAAGCGCGCAAGTACTACCCCCAGGACTGGGAGCGCTTCGTCAAGGACCCCTACGCCTTCCGCGCGCCCCGCGCCGAGAGCTACCACGACCTCTGCGTGCGGCTCGAGCCCGTGCTCATCGAGCTCGAGCGCGAGCGCGAGGACCTGCTCATCATCGGACACTCCTCCGTCATCCGCTGCCTGCTCGCCTACCTCATCGGCCTCCCCGCGTCTGAGATTCCCGCCATCGAGATCGCGCGCGGCGACCTGCTCGAGGTCGTCCCCGCCTCCTACGGCGTGCACTCGCAGGCGTTCCACTTCTGGGACGGGCCTGGGAGGCGGGTGGGCGATGTGGCGGACGGGGGGCAGAATGATGATAATTTCTACGAGAACTATGCGGAGGATACGAAGGGGAAGAGGAAGTTGACGTCGGATGAGTCGGCGGCGGCGGGGGTGCCGCAGGTGGTGCAGGAGGCGCCGCGCGCGCAGGCGATGACGGAGACCTCGGGCCCGAAGGTGGTTGTTACCACTGATGAGGGGCCGGTGTCGGACGCGGCGGTGGTGACTGGAGAGCCGGAAACGTACTAAACAATCTATTCTAGACAGATGCACATTGTACCATAGCTAGCTACAGACAAACATGAATTGGGCGCAGTGAACATTGCTGACGACGTCTTGCCCAATTCAAACCTCAAAGCCGGCAAGCGCCGACTAGTCAGCCGTTCGAAACGTGCCCTGCCCACAGCATGCGATCCGCTCACGTATAGCGACCCTTCGTCAACAGATGTATTGCTATAAACGGGATGTCAGTAGCACTTGATCGCGCCAGTGCCGGAGGACGTACCTTCGGATGTTTGTACAGAATGAGAGCGGGATCTGCACCAGCGCCCAGCAGTCGCCGAAACCCTGCGACCTCCTCAAGCTCTACAGCGTATATATCCTCCTTCCGCGCCGACTCCGCCATCCAAAATAGCCAAACCTCCTCACCGTCCCAGATCCCCTTTGTCAGACCATTTCCCCATGTTATCCTGCATTGCTTCTTGATGTAGGCGAGGTACTTGTCGTGGGTGGCTTTCATGGTTGCTTCCGCCTTGCCACTCCTCTGAAGGCCCTCGTAAAGCTTCTTCGGAGACATGATATAGCCGAGAAGGTAGACTAGGCGTGGCTGTATGTAGCAGTGCCTCACGCTCCTGTCGTTTGGGTTGACTTGCGGCGGGACGATGTCTCGGATGTTGAGCGTAACTTGGGGAAGCCTGCGGCCACCAGACGCGATAGCTCCGCCAATGGTGGCTGGGGAGGCGTCAGTATGCTGGATTGTGCCGGTAAGAGGGGGCGTGGTTTCCATAGTTGAGGGCAAAAGAGTGACGCGGTTGATGGTGGTGGCAGGTTCGGTCACGCCCACGCAGGCCCACGCGGCGCGACTCAGAGTCACCAGTCAACATCGTCCCGTGATTTCTCTGTTCATGTATGCCAGTGCCGCTGCCAGACCTGCCAGATGATCTTGTATGGAGAGCACCGCGCCCAGGCTTTCTCATTCACACTGTACCGACCGGACAGACTGAAATGCACAGCTGCCAGTGCGCCACTCACGCCGGACGTTCTATCCGATGACGAGACGACGGGGCACACACACGAGGCTCCGATATTAAGAGGTATATTCAAGGTCAGGGTATGTCACATGATCCCAAGAGATATCCATCCGATACGCCCAGCGCGATGACGCCCGTATACCATGATTACGAGGGAGAATGATTGCGGGTTCAAGAGATGTAGTGCTAATGAGAAGCCGGTTAGCACAAGACCACAATAGCTCTTATAGTCAGACGCACCCGAGGATGATGATATGCAATGAGAATGGGATCGTCCGCAACCCCCATAGCTCTCCGGAGCCCATCCCTGGCCTCCTCGCTGATAGCCTGGATATCCTCCTTGCGCAATGACTGTACGGCGTAGAACAGCCACCATTCTTCACCGTTGATACGTTCCTTCAGTATACCGTCCCCCCATGTCAGCCCGATGTTCTCTTGTATAAGCGCAAGGTATTTCTCGAGAGTGGCTTCGACCGTGGCTTCCTGCTGACCGCGCCTCTTGAACGCATCGTAGATCTTCATCGGATTCATGAAGTAGCCAAGGAAGTAGGTCGGCGGAGCCTGCCTGTATCGGTGAGGTCCCTTTTTGCGAAGGTCGACGCCTTTTGGAACAATCCTGTCGACGATATATCGCAACTCGCGCAACGGCTTGAGTGAAGGTGGTGGCGTGGAGAGTTCGTGGTCGATGCCGGATGCAATAGTCAGAGCCATCTGCACTGGTTCAGGTGAACTGCGTCAGTGAGCGACCGGGGAGACGGATGAGCGCACGCACCGGATGATGAGAGTAGAAGACAAGAAGGTGATAGTCACGGGACGTGACGCCATCAGGATCGTAAGTAACGCGACGCGCAAGCGCTCACGTGATGGCCACGTTCAACCTGAACAATGACCATCGATATGCCACCGGCCGCCACCGGCATGACTGCGCACGCATATATAAACAAGGCGTGACCACACGCGGCCACATTCTCTTCATTCACCAACACCCATCACCCATGATGCCACCCTCCGGCGCTGGTGGCGATGTCGAGTCAACGTTATCCTCATTGACGCATCCTCCCATTTCGCAGCTGCCGTCGGTCCTGAGGTCGCACTGGAAGATCATGATTCCTATGCTGCAAGCCTTTACCAACACGAATCGCGTCCATACCGAGCATGAAGATTATGCACTTTGGAACTCTGTCATCACATATCTCGCCGACGCGTTCATGAACAGGCCGGCATCGGTCGTCCCTCAGCCCAAGCTATGGGTTCTTCCGAAGGATGTCCGTATTCTTCTCAAGTCCAAGAAGCAGAAGGTGGCATTGCAACTAACAGACGCATCATTGCCACCTGCGCTCGCGCGATTGGAGTCTCCTGCAGGTGCGACTGCTGCAAATGCTGAGGAAAAGGTACGAGTCTGTGCATTCGCGTATGTCTCTGCTGTATCTCATACCTCACGCCAGGTTTCCAGTAACGCTACAATGCAACCACAGCCTGAGTCCGCGTCTGCGCCCTCGACATCAACACCTCGACAGCCTGGTGTACCGCCGCTGCCTTCAAGGAGCGCCCTCCCCTTCAAGGATCTGGAATCCCGCTTGAGGTCTTTCCATACGTTGTTTGAACCTCCCGACCTTTCTGCGTTGACCGATCTTCCTGTCGAGGTGAGTTCAGTGCCGTCATTTACTTCACTCTGAGCTCATGCAGTGCTCAGGAATCTGACGCTGAGGAAGTGCGTGGCAGCCATATCGCTATACCTCGGGACGAGATCATCGTTCAAGGCGACTTGTCGGAGCTGGAGGATAGCTTCCTCGACAAGTCCACATGCACTACCCGGACCGAGAAGACCAAGGGCAAGAAGCACGTCGTATCTGATTTCGGAGTCGTCACGCCACTGGAGAACTATCCGATCACTGCTGAGAAGATCGCGGAGGATTGTGCTGATATTCGCAAGAAGCTCGATGAGGCGTCGCGCCTCCCTCCTGACGCGGAGGAATTCATTCCGCAATATCGGTGTGAAATCGATGACTACGACAGCGATGAAGAGGAATACGAAAGTGACTCCGACGATGATTATGTGCCAGAGGATACACGCGATACACCACCTGCGCCTTCGCACGTCAAGCTTCGATCTCAGACCACCACGGCACAGAATGCCAACTCCACTACGAGCGGTGCCCCACCTCAGCCACACGTATCCCATGTCGCCGCTGCTGCACCTGCTCCCATGCAGCCGGACTGGCTTGCTAGCGATATAGGGTCAGCCGGCTGGTGGCACTCAGACAAGCCTTATGCGCACGTCTGCAACCACAAGCAAGCGTTCAAAAGGCTCAAATTTCTCGTCGGCTTCGCTGTCGCCATGCTCTGGGAGGGCAAACGGTCTGCCTCTCGCAAACTCGAAGAGGAAGCTTACAGGACGAAAACTTATTCGCGGTTCTACAAGGCCATGCGCTCTTTGATGATACAGGTGAGTCGACGTTCACCTAACCTTCAGGAGTGAGGATATTAACTTGCGACGTAGGCCTTATTCGTTCTCGTCACCGAGGCTTGGAACCAGAAGAAGGTCGTCTGTGTGGCCATGGTCAGCGATTTATGGTCATGGAACGTGTTCGAACGCATCGAAGGGCGCGAGGTGAAGGACGACTGGCTGAGCTACACGCCCGAGACTGCTCCCATCAGAAGCTGTTATCCGTGGTCTCAGCCTTTCCAGTGGGGCTCACCGGAGTCCGATGACGCGGTCATTCTCATGATGAACGAAGTCAACTCAATCTTTCCCGCTTTCCCGACATCGTTGATCGAGCCTGACTCTGGCGCTGATGATTCGGCGACTGCGACGAACCCTTCAGAGCCTCAAGCTCAGGCGCAGCCAAACCCAGGCGCGGCCCCCTTTGGTGCTGCTCAACCTGCGCAAGCCACGACGTCTTTCGGTGAAGCGACAGATCAAGAACGATCCGAAATATCCGTCGATGATGCCTCCCTCGATCGCGCTAAGGATCGGCCTACCACTAGCGGTCCTGCGCCCAAGATGCAACTGTCTCCGCTCACAGGACCCCGTGCGCCATCTGCTGCTGCTGATGTCACCATGTCGGACGCCGCCCTTTCTTCGAATGCTGCCGCTGCCGCTGGACCCGAGGCGCCCACGCCTGCGCCTCCCCGTGCACTATGGCGCGGACTTCGGCGCAATGACACGGAGGATACGGAACCTGATGCTCCTCGACGCCCACTTCCGATACAGTCGAACAACCCGAACGACAGCGGTATCAGTCGTCCACTTCTGCACGGCCACCGCACGCTGGCTACACTGAACGCTCTCGATGCCATCAACATCAACACCAACGATTCCGTCGGCTCATCCACCAACGCTCTAGCTGGCAATGATTTCGTCCAAGCAACTGCCGCTGCCGCTAATTCTACCGCTGCTCAAGCCAGCGGCAGCGGCACATTGCCGACCAACTCTGGCAACCCGCGCAAACGATCCGCCTCTGCAGACTCGGACGGCGAGGATGACGACCGGGCGCCAGCAGCGAAAAAAGTCAAGAGAACGCCTGTATCTACCGAACCGTCTGCGGAAGCTGGCCCGGGGCCGTCTACGCAGGCCCGTAGATCCCGGGCGCCTTCCAAGGGAAAGAAACGCAAGCTCAATGGAGTGATGGCGCAGGCCTACGCGCTGGCGCACCCCCGCGATGCGAATGGGCAATTCATTAAGAAGCAGTAGACTGACTCACTTTCCTTGGCGTTCTGCGACTCTCGTTGACCGAGGCGCCGCTCCAAGCAATTTATCTATTGTAGTCCGTGTCGATTGCTATATATTCTTTCCGTCGCTTTTGAGACATCGAGCGTGACCGTCTTTGGCAAATCCATCTATGCAACTCATATTGGGAGCCTCTGGTGCGTACCCGGATGTCATCGAACACTTTCCCGCATCCCGCCCTTCGTTCGAGATGCACCATTCTGGTACTCGCACCCTGCTGATCACTCTCGACTCCTCAGGCGCTGGAGAGCGACCTTCTCGCCTCGCCTCTCCACGCGCCGCCCCTTGCAGCCTCGTTGCGGAAAATGAGTACTTGTAATTGGCTGACACCCATGTTTTCCAATGGATTGAGCAGGAATATACAGGTGGGCATATTGCCGTGCTACGACATCACAAAAACGGACATCTGCAACGTAATGTGCTGCGACGTGTGCGTGTGACTTGGCCGCGAGGAAGGGGAAAACATTCGGATGCTCAAGAAATATAATGCTAGCGGCCCGGGGAGTACAAGGCGCACGTGAGCATAAGTTCGAAGCAGCTCAGGTAGGAAGACGCACGCGAGGATGATGATATACGATGAGCATTGGATCCACCGGAGCGGCCATCACCCGCCGGAACCCATCTCTCACCTCCTGGTCGAGAGCCAGTATATCCTCCTTCCGCAGCGACTGCACGGCGTAGAACATCCACCACTCTTCGCCCTCGATCTTCATCTTCGTCACCCCGTTTCCCCACGTCAGCTTGATCTGTTCCTTGACGAACGCGAGATACTTGGCGAGCGTCGCCTCCACGGTGGCCTCCTCCTGACCGCTCCTTCTGTACGAGTCGTAGATCATCGCCGGTTTCATGAGGTAGCTGAAGAGATAGGTCGGAGGCCTCTGCCTGTACTTGTGAGTCCCCGGTTTGGTGATGTCGATGCCGGATGGGACGTCATTCTTCACGTAGTAGTGGAACTCCCGCATCGGCTTGAGCGATGGCTGTGGCGTGTTCAGCCCAACGCTGACAGCCTTGTTGTCGGAGGTGATCGATATGACCATCTGCGGTTGTAATATGTGTGGCGAAAAGGATAAAGACAAGACAAAATTGCAGATGATGGTAAGTAGGGAGCAAGTTGCGCCGAGCAACAAAGAGTCGCGCGCGATGGTTCTGCTTGATTGTCTCGTGGCTATCACGTGTTTGCTTCAAATTCGCTGTTGAGCGAATGAAGGTGCACCAGGAAGACTACTTACCAAACTTATAGCTGAGGTGAGCTTGAGTTGTTCACGCAGGCTTTGTCCCATTCCCCAACTGTTGAAACCCAAGAAGCACATCGTGCAATAACCATAGCCATAAATTACCGTCAGACTGCGCTCTACGCTATGTCACTTCACGAGTAGTTTCCCCATCGCATCCCAATATCTACCATACCTTACACCCTCCTCTTCACATGTCCCCATCTTCCTCCCCGTCCTCGTCCATCAACGACCGTTGCGCATACCCATAGGTCATCGCCTCTTCCCCAACGTCCAGATCCCTCTCTAGATCCAGTTCGCCTTCCTCCCCAAACGCACCACTCCCACTCGACGGACCCCCCATCCTCAACCGCCTCACCTCCGCCCTCAGCCTCTCGATCTCCTCGTCCCGCCTCGCCACCCGCCCCTTCAACCGCCTGATGTACTCATTGCTGCAAATCAGCAGCTGCAGCTTGCTCACGCCCTTGTTCGGGCCCTCCCCGCCTGCCTTGGGTGGTCCGCGCGGCGGGAGGGCGCCGGGAAGCACGCCGGGCTCGCCGCCCTGCTCGCCGAGGGCGGAGGGGAGGGGGATGGGCGGGAGCAGCCCGCGCAGGTCATCGATCGTCGTCTTCATCGAATCGCGCCGTTTTTGCTCGGCAGCTTTGTGCGACTTTTTGGGGAATTGTGCGGTGGGCTGAGAGGTACCGGCTGTGGTAGGCAGGTGAGCCCAGCTAGTCGAGGGAGATAGATGTAAAGAGAGTGACGCACCAGGTAGGATGGCTTTTAAGCCCGGGCTGACGAGGGCGGAGGGAGACATGCTGCCTGAGGCAGCTTTCCTCGTTGACGACCTCGATCTCGTCGCCTTCGCAGGTACGTCAACACTTTGCTTTGCACCCGCTGTCGACCCTCTCCGCTTCGACGATCCGTTCGTCTTCGCCTGGTCCACGACAGGGGCCGCTTCCTGCTGCGTCGGTGTAGCGCTCCCGGAGACGGGCATGGAATCCGCCGCGGTCAGCCCGAAGCGCGACATATTCATCATGATCGACGGCGTGATAGGCATGAGGTGCTCTGGAATGCCATTCGAACCGTTCGAAGGTGGCGGCGGCGCAGGCGGGGGCATAGACAGGTCGACAGGCGAGGGGCTGTCCTCTGCAACAGCATGGAGCAGCGGCGTCGAGTTTGTAGAGCGCGAGCCGCGCGGCTGAGCACTAGATCTACGCGCCGGAGCAGGACGCGTCGAGGGCGCCTTCTTGCGCGCAGGCCCACCGCCGTTCGCGTCGTCATTCCCAGGCGAAGGCGGACGCTTCAAGCTTGCCCTCCCTTGACCTTGCATATGGCTACGATTGCCGTTATTGAGCTGATGCTGATTATGCTGTCCGCCATGATGACCCGGCCCAAGCCACGGCGACGTCAGAGGGGAGACATCGAAGTCGAGATCGTTCGTCTGGTGGAAAGCAACGTTCGCGGGGGCGGACATAGAGCCGCGCGCGAGGGCGTGGTCGTGGTGGGACCCGTGATGATGCTCGTAGTGGCCCATATTGAGGGGGAGGGGTGGGACCATGTCCTGGAAGCCTCCACCGCCGGTGCTCGAGGGTGTAGGGGGGCCGTCCGTGTAGCCGCTGAGGACAATGGGGGAGATAAACTCGACGGGGGCTTGTTGAGGACGCAGCTCGCTGGACGGCCCTGCAAAGCATTAGCCATGCCGACTCTTGTGAAGGGGGCGATAAGGCGTGCGCACCTGGTGTCGGAAGCCCATGGTACTGCGTCTGTCTCCCGGACGGCGTTCCCGCGTCCTGCGGCGCATCCTGCAGCGCCTGGTTATTTTGTCCACTTATGATCGCCAGCTGCAGCAGAGGTCAGCACGCGCGATAGAGCCATGCGCATACCACACCGCGCACCTGCTGCTGGAAGATCTGGTTCTGCAGCTGCTGCAGCTGTTGAAGCTGCGTGAGCTTGAACTGCTGCTCGAGCAGGATCTGCGGGTTGAACTGCTGGCTGCCGTCCATATTTCCCTGCTGAGGGGACATCACCGCACCTCCCATACTCCCTATCAGCTCATTCGGGAGCTGCTGCATGCCCATGCCCATGCCCATTCCCCCCGCGCCGCCCAGCGCCGCGTTCCAGTCGATCTGCTGCTGCTGTTGCTGCCCGTCCGAGGAGGACATCATCTGCTCCTGCAGCGGATGCTGGGTATTCATGGTGAGCGCGGAAGCCAAGAGCTTGGGAGTGATCGGGCTGGCCAATGTCAGGAAATGAATCTGAATGCAATACGGATTCAGCACGGATCTGATCACGCGAATGGCTATTCAATAGGAGGTGTATTCGTCCGACAAACACCCAGTCTACAGGCTGCGAGATACCGAAAGCCGTGGACTTCGTCCCCTTCGCCAGGAGAGCAGGGCGCGCGAGACGAACGTTCGCGGGGAATTCATGTGCATCGCCGCCAAGATCAAATTCGGAGCGTCGGGGGCGGAGCCGGATTTCGATTTGCATATGTTTGCTCGACGGTTCGACTTTTAGATCGAGTTTATGCCCTTTTCTGCAGAAGTAAAAGCAACGAAAGCAAGTACAATCTATTGGGTTACAAACAGACAGATGGAATCCACGTAGCAAACGTCTAGGGAAGTCGTAACTTCAACTTCGTCTATTTTGCATTTTCTTCTGCCAGTGCTCCGGCGCGCGCCGTGGCCCGCCGCCGCCCACCTCCGCCCTGACATCCTCCACCTCTCGGTGCTCCGCCGCTCAGTCTCGGCTTTTAATCGCTCCGCCTCTCCGAGTTCGGCACAAAGCACCATATCGTGAACATCGTGCACATCATCGAGACGACGCTGAAGTGACCCATCAGCACTCCTTACACTCAGAAAAAAGGCGAGTTGACTAACAAAGGCTGCAAAGCTCCAATGCCGTACTGGTTCGACAGCACACCAGTCGCGAACGGTAGGAGCGCAGACCCTACCATTGCGATGCCTGCGATGAAGCCCACACTCGGCGTGAGGTACACCTTGGGTACAACGCGCGTCGCCTGGCCAAGCAGGATGGGGAACATGGGTCCGAGAAGGACGCCGACGAGGGAAACAGCGATACCGTTCTCAATGATGGAGGGGACGAACCAAATGGTGATTTCGAGGCTGTATCATGGTCAGCCAAACGGGGTAGGGTGCACAAGCCATAAGCAGAAGCAGCATACCAGATGGAGATGACCAGGTACATGAAGAGGGCGCGGTATTCACCGACCTGGTTGTAAACAGTTAGTCGCAGAACCTGCATGTAGACGCAGATTGCACCAACCTTCTTATTCACCCAGATCAGCGCCAACCGGCCAACAGTCAAACCACCGAAGAAGCCAGACGAAATGTAACCGGCACTCTCCCCACCACCGCGCTTGTTGATGATGAAGGTAACGATCCATCCTTGAGGTTGGTACAGTCAGTATATGACTCAAACGACGTTAAAAGCTTAGATCAAATTCACCTCCAAGCGTCACCTCCGTGCCCGTATAAATGAGCGCGAAAGTAGCCAGCAAGTTCACCGAGCGGTTGCTCAGGATCGCCTTGTACCGGTTGCCGCCACCGGACTGGCGCTCCTGCTGCGCGACGCCGCCTTCGGCCATGAGGACTGAAAATTGAAGTCAGTCTGCATTCAATGTTGTACAAAGGAAGGTTGCATAATGAAGAAACACCGGCGAACAATGACTCACCCTCCTGCCTCTTTCCCCTCAGCACGAACAGCAGGCTGAACACATTGAGCAGCGCGAGCCCGGTGGAGATGAGGAAATGGAAGGACCAGTGCTTCTGCGTGGAGAAGTAGGTCGAGGCGAGCGGGGCACAGAAGGCGCCGAGGCCTGTGTGGGAGGGGGCATTAGTATACTTAGTTCTCGCCACGCACAAACAAATGTGAGCAAAAGGCCGTATACGCACCATACGTCGCATGCAGCACGCCCAACTTCGAGAACGGATTCTTCAGGCTGCCTATGAAGCCGTTGCAGTGGGCGTTCTGAGCGGTGATGGTCGCGATCAGTCATACAAACAAACAACAAGGAAAGGGATACCCACCTGGAACGACATCCCAAAGCCAGCCAGACCGTACGCGACGACCATGACCGGGAATGGGGGCGTCGGCGCGATCATCGCGTACGCGACGAGCTGGACGAGGGCGCCAAGGAGGATGGCCTACAGGAGGTTGCGTGCTCAAATTAGTATGGGATATTCGACATGCACTTTATTCACTCACCTTCCCCAACCCAATCTTCACATCCAGCCAGACATTTAGGAACGTCCCGGACAAGAAACCCTGACGAAGTTGCGTGTTAAGCACTAGTTTCGGGGTGCGGCGAGTCTGTGCTCGACATCATCGCGCTTACGATGCAGTTCGCTACGAAGAGCAGGGAGACGATGAAGAAGCTGATCTGTAAGAAGAAAGGGGTAAGCATGGCTCTGTGATAAGTAATAAGGAAATACGAATGCAAGCTTACCCCGTACGTCTCCTGGATAACGGGAAGGAGGGGGCCAGTAGTGCCGTCGTTCCAGCCTAGGAGGGGGGTAAGTGATTGAAGGGGGCGGGGAACACCGATCGAACCTTCCACGAACATGGCGAACCAAAGAGACGCAACGTGCGACTGAGCCGTGCGCCACTTCTTGTTCCGCCACTTCGACTTCCCTTGCGGAGCATCCTCGAAGTCGAGGCGGGGGAGGACAGGGGCAAGGGTAGAGGTGCGACTGGGAGGTTGGGTGTCTGGCTCGAAGTTCTGATCGACAGTCAGTAAGCACCCTCTCGGTCGATCGCAGCCCACGCACCTTCGTATCCAGCGTCTCAAACGTATCCTGCCTCAGCGCGGACGGCCTCCGCGTCCTATCCGACGTCAACACATGCTCCTCCACCACCACCGCGGGCGCCTTCTCAAAGCCCGTATGCACATCCGCGCTCGCGGGCTTATCCTCTGGCACCATGCTCGGGCGACGCACGCGCGCGAGCCCGTCGTGGTGGTCGTCGCGCAGCGCCGACGCGCGCCGCCCCGTGGTGTGCGTGTGTACCTCGATGTCGCTCGCGCGACGGTGGCGCAGCGAGTCCGTGATCGAGTCGAGCTCGGCCGAGTCGTGATCGTCGATCGCGGAGTCGTCAACCTCGATCGTCACGTCCGTGCTCTTGCCCTTGTCCGACGTGCGCGCCAGCGGCGGGGGCTGCAGCGCCGCGGCGTCCAGTGCGTGGGATGCCAAGGAGGCCATCGTGGTCGTGGTCGTACAAAGTCAAGTCGTGAAGCGTAAGATTTACAGATAGTCGTACAGTGCGGGGGACCGAATCTTTTATGCGGGGAAGGACTTGGGGGATCGCGGGCCCGAGCTGGAGGCGATAGGGGATTATAAGCGCCCGTGCGCCCCCCATCTCGGGCAATTTTTTCACGCCGCATCATCGCGTGTGTTCTGGTACAGGGCTCGCGCGCCTGCTTGTGGTGATCTTTACATCATAGAGAGCCTGCCGAGCCGCTCCATCGCGGGTCCCTAGAATGTGAAGACATCATAGGACGCATTCCACGAGTGGCAAAGGCCCTTTTTGGGGGATAAAAAAGTTTCTTAAAAGGTGCCTCAAAAGGCAGCTAAAAAACATGCTATTTTTGGGTTAAAAAGTGTTCGTTCTCCAGCGTTAAAAGGTAGCCTCAAAAAGCAGCCTTTGAGAGCAGCTTTTTATTCCAAAAAATGTATCACAAAAGATCTGTATATGAGCGGTAAACAGCAGTCAAATTCTGGCCTCAAAAGGAAGTATTTCTGTTAGACCTTTTGCGCATCAATAAACAGGTAATTTTGAGCCATGTATTTATGGACAGATATGGAGCTTTTTTAAAACCCAAAAGATGCCAAATATTCATGTGTTTTTACTCCCTCAAATCACCCTTTTGGCGCGCCAAAAAAGGAGTCGGGAGACTAGGCGGGAGATGGACGGGAGAATAATCAGGAGGCATCGCTAGATCATCACCCTATCTCGCTGAAGCTCCCGACGTCCCCTGATTCTTCACCCGCGTCTTCACCCTGCACTTCGGCTGATGATGTGGCATACCCGTCCGATTGCCCGAGTCACGTTGCTGTGACACTCACGGTCCGAGTGCATGGTCGTGAGATCGCCGCGTGGAACAGCATGTCACGCTCGCCACTTTACTATCTGACATCGCCTCTTTATTCCGCTGCTCATCTTCGCCGCCGACCTCCGCACTGCAGTACCCAAGATTACTCGCGTATGGCGTCGTTCCACCCGCGGGTCCTACCTCATCCTCAACAGTTACTTGAGCTTTTTCGGCGGAGTCACCGTCACTATCCTCAAGTTCTGCGCAATGCCGAAGGATGCGTGAGTGGATTTGTGTTCAGAGCGTGGCCGAATGCTGACGCTTTGCTCGCTATCTCTTTTTAACCGCCGACGACGATTGCAGTTGCCAGTCCGTCATTATCTTCCGCCAGATTTACAACGTCGAGACACAAATTGTCGTGAGCAATGAGTAGCTTTGTCCTCTCGGCGCCCAATCACACGCCCCGCCTCGTCGAGGCGCAACACTGCTCACATCGTGTTAGTGCTCATGCTCATCCGCGTCTACGCCGTCTTCTCCCGCGACCGACGAGAGCTTGCGTGTCTTCTGTCTTATACAGCCGTCGGCGTTAGCATTGGCTGGGTGGGCCCTTTTCGGGCAGTCCTCCGCCGCCGAACCTGCCGTCGTCAAGTGCTTGGTGTATAATCGAGGGGGGGAGTAAGTCAGTTTCATTTGTATGTCCGCGCGATGTTCAAGCTAAGCACCGTATGTCTTCGATCCGCCACCTCTGCCCCTTCGTGACCTTCATGCTCCTAGGGCTCTCGGCCGAACGCTGTTAAGGCGGTCGGCGCGGGTGACGAAGGAGGAGGGGAAACGGGGCTTGAGGCGGTCGGCGCGTCGCGTGCGAAGAAGGAGGAGGGGGTGGGGGCTGAGGGCGGTTGGCGCGGTGAAGAAGGAGGAGGGGGAAGGGGGGCTGGAGCGGTCGGCGCGCTTGAGGCGATCGGCGCGCCGCGTGCGAAGAAGGAGGAGGGGGTGGGGGATGAGGGCGGTGGGCGCGGTGAAGGAGGAGGAGGGGGGAGGGGGGGCTGGAGCGGTCGGCGCGCTTGAAGCGATCAGCGCGCCGCGTGCGAAGAAGGAGGAGGGGGTGGGGGATGAGGGCGGTCCGGGCGCTTGAGGCGGTCGGCGCGCCGCGTGCGAAGAAGGAGGAGGAGGTGGGGGCTGGGGGAGTAGGGGCTCCAGGTGGTCGGCGCGCTTCAGGCGGTCGACGCGGCGCGGGGTGACGAAGGAGGATTCTGAGAAGTTATGTATGTACATTCTGTATGTCGAAAGGAATGGCATCAATCTCTATGGTTCAATAAGTAGCGGTCGCGCTGTCTGATGGTATGCTCACGCACCTCAAAGGTAGACGATGTGTTGCGCCTCGCTGAAGGTCACTGCACTAACATAACCCGCACCCCGTATCGTCTCGGTTCCTCCCTCGGCCAACTGCTGCTGCAAGCTAGCGCTGACCCTCACCCGAGGACCCAGCGGCAACCCCTCCCATCCCTCGGTCTGGGTATCGTCCAACACGCCGTCCGCCCAGACCCGGCCGTAGGAATAGTGGTAATCGCGCATGTGCGCACAGAGTCGGTACAAATCGTAGGCCCTGTTGAAAATAACGACCCTGCTACAGTAGGCGCAGACGGCAGCTCTCTTCGTGAATATCGACGTCGCCTTGCATTGTCTGATCGCGCGCTTTCGCATGCTTCTGCTGAGCCTGGCGACGAAATCCTGGATGTACTGGGCGTTGTATGGGTGGTTCAAGCACATCTGACAGTTCCAGTCGTATTTTGGATTGATTGCAGACTGAGCCACTCACGACGCTTGAAGGTAAGGTACTTGTGTGGCCGACTGAACTTGTGGGGGGCGGAGGGCAGTGGTGGTCTGTCTTGAAAACGCTTGCGCGTTGGTCGGCCTCTTTTGATCCCATGCCACGCGTCACTTTCCCGCATTTATATACCTTCACTTGGAGAAAGAACACATTGCTCTGCACTGAAGGAGACACCACCAAGACACAAGTGCATTGTCTGTTCAGATCTCTTCTGCCAGACTGGTATGCCCCATGCACAGTCTATCAATTGCACCTCAGATGATATCAGCAACAGTCTGGAGACCTCTACCCATTCCCTCCAGGCTCATATGCCATCTACAGGGAGACATTGCCTTCCTGAAGTTCAACTTGTCATGTGCATGTCACGCAAACTTTAGCATTTCACGTGGGCATCATCGCGGCTCGGTCATTGCCGGACTCCTGTTGTCAAGGAACTACTCTCGGAGATGATCGGCGGCTTGGTGGCTTACATGGGTCGTTGCTTCTCAGTCGCAGCAGCATCTCAACGTCTGCACGTGATGCAATGGGACCTCTTTCGCATTCGCTTCTTCCGAAAAGCAGAAGCTACTTCCATCTCGGCATGAATTGAGGCCGCCTTGCGCGAAGGCGAAGCGTTCTCAGTGAAGGCGCCTTCCAAATCTGTAAAGCTCTTAGCCTCATTAGAGGTAGAGCTCACCTCGATGGAGCTGCTATAGGCTATCATGAAGACGGATTGACAGTGGAATCTCTCTTTGGCAAGCCGAAGCTCGCCCGCCTCGACCGAGGCGCGGCTCACATACACGAGCCCGCCATCTGCCTCTGCCGAGGTATATTTCGCCTCCAAAAAACTGACCGTCGCCTCTGCAGGGGAGAAGCTCGCCTCTATGATCCCGCCGTCGCGGGGACAGTACTTTTTCGGACTAAGCAACCGCCTTCAGGCTTACGCCAGCGCCTCAGCACGCCATGGATGCGCAGCCAACGCTGATAGCTCCCCAATCTAACCCCGCTGCATCCCGCATCTGGAGGTTAGGAACGCATGTCATGATTACGTCTCGTTGAGTCAGGGCGCGTGTAGGTAGGGAGACAACTTCTCATACAAGAACCTTGAACTGCGCAGAGCTAGCGTCGGTGCTCATCTCAAGTCTTACATCCAATGTTCTAGAGCAAATATATGTCTCACTGTAGCGGCAAGATTAGTGAACAATGGCATCTTACGAGACGAAAGGGACTTACCAGATTAAATGCACCCAGGAATGACGACAGAGACTTGGGTTCAAGCACAATCGTCACAACAGATGGTTTGTGTAGAAAGAGTCGCGCCTTCATGATTAAAATCGTCTTCGTCGGAGGACTTCCCGCCGGTGTCTTGAGGGTAATGGTATGCTGAGGTGGCAGTCGATCGAGCAAGAGCTCCACGTTGACTTCGTCCGGTCCCTCCAGAGCGCGGCAAGCCTCCTCGATGCGAACGAGGTCCTCAAGCAGGTTGCAGCCCCTCGCCGAATGCATATACTCAAGAGCTTGCAGGGCAGCAAAAGCCGTATCAAACGGTGATTTGATGTTGCCTGCTAATGTGATTAGCGCGTTGGAAAGGTTTGCAGCGAGAAGAAATGACTCAACTGGAACAAGCAGCTGGTAAACGGTACATGTACCAGATACAGGCACGTTTATGACCTTTCCAATCCGATTTTTGACAGCACTTGGAGCAGTAAACGGCGGTGTAGCAAGGACAACAGTATATTTGCGTAGAAGTCATTGCTTTTCTGCACTGCAATGGGACGTCAGTGAGCTAGCAGTCACATCATGAATAACAAACTGACCAGCTTCATGGAACAAGTTCTGCCACCCGCAAAGGATATCATCTGGAGTCGCCGCTCAAGCAAGACCTCTACCTCTCGCATCACTGAGACATCGCCGGAGAATCCTTCGGTGAGGACCGATAAAGGTAGTCTTTCAGCCATGAGAGCAAGCAGTATGCCCCGAGATGTCGTACGAGCAGCGACATAGCGATGGATCGCAAGACGTGCACTCTCAACGACAACGCTGTCTCGATGGTCAGGTCGCAAGACGTGGATCAGACCACGCTGCAGCGACCACACCAACGGATCGTTGTTCCGCGCTGTAGTCCAAAGCGCGAGCAGTAGATGGCACGCCGCCTCAACGGCGTCTGTGCGCCGAGTCTGGCGACTAAGGTCCACGGAAAGTCGAAGGATATCACGAGAATGACACGTCTCGGGGACTATATTCTCCACCAAAGCTGTGATGACTCGGATGTGTACATGCAGGGGACGGTGTTCCAGCGAGGCAGTTGCGTGACCAAAAAGTCCGGTCACAGTGCGTAAGAAACCTGCGAGTGCACGGCGGGGTTTTCCTTTCGTCACAAGCAGAAATTCTTCACGCAATGTAGCGCATAGATGACTGCGCTCCGGGCGACCCGCAAGTGCGTCCTTGGGGCTGAGCATATCCAGCACGCAATCCCCGAGCAGGTGTAGATGGTCGAGGTCACTCGTCCCACCGTCGTGCGGCGCATCCCATGAGTCAGGGTCCAGATGAGTCACGACGTGAATCCACAGCGACAGAAGGTATCTGTTCAGAGTTGCGGAACGCTCGCGGAAACTCCAGGTGCGTGTGGCATGTCGATACATGACGGGGAGAATGTGGACGAGGACACCTATATGGTAGGGATGTGGTCGAAGATTGCTGTAAGCAGGGTGAAGGTACGGAAGCCACCGAAACGCGCGCGGCAGGAAAGCGGCGAGAGCACGCTGCGTCCAAATAGTCAGAGAGGGATCGCGGTGAGCGATAACGTCCATCGCCAGGAAGCACGTAGTGATGGTTATTACTGTCGACGAGCGAGGGACCCATTCGTGCACTGGGACATCGGCAGGGTCGTTACCCAAATACTGGAATAGGCGGGGGCTTTTCGATAGTGCGGAGAGACGTTTTTGAAGGCCAGGTATCTCGTGCAGAGCTGTAGAGTCCCGCGCGAGTTGGCGATAGGTAAGTAGAAGCTCGCATTCGCTCTCGACACCAGGAAATATGGCGGGCATAGCAGGGGAAGATGATCTTCATCTTCATGCTGACCTTCTTTTATGGGTTGATCAAACTTCCACCAACAATGGAGCCTTGAGTGTTGCCTTGCGATGAATCCTGGATAAACGCTTTCTGATGAATCGGAACGAAAGCTATGAAGGGTCCACGGTTGAACGCTGCACGATTGATCGATTTACCGCGCCGCAAGCGTGTTTACATTCCCTTTGAGATGAAGGGCGATAGAAGGTCGACCTGAAGTACCTTTGAGGGCGTACGGGGCTCTTAGGACATACTTCCAAAGAACCAAGGACCTGGAAGCTTGAGTCGTATAGCAAGGAGCACTAGCCGCCACGGTCGGCTCGAGCCCGGATAAGCTAGGAAGAACGCGCGGCGGTGCCCCCTCGCCCGAGCGTGCGTGCGAGTCGAACGGCCTGAACGGTGAATTTCGGGCGGACGCCGACGCAGCGGGCACAGCCACCCTACCATACATGGTAATCGCCTCTACCATACATGGTAATCGCCTTGATGCTGCCGAGGGCGCGGCACAGCACATGCGCTCGGCAGATGCCGTCGGTCGGCCTCCTCGACCCTTCCCCCATGATGTCCCAGCTCCCTGGCTCAGAGGTACGGTTTTCCAAGCTCCCCCTTCCTTGCTTTCTTCAACGAAGCACAGCGCATGCAGCGCTGCTCGCATCTCCGGCGTCTGGGGCTTTCGTGGGGCGTGGACGATCGACGGCAGTGAGATTAGGTGAGCGCCTGCCTGCGTTCTCTCTCGACCACGCTCACGCACGAACAGCTGTCTCGCCGTCGTTGCTGGACATGCGTCTCCCCTCGGCGCACCATGTCGTCTCGCTCTGAAGTGGTCGCCGGGTTGACTCGTGCAGGCAGGGCGCGATGAGGCGAGGGTCGCAGGTGCGTACTTCGCATCTCCTTCTTTTGACCACCGCTGACCAAGATCAGGCTCCCACAGGCTGGCGCCTCCCTCCCCAGCTCCCCCTCCCGGCTCCCGCAATCTTCGGTCTATTCTGGCTCGCCCTCGGGCTCGATCGACGCGTCGGGCATCTCCCAGAAGCCTCGGCGTCATGCTGGGGATGCGCCGCGTCTGTGCTGGCGTGATCTCGCGAGCGTCAGTCACGGCTGGCCTACCGCCCTTGAGAAGATCCGTCTCTCACGCTGGCGCCAGGACCGGGGTCCCGCCGCTCCGTGCGCCCGGCTCTATGCGTAGGACGACCGACCGCATCGATGGCGGCCTGTCGTGCAAATGAGTGCGTGAATCCGGGCTCGTCCGCGTCGAGGCTCGCTCTAACGTGCACTTTCTCAGCGCACCGGACCGTGATCAGCGTAGCTCATCTGCGCTTGACTCGCCACCGGCCCTCTCGGCGATCTCCTCCCCCGCTCGTCAACTTGCGCCCCGCCCCTGCGCTTGTCCGACAACGCGGACAAGATATCCACGATAGACCAACGTCTCACTCGATCACCATGGTCAGCAGAGACCGCCAGCGGGTTCTCAAGAGTGCTCGGCCTCGGAGCGACCTCCAGCTTGCGTTGGTGTGCGACGAAGCTGATCTTGGGACTTCCATACAACACATTTACGCCTTGCTCTGTAATATCCATCTGCTATTCCACCGTTGGCTGGCTCAGACGTCTGATGAGCCCGTCCTCCTCACCCGCCGCTGAAGCCGCCAGTGCTTTGACTTTGACCACCTTGCCCATCGGCAGTGATCTCTGCAACCCGAAGGATACCACGACGTCGATCTTCGACTTTGTCAACGACGAGCCGTTCGCTGCGACGTTGGTGACCGTGCGGATGTTCAACTCTGGACGGGGCAGGCTCCCAACGACCGTCGACTAACGCTACTTTCACTTACGCCTCCCCCCTCGCCCACGCTACGTGTACGGCTCCGGCGACAGCCAGTCCGCCTCCTCGCACACCCTCCGAATCGCGCGCGCCGCGTTGGGTCGTCGCCCAACGTTACCTGTCCCTTGCCATCGCCGGTTCGTGAGGCATGAGCACGATGATCCCGCGGGCGTCTCGCCAGCCTGGACGAATGTTGTCAATGCGCCACGACCCCGAACCTATGGATCACCTTCCTCACCGTGCATATCCAGTATCACTCAGCGACTTCCAGCACCTCTGTCGGGGAACGGAGGCAGGCGACGTTGCTCTGCGTCAGTGCAGATCTGTTGATTCTGAAGGAGAGCTCCTCGTCGTACGGTGCTGTCGGTGGTCATGAAGTTGGCGGACGACCGCGGCTGGGGCTGCTCGTCGATCCAGAAGACCATCACGCAGGCGCGTAACCTACGGTTACACGAGATGGCGTTTGGCGGGTATGGGCAAAGAGGCGTACGATCCGACGCTTGCTGCGATGCATCTGCCGGAGGTCCTGATGAACCGTCAACTGCTGGCAGCAAGGGCCTCGCTACTACTACTACTACTACTACTACTACTACTACTTGCTGCTGCGGTCGACCTGTCGCGCGATCGAGCCCGGGGCGCCTGTATCGACGTCCAGGTTGGTGGAGACCATGGTGAGTCGCCTGCGTGTTTCGTTGGCTGGGACAGCCATGGCCTGCACGCCCACCTTCTTGCTCCCTGTCCTGCTGCTGCTCACGCGCCTGCTACCGCGTCCTACGAACCTTCAGCACCCGCTCGCGACGGAGTGGCGGCGTCTCGAAGAGCTCTTCCGGCCGGACTCGATAGTGTCGACCCTCATTGTACTCATGCATCCCCGAACGCTCGATGTCGTCGAGCGCGTGATCAGCGATGTCCTGCGCGAGCTCGTGAAAGCACTGCGCGACTAACACAAGCCCGGATCCACGGAATGCATCTTCGCACACACCACGATCTGCATCACGAGCGAGCTTCGAGTGAGTTCATGGAATCGGTGGCTGCTGAAAATGGGGCTGCTATCCCAGACATAGCATGAGGGGCGTGCCGTAGCTATCGCTGCATTCAACGGCGACGCTGGCGCTCCACGCTCGAGTCCTCTCACCCCGAGTGCGTTGGTAGAGCAGTTGTGTTCGACTTCGCGGACAATGGCCTGGGGGAGTCGTTGCTAAGCTGAACAACCTTAGGACGGCACGATCTGTGGGTTGTTGGGGATGCCGTCGTAGCATCTCGTTTGCTTCTGGAACAATGATCCCGGAGCGGCGCTGAAGCCGCCGAGTTCCGGTTACAGGTGCCAGGTGCCGTTTGAAATGTTATGACTGAATTTTGGGATCCTACTACAGTGCGCCCGTATAGCTTTTTCTCAGTTGACTGTCTCGTCGTTGTCGTTCACCGGGGCTGGAGCCTATTATTGTCCCCGAGTTTCACTCTTGCAATCTAGTCATGTTACTTCGCTTTCATTGGAGAAGGTCAAACTCTACTCCCTACTGTACTTGACACTCCGGAACGGCAGCCTGCGGTTTACATTCCTGCCAAGAAGGGAACGGGGTGTTGCGTCTGCACAGACATAAGCGGAGAAATAAGGGTTGCCTAAACACTCACTACCACGATTGCGCCGTACACAATCAATAGCGCAATCATAACACCCCAGCACATGCGCTCGAAGGCGCTGGTACCGGACTCTTGGGTGCCCGGATCGCGATGCGCTTCAGTCAGCTTGGTTATCTGAGCATGGCCGTGCTCAGAGCGAGGCTTGCAATACAAAATGACGTCGGGAGGTCTGCGTATGCTCGATCCTGCAATCGCCACCAAATGCAGGTCAGTCACAGTACATGTCTGCTCAATCGTGAGTACACAGAATGCCAGCCTGAGCTCAACGTACCGCGACTTGCTGGACCAATCCGCCCTTTGGGTAAAAGAGAGTTTGAACGAGGCTGCCGTCCACAACATTGTGCAGTAAAGCACGACCCTTGTCCGTTCCGGACACCAGAATGTCCCCGCCTTCCCCAAACGCCATGTACATGGGATAGTAGATGTCTGGTGCTCCGATGTCGATGCTCTTGATGTGTTTCTGCTTTTTCAGAAGGTTAATTTCGATGGTGGATCCCGTATGGGCGGCGAAGATCGACTTTGTCGGGTCCACTGCAACGGAGGCCCTGGTGATAAACGGTAAGTCTGGTATCCGAGAGCCATGCAGCAGGTTACAAACATCACGTCCGGGCCATCGTCCCTGTGGCCAGTCTCATGGCCTGTGTCATAGTCAAAACGCGCCCTTGAAGGAAAGGTCAACTCAATCACGGAAAATGGCCAGGTTTACACACATCGTTCCCCCGGTCGCGCTAAAGGCCACAATTGTTCGAGACGACGCATCGAACTTCACAGTCTTCGGGCAGAAGGGCGGAGGCAGGTCAACAACGAAGAGCCGACGAATTTGATCCCCTGAGGGGCTGACAAGGCAGACCAAAAGGCGGCCATTATCTGTGGAAACTGCAACGCAGCCCCACTCGTCGCATGGTACAGAACGACGAAGAACGTCCATTGACAAGACTTCTGTCTGTTCTTCTGAGCACCGAATGCGAGTTGTATGACAGAAAGCCTGGATTTTGTTCAGTGACGCTACGTGCGAAGAACGGTGTCTCATACGCCTCTGCTCGCGACCCACTTCCAGATGGCTATATCGCCACGCATCGAGCCCAGTACCAGAATGGGGATGCCCGTGTCCTCGAAGTGTAGCCACACCGAGCGGGTATAAATGTGCTTCTCTGTCAGCGTCGACGGAGGCGAGGGGATGGCGACGTCCTTCTGCGTTGCTACATCCCATATACAGACACCTGCATAGCCTTCAATTCGCAGAGTCAGTTGCTTGTGTGATACTAATGCACGCCTAGAGCATACCAGTTGCCACCAAGAATGTGCCGCACGCGGAGAAACCTATGGACAGGACCCCGTCCTTCTGGCCGGAGAGAACGGCGACTTGCGTATACTGAGTCATCAAGAATATCAGACCCACAGTGAGAGGTGAAGAGTGGAGGAAAAGGAAGGACTTTGCCTCGCATTTATATCTCTGAAGGGCCCGAAGACCATCTTGAACGCAGTGGCATAAAGACCTATGTTCTCATTTGCGTGGTTTTCCATGCGCCCGCCAAGGCAATGACGATTGGTCCGCGCACTAATGGTCGCGTAAGCCACAATGGACAGCTAACATACAATGGTCAAAGTTATAAAGGGAACGGAGTCAATACGCATGGTTGGATACGATGGATCCTTGGAGTTGGCGGGGAAAGGACGGTGCACCTCGTGGGGCAGTGTGATCCGTCGGACTTGCGTGACGGCTTGATGCCATGCGACTCTTATCACGCGCAGTTGCCGAGATCACGCGTGGCCATGTTCAACTTCACGATCAGCCGTCGCGGCATATGATTTCTTTGAGCTCTCATATGCCATGCACTGACAGACTGATGTCTGGAGTACGCGGTCTCTGGCCGCCATTCTTCCTCCAGCAAGGAAAGCGATGGCATGCTGCAGCTCGCACGACTAGGCGTGAATGGGCGCGCTGGGCTCGCCGAGGTTAGCACCCTCACAGGAATCGGGCAGGTCAAGATGCCTGTTATCCTCCTGGTGAGCCCACCGGTTCCACCTCATCGCACCGTACCGGCCTATATACAGACCACATTTCTTTCCTGATGCCATCAAGTTACTCCCTGCAAAACGTTCCTTGATCAGTGCCGGTAACTACCCTAGGTCGGCATGATAATCCGCGGCGCATTAAGTTGCTCCGGTCCGCCTTCGCGCGCGATGGTACAAAGCTCGGCGGGCCCGACGCGGGCGCCCATGCAAACAGTGACATACGAGCCATGCAGCACGCCCGCGCTTCTGCCGCGCGCGCTGTACGAGAGGGGAAGGTCAACGTCATGTGCTTGCCACTGGAGACCACGAGTGTGGAACAGGTTTCCTCCGAACCTTAGCTCTCATCTATCTGACTACGTGCTCGATTAGCGACTGATGACGTGTCCGATGCACGCTTAGCCCGGGATCTCTTTTATTGTAGTAACATTACAGTGCTCTATGGGACGTGAAGCTTCAGAACGCCGCGGTGATGGATCACCAGCCATAACAAGATGAAAGAGCAGGCCCAAGAAGAGATGATCTAAGTGATATTCAGTGGCGAAGGAAGGAAGAAATGGTCATTGACTGACGAGGTTACGCCACGTTGTCCCTCGGAGTGAATTTCCATTTGAAGGAGTCGGCGGTGTACAAGCCATTAAGTGGACTTCTGCCATGCGCGGGAGTAGGCCATCCCAAGACTCGAGGTCTACAGCAAGGAGCTCGCTCGTACCGTCGAACATCACGCGAACACGCCTGTACCAGAACTCGTCCCCTTCGATGTCGTCAGGTGGCTCAGTATAGCCAGACTCTGCGAGAAAGAATTCCCTGAGTTCCTAACGAACGTTGGTGAATGTCGTTTGCGAGAGTTCGATGACCAGAAACGTACATTGAGGCCGTTGAGCTGAAGCTGGCGTCTGCTGTGGGCCGTCCTGTCGTTTCCCACTTGAACGATCAAGACTGAGTCGATGGGTTGGGAATCAACCGGGAAAGGTTCGAAAGGTGGGCCCGCAGTCAGAGTTGGAGACGGAGTATAGGATATGGTGTCGGAGGCCATGACAAGGGCGAGATATTCCCAGCGCACCTGGCAAGCTTGGAGAGGATTAGCACGCAGTCTGGAGTTGAGGAAGGTATCTTATAAGGCGGTATCCATTCCTCGTCACAAAGCAAGAGATTCTTTCCATTGACTTGTTTCAGCGCATTGATCATCCTGCGCTTTCTTCCATTGTCGGTTGATCGGCTCTGATGAAGGGAGGTTGGATTGGCAATGAAGCTGCTTGGACGCACTAAGGAATCCATAATGCATGACTGCACGGCTGAAGCTCGTTTCGGGAAGAACTGAACGAACCGGTACCTCACATCGAAGGAAGATGGGCGGGCTACGCCGGGCGACAACCCGACGGGGCGCGCGCGAATCGGAGGGCGTGCGAGGAGGCGGACCGGCTGTCGTCTGAGCCGTGCGCGTAGCGTGGGCGGTGGGCGTAAGTAGAAGTAGCGTTGGTCCAGGGTCATCGCAGGCCTGCCCCGTCCGAGTTGAACAGCCGCACGGCCACCAGCTTCGCAGCAGCCGACTCGTCGTTGACAAAGTTGAGGATCGACGTCGTGTTGATCTTCGGGTTGCAGAGATCGCTCCCGTTGGGTAAGGTGATCGTCGAAGCACCGGCGGCTCCAAACAGTGGGTGAGGGGCACGAGCTCACGTCTGAGCAGCAAACGGTCGAATAGCAGATGGATATTCTACAGAATAGTGCGTAAATGTGTTGTATGGAAGTCCCAAGATCAGCTTCGTCGCACACCAACGCAAGCTGGAGGTCGCTCCGAGGCCGAGCACTCTTGAGAACCCGCTGGCGGTCTCTGCTGACCATGGTGATCGAGTGAGACGTTGGTCTATCGTGGATATCTTGTCCGCGTTGTCGGACAAGCGCAGGGGCGGGGCGCAAGTTGACGAGCGGGGGAGGAGATCGCCGAGAGGGCCGGTGGCGAGTCAAGCGCAGATGAGCTACGCTGATCACGGTCCGGTGCGCTGAGAAAGTGCACGTTAGAGCGAGCCTCGACGCGGACGAGCCCGGATTCACGCACTCATTTGCACGACAGGCCGCCATCGATGCGGTCGGTCGTCCTACGCATAGAGCCGGGCGCACGGAGCGGCGGGACCCCGGTCCTGGCGCCAGCGTGAGAGACGGATCTTCTCAAGGGCGGTAGGCCAGCCGTGACTGACGCTCGCGAGATCACGCCAGCACAGACGCGGCGCATCCCCAGCATGACGCCGAGGCTTCTGGGAGATGCCCGACGCGTCGATCGAGCCCGAGGGCGAGCCAGAATAGACCGAAGATTGCGGGAGCCGGGAGGGGGAGCTGGGGAGGGAGGCGCCAGCCTGTGGGAGCCTGATCTTGGTCAGCGGTGGTCAAAAGAAGGAGATGCGAAGTACGCACCTGCGACCCTCGCCTCATCGCGCCCTGCCTGCACGAGTCAACCCGGCGACCACTTCAGAGCGAGACGACATGGTGCGCCGAGGGGAGACGCATGTCCAGCAACGACGGCGAGACAGCTGTTCGTGCGTGAGCGTGGTCGAGAGAGAACGCAGGCAGGCGCTCACCTAATCTCACTGCCGTCGATCGTCCACGCCCCACGAAAGCCCCAGACGCCGGAGATGCGAGCAGCGCTGCATGCGCTGTGCTTCGTTGAAGAAAGCAAGGAAGGGGGAGCTTGGAAAACCGTACCTCTGAGCCAGGGAGCTGGGACATCATGGGGGAAGGGTCGAGGAGGCCGACCGACGGCATCTGCCGAGCGCATGTGCTGTGCCGCGCCCTCGGCAGCATCAAGGCGATTACCATGTATGGTAGAGGCGATTACCATGTATGGTAGGGTGGCTGTGCCCGCTGCGTCGGCGTCCGCCCGAAATTCACCGTTCAGGCCGTTCGACTCGCACGCTCTCGTTCTAGGGAAACCGTCATCGTAAAGGAGTATCGTGGCACACAATCCACATTTCATCCTCCCAAGGATCTCAAGCTATGTCAGGTAGGATGACAAGTAGGTAGGTAGGTAGATGGGACACGCTGTACATCGACGTCATCAGACCCGCCCAACAGCGACGTCGCGGTAGTTGGTACTTGGGAAGTAGTCCTCGATGTTGATCTCTTCATAATCGGGCAGAGCTTCGCTTTCTTCCTCGATCCCCCAATCGAATACCTCGCCGCCAAGCTCTGAACGCGAAGGGTACAGGGCTTCGGTAAAAATTAGTTCTGAGTAAGTCCACGCGACATGTAACCCGGCTTGTCCCAAGGATTCAGACTATGGGCGGTATCTCATAGTAGCGCGCGAGTTACAGTACTCTCAACCCAGCATACATCACTAATCTACCTCTCCTGACCTATGTGGGTCTTCCACAAGCGGTTTTGTGCGCGCACAACTTCGGAATTCCTTCGAGCATAAACAAGCTGAATACGTCAAGCAGGTTCGAGCGCGTTTAACGTATTGACACTCACCAAGTACGCATTTGCCGTAGTTCCAGATGTGTCGGCAAGCACCTCTGCCTTGTTCACAATCGTGACCTGCGAGTCATCGAATTTGTACCACTCGTCTGGACGCGCGGGGATGTTTCGAGAGTAGAAGTAGTAGTGCCCGCACGAATGGTCTGCACCTTGATGCATGAAAACCCCAGTGAGGTCGTAAGCGACATCCCTATCACCAGCCCAGAGGGTCTCCCGCTCTAACCTAAGCGCGAAGGCCAATTGTTCGACGTCGCCTATCTCTTCGTTCCAGTCGTCATACCGCCTCTGCAAAACTTTTCCGGACGGGCCGACGGCCGTTTGGCTCTGCCTTAGCTGGCGGAGGCGATTCCGACAGACGAGTAGCTCATCCTGAATGGCCCTATACCTCTTACGCCTTTGTGGATCCCCACCACGGATATAGCGGTCCAGATACAGGGCTTCCCCGAATTTGACGTAGCTCTGGTCCTTGTAAGGTCGAAGATGTTTGCGATCAAACAGTACACGCTGTGCTGCAGTCAGCGCAAAGTCACCGAACTGAGTTGTCCACGAACCTGAGGCCGGACCTGCAGGAGGAGTGGCACGTCGACGAGCTCCCTGTTCAGCCTGCATGGCACGCCTTCTAATTGGACATCGTCGCAGAAAAAATCGTCGAGGCCGTCATGGATTTCGATACCGTCCTCCAGATTGCTCAGGGGCAAATACGTATAAGGGACCTCGCGTCCGTGTATGTCGCTGCCAAGTGGAGCAAGTTCATCTCGCAAAGAAGCGGCGAAGGATTGCTTGTAGGTGCCATAGAATAGCCTGGAATGACAGGTCAGCCTTTGCCAGCGCGCATGATCACATTCATACCGCCGAAAAGACTTCACTTCGATCCCGGGGTTTGATATACGCCCGTCCTGGTATACCGAAATAGCAACCTCGATTTGAAAAGTGCACTGATCCATGCACTCCGAGGCGTCCTGCTGATTGCCTTTGGGAATTGAGTGGGACGGTGGGCTATTCAACTCAGGTGGCGCTCACCCAAAAGCAGCTGGTCGTCCCTAAGCGGGCCCACGTTCCACATTGCGACGTCTCCATCCCTGTCAACCGACCATATCTCGCCGCAGTTATTCTCCACGTTGTTTCCGGTGGTCAGAGCAAGTTTTGCTAGGGTAACGCTGGGCGTGACGGAAGGCTGCATATCGCTCTGCAGTCGGTTAAAGAGGTCCGCGAGCTCATTGACGACTATGAGACGGAGAAATCAGGACCTGAAAATGCTATGAAGTTCACAAGCCTCACATTCCATGGACCGCAGAATTTCCGACCGCTTGATTAACCTGCCGCCCACCCGATAGTTCTCAATTTTGCTGTCGGGTATTGTTCTGATTGTTTGGCCAAAAACGAGATCCGAGGTCATGCTACGGATTGCGTCTCTCACAAGATTGATTGTGTAGAGGAACTGGAGGACATTAGTACGTGTTTTCCGCGATGTGGCGTGTCGTGCATACCTGAAGTAAAGAGTTGAGGTAGCACGTGTTGCCCAGCTGGTTCAATCCCCGGGGAAGATCCAGAGAGACGGATCGGAGATGGGCTACTCCCTCACGTTGAGCTATGCATCATCATACGCGTGCGATCTTGCTTACAGTGCAACTTTCCAGGAGTCCCCGCGAGTCCCATCCATTCCGTCTTGACAGATTGACCTCTGTCGCCCATCCGATTCTTGCGCACCGCGCTGTGTTGGTACGGCTCTGATGAGAGCCGCTTCTCGCAACGGGATACTGGCAGATGTTGAGAAGCCATCCGTACGGTCCTTTTCCGAGGCGGCTTGAAATATCTGTCACCGTCGGCGCTTTGAGTAGAGGGAATGCACGCACCGAGTGGTATTCCTTTGCCTTCAGGTAACGATTGAGCTTCAGCTCCGTCTCGCTGTCGCTTGAACACACATCCATCTACCAAGTTAGTCGAACGTGAGCCATGCAGGAAAGGCCGTACGCACCGAAGTAAGCCCATGAGCGCTATGGTGCCGCGTAGATGGACCATGAGATTGATGGTGTACGGCTACGGACGATGCCAGACGCTGAAAATGATCAGATATATGCGCATAAGAGGAAGCTGGACTTACACCCGGCATTCCGCGGTAGGGACGGCTGATGGGTGCCGACACGACCATGGGTGCCAATGGTCTAACGAACCCAGAGGTGTCATTGACGGGGTTGTTCGCGCCATTGTTGTTCTACCCAGTCAACTGAGACGGAGGTGACATGAAAGCTGGACTGAACGAACCTGCGGAAGCATACTGCGCGTTTGAGTTGCGCTCTAGGATTGCTGCTTAGCTGCATACCCGTGAGCAATATGTAGATCCCACCGGTTTATTCAGCGAAGGGTCGCTCTCAGGAGCACATTCAGTACCACTGCAAGTTGTATATGATCAGGCATACCTTAAGCGCCATGATCCGCGCCTGAAGGGCATCATCTATTCCACCTATTCCACTCGTGGTCCGCGTCGTGAGTCTCTGATTATGCGTCGGTATGCCTTATGTACACTGCAGAACCCCATCGCATACCTGAATTTCGCTCAAGAGCGCCTGTTCGATGATGAACCCAATCACCCTCGGACATTGACAGGAAGTTGTCGCGCGCACCTGTATTGTTCCCTTATTTCTTGTGATCATATCAGTTAGGCTAGCGGTGTCCTGCTCGATGGTATGTTGAACCGAACCATGCATCGGGTCTCGATACCTTACCTCGACAACGTTGCGCTGCTGCTGATCAGCACTACAACGGAGAGCTTCAATCTCGCGCGTCAACCGACGGCACTCGATAAGACGAGCTTGTTCCGCATCGTCGAACCGGATTTTCGCTAGCTCGAGAGACTCCTGATTCTGCTGTGAGGTTCATCGGAGAATCGAAGCGCTGATACTTACGCGTTGCTCGTCGACCCTGCTGCGAACTTCTCTTAATCTCAGGTATTTCTCCCTTTCGACACACTTGAGCAGTAGATCGTTGGCTTCGACCTTTTCAGAGTAAAGCTTCAAACAAGCTTATCAGCAGCCAGGTTTTGTATAAAGACGATACGAACTTGGCGAATTCTATCCAACAAATCCACCCGTTGCGTGAGATCAGAAAGAAGGTTCGTATCGGATGGATGTGTATCTGTATCGAGCGAAGCTTTCTCGCGTTGTAGTTCGTTGAGGACCGTTTTCAGCCTTCTTTGACGTTCGGAGCTCGCTGTCAAGAGGTCCTACGTCGGCGAATAGAGTAAGAAAATGACTGAGAGGGTCCGAGAAGCACATACCTGCAGCGTCTCCACATTCTCCTGCAATGTTTTGAGCCTGATTCAGATCACATTCGACTATTAGCGGACAACCAAACCTCAAGCCGGCACCACTCGGCGCCTTGAACCGTTTCGCGCTGCTGGGCACTGGGAGACGGAGCAATGATGAGGTGCTGTATACGACATAAAGCGTCACTTGTAGGCACCAAATTTTGGGCCCGTACCTCTGTCTTAGAGCATGCGGCTCTAATCGAGACGATAGACTCGTCTGTGCGGAGCAAGTGCTGTAGATACTGGACGAGGATATTCCCATCAGAATATAGTCCAGGACGCAACAGATAATGGTGAGCATACCTCTATGTCCTCGCAAAGCTCTTTGGTCGATGGTATGCGACGGATCCGCGAGCATGAGGCCTTCCAAACGCATTGCTGCAGCAGTTCGATGAAGACTCGACAGTCGGATTTAGAGGACGAACCTCGAGGGAATCAGTCAGGATATTCAGTACGGCGTGATTGCGCTCAGAAAAAGGGGTCTGTACTTTTGATCAGGGTGGAATTGGCATGAAGGGAACACACGTACCTCCGAATACAATATACTAGCTAGGTCCGTGACGTCGTCCTGCAGTCGTTCCAAGGCAGGTGCCAGCCGCGCCATATTATCTCCCATGGCGTCCAATATGAGTTTCTGAGTCGAGAAGCCCCGGGTTTATAAAGTGGGGAGAGAAAAATAGCTCAAAGCACAAAGCTCGTTCATCCCTTGAAAGCAAAGGAAGCGGTAAGGTCCCTAAACGGACCCAAAGGACTGAAAGAGATTAAAGAAGATTGGTTTGTCCAGATAATGATCATTGGTTTGAGGAGTTGCAAAATGTGCGTCAAGATCGGAAAGATATCCCCAGCGCCCTCGATACTTCGGGTGACTACTGAGCGTCTCCAATATGAACACGTGCAAGGTTGGCCCCGGATCATCCGGGTCAGCGGCATCGATCGTTCGCAAACACGTGAAAACACTTTACCGCTACGGCCTCTTGCCAACCTCTTGCGATGGCGCGTTGATCCTTGCTACTCTGATTGATGATTGAACCTTTGTCAAATGACAAATTTACTTTGCATTGAGTTCATTGCAGTGCCTTCGTCCATTCCGATGGTCCTTTCCCTCAATAACACGCGATCAAAACACCTTGACGAACAGAGATCGATCCAAAGATGCATTGTCTGGGCCTGTATATAAGTAAGGACATTTGCGCGTCCGTCATCGTAACTAATCCTTTCTGGCCATCGTCATAACTAAGCCCGTCTGCATCGCCAGCCTCTTTGACCATGACGCCTGTTCCGAGCCGCGCCTCGTCGCGCACATCGTCCGATGGCCTTGTGTGGCAAGAAGGGCAGAACAAGGTTACTATTACCAATCAAGGGTTGATATCCCTTGGCCACACGCTGAGTGTGAGTCGAAGGTACCTTTCCGGGCGAGGCGCAGCTCACTCCTAGACAGAAGGAATTCCGCGCCATCTGCCAAGACCAGAATACGCAGTTCTACTGTCGTCAGTGTGGGGGTAGACCGACGAGAAAGTGGACCACCTTGGACGTTTTGAAGCGTATTCTGTGGCTAGTCTTGGTGTGTCCACTCGCCCTAATTGTCAGCGTCGCGTTAATCAACCGTGAAGGCTTTGATCCTCGTTCTGCTGTGCATTACCTGTGTACTGTGCTGGTTCAATAAGGCTCACGTGGCCTGGAAGGGCTCGTACGTGACAGTACCTTACCTGGGCCGTCTGCCGAAGTTGCGCTCGCTGCAGATCGTCTTGAAGATCTGACAGCCGTAGAATAAATCATTGTACAAATGGCAAGAGGCAGGATTGAAAGTTCGTGGCCACCGTAATCGCCCTGGGCGACAGCACTTGGGGCTTCAGCCACCGGCTCGAGCCCGGATAAGCTAGGAAGAACGCGCGGCGGTGCCCCCTCGCCCGAGCGTGCGTGCGAGTCGAACGGCCTGAACGGTGAATTTCGGGCGGACGCCGACGCAGCGGGCACAGCCACCCTACCATACATGGTAATCGCCTCTACCATACATGGTAATCGCCTTGATGCTGCCGAGGGCGCGGCACAGCACATGCGCTCGGCAGATGCCGTCGGTCGGCCTCCTCGACCCTTCCCCCATGATGTCCCAGCTCCCTGGCTCAGAGGTACGGTTTTCCAAGCTCCCCCTTCCTTGCTTTCTTCAACGAAGCACAGCGCATGCAGCGCTGCTCGCATCTCCGGCGTCTGGGGCTTTCGTGGGGCGTGGACGATCGACGGCAGTGAGATTAGGTGAGCGCCTGCCTGCGTTCTCTCTCGACCACGCTCACGCACGAACAGCTGTCTCGCCGTCGTTGCTGGACATGCGTCTCCCCTCGGCGCACCATGTCGTCTCGCTCTGAAGTGGTCGCCGGGTTGACTCGTGCAGGCAGGGCGCGATGAGGCGAGGGTCGCAGGTGCGTACTTCGCATCTCCTTCTTTTGACCACCGCTGACCAAGATCAGGCTCCCACAGGCTGGCGCCTCCCTCCCCAGCTCCCCCTCCCGGCTCCCGCAATCTTCGGTCTATTCTGGCTCGCCCTCGGGCTCGATCGACGCGTCGGGCATCTCCCAGAAGCCTCGGCGTCATGCTGGGGATGCGCCGCGTCTGTGCTGGCGTGATCTCGCGAGCGTCAGTCACGGCTGGCCTACCGCCCTTGAGAAGATCCGTCTCTCACGCTGGCGCCAGGACCGGGGTCCCGCCGCTCCGTGCGCCCGGCTCTATGCGTAGGACGACCGACCGCATCGATGGCGGCCTGTCGTGCAAATGAGTGCGTGAATCCGGGCTCGTCCGCGTCGAGGCTCGCTCTAACGTGCACTTTCTCAGCGCACCGGACCGTGATCAGCGTAGCTCATCTGCGCTTGACTCGCCACCGGCCCTCTCGGCGATCTCCTCCCCCGCTCGTCAACTTGCGCCCCGCCCCTGCGCTTGTCCGACAACGCGGACAAGATATCCACGATAGACCAACGTCTCACTCGATCACCATGGTCAGCAGAGACCGCCAGCGGGTTCTCAAGAGTGCTCGGCCTCGGAGCGACCTCCAGCTTGCGTTGGTGTGCGACGAAGCTGATCTTGGGACTTCCATACAACACATTTACGCCTTGCTCTGTAATATCCATCTGCTATTCCACCGTTGGCTGGCTCAGACGTCTGATGAGCCCGTCCTCCTCACCCGCCGCTGAAGCCGCCAGTGCTTTGACTTTGACCACCTTGCCCATCGGCAGTGATCTCTGCAACCCGAAGGATACCACGACGTCGATCTTCGACTTTGTCAACGACGAGCCGTTCGCTGCGACGTTGGTGACCGTGCGGATGTTCAACTCTGGACGGGGCAGGCTCCCAACGACCGTCGACTAACGCTACTTTCACTTACGCCTCCCCCCTCGCCCACGCTACGTGTACGGCTCCGGCGACAGCCAGTCCGCCTCCTCGCACACCCTCCGAATCGCGCGCGCCGCGTTGGGTCGTCGCCCAACGTTACCTGTCCCTTGCCATCGCCGGTTCGTGAGGCATGAGCACGATGATCCCGCGGGCGTCTCGCCAGCCTGGACGAATGTTGTCAATGCGCCACGACCCCGAACCTATGGATCACCTTCCTCACCGTGCATATCCAGTATCACTCAGCGACTTCCAGCACCTCTGTCGGGGAACGGAGGCAGGCGACGTTGCTCTGCGTCAGTGCAGATCTGTTGATTCTGAAGGAGAGCTCCTCGTCGTACGGTGCTGTCGGTGGTCATGAAGTTGGCGGACGACCGCGGCTGGGGCTGCTCGTCGATCCAGAAGACCATCACGCAGGCGCGTAACCTACGGTTACACGAGATGGCGTTTGGCGGGTATGGGCAAAGAGGCGTACGATCCGACGCTTGCTGCGATGCATCTGCCGGAGGTCCTGATGAACCGTCAACTGCTGGCAGCAAGGGCCTCGCTACTACTACTACTACTACTACTACTACTACTTGCTGCTGCGGTCGACCTGTCGCGCGATCGAGCCCGGGGCGCCTGTATCGACGTCCAGGTTGGTGGAGACCATGGTGAGTCGCCTGCGTGTTTCGTTGGCTGGGACAGCCATGGCCTGCACGCCCACCTTCTTGCTCCCTGTCCTGCTGCTGCTCACGCGCCTGCTACCGCGTCCTACGAACCTTCAGCACCCGCTCGCGACGGAGTGGCGGCGTCTCGAAGAGCTCTTCCGGCCGGACTCGATAGTGTCGACCCTCATTGTACTCATGCATCCCCGAACGCTCGATGTCGTCGAGCGCGTGATCAGCGATGTCCTGCGCGAGCTCGTGAAAGCACTGCGCGACTAACACAAGCCCGGATCCACGGAATGCATCTTCGCACACACCACGATCTGCATCACGAGCGAGCTTCGAGTGAGTTCATGGAATCGGTGGCTGCTGAAAATGGGGCTGATATTCGAGGGTTTTCTCGTCACTCTCCCAACGTAAGTACCTGTGGGGTAAGGAATGTCATGAGTTCACGAGCGGCCGCCTTCGCGCGCCCTATCATGCCCGCCAAGCTGGTGTCCGCGTCCTGTATGTCTTCATTCATTGATCTTCAAGCGAGGAGGAGGTGCTCAGTCGTGTAGATGAGTTAGCTATCAGAGGAGCCACATGCGAGGCCGACACCGAAGGCACTTTATATACTGCCACAATTCGCGACCCTACAATCCGGCATATGCAGGTGTTTGAGTCGAAAGGACAATAAGTTGAAAAGAGGAAATAAGGAGAAAGCCTCACCGAATAAGCCTTCGGGTGCTTGCATCGTAAAGATGGAAACGAAGACGGAAAGAAGAAGCAAGGCTCACGCGTTTGATGATGACCAACAAACGTGCGTGATTGACCTTTAGATCGGATCAATGGGGACGAGATTGATGCATGGACTTTCCAACGGATCAACGGGAAACGCCTAACAATGGCCTCGTGGTCAAACGCCTTGAAAGATCTTTCTTCTTCAATCGGTCCCATTCACACCCTTCAACATCTGTTGCGATTCAAGGTCTTTGTCAACCTGCCCAATGAAATACATCCTGTGCGTACTTATAAATTGCGCGCTTCTTCAGCCATAGCTCCCCAATACGAGAAAGCTCTCTGATATGACACCATCCCTCCGACGCCAGTCTGGGCGTAGTTCCGTCCGCGCTCGTATTGACGCAGCTCCGTACTCCCCACCGAGCAAGACGAAACCTGTCGATATCAGTCGTGGTGTCCCAAAGAAGTCCAGGGCTCGTGGCATCACGCACAACGCGATCGCTAAAATCTCTGACGACTCTGAATACGTTCTTGTGGAGGTACGGTCTGGATTTTTCCCATTTGGCATCAGACTAAGTTGCCTCACAGAACGCTAGCCCCAGCTCTACGAACACAGTCCTAGCGGCCTTCGAGGACATACAAGCTGATTTGCAGGTATGTTCTTCGATCGAAATTTCTTGTACGAGGTTAAAGACGGATACAGGTCGCCAAGAGCCAGCTCGATGAACTATCGAAGAGAGAGAGAACCGCAATAACGTGCCCAGTTTGCATGGAGCCCAATTTTCTGCCTCGCATGTGCGTCAATTATCCACCGCCTCTTGTGAACCACCACTGATGTCCTATTAGGCTGAACTGTGGGCACGTATTCTGCCAGGCGTGCTTGTCTTCCCACTACCACGCTCAGCGTAGTGCAAACTGTCCTCTGTGTCGGGCGGCCATCCCTCTGTATCAAGATTTCCCCTTGTGCTACCAGCTTCGCGCGCAGGCTGTGGCGTGGGCGAATGCGAACGCAGTGACTGTACCTCCTCTGCAGAAATTCTTCTGTTTCCCCCCGCCGCGACCGCCATCGCCGCCTCGCCCTCCACGTCCAGCTGGTGAGGCTGCGTATGGCCCTATGCATATATATACGCATCGCATCAAGTACACGTACAGTCGCTCCTGTCGTCGCCGCTTTCAAAAACGCGGATAAGACTCTTCGGATTACGCTCCACTGCTTTCACTCGAAATACATGATGTTCTGACTGCTACCATCGCCCTTCTTCCCGGGCTTCTCGCTGCGTGATCTCCTTCCGGTACATCGCTTGTACGTGATATATTGGCCAGCACAAATTCAACCTTCATGTGACTCGCGCGTGCGTATCGACGGATCAAATCTCTGGTCTTTGTACCTTCGAACCCCTCACGGCGTTCCTGATCCGTCGCTGGGAAGTGTTCTCGCGTGCACAAGGCAACAAAGCGAGCATCCTAGATACCGGCCCTAGGGTAGGGCTACAGGGCGAGGGACGGAGCTGTTTAGACCGACCGGACCGTCTGGCCCAGCCGTATGCTTGTGTGTACAGTAGTGCGCCCACGGGCAGTCATCATCCATCCCTTCCGGGGCCTTCACCATTCCGCCCCGCGGATAGAGGCTACTCCAGCGTACGTATGAAAGGTTATTGCTGATGGAGTCGCGAAAGCGATCGCAGGCCGATTCTATGATGTCGTAAGGGACATTCCCACTTTTCTCACTTGCTGTTCGCGGGATCACCATCGATCAACGACGGCCATTCTTTCGAAGACTGGGGTCAGGTTCCGACAACGCTTGAAAGCTTGAGATACCGTGGGACAGTTGTATGTTTGTAATTTTGGTTCGGAATATGCCGCTTCGGAGCCGGATCACTGAACACGTGCACGAATAGCAACTGCCATTGACGTCTGGACCTACCAGACTGCTGCTATAGTCTATGTTATGAACGCTATGGAAACACATTTGCCAGTCCTTTCGCTGCTTTATCTACGAAGATGACAGCCCCAGCGAACATAGAATCTAGATCGAGACGGAAGGCCCACTGCATGAGTGGTCGGCTGCAAAGGAAAAAACGGATGAGTAGGGGAGGTCGCTCAATACATTCTGTTCGGCGGCGCCATGCGACGTATATGCCCAAGGTTCGTGCTCGTTTGCTAAGACCATGGGGGCCTCAGCGTACGCGGGTAAGCCGGCGCTCGATACATCCTGTGTGCATGTGTGAGTGCGCCGAAGTTTGTATCGGACCAGAGCGTACCGCGACCTGGGAGAGGTTCTGCACATCGACGTTGGTATCGAGCCCAGACCGCCCGTGTACTATCTGGGAGACGGCTGTGGGCGCAGCAGGCTGTGGTAGCAATTCTTGGGAGAAGTCTTGTCGCCGCAGAGGTACTAGGTCGGCGGCAGACGCGGGGCGATCGTCCGCTGCCTCTCCCGACAACCACTGCGGGGCGGCACCAGGTCGGAAGCCCTGATGAAAGGGGATGGACGCTTCGAGGAGCATTGGAAGGGGTGTCGAGGTCTTTGGCGGATCGATGTCCGCAGGCAGTATCAGCGGTGGTCGGGAGGCGAGGTGAGGCAAAGACGACCGCAGTGGAGGCAAGGTCAGCGCCGCGGGTTGCCTAGAAGTTTGTTCGTCATCGAGCGTATCATCGGCCCGTATCCCGTACGAGTCCTTTGAGCCCTCGCTGTTGGCATCGCATGCGAGTACAGTCAATCGCGCCGATGTGTGCTCGAAGTCCGTATTGGTCCCACCACCACCCCTTCGTCGCGGTGTATACTTATAGTACGGGAACTCTTCCTGGTGTCGCTGCGCTACATAGTCCGCGTGCTGCGTCCACCTGTCGCGCTCTGAACCAGGGAGCCGGTGCCACTCTTCGCCGGCCAGACGGCTCAGATGCTGCTGGCGCTTCTCCACATGATGCGTCTGGCGCAGGAAGTGAGAGCGAAACAGCATGAATGCGTTGGGCGGGCGCGGAATGTGTGACTTCCTGTCTTTGCGTCGCGGTCGATATCGTGAAGGTGCTGGTAGAGTTTGCGATGATAGGGGGGGTCCATAATACGGATTCATTGGGAAAACGTATGGATGATCTTGAGTACAGTGGTGTATGCGGCGCTCAGCGCCGTAGAGGACGCGAGGAATTATATGAGGTGGTAGCAACGGCTGAGCATGGCTCTGATGAACTGTCGCGGGATAGGGCGGTGAAGGTGGATAGCCGTACAGTTCGTCAGGGGCGTGAGCGAAGGCGTAGTCATCGGAACTTCCTTCCAAGTAGTCTCGATGTGCGCGTCTCTGGGGAGGGGCAAGATGTTGCAGCGCCCGAAGGTGAGTCCGTTGCTTGCTGTCGCGTTCTGGGACGCGTCAGACCACGAACAGAGGGTCACTGTTCACATACCATGAGGTCCCATTTTGCGGGCGATCGTGGCTTTGACCTCGAAGGGGCGCGCTCAGACTGCGACAGCTTGACATGCTGCTGTTATAATCGCGGCTTCAGTTCTTCCGCTCTCTGGACGCAAAGAATCGCCCAGGGTGTGATACTGGAGGACAATGTAGCCATGGTAGTCTTGCATTATGCTTTTGTGATGTACCCCGTCTGTGGTCAGCGAGGCGAGGAGAGCACGAGAAGGAGTACAGGCGACGAGGCGCCGAGCCCTCGGGCGGCAGCCACGTGGGTGCCATGACGGGAAATTGGCCATCACGTCCTCGGACGTTGCCGGAACTTGAGGCATCGCAAGAGGCCCTTCCTTGTAACTTCCAGCTTCTACCCCTTAGTAAGAAGTCACAAATATCACCTTGCTTCTGGATTTGATTCTTTCTACCTCCTTCGCTTGTTCGCGACAAGATAGCTTGCTTTCAGCACGTCGGCTCCCTGTTTGTACCAAACGACCTCGTGCATGCAACGAAGCTCGACACGCATCGTCAACTTTCCACCCCCGGAACATGCGCGCTAGTCTTTCATGAGACAAACTCCGGCGATGTCTTATCGGAAGTTCATCGTCAAAGGCGCGCAGCACGTAGAACTCTTTCCGATGCCTCATGACGCTCCCGCCGCCCAGTCTCGAGCGCGGGAGAAACTCGTCAATGACTCACTGTAGCCTCCCTTCGAAGCTCGTGGCCATCTGTGTGTCCGCCAGTGCGTTGCTGTCAGCGCTTCATTCCTCTTTATTTCGACTCTAGCCTCTATCGCAACGACCATCTTTGAGCTGCACAAAATTGCCCAAGTTGTCGGTATGTCGCCATGAATTTCTTTAGTGCCTTGCATACATTGCACGCAGGATTGGAACGTGTGTGATGAAGACCTCGAGGACATGGTTCCGTGCTTATATACTGATACGCCTTTCTCGTTCTCAGAGACGTCCGTCTATATCCCCAGCGGGCAAGGCGATTCGTGCCATACAAAAACCCCCCGATGCGTCTAGCTAGAGCAGGCCGCCCGGTCTATTTCTCTCTCCCCGCGATCTCTTACTCTCAACATCGCTTTTATCATGCCGGCTGACCGACGCTTTCCCTCCAGACGTTCTGTGCGCTTATTCGAGCGCCCGCCTCCGAACT